AGTTTACAAAGTCTCCGATATAGACACATCAGATGGCAACTCGCCCGGACACACCGTACCGAGAAAGAAACGACAGACAATGAATCCAACCAAAGGGGGCGTAGTATTCAAATACTCCAAAGCCATGCAAATTGTCACCCGTGACAATCGCGCCATGCAGTTCACCCCAAACGTAATCGTACAAGCCTCAATCCGACGCCTGATATGCATATCGTCCTATTCGTCCCAGCTGTCCCGTCTGATATCCGTCCAAAGAAAACTCCGTGTGAATGCCTTGCGTCATAAACAGCCAAAGGATGAATACAACAGAAAGAAACATGGAGAAAGCGCCGAGTTGCGCCGAGTCCCGCTCGAAGAAGTGAATGCTTGCGCCGTATATGCACCCCAGAAGTCGATGAGGCAGCTCTTGAAAACTGTATGCAGGTCGTATGTTGGTTTGCAGCGTAGTTTATCGATGTGTCGAGTAGGCACCGCTTCCATAGCCAGAATCCGGGAGCACTCCCGTGCCGTAGGTAGCCTCTGGCCGGTGGCTGCTGTGACTGCTACAGGCATAACCCACAAGGACCGTTTTCTCTTGAATCGTGTGGCCACGCTGTCCATGAGCGGCACATGGATCGATCGAGTGTCTGTAGTAGAGGCACCGGCAGACTGAGTATCGTTCGACGACTTGATAGCACATGTTGCAAGGTATTGATTGACAACGACGAAAACAGTGGACGTGTGACGTTGCGGGAGTTCGAAACGATAAGATGATTGAGACGGGCTAAGAACGCTAATAGTGCAGGAGCAGTAGAGCAGTGAGCAGGACTGAGGCTTGATGAAGGAATGTTAGGATCCTTGAGGCAAAGAAGCTAGAATATATAGCAGTAGGAAAGCTGTAGAAGCAACAGAGGAGAGACAAGCTGCGGATGTTTGTAACCCAGAGAGAGGCCTGCCGTGACGCATGCTGCGGGACTGTCAGGCAACGGAATCCATATGTAGGTACAGACGCTGACTGTGCGCCAGATGGTGCTAACATGGTACTGGGATGGATGGGGCAGTAGAAAGAAGGAGCACAGCCATAACGGCCGCTAGCGATGTATGGGAAAAGGAACAGACGGTAGGCGTAGTTGGGAATCGGCTGCGGCATAGTTAGCGAAGATGGTTCGCTCGCTGGGGACGTTCTCAGCTGGGGTCTATCAGTCCATCGGCCCGCTCATTGGACAGTGCGACGACATTCGCGACTCCTTCGTCCGACGTGAAGGTCAAAGTCTCAGGCCGCGCCGCCCACAGGCGCACATTGCTGGCCCTGTCGAGATGAGCTGTAGTTGAGGGCCCTGTTCTGCAAATGCTACCAGGGCCGGCGAGCATGCGCAATGTGCCTGATACAGTGCGACTGTCCCTACGCAATGACCAACTTGTGCACCAGACGGTATGCAGCGTATCTCTCGCCAAAGCGGGAGCCCGAGATTCGGGGTCGGCCATGTTTCTGGGATGTATGGAGGCGCACATCGAGCGTGTAGGCGTGTGTGGGTGGGAGGCTGACGTGGGTTAGACAAGCCCGTCTTTTCTTTCCGGGGGGCTTTTCCCTGCGCCCGCACACGGTGTCGGCAAACACCATGCACGGGCAGGCAGGCGGGAGGGTAGCCTTAAACGCCACAACGAGATCCGAGACAGATGGCGTGCGCTTCTGGACTCCACGGGGTGGGTTGTACACAGATCCATGGCCTCCCATCAAGGTGGATGGCGTTTCACGTTGGCCAGACGGCTGGTTCTATGAAGGTAACGTGATCGCTTAGCTAACCAACCACATGCCAGTCGTCTCTCGCTCCAGCGCGATGCCTTCATCATCCATTCAAGCCACCCACTTCATCGTGCGCGACGACAGAAGTAGGCAATGACACCGCAGCCGCGCTGGGCGACGGCTTTGTTTAGTCTACATCAAGATCACGCCAAAGTCAAAGCATTGCTGATGTCGATGTGATGATGAAGCCCACTTCTGCGTGATTCTTGCCGATCACCTGTCGGCATCCCCTAGTCCAGCCGCCTACAGGCTGACCAGCTGAACGTCCACGCGGCTCGGTACCTTCCTGACGTTCCGAGGGTATGCATTGCAAGTGGTCGAGGAACGCGATGTCCAGGGTCCTCGTCGTCGAATGCTCTATCCTTCATCATCATCATGGTCCTCCGTCACTTTCAATTCTATCAGCTTCAGCGCTTGGTGTCACCAAGATTACGCCCTGACTGCATTACGAGGACGCTGTCAGGACTTCAGTACACGTTACGATTGCTTGTACTGAGTAGTCCGCACAGACTTACCCTGCCGTCGGTTGGCATTCCGTGCATCGTCTGTAAGCTTATCTGTGTAACTCCTGCAGCCCTATGCATGAACCCGTTTCTGCCCACGTGGCTGCAGCTCGCATGTTTCACTCATCAACAGCACTGCTTGACGAACGCAGAATTGATATTCATCACATAAGGCCAGCGCTCTCGGCTATCAAATTTCTTCGACTTGAACTCACTCCAAGTCATGTCACGACTCGTTCTGCAGCGCTGGGCAAGGCTTACGTCGGCTCTGCACCAAGGACAGGGTTTCGGAATCCACCAATATGACTGGATGAGGTAAGGCAGACTCTCGTGAGGCCGAATTTCTTTTTTGGCTTGCAGCTTGGACTTTGCGCCTTTCTCTTTGGAGCATAACAGCCCTCTGACGGCCGCTTTTTATATCGTCGCTTTGACTTTTACTACGTAAGGCACTTTTGCTGCAACGAGGAAACACCCGAGCTGAACGAATGATCTAACGATACAGAACTTCACACGATCACTTGAGAACGCCGTAGAAACCGTTTCTGCGACCAGATTCACAATTTCGGGGTCATGGGCGCTGCCGAACTCCGCCTGCTTTCGTTGAGAGCCGTGATTACTGTCTAGCTTAGGTTTCCTATCTTGAACTACACCGATCAGTTCGTTCACCTCTCGCCCTGCACGTTGTCGACCCCCGCGAGCAGCGTTTGCGGAAATCAAGCGCCTCGGTAGCGACCGCGTCTGCAACCCAGTCACCCAAGTCAAGGTAATCTACGCAAGTCCGGTGGTTACCATCACTGTCTGGAACGTTGTGACGTTAGTCTGACATCCTCTTGATTGCGTGTTCTCGAACGGGGGCCTACAAGCCCTGCTGTGTTTCCGCGTGGTAGGGATTTCAGGCGAGCTGGCGCATTGAGGTTGCCGAGTGCTGCCATCAGCTGGACCTGCCTCAAACACTGCGTCACGAGACAGTTCTATGCCACCAATTTTCTCCCGTTCACCGGAAAATCTGGTTTGGGGGGTGTCTTATTACAGTGACACTACAGAGTTTGACGCCAGCACCGCTTGCCTCAATCTCAACACATGCTACATAGTTCGACTGCCTGATGTTGCCCACACAATTCGTCGGCCCGACTACTTTATGTCACGGAGTCGAAGGCAATTGGCGTTTCCCGGAGATCGAGAAGCAGATCCACTGAAGAGGTTCAGTCATTGAGCGTAGGACCAGAGTCGTTGGACATGATCCAACCCAGACCACCATGGGTGGGGAACTTACTAACACGATGTGCAGTAGATCTATAATAGTATGAGTACCCCAACATCTTCAAATGAATAATGATCTCTGTGACACTTCATCACAAGGGCCTTCGAATAGATACGACTACTACTAGCTTAATGGTGGCCTTGCCCCATCTATTTAGTCATTCAACCTTAGCGTCACTCTTTGTTACACATCCGTTCCAAAACAACAGTTCCAGCCATAAACCTACTATCTCGTAGTATTTTCCGAGTAATTGGCATCGCAGTTAGCAACTTGCTTAATCTAATCTAAATCAACTCAACCTATGCAGTTGAGGGCACAATCTCAATTATTTTAGTAAGCCTACTCAGATGTTCAATTCCAATGACCTCAACAAGCCATATTATTGAAGTCATTAAACCTGACCAATCCAGATAACTCGGCCATATTAGACCACTCACGCTGCTACTAAAAGGTAAGTTCGCGCTTGGCCATATCCAGCGTAGAACAACATAGTATCTTTAAACCCCATCTCTCACTCGTCATCACTACCTGATGTTAAAATACATGGTATTGAAATACAATCCCATGTCACATCCAATTAAGATGAGAAAGTTTGAGTCTGGGCAGTTCCAGCATTGAGCCAGCTCAAGGAAGTTTGGAACTTGTTGGAAGTACGCACCAACCGTGCATCCGATTCACTCACTCCCACTACAATGGGTAGTCTGTGTGGATGCCGCGCTGCGGATAGCGTGCTGGAGTGTTCACGTATCGACCTGCTATGGAACCCCTCTTGTCCATGGTCAAGGCATGGTTGTATAAATTCGGTTTCATATCTGACAAATGCTCAGCGTACAAGCCCTCGGGTCCATTGATGTGGAACCACACATTTAAGCACTTTGTCTTTGCATTACAATTTATTGTAATAATCAAAGTCGATGGAACCCTCATGATTAAAATTCCAGGTAGAGGTCGAAGACATTCTTTACCACACTTCTACGGCAGGGCGATAATCCTATGGATAAGTTCCGATGGGTTCGGATCTAGTCGATTAATTATTGCGTCAATGTACAGAGCTGGCAGCGGTATTAAGCGATAAGGTAGATATGCGAACCAAGAGACATACATGCTTCTAAGGATAGATATAAGTAAAGGCGTGAGAAAGGTGGGCCGTACGATTGCTTGTTAGAGTGGACGCAGTATAGCAGGAGTGAGCGGTTCACACTGTGATTGTGTTCGAATGGTCAGAAGGATAGCTCTGTGTATGTTGTGATGAAAATTACTATGTAGGAACCACAACACACCACTGCGATGCTGCGATGCCCTCAAAACTAAACGGGTATATCCAGGAAACCCAAGAACAGTCCTTCTAATATTAACACCGAAACGCCGAGACCACTTGTCAGAATTTTTTGGTTCGTTTTCGGTTGTAGAAGGTATAAACAAGATGAAACTCTAGTTTGTCAAAGTCGATCGTCTATGCGAGCATGCAGAAGTAGATGACGGTCAAACCCATCGCATACCATCCTGCATATTTGCCAACACCAAGCGCGATGCCCGCATCGTCGGTGCCACCAGGAGCAGTCGTTCCATTCGGTAGCGTGCCGTTCAGGACCAAAGTCGTTGTACCATTGACATCCGCGACATTAATAATAGACTTGTTCAGACTGTCGTAGCTTCCGTTGCCGACCAGATCCTTCAGATACTGCTGGTTGTCATTTTCGTCACAACCGCACGCGCTGTACTCTTCGCAAAGACATGTAACGGGCAACGACGAATTGGTGCCATTGGGGTTCGTCGCATTATGGGCGGATTCGTTGACAAAACGGTACGGGTTGTGGAAGTAGTATGGGTAGACGCTGTAGAGCCAGAGCCCCGGGAGGAGACCGACAAGGAGTACGGGCGCAATGAGGGCACCGGCGAGCAAACCCTTTGGTGTCTTGCTGCCGGACTTGTAGGGTGTTGCTGCTCCTCCACCATAAAAGCCGCCACCACCGAATGAGCGCGCAGGGCCGGAGCCTGCGCGTGTGGAACCGCCAGCATTGGAGCTTGACGATGTGCGACCTGACGACGAAGAGCCTGAGCTACCGGAGCTGCTACTGCCGGATTTGCTTCCGCCTTAAAGATGTTAATGGATATTCAAGCTGTATTCTATAGGGTCGTAAGTCACTCACTGCTGCTGCTGCCTCCTCCACCTTTGCCACCACCACCTTTGCGCTTCTCTAGAGCGTCCTCGGGAGCTAGAACATCCGAACTCCTTACGCTGACAGCCTGATCATCGCGAACTTCCACTTTGCCATTCGGGACAGATACCGCGTGTGCTATGGAGATTGCGAGGGCGAAGTAAGTTGCGATATGTTGTATTCTCATGCTGGCGTTGTGGTATGAAGATTATCCGTGGTGTTGGAATCGCGCGTGGGTGGATGTAAGAGATGAAACCCAATCGACGTTTCTTATGATAGTAGGCGGTCGACGAGTTCTTTGTCGCACACAATCTTTCTGGCGAAGAGCGGAGATTAGAGAAGACAGACCGGCTTAGAGACCTATTATAGGTATGGTAGAGATGTATGGAGAGGAGGCAAACACCATGACATATGCACTGCCCTGCAGACGGCGGAAATACAGCGGACTCACCTCAGATCTTGGCAGCGCTAAGCCACGAGGGGAGAAATCGCCTCGACGAATAGTACTCACTGAAAAGGTACTGCGCCGCCAAACTCAGTTTTCGGTTGAGATGAGTAGACATGGTATCGATCACTTAACCCACCGGTTTTCATGGTAGTGAATATCGCGAGCCCGTTCAACCATCATAATTCGGGTAGACTTGCGGTGGTATGGGCACGTTCGGATTCCACGATCCGATTGCCAAGCCATGACTTCATGAGCGCTGATCTCCCGCGGATGTCGAAGCTTTCTGGAGAAATCATGACTAGTAAGCATCACCAGTCTGCCTTCTATGACGATGCACGCCTTCGCATCAAGGCAACCAGCACAAACAACTTCCTGTTTTGCGATTGCTGTGCAATAATGAACGGGACCCGTTGCTGCAAGGGCGCAATCCTGCGCTTGGCTCACGAATGCACAGCATGAATTGCCGTGGGTGGTATGGAAGACAAGCCAGCAGTACGAGCTTGTGTTAATCTGAGATGTTAGCGTTCCACCTTTCACACAAGCCAGAGACTCTGAAGAAAACGCTTATCCTGTCGTAAAGAAACTGTTGAAGAGCCAACTTGTGATGCCGATTGAGCACATTTCAAAGACGTACAAACACATTAAAATTCCTTGCCGATCACGCCAATTCAAATCGACATTGCTTTGTAGATCTCTAGTAGCAAGGCAGCATGCCTGCCCACTATTGGTATTACAAATATGTCGACAGTCTCATTCACTGCTCTTGAAAGGACCGTGGTCGTTGTACTCCGGTGAGCTTCAAGTAGTTGGCGCCAGTCACAGCCGCGTCTAACATGTGGCATAGTCCACAGGATGTTGACCACTCGCCGTCCAGCACCACCGACTCCCTCAGGCTGAGATTAGGCTGTCTGAGACCATGTCCCTTGCATGCTGATCGGAGAATTGTAAAGCCATGGATGCTATCTCGACGTCGTTATACGCCGTGGGGCGAAGCCGGGCGTGCCAGGCTGAATGAGCTGTGGCTGTAGCAGGTGTAGACCTTATTCTTCGAATACTTTGAGGGAAGCTCTCAACTCTCTCAAGTTACGCAGCTAGATCAAGGCCGCTGCTATGATGCTGTACTGCCGCCTGGCTGTGGTGCTGGCCCTCCGCCGTCCGAAACCTTCTGCACCTTCCTGTATTCCTCCTCAAGCGCCCGTTGCATCTCGAAGTCGGCTTGTCGCTCACGCTTCAGTCGCTGTTGCTCGTAGTCACGAATAACACCAGCATGCATAGCCTGGACGTAGCTGTTAGTTAAATGTAGATAGAAGTAGACAACTCCCTGCTCATACTGCTTTTTCTGCACGCTGAGAGTAGTGGACGAAGATGACAATGCCAATTGCACCCAGCGAGGTCGTAGCAAGCGTAAGCTTGGATGCGCGCGACATGTTTGCGGTATAAATGAGGATGAATGAATGGTGCGGAATTCTCTCGGTGGAGAGCCTCTGGGCGGAAGGAGCTTGGGCCTCCAGCTTGGCGGTCCTCCGCCGCCTACGATGCACCTTCCATGTGCTCTTGACTCCACTAGCTAGTAACACCAACTACGCTTTACACGCCCATCATGGTAAGTTTGATCGATTCTACCATTCTCATCGAACCTGACAGCTTCTAGTCCGCCCAAAACTCCGCAGGAATCCAGACGCTGCTTGACGTAAGGCACCCAGCCCACTTCAATACAGATGGAGCTCACACCGTACCTAGGCCGAGCGGGAAGCACAGAAGATCGTGCAGCAAGGTATGTCCTAGTCTAGAGATTACTGGGAACATGCGACTGACAGTTCACAGCAAGAGAATGTATGCAACTATTTCGACATCTAGGCCATTGCGCTGACCCCACTAGACCGCACGAAGCGAGTGAAGGACGCCCGAAGCGAAGCGCAGAAAGAAATCGAGGACTACCGAAAGGAGAAGGAGGATGAGTTCCAGAAGTTCGAGAAGGAGGTCCGTTACAGCATATCCGGCTATAGGGGAACATGCGCTAACGGCTGCGCAGCACAGCTCTGGCAACAAGAAGGCTGAGGACGATGCGAAGAAGGACACCGACGGCAAAGTCAAGGAGATTGACGACATTGGCAAGAAGTCAGGATCCAAGGTCGTAGAGCAGCTTATCGAGGCTGCCTCAAATGCGAAACCCGAACCGCCACGAGGACGGGACTGAGCTGTTCTCCGGCGAACCAGAACAACGCACAAAGCCTGCTGACATGAATCCTATCAAGGACGCATGAATTGATTTGTACAGGAAGTAGAGGAGGCCCACAGGATTTACATACTTCATGCTGGCAAACTGAAGTGGCCTGGGAGATTTGTAGATGGAGTATGAATATCACGATGACTTAGAACAATTTGCTCCGCGCACCTATGCATCACTTGTAAACCTTGTTTAGCAATGCTTTCACGGAGAAGGAAAGTCACATTAGAAGAATTAATGCCTGATCCGGGCAACGCAGTACGTGAGGGTGCAACTGTTAGGTCTAAAGAAGTGATCGACCTCGTTGTATTCAAAGCACGTCTTATTCCCCGGAAGCGGTGAAGCATAGACGTGGTCAGATTAAGAACATACAGCGTCGTGGCTTGTGAGGATTGCATGTAGCCAGACCTAAGACCCCCGGTCGCATCGTGCGCGTGCAGTTACGTCATCTCGAAACTTTCCAATACGGAGCTCATCAACACGCATATTCGCACCATCGAACAATGCGCGGAAACCAATGATACAGCTAACTGTACATGCGAGACTTTGCTCGCTACGAAAATTAAAGTGCGCCATCTTCATACCCTCCGCACGAAGAGCGTTCAGCAATGCGCAGATACGAAAAGAAGACCCGCGGCTGCAGGACATTGGACGCGTCTTGAAAGACGAGTATGCGGTGGTGAGGCGAAAATACGGTACGAATTTCACATGTACCTACATGAGCACTGCTAACGCTGCCCAGATACTCCCGTACGTTGAATATCCGCTTGACGTGATCCCGCGATCCCTGATCTTCCTGTAGAAACATACCCTAATACTTGCCCACGGCCTCCTTGGCTTCGACGAACTCCGACTTGCAGGCCAGTTTCTTCCGGGAATACAATACTGGAGAGGGATAAGAGATGCGTTGTCAGAAAAGGGCATTGAGGTTATCGTGGCGGCTGTCCCGCCCTCTGGTAGCATCGAGGCTAGAGCTGCACGATTGGCTGAGGACATAGCACAAAAGGCCCAAGGAAAGGCTGTGAACATCATCGCGTAAGGACAAAGCCTTTTGGTAATAGTAAAAGATTATACGCTAACTTGGGGTAGGCATAGTATGGTGCGTAGTTGAGAAGAGGTTTCATCGGACGTTTTGGCTGATTCTTAAGCAGGGGTAAACACATCGTTCCTAGACAGGGGACTGAGCTGAACGATTGTAGTGGACTCGACTCACGTTACATGATCAGTCGCCTGAAGCCCGATAATGTCAAGGTATTGTCACTGACGACAATCGCGACACCGCATCGTGGCAGTGCTTTCGCAGACTATATGTTCGATACCATAGGCCGTGAGTAAATTCTTCGTCTATAGAAGACTCACTGACATTGAACAGCCCGTCAGATTCGTAGACTGTACCGGATCATGGAGTATTTTGGTTTGGAAACAGGTGCTTTCTCCCAGCTGACGCGCAAATACATGCAAATGGAGTTCAATCAGAAAACGCCAGATGTAGAGGGCATAAAGTGAGCGTCATTTTTCTTCTCGCCGGCTTCAAATAATCGAATATCAGGTACTACTCGTACGGCGCAAGCTTGGAGCCATCGTCCTGGTCCGTGTTTGCCCTGTCGCACTCGATCATCAAAGAACGAGAAGGCGGGATCAACGATGGGCTTGTCAGGTTTGACCGACCTTGAGCTAGTACGTGAAGTGCGAGACTGACATGCGCAGTGTGGCATCGAGCCAGTGGGGGGTTTACAAAGGTACGCTGATAGGGGTTAGCCACTTGGATCTGATAAATTGGACGAATCGACTGAAGTGGTTTTTCTGGGAGCTTACGGGAAGCAAGCGGAAGTGAGTGTCCTTCGCCAATTCTCTCCATACGAGGACGCAAGTGCTGACTCGATGCAGCTTCAATGCCATCGCGTTCTATCTTGACATCGCAGGTACGTCGGACAAGCCCGTGATATGGCGTTACAGTGCAGCGCGTTGTCATCATCGTGATACGTCGTTCATCCTGTCACTCGTGTTTCCGCTGACTTTGGCTCTAGATATGCTGGCAAAAGAAGGCCTCTGAGCAATCTCGCCGTCTCTGCGGCCTGCCTCAGAAGAGTAACAATGTGTAATGGGACCCGACGCTTTACGCCTCAGCCGCCGAGATGGCCTTACCTGAGGCGAGCGCATGCGTTGTCACGTTAGGGAAAGGTTTGCGAACATAGGGGTTCCCGCGAGCTGCGGTCGTGGCTGTGCTTGGAGGTGATGGTGATGGTAGGCGGCGGAGGCTCGCGCAAAGCGGAACGCCACGCTGGAGCCGCATGCTGTGCTGCAGCCCGCAGATCTCGAGCACTCGAAAAAAAAAGAGATGCTTTCATAGTCCTCCTCTACTCCGCAAGAACCAAGAAACTGTATAGCTGCACCAAGCGTAGAGAATAATACTAGATGGGATTTTTCCGGACGCGCCCAGCATGACGTGTGCGGGGAGAGCTGGGCACGCGAAGAAGCCCCTCTGAACTTCCGTGCCTCTTCAGCCATATTCACAGCTACATACTGACTACGCGTCCTCCGGCTGTGTCGAACGCTTTGACAAAAATCCCTCCAGCGCATGTAGTGAGTCCTTTGTTCGCGACTGCCGCCTGATCATAAAACGTGTGACATGTGTCGCCCACCCTAGACAGGCGCTTGCGACATTACCCTACACAGTAAACAGATCAGCCTCTAGGAGATTATCGTGTGAGTGGCAGCAACCGCCATGCTCGTCCAGCTCCACCTCGACCAACCGCATGACGGTCCACAGCACTACACCAACCTCGATGTCCTTAGCGGCAAAGTCCTTCTCCGAGTTCCAAACCCTGGCAATGTCACCAGCATCGTGGTCAAGCTTGAGGGAGAGTCGCGCACGAGATTGCTGGCACCCGTGAGACCGGATCGGCCGGACAAACAGAGACCTGTGTTGGAAGTTCACAAGTTCTTGTACAAGACGCAGGTAGTATGGCCAGCTAATACTCGGCCGGAGGATGTCAATCCAAAAGCCAGCTTCACTATCAACTCGGGGAACTACGAGTACCCTTTCCAATTCAAGGTCAGTTCCTTATTGCGCACAGCTTGGATACTTACTAACGGTCGAACAGATCCCACTTAATACTCAATGTCAGCAGCAGAATAGCCTGACCACGAACGTTTCCTTCGCAAATATGGTGCCCGAGGTAGCCAAGTCACCAACACAGCACATCAAGACAACCCTTCCACCGTCCTTAAGCGGCTTTCCGGGCGAGGCGGAGATAAGATACTACGTAAAGGTGACGGTGAATGTGCCCCAGTTCTACAAAGAGAATCCACGGGCTACAGCCAATTTCACTCTGCTGCCCATCGAGCCACCTCGCCCAGCAGCAGCAGACGGCGAGGCATACGCGAGGAGGCAACATCAGTTCCTAGAGAGCTTCCAGAGTCCTACTATGGGCAAGAAGAAAGGCATCTTCGACAGGAAGTCTTCCTCAGGCCCTACATCACCGACTGCCACTACGACGCCACGTGTGACCGTTGATGCACGCCTCCCAAATCCTGCCATCCTTGCAGCGAACCAAGATGTACCATTGAGACTCCTTGTGAAGAATATGAGCGAGCGCACAAAGAATGTGTATCTACAAATGCTTCAGATCGAGCTTATAGGCTACACCAAAGTTCGGGCGCACGAGGTAACAAGGACCGAATCAAACAGTTGGATCCTAGCCAGCATGAGCAACATGGCCATTCCCATCGGCTCGCCCTCGGACCCAGTCGGTACAGAAATTCCCATCAACCCGGAATACTGGTCCGGCAAGTCCATTCCCAACTCTGTAGCCCCGACATTCACAGCCTGTAATCTGAGCCGGTTCTACGAGCTTGAAGTGCGCGTCGGCATAGGCTACGGCTCCTACAACCACGGCGAGGATCAGCTCGTCGTCCTCCCGCTTCGCCTGCCTGTGAAAGTTTACTCGGGCATTGCTCCCCCCAAGGCCCTTTTGGACGCTACGCTCGTAGGAGCCGACACGAAACTGAAGCCCGCAGCGGGACAAAGCCTCGACGCACCGCAGATGCCACACGCGCCTACCACGCCGACGCAGCAGGGCGGCTTTCCGAACGCGTTTCCGCCTGCACAGGGCTCGCCCCAACAGGGAGCGCCCGCGTACGAGGATGCGCCGCCCACTTATGAGGAGGCTATCGGGCAGGATCTACCGCCTATCAATGGCAATCGAGGTAATTATGAGCCTCCTCCTGTACCGGAGGATGCGCCTAGGTTCTCTGATGAGAAACGAAGATAAGAGGCATAGGAGTGGGAGGATGCGAGCAGAACAGCATGCCTATGCCTGTGAGCCTCGAGAAGGTCGCATGCGTTTGCAGACTGCGAGGGAAGATGGATATGGACAGGCGAGTTGCAGACGGCACGTCTACCGTCCAATCATCCAGGCATCTATACGGCCTCATGAGGGCTGGAAGGGGTCGATGAAACGAGAGCAGATGTGGTGGGTCTGGTTCGAGAGATGTGGTAGCCGATATGCAATCATGAGAACGTTTTGATCGAAATTTGTCTACTGCTAGCTTCTGGACCCGACAGTCCTTGATCGTTGTAGCGGAGTCGGCCGATATACGGCAAGTTGGTGGGACACGGTGCTGCAAGTGAGGCATTTTCGCGAGATGCTGGGGTTACGGTTGTGTTGCCGGGATGTAAGCAGAGCGCGGAGAGTTCGCGATGTGGCGACGTGCGTACGCGTGAAGAAGTGTGGCGGGGTCGGTACGCTGGGCTGGGCTGACTGATGGACGCGATGATACGTGTTTAGACGAATAGCCTGGCACGACAAGAAGGAAGCCCGCAGTCGAGTAGCGTTGGATGACTCGGCCGTCTCGAACAAGTAGTCCACGATGATGTCTGCCGTGGTGTTGAACAGGGCCACAGCGTCGACAACGGCTAGCTATCTTATCGGCGCACATGGTGGCCCCCGATTCGAAACTCGATGCGCCAAACATGGGCAGCGTCGACATGTTTTGCTGTTTGTTGTCGAATCGCGTCTCGAGAAATTGCCCGCGGCGCGTCAGAGGAACAGACACGCGACGGACGGGAGCACCTGCGTCGGGCTGGGACCAATGCTCACCGGTCTTTTGCGCCCGGCCACTGCTTTCCAAGGCGTCCTGCAGAACCACGGCGAGCTACTGCGTGGGAAAGCGCTTGTTTGCCGTGCATCCCGCCGTTCGATTGGTCCAGCCCTCGAAACGTTTCAGGCCCGGCTCCAGGCTGCAGGTGGGGCTGCAGCAAAGGTCGAATCGTCGCGTCGAACACGTCCAAGATACTTAAGGACACGCTCTTGCACCGCGAGATGGTCGTGTTTTCGCACAGCAATATCCAGCCCGAATCCAGCAGTTGGCACACTTGCGTTGCCCGACATGGCATCCGTCTTTGACTCACACCTGCGTCTCACGTGGAAGAGTGGGGAAGTGCAGAATGTCGGCGTCGATGGTAAATATGCGCGAGGAGAATGCCATCCTCAGGTTTCCCTTGTTTCCGAAGCTCTGCTACTTTTTTGCGAACCATCCATGTATGGAATCGAGACTTTTTGTCCATCACGACTGTACCTTCATGAGACATACGAATGAATTCACCTCCACGAACACCACCCGCGCTCAAGCGCACCGTGTCGGGCGAGAGCCACAGTAGCTATGGCAGTGCGGCGACGTCCGCTTCGCGATCAAGTTCGAGGCTCCTGTTTGGTGAAATCCCACTGACACCTGCAACTACCGTGGGCGGTCCATGTGAGATATCCTGTGTGCTTGCGCCGACGAACATCAAGTGTTGACTTCGTTAGCCACCCGGTCCAACAGCTCGATTGGTTCGATATGTAACCTGGTGCTCTCGACAAGCTCATCCTTTTTGCGCTTCTGGCTGAACGACACCTGCCGCGACAACCTCTTTGCCCATCTTGAGCAAGAAGATCTCCCCGACTTCCGTCTGGTATGCCATGACTTTGCGACGCGGGCGGCGCCTGTCCAATTTGCATCCCTTACCACGACCTTCAAGCCTTCCACCTTCTCCAAGCCGGCGCGCATTGAGGCTCTATCCCGCATAGGTCGCCATATCAAGACTTTTACCTTCCACATGCCTCACACTCCAGAGACTCTGCTACCGCCCATCATTGACCCGGACACTGGCGAGGAGAAGCAGTTCATCTACGAGCCGCAGTTACAGACGCCATCGAACATGCTTGGCCGCGAAAAGACACCCAAGTACGGCTCTCTCGAAATGACCAGCCTGCTCATCCAACAATATCCACCACTGTTCCACGCTGCAACCAACGTGCCGGCCTTCGTCGCTGCCTTCTCCGAACTCATCAACCTCACTCACCTCAAGGTCTCATGCCCCGGCTACGACAACGCCCCTTCTCACCGTCGCAGTGTCGTAGACTACGCTCTCATTTCCCTACGTATTGCTGTGGAGCGCGCTCCAATGTACAGTCTCACTTCCCTATCCCTCCATCCCATTCATCCTGGCGGCCTCCTTTACCTCCATCCCATGCACGGCTTTGGCAGCACACCGTCATCCGCAAAACGCTGGACCCAAATCCGCAGTCTCTCGATATGCATGGAGTCTCTTCTCAAGTCCCCATCTCCCAAACACAGGACGCAGTCCGTCGAGCACCTCCGCATCCTTCACGCGTACCTGCGCACGCTATCCCGGGGCTTGACGCGCCTCTTCTTTCGCTGGAAAGGCACACGCGGGCCCTCACCACTGAGCCTGGACAAGGAACCTTGCATGTTACCCATCGACACAGACTACATGCACCCCTCCCAACGTGGTGAAGTGCGCGGCCCACGCCCCCTTCGCTTCTCCCGCCTGCGCCACATGGAACTCGAAAACGCCATCATGGACTCCTCCCAAATCTCAGATTTCATCCACAAGCACCGCCGCTCGCTTGTGGAATTTAACTTCGAGGACGTCAAGCTCCGGCAAGGGAACTGGGATGACGCACTGGAGCCGCTGACGCTAATCAGCGGGAGTGAGCGATGGAAGAGGAACGCAGAAGAAGTCATGGATGTGCCTATCGTGCTCAGTCCTATCAACATTGAGCCAAGAATCATGGGGCCACTACTAGAGGAGGTTGACGCCGCGATTGAGAATCACAGCAAGGAGAGGGGACAGCATAGCTTGAGCCGCTGGTTAGGGAAGCCTAAGAGCACGTTGCGAAAGACGAACGGACATGTGAAAGAGAGCTTCTTCGGAGGCGACCACGTTAAGAGACTCTTCAGGGGGACAATGTTCCATCGTGCTGTCGGTGTCGCCGCATAGGGTTGGGAAAAGCGGCGTCTGTCGGCGTACTGTACTGTGTCTTGTCAACTGTATCACGGGTGGAAACGGTGAGGAAAAGCTCGGTCTTTGCATGTCGCTCGGAGTTCCTTGGTCTGGGTGGGTTCGGAGCTGGACGATGCCTTGCCATATACCCCCTTCGTCCGGCTTGGGTGGATTGGGGATGGTAATTTCACGGTAATGGGATGGCGCACACGAACAGTGGCCTCTTCTGGTGAGGAGGTTGGAACTGTTGTCTTGATTTCCTTTTCTTCTTTTTCCATCTTGACGACATTCATTACCTTTCTTTGATCCTCTTGCTGATATTGTTGTTCATGCGAGACGCTTGACGGCCTTCATGACGATCATACTTTACAAAAGTATGTACATACGAAGTTACGAGTAGCATACCCCACGATCTTTGAATCAAATTTCCTACTATAATTTGCCTTGAGTCTTCACAAGTTCCGCACTGATGAGTAGCGCAAATCATATAATGTGTGCATAGTGTATCTACATGTACCAAACAGAAGTTTGTATATCCATACCGATCATGTTGGTTCAATAGCATACTTGCTCTTTGCTCGGATCTTTGGTCCTAATTTATACAGTGCATACGGGATTGGTACCGCCGCAGCGCTGATACAGGCCAGTATCGTCAGCGTATGATGCGGACCCAGGTTCTCGTACATCGGCAATCCAACGACAGTCATTCCACCAGCAGCTAGGTACCTGACGAGTGCGACGAATGTCAGCGCACTCGCTGCATTGACTTCGTATGCATCGATAATGTACATGTATGCACTCAAGAAAATTGAGATAATGCCGGCTCCAATCATGACTGACGCCAGAACAGGACTCCAAATTGATATCGAAGGGTAATCTGTCCATGCCATCCAAAAAAGGCCGATCGGTATGAAGGGAGCGCTGTACATGGCGAAAAGGAGGCGTGATTCGCGATTCAGCTTCATACCTTGACCTTGGTCACCGTCTCGTGCAAGTTGTTTGTTAGTCTTCCGTACGATGAAGGGGACTGTGATCAGCTGCAGTAGCACGCCGATAAAGAGACCGACGAAGATAATGTTGCTCAGTCCAGTGTTGATGCCGTAGGTCCTCTCAAATATGTATGCGTAACCGTCCAAGAACGTGAACAGAACAATGTAAATGATCGTCAGATAGAGGGTACAGGTCAGGACAATAGGCTCCAGGGCCAGGACGAATGGACGACTGAAGTTCTTCTTTAGCACTTGAAGGAGAGTTTCGCCACCGAGCTCGCTGTGTGCCCTGAACCGCTCATCTCCAGTAAGTTGACGGAAGTATTGCGCCTTACGCATCAGGATTCGTGGTGCTAAGGTCTCTTCTTTCAGTGCCAGAACCAAGACCAAGACAAGCCCAGTTGCGATCAAAATGACCCAGTCTGCCCATCGCCATGACAAGACACCAGTCACGGGAATGTACGAGGCTATGACGGGACCCAGAATTGGACCGCCAAACCCAACAATTGCAAACATCGGAAATGCCCACGTCTTCTCCTTGGTGTTCCAGATGTCACTCAGACTCCCACCTGCCACGGTCAAAGGCGCAGACCCCGACAGACCAGCCAGGAACCTGAACGCAATCTGTGCACCAATATTTGGAGCCAAAGCAGACGCCATCGTCCAGATCGCAAATATCGCTAGGGCACCGACGTAGACGAGATACCGTCCAAATAGTTCGGATAGAGGGCTCGCAATCAATGCGCCAATTCCGAAGCCGATCAAGAAGATGCCCGTTCCGCCTAATGCCTCTGTCACGGGTGCGACGCCAAGGTCCGTGGCTGCAGCCTCTTGAACGGCAGAGTCGATACTGGAGCCAGCTGTGACGACGAAAGCGATGAGGATCAGGAGGAATGTAGTCTTCAGACGATGAAATCTAGACCAATTGTGAGGGTTCTGAGGGTCGGTCCCGGAATACCAGGAAACGACGTAATTCTTCGTGCTGTCGTCATAGAGCTTGGTTGTAATTCCTGGTATTTGGCTGTAGAGGTCTTTCTCTGAAGCGTTGGTATTGGGCGTGGAATCGCTTCCTTGTTCGATGCCTTTGATGCCTTCCAGGCGTCTTCGTGCTTCATTTTTTAGAGCACGATTCTGGATGAGTATCCACATCCTGAGTGCAGTGCCAAGACGTTGCTGCTCGTGATCGGTTAGCTGGTGGAAGCTGTGGTAGGAAGAAAAAGAATTGCGATGGCAAGGCGAACAGAGAATATCGCTCTGATTTAGTCAGAAAGAAATTTAAGTGCAACGCTTCACGGTTCGTATGCCATGATGGGTGTGAACGAGGCAGATAAACCTCAACAGCACCCAGGACACTGAATGATCGAATTGTGGAATCGATTCGAGACAGCCAACCTGATTACTAAATCTGTACCCACTCCGACATCTCGCCATTCTTACCAAGCAAGATGTCTCTATAGATGTGACGTTGTGCTAGGAAATTTTTGCCAAGAACGTCATAGAAGTGGGTTCCGCCTTGCGCGAGACTTCCGTTCGGACTTTGCAATGAGATCGAAGGCTATCTGCTAGGTACAACTTGCCCGTGATAGGCAACTTGAAGATCATTCCCTATGCTGAAACTTCTGCTCCATTGTGCAATGCATTTCGGTGTTAAAAGGAGCGTATAAGGCAGAGTACCTAGGTATAGAACTTAATTGTGGCTAAAGTCTCAGCTCTGGGGCTCTCGGAAAATCTACTCCTAGATGCCGACGCTAGCGTGCACGTGATCTAATAATTCTCTCCAACATTCCGTGCGTATATCTTAGGTACCCAGGATCACGTGAGCCTACTTCAACAAACAGGTGCTTCCTTTACATATCTAACTATGTATACAACAGTGTCCACCAGCCTAAAGAAACAATGAGATTCCTATAGTCGAGGGTACCTAGGTAAGCTCGCCGAGAATTCACATTACATGTCCTCGCGGAGAAGCAGACGCCATTGCCCAGTTCCCACTCGAGTCCAGGACGGCTTCACCGCATCAAGCAGCTTGCCAGTCATCGGCCAAGCTAAGATCGATAAAGTGAAAGGGACAATATCTAAAGGTGATTGCTTCTTCCTCGAAGGAGCCGATACTCTTGACTCTGATCCTTGGCCCCAGTATCAAGGCCGTAGCATGGGGTCGTCATGCGTGATGAAGTCGGCCGACCTTTTCCAGCATAAGGAATCCAGAGGCACTGTCTTTCTGGACTGCTAGGCTGGTGCTGCAAAGCTCTGTCTAAAGTATAACAAGCTGGGCTTTACCTTTGTGGTTGTCGTTCCACAAGATATTGCAGGAAGTCGTAAAGGTAGATTTGAGTGTAAGAGTGATGAATTGCTAGGGTGGCGGAAACCGCCTATATAGACTAGGGCAGTACGGTGGCTCCTGCCAGGTGCAGTGGAACGCCTTCCGCCAACAGATATTATGCGATTGCGATCTTCTACCTATGGTACTGGTCAATCGGTGGTCACTCGGCGATACGAAGGAAGGCGGAGCTCGGCTCACTTCGAATTTAACTTGAAGATCGTTCTTAGTGACAGCATGCTGGGCGATTGAAGCGAATCTGGCTGGTAGCTTCATCAACCAATAAAGATTTTTAGAGCCAAGCTATGTCATTCTCTGGCTTCGATATCATGCCATGGTAGGTAAGAAACACCACGACCAATAACCTCTTGTCGCTATTCCTTTACTTTGGTAATGCTTTGCTAGAGGCTGTCTATCTTCGACCAGCAAGCGCGGCTTCAAAAGTTTCGATAGAGGAGTTCCAAGGTTTGCCCACAGCCACGTGCTCATCGTCCTAGCCTCGGTATCTTCGTTAGCGCGCTTGGCGAACGCATGGATTCACATGCTACCCCGGATTCCACCCGCTCCGACTCGATGACCTAGCCACTGTCACAAGCTTGCTCGGCCTCTCAAGTAGGCATTATTCCCAGGGACTCATTGACACCTGTCATATAACACTTCAATCTATCATAGCACTACTACAATCATCGCCTGCGCACGCGATAACCACAATCAAAGCTCACGTAGCTATACAGACAAGCCCTTTAACACATCATGTCTCTCAAATCAGGTACGTTGCAACCCTAAAAACAAAATGGACATTCGGGAGGAACACGCTGGAGGGTCCTATCAGGTATCAATACTCTTTATTGACCTCGGTTTTGATCCACGCGCGAGACTTTTCAGCTCAAGCTTACATGGATGCTGACACCATTCTCTAGATGCGTTCCCCTCCTCTGCCGCCTTCGACGCCATCGCCGCATCACTCAAAAACGACGAGGCCGGCCGTAAAGACGCCATCAAGAAGGGCAATGCCATCTTTGCCTTCGACCTCAAGAATACATCGGGCGCAACCGAGTCGTGGTACATCGATCTAAAGGAGAGCGGAGAAGTGGGCAAGGGGGCACCACCCAAGAAGGCATCGGTTACACTATCGTTGAGCGACGAGAATTTTGGAAAGCTCGTTACCGGAAAGGCAAACGCACAGAAGCTGTTCATGAGCGGGAAGCTGAAGGTGAAAGGCGATGTCATGAAGGCGACAAAGATGGAACCGATCCTGAAGAAGGCACAAACAAGCGCGAAATTGTAGGTTAGAATCGGAATCTAGAATAAGAAACATACCGTTCTGAGAGTCAAAGATTTGAGGCTTAACAACATGGATCTTGTGAGCATCGTTGATTAGGGCAATGCGTTTGCTGCGTCCCGTACTTTGGCAAACTCTCCGAATGACCAATCTACCGAAACGAAGCTACAAAAAGAATACAGTAACATCAGGTTCCTCACTAAGACGAGCGACAACGACAAGGCCTGCAGTGCCTCCTCCGATTACGACATAGTCGTATGACTTCTTAGTAAATCCTTTAAGAGGCATAATTCATAGACCACAGTCCGGTGCCTTTCCAGAGATTGAAGGTCTTGAGGTCGGCCTGGACTGGACCCTTAGAGTTCTTATACGTCTTGTACGCGGGACGTAGTTAAGCCCAACACCTCCCGCAGGTGCTAGTGCGTGCTGAAGGGAAAACGCCTCATCAACGCTATAGCATCGCCATCAATTGGCAGAACAGCCATCTTAGTGCACTTGTAAGCGTACTCTAGGAATAATAGTCCATTACATAGGCAGTACCTTGGCTTGTGTCCAAGTCAACGTGCGGAAAGATTACATTTCATTAAGGATGTTAGTCGCGAATGCTTTTCGGAATGGAACCACTGGGCGGTGCGCCTCGATGATTATGAGGCTACCATAAAATAAGTATGTTCGAGTAATACCGAAAGGTACATCAACATCAACTTTGGGATCGCCAAGTCAACCCCACACATCCTACGTTGCTAGCCATCTCCAAGGGCGCATAAAAGAGCAGGAATGGCCATGTTGCCGGGTAGAGCCTCAGCCGCACCGCACCAAAATGGACACTCGCCGCCAACGACAATTTAACATGTGCGAGGGGTCTCTGCTTCAGTCATAATCTCAGCTTGTTACAAGCTTCATCGTCGGCAAGCACTCGAACGCTCCCAGCAATGCATACCAGCAAAACGACCATTGACACTTGATCATTAGTCCAACGAAGCTATGCTTCTAGTTACGACACGCTATAGATACATTCCGGCTCTCCGCATCAGCACTATACTTGCTTCTAACCGCACCCGTGAACTGAATGTGGACGTTGCGACGACACCACAACATGTCAGGCCAAATAAACCTAGTTGTCGTATTTTTGTAAAGGCCATTACCTGTTCTCATAGCCTAAGTTGGTGTCCTTGAAATCCAAGGTCATTGGGAGCATCGGTCAATCAAGAGAATGCGAGGTTACGGTTAAGAGGCAGCACCAGCTATCTCGGAGTCTAGCTGTTAGAGGCTGTCTTCCAGCGTCTCTTGATCAGCCGACCAAAGAAGCCGCAAGCATGACAAGTCCACCGAACGAATCCATCCCTGAGCACCACTCTTGCCAGTTCTGCTCTGAATCTCGGTTGTCTTCCTTTGCATCGATTGTTCCGTATCCACCGTACAAGTCCATCTCATCTAGCCTCACTAACTCGCCGTTTGTAGCTAAGCCAAACGCGGTACGCGGCAAAGGTTGTTTGTCTCGCTCGGCTTTCCTGTCAACGCTCAGTAACAGTCACGCAGGAACGCGAACCACTGAGCGGAAATTGAGGCGTACCATGCAAGTTCATTTGGTGCTTCCCATAGTTCTTTCTTCGCGGGAAGCGGTGCTAGAACAAGATTGGACTGGAGTGAGCACATGGCGCCGGGGTCGAAATACACAATCAAATTTATGACGCGGAAGACGATTCCGAGGCGGCGTCGGGATTCCATATACAGCCACTCAAGCCAGCAAGCACGGGTATCGCACGAGTGGATGTTGGGCACATAGGTGAGGTCACTACGTGCGAGGTGGGTGGCTGTGATCTATGAGCTTCTGATCAGTGCTCGTTATCATGAATTCAAAGTCGGAGTGATCTTACAGTCATTGTTGTGAGCATTAAGTGATCGAAACTGTTGAAGTTGGTCTCGCCTTCGCTTATGCGCAAGAGGATGTATATGCTTAAAGCGTGCATCGCTGCGAGGAGCTTCCAAGTATTGGACTTGCCAGGCTAGCAGCTGTCAGCTACAGATGTCGAAGAGGGCTTTAAGCGTTACGTACCTCAGCGATCATCCGCTCACACTCTGATCGTACATTCTTCCAAAACAATTTTCGACTTCCTTGCACTTTGTGACTGATCATATGCACTAAGCTAACACAATTGTTCAACGACTCCATATCGTTGCTCTCAAAGTTTGATGAAAGTAGGTGTGGGTGGATATAAGGCGGAAGAGTGCCGTCGCGGAGCATCATTTGCGGATAGGACTTCAGGGTGTGCAGGATCAGTGTGACTATTCTGTGAGATCCGGGTCTGGACTTGGATTTTAGTACGAGTGAGCGAGTATCATCCGTTACCATTGGGGGTATCGAAAAATTCAGTGCAGCTGAGATAGAGATATCTGGCATTCGAATTGTTGTGCTTGTTGATGGCGTGGAATGGCGTACTAGAGAACCCTCGCGGGTTCCTGATGCATCGTCCATGTCCACATCAATAATCGGAGAATTTAAGAAATCCGTGAAATTGATCTCAGGATCTCCCCAGCCGAAGTTCTCGACGCCTGAGTCTGATATGACAGTAAATGCGCCGGGAGTTGCGCCTTCAGCATTATTGTCTTCCGGAGAGGATTGAGCACTAAAAGATCCTGCCGCTAATTGCGTAGAAGATGTCTCAATCCCCGTACCTTCACGCGGAGCTGCGGGGTAATGACATTTGATGGACTTAGCCAAGCATCGCGAACACTCCGGGCGTCTGTTGTCACAACGCGATTTCCCTTTTGCACAGGCGATGCAGGAACGCGGACGAGTGGTGCTTCCAACTCTTCGAGACCTACAATAGTACCCATGTCTCTTCAATGTCGATGCTAACATTTAAAGTTACATTAGCACCCATCTGTTCCCTACGTATCCAGTCTTCCGGTAATTGTGCGGAGTCCTCACTTACGCTTGTCAAAGGGCTTGTTACACAGCTCGCACCGTAGCACCAATGGGGAAGCTCCTTCGAACATTTTCGACATGCTCGGACGTGACTCGTAGGACTTTACAGTGTCGAGATTCAACGTTGAAGTGACCGCTTGCAACATTGAAGGCGTAGCTGGGTTTGTCAGCGCTGATCACACCCGATCAGGCCTAGCTGCGGGCGGTACATTTTGTAGAAGACGGGATCATCGTGCATACAGAATACCAGAAATTGTTGTTCGCGTAATCTGCACCCTGACAAATCGAGATGATCGCTTCTTGCGAGGTCGGGTGGAACCGAGCTGTGCCTGTACAGACGAATCCATTACTAACAAGCACGGAGTCCGTGATATACGCTGTAGGAACCGTGTCTTGCTACAAAATGTACACTCCGATTGACACAACTCACATAGACTGGACGAACCTCGCATCAACGCTTGGGAATACTGACTTCACCACGCACCGACTTAATGTATATATAGTGCACTTCGTCACCTGAGCAGCTCAATCCGACAACTATAACACTATCAGTCCGTCCTCCCCAATATCAATATCAATCACTAAAAGATTATCGCATTCTATCATCATGGCTCCCTTCCCTTCCCCAACGAAGAAGTTCCACTCCACCGCCTACCCATCCATTTCCCCTACTCGACCCGAGCTGAGCCAGAGGGGCAAGACCGTCCTCATCACTGGCGGTGGTACCGGCATTGGTGCCGCAACAGCAAATGCCTTCGTTCAAGCCGGCGCCTCTCGCATCGCCCTCCTCGGGCGCCGCGAACAACCTCTCCTCGACACGAAAGCCTCCATCCAGCAGCAGTACCCCAGCGTCGAGATTTTCACAGCCTCCGTTGACGTAACCAAATCCAACGAGGTCAATGCCGCCTTCGAGGCCTTCGTGCCCGTGGAGTCAGGAAAGAAGATAGACGTCGTGGTCAGCAATGCGGGAGCTACAGGACCTTTGGGTGCCTTCTTGGCTGTGAGCGACGAAGATTACCTCGCCGGTATCATGGCAAACGTGTCTATGGCTTGGAATGTAGCAAGGGCTTTTGTCCCACGGGCTGCGCCTGATGCGACGGCCATCGACGTGAACAGTAACGCAGCTCATGTGAACTACTTCGATGGGTTTGCGTCGTATACGGTAGGTAAATGGGCGAACGTGCGCCTTTGGCAGCTGGTGCAGTTCAACAATCCAGGATTTAGTGTGTATTCGATTCAGCCTGGCGTTGTGGACACGGATATGAATAAGAAGGCTGGAGGGGTCAAGGCTATGAACTATGAGGATCACGGTAAGTCTTCACTTCTGGAGAGGAAGCATATTCGGGACTCACTGTGTGCTAGTTTCCCTTCCCGCAAGCTTCAATGTTTGGCTAGCCAGCACGGAGTCCAACTTCCTCAAGGGCAAGTTTCTGTGGGCGAACTGGGATGTCGATGAGCTCAAGGCGCAGGCCAAAGAGATTGAACAAACCAAAAAATATAGCGTGGAGATGGTTGGATATCCGTTCGGAGGCGAGCACGTCCCTGTGTCTAAGTGGGATCTCTAAGCTTCGCGCACCGCGGAGCGACGTCTTCCCATATGTTTCTGTACCTTGCGTCTAGATTATCGTCCATTCAGGAGAACGGCAGCTCCGCTTATTTGTGAGATGGGATCGGTGAACTACTTCCGAAGATACATAGCTAACTGCAATGGGGTGCTTATGGAGCCCCACATACCCCGCAGTGAACGAGCAACTCTCCACTTGAACTAGGTACAGCTGAAGTGTAGCTCCCAAAAGGAGTACTTGCCAAAGCCACGATTATGTGAGACCAGGTGGCCTCGATTCCTTTGCCGGCCAATCAATACACCCGATCTATACGTACGCATGCACGGTTTACGCACGCATGAAGTGCCATTAACTGCTAGACGTCGAGGCATTATAAAGCCAGCTTTCTACATTCCTGTCAGTAAACCTGCTCAAGTCAATTCTTGCAAAGTCCTTTGCTCCAACCGCTCAACTTCGCTATGTCAGCCCAGACGCAGGAGTTCGACTACATTATAGTCGGCGGGGGCACAGCGGGCGTTCCAATCGCCTCGCGCCTCTCTTCATACCTACCGGACAAAAGTGTGCTCCTTCTGGAAGCAGGTCCCAGTGCCATCACACATCCCAAAGTCATGGATCCCTCGAAAATCTTCGACCTGATCGGCGAGGGCCTGCTCGTTGACTACTCCACGACTCCACAGAAGCATTGCAATGACCGGCAAATACTCAATCTGGCAGGGCGCATGCTGTCGGGATCGTCCGGGGGAAATGTAGGCGTCTGGATGCGTGCGAGTAGCGCGGATCATGATTTGATTGCGGAGCGGGCGGGTCATGACCGGTTCAGGTTTAAAAACATGGTCAAATACTTCAAGAAGGCAGAAAGATGGTATGACGAAGATGCGGATGTGGATTTTCATGGGTTTGACGGGCCGTTGCATACAGTGGGTGGGAGGAAGTATCCTTTGCGACCGTACATTCGAAAGGCCGCGGAAAACATTGGATTCAAATACAATCCGAATGCTGCTGCAAAAGGGGACCCGACGGGGTTGGTCGATCTGGTGCAGTGTTTTCGCAAGACGTCGGAATCTAGCTCGGAAAGGCAGCATAGCGCGCGGGTGTATGATCTTTCGAACGTGGATGTGCGATGCGAGTCTCCTGTCGCGAAGATCTTGATTGACGACGAAGAAAAGCGCGCAATTGGTGTGGAACTGTTCTCTGGAGAGCGATTGTTCGCTCACAAAGAGATTATCGTGGCATGTGGTGCACAGAGAACGCCGCAGCTTCTCATGCTCTCTGGGATTGGACCGCAGGATGAGCTCGAAAAGCATGATATCAAAGTCCAGATCGATGCTCCATTGGTGGGAAAGAATCTATTCGACCACGCGTGCGTGACGCAATACTACAAGCTGAAAGACCCTTCAAAAGGCTTCGCGCTTCCTTTCGAAGGCACTATGCGTCCTGAATACGGCCAGGGCTTTCCCTGGGAATTCAATCTCTTCTCGCACATATCGCCTTCTGCGCTCGCGCCGGTACTTGCTGCGGACAAGGAGCGGGTTACATCTAGCGGGGATGAAGGGCAGCATCCTCATCTGAGAGACAAGAGATGCCATTTTATGCTCCTTCCGTTCTATTTTCCTATCCTTGCAGACCTGAATGGATACAACTCCGAGATTGTGGTCGGAGACGGCAAACACATCGCCGTCACGGCACTTAATTTGCTTCCGCTTTCGAGAGGCACCGTAACGCTTCGTTCGTCAAACCCTGCTGACAAGCCTGTGTGCGATCCTGAATTCATGTCTACGGAATCAGATCGCTTCATAATCCGCACCGCGATCCGCATGACGCTCACGCTTGTGTCTACACCGCCGTTCGCCGACGTATTGGATGGGGAGACACCGCCTGCTGATTCGAGATATCCGGTCCTGACCACAGAGAGCTCAGATCAGGAAATTGATGAGAGAGTCAAAGGGCATATGCAGACAATTGCTCATCCCATGGGGACATGCGCTTTAGGTGATGTGCTAGACAGTGAGTTCCGGGTGCAAGGAGTGAAAGGTGGCAATCTGAGGGTGTGCGATGCAAGCGTGTTTCCAGAGCCGCTAGCTGGAATGCCGTCGTGTACTATCTACGCACTTGCGGAGATGTGCGCTGATTTGATCGCTGGACGCTCGTGAGGACCCGGTCGAAAGCAATTTTGAGGTGGTATGCCATTTAAGTGATCTTACTATAAGTCTTTTAGCTTACTTCGTACGTAGAAAATGCCACTTCCTCCATTACATGACTCCGTCTTATTATCATCCTCACTTCCGACCCCGGCATAAAGCTCATTAGCTGTTATCTGCTGCACCTCCTCCGCGCTCAATCCCGCATGCCTGAATTGTTTTCCTATCCCAAGATCCCCCCACTTCACCCCCCTCACAGGGAAGTCATCTAATTGCGTCGTGCTTGCGCACAACACTCTGATGCTTCCAAACATCTGCGGAATGACGCCCTCTCTCCTATATCCAAAAGCCCACCAACAGCCTCCCGTCATCGCCAAGACCAGGAAGGCCGCGATCCAAAGCGGGTACGCAGCATATGTGATTGTGTACATCGAGTGCTCGACATGCCGTCCAGTACCTGTGTTGATGTCTTGCCATATCGTTTCCTGCGTTTGAAGAGCCTCGCCCAGCATCCAATGCGTGAGTATGGAATATGCCATAATGGGGAAGAGGATCTTTTTTGGTAGTTGAAGAAGGTAATCTTGGTCAAAGGACTCCCCTGTCACAGTCGTGCAGCGCAGGCGGGAGCGCTCGTGTTCGAGCCTGCCCCAGTCGTATTCTTGGTTGACAAGGGTGATGTTGTATATAAGAAGGAGGTAGAGAAGCGAATAGATGAACTGCGCGCCGTTCGATATCAGGAAGGAGAAGACCTCGTTACCTTGATCGTCAGGAGGTAAGGCAGCGATGGGTAAAGAGTGGTTGAACCCTCCCCAGCCACCAGACATGTAAGAAAAGCGTTCGCCAGGACCATCTGGCAGAATGGATCATTGTTAACTCCGCTCTTGCACTGCTCCTTTGCCGCAGTGTTAGACAAGCCCACTGGTACGGCGGCTGCGATCGAAGCGGCAACCATTGCTATACTGCAGAATGTCATGATAGTCATCTGCGTGAGTGCCGTATTTCCGAGATTTGAAATGAGACTTCTTTTGACTTTCGTAGCGATGGTCGGATGTATCTCGTTCGTAAAGCGGTCGACAGAGTTCCACTTCTTACATTTCTGGCAGTGACCGACTTCCTCGCCCGTTCGTGATTCTTGGGGGCTCTTGCAATGTTTATGACAACTATGCTTGCAATGCCTTCGATAACTCTCTTTCGCATTGACCATGCACTCGCCTTGCACGCGAAGCTCACTATGGGAAGCCGATGCAACGATGACGTCTCCAAACGTCAGGAGTTGCCGCTTGGTATGTCCTCGCGCTACGAAGTTGACAATGATCATGTAGATTGCCTTGATAGAGAGGGCTGCGGCGAGGACGAAAGCGGCATTCATTCGCACGTTCAGGCGACACTGTGCAGGTTTCTGGTCCCGCATGGTGCAGATTACGCTCTCGCTGTTTACGCACTCCCCTTCCGCATACTGCACGTAGTTGTAACCGGTAGTCTTATAGGTTTCCTCGAGACTACTAACGTCCTCCCACGTGCCTGCGAGACCCGAACAGTTCTCTTTCGCGTATGAAATGGACAATTTCGAGTAAACTAGTCCGCCTTGGTTGGCGGTGCTGAGGTCCCCGTTCATGAGCATAGTTGAGCGTGGAAACGAAGCGCGACCTGTTCTAAAGGAGCTCCAGCAAAGGAACGAGGATGACGTAGAGATGGGGCTCCCATCAATCGTGTTGGATGCGCGATTCATTTGTAGTATCCCCGTGTAAGTCGTCTCGTTGAATGTGACCGCAGGTGGAGGCTCAATGACGTAGGATGGTCCAATTAGTGAGTTCGCGAGAAAGTGGATCGGTAACGATGTGCAGACTAGCAACAACCACGCGGCCCAGGATTTTGCTTTTCCTTTTTCTTTGCGGTTGATGTTCCATGGTGAATTAGTACCCACCCTTGAGTCCCCGAACTTCTTAAGCATGTGTTTCAAATCGCTTGTTTGTAAGGACGTTAAGATTTGTTGATACGTATTAGACATTCCCAGCACCATAGTGGCGGCCACGTTGATCACGAGGAGCAGTGCGGTATTCGTTTTCGTGGCGATGTGGCAGTCCTGCGAGGCACCTCCAACAGACGAGGTGAACTTATTCGCTCTCGCGCCGAAAGCTTCTGCGTGAGTAGCAACGACCACAAGCATGGCGATGGCGAACGCGCTCATGAGGAGACTCATCCCCCTCAAAGAGCGATCGACAAGCAGTTGGTCCTTCCAAACGCCTCTTTTGACCCTGGTGGGTTCGATCTCGGCGGCTGGATGCTTGCGTATCGAACCTTGCATATACCGAGGGAGAGGCTTTCTCCGCACTCGGGCGACAATGTTCTTCTCCCATCCATCCTTGAATTTATGGATGCCACTGCTGGTTGACGAGGACGACTTCTCCGTGCGAAAGCTGTTCAGGCTTGATCCATCCGCAGTGTCTCGATGGTCCAAGGTCATGTACTTGTGTTGAGCCGCGCTGGGCAGTTTCAGCCATGAAGCGGAATCGGTCGCGTCGAATTCAGGCGAGCTGTCGGTCCTCCAAGCTGTATCAAGGTAATCGGCAATGCCTTGAGATTCGTGTAGGGCGGGAAGCCTATCGTAGTTATAGTTTATGGTCATCGTCGCTAGAGTTGCTGACGACTGAATGAAGCGCGCCCTCAAGCAGTCGTCCCGTTCCTATAGCGCGCTGGTATATCCATCAACAAGACTATCGCGCCAATAGATGACCTTGTTCAGGGAAAAATTAATGGAGGAGCGTGGTAGTATGGGACAAGACGAAAGGCACTGGTACACGTCCACACGATCACCGCGGGTCCGTGCGGCTGGCGTCGTGCAGCAGGCGATAGCCGCGTATTCTTAGCACAGGCAAGGAAAGCGGTCGTTCAGGTCCATGGGTACCTGTAACACTCCGCCGACAATGCGCGGATGCGGTCCAATAAGTAAAATTTGTAGATGCGAGGCATGATGGCCGTGCCACTGTCCCGTCCAATAGACAATGAGCGGGTGCCAGAGCCTAAGGATTTCAGGGGTATGGTTCCTTTGGGGGCCGGGTTGCGCCGCTGATCCGTTTTGCATTCGCGCAACTGTAGAGCATGTCCTTGCGACTGCGTCATAAGATCATTTGGAGATAACATACAGTATCGCGACGCAGATCATGTTGTTGCCTGTTGACATGCCTCCGGATGGTGGTACGCTCCCCTGAAGCCATGCTGACGCAGATTCTTTGTATTCAATGGCTTCCGGCATCCGCAATAAAGGCAGCTCTTACATCTGCTGGTTCAACCCCCATGCGGTGCTCGACAATATACTGCAATTTGGCACTGCAACGCCCTGCATTGGAAGGTGATACATTGAACAAAGGATGCGTTTCTATGCGTTACGGAGACAATCAGACGCGCGGGTTCTATACGTATAGACTTTCTGGTTGTAGACTGCCCTCATGCGCACATGCTCCATCCGATGCGATTGGCAGTGGACCTGGGCGCCTAGACAGCACCCCGATGAGAAACAGTCGGTTGTAGTTCTTCCGCTGTGGTCACGGTCAGGTTACTCTGGCTCTTTAAGCTGTTACCCGTCGAATGTTGACCAAATCTACTCGGGGATGCCTCAAGACTACGGCGGTTTAGAGCAAATCCATGCGCAGTGAAGAGAGAAAAGCAGCACCAGATGGTAAAGCTCAGGCAGATTTTGATGTAGTCAGTTCGGTGTAGTCAGTTCGGTGTAGTCAGTTCGGTGTATCGCTGGGACCGTGTATCGCGACGCGGCTCTGGGCTTGAAGGTCTCGTAGCGGAACCCTGGAGCTGGTGGCACCCCGTGGGAGAGGCTTGTGGCATGTGATGCACGGTTCGGGGAAGGTGCGGCTTCCGTCGGCGGGTCGACGTTTCCAGGGATTCGTAGAACACCTCGGCCCAGAATAAGCGCGGGTTGGCGGAGTCCAGTTGCAGCTTTGGTTGCCACGCATTGTCTTCTTTATACGGGGATAGTCTTCATTCTGCTCTCCTACACATTCACAAAATATGGCTTCCATCGCAAGGACATTCAGACCGCTCGCGCGCGCAGCAACGAGCTCATCCCGCACGCTGCGGCCAGCATTCGCGCGGACCTCCCCGCAGTAAGAGTCCAGCTTCTACATGACGATACAAACGACTGACGCGCAATGTGCAGGACAAGATGTCTCTCAGCAACAATGCCCCGACGCGAGGTCGACATTGCAGATATACCGCCCACGCCTATCTCCCATCTCTCCGAAACCGAATTGCTCATGGCTGACTCGGTCCAAAAGTTCGCCAACGATGCTATCCTGCCTAAAGTGCGGGATATGGACGAGGCCGAGATGATGGATCCGGCAGTGGTAGAGCAGCTGTTCGAGCAGGGACTTATGGGCATCGAGATACCCGAAGAGTACGGCGGCTCCGGCATGAACTTCACATCGGCCATCATTGCCATTGAGGAGCTTGCGCGGATAGACCCCAGTGTCAGTGTCCTGTGCGATGTACACAATACTTTGTGCAACACTGCCATACTCAAGTATGGCTCGGAGAAGTTGAATAAGAAGTGGCTACCGAAGTTGGCCACGGATACTGTCGGCGAGTCCTGCGCTCCAAGTAAAACAATGACAGCCCTTGCTAACATAATCAGCTTCTTTCTGCCTCTCAGAACCCGTGTCAGGATCCGACGCTTTCGCTCTCGCGACCAAAGCCACGCGGACAGAGAACGGGTACAAGATCAACGGCGGCAAGATGTGGATAACAAACAGCTACGAAGCCAACTTCTTCATCGTTTTCGCCAATCTCGATCCAAGCAAAAAGTACAAGGGCATCACAGCCTTCATTGTGGAGAAGGGTACACCCGGCTTCGAGATCTCCAAGAAGGAGAAGAAGCTCGGCATCAAGGCTAGCAGCACATGCGTCATCACCTTTGACGATGTCGAGATCCCCAAGGAGAACCTGCTCGGCAACGAGTTTGAGGGATATAAATATGCGATTGGCCTTTTGAACGAAGGTCGCATTGGCATTGCTGCGCAAATGACCGGCCTTGCTCTTGGTGCTTGGGAGAATGCAGCAGGGTGAGTGATGCTTTGCTCCCAGCGCATGGAGTTATACTGACAGTGAAGCTAGTTACGTTTGGAACGACCGCAAGCAGTTCGGCCAGTACGTTGGCGAGTTCCAGGGCATGCAGCACCAGCTCGCCCAAGCCTGGACCGAGATTCAGGCTGCACGAGCCCTTGTCTTCAACGCGGCCCGCAAGAAGGAAGCTGGCGAAGACTTTGTCATGGATGCGGCGATGGCTAAGCTGTACTCTTCGCAAGTTGCCGGCAAGGTTTCAGGCCAGGCTGTGGAGTGGATGGGCGGCATGGGCTTTGTAAGAGAAGGTCTGGCAGAGAAGTTCTTCCGCGACAGCAAGATCGGTGCCATCTACGAGGGAACAAGCAACATCCAGTTGACGACCATCGCGAAACAATTGCAGAAGACGTACACGCGGTAACCGGTGGCTAGATTGCGGCTGGACAAAAGTTAGATTTGAGCGATATCCGGACATCAATGTTTAGATTGCTAGAGCATGTGTCCTGTATCGTATCATAGACCACGCCAATTACGGAAGACTGAATCGGAACAATTCTGCATCGCGTATGTTAGATTTGCACATGCATTACCCTCACTACGCGGTAGCAGAGATGGCCGTGCAGGGTCCTTCGATCGCTCAGATGGCGGCGTGGCTGGATTCAGGCTAGCGAAGCGAGCAGCCGTGGCGCTGCTGTCCGTTTGCAGGGCCGAAGGCGGACACACAGCGAGGACGTGTGCATTATACCTGGCAGTGATATCGAGTCATGGCGGGGATGCGCCTCTCCTCCTGCCTTGTTCCTGCTCACCAGGCCCACCGGGAAGCGCCTGCCTCCACGTCTGCACGGCTCTTGGGCCACGCTTGTCTCCCCACCATATCGTGACCCGTTTATGCGCCGTCTCCGCCCAAAGTCGCGCCATTTTTCGGCCCACGCAGAGTGATGTCGCTCGTTCCCTTCTCTCAGCTGTGAGGCTCTGACACCACCACCTGCTCCATGACGGCACGCTTCCCTCGTGCGTCGACAGAGGCATCAAACGCCCGTTCTCTCCTTTTCCGTCTTCTTTTTTGTGTCTTCTACTCACCCCTAGAGCCGTTTCATGCCTACTGTTGCCAGCCTCTTTCCTATTCGCGGCCCCATTGTTGATTTTCGATTCCTTCGCGTGTCAATTCGCTCACCGCAGAACAACGTTACCCACCCTCCAACAAATCATCGGCCACGCATTGTCTGTCGCGTGGCATTCCGCCAGCCACAGCATACTGTTTACTATAGACGACTATAAACACGTCAATGTCTGTGATTCTCGATGCCTCCCAAATTGATACCGACATGGCGCCCGAGAGTGCCTCGGATGACCATCCCGCTCGCCATGCATCGCGATCACGTCCTAGCCGGGAAAACACCATACCGTCGGCCCTTCTGAAGAGAGATAGGTCTGCGTCAGCGACCCCCAAGGTTGAGCGCACCATGTCCATGACCGATAGCTTTATACTGGAGCACCTCAAACACGCCGGCCCTCAATCTCCTCCTTCCGAGCTTGATGATTCGCATCCTGGAACTCCTCGGAAGGACAAAGATACTTTCGCTCCCATATCCAACTGGGCCCACTTGTCATACCTAAAGACTCAGAGGACCCAACTTCGGACCGAACTCAAAGTTCACCAAGTTGCTGGTGCGGAAGCGAAGCATTCAATATCTTCACTGCGCCGTCTTGCATTTCGTATGGCAGTGAATATTTCTGTAAAGGAGAAACAGATTGCCAACACAGCGCGCAACCTTGCTAGCAGTCGCAAGAAGAACTATCTGTCAACTCGCGATACGGAGAAGAGGATTGCAGAGCTCACCAAGAGTTTGCAAGAGGAGGAGTATCGGAACAAGGATATCCTTGAATGCTTGGAGAAGGCTTCAATGCTCACGCTGCAGTGTAAGTTCCTACTTTGCCTCGATGTGCATACTTTGACACCGTTGAACAGATTCCGACCCTGATCAACAAGTATCGAATCGCATGCAGCCTGGCCTCGCATCTCCACCGAATACCCCGCCGACTCGCATTCTGCACGGATCCCACAACTCGACCGGGACGCCTAAGACTCCCACACGACCTACCAGCTCGCTATGGGGCAACAACGGGTGCGACTTCACGCCAGAGTCGAGCACTGCCGACATACGTACTCAAGACGGCCGTTTGATCCAAGCGAAGCGGGAATCAGACCGCGCCCTTGCAGTATGTCGGGACAGGGTAGCGCAGTTGCGGACAGAGTGCGCGAAGAACAACGATGCGGCGGGTCTATGGACCGCAACGCAAACGGGACTGGAAGCGGAGATCGAGAACCATCAGACGCGCATCGCGAACTTGGAGCGATCGAGAGCTGCTGTTGAAGAGAACTTGCGCCAGACGAAGTTGGAACTCGAGGAGTCGGCGAAGTTCCAAGGGGAGCTACGTGCCGATCTACAATCTAAACGCGAAGAAGTCAAGGAACTAGAGAGCACTTCCAAGGACCGACAAGATACTATCAGGAAACTGACAGAAGAGAAGGCATCGCTTCAAGCGGAAGTTGAAAATTACGACGGTCGTCTGCAGAAGCTTGAGACATGTACGACTGGGCTGGAGGAAGAGCTTAAAAATTTGCATAGAAAGCTCAGTGAAGCAGAGCAACGTGAAGCGGACCTTCGGGATCGCCTCGCCGAGAATGAAATAGTTCGCAGAACGATGGATCAGCAGTTGAGGCAGGGTCGCGAAAATGTGGCTACCCTGGAGAAGTCGGTCTTCTTTTTCCAGGGTCAGATAACGGAAGAGTCAAAAAAAGTCAAAGTTTCTAGCGGAGTTATCTCTTCTCTGAGGAATGACGTAAAGGAATCGGAAGAGCTCAAACGTCATGCAGAAGCGGCTTTGGCGGTAGTCCAAGGATCCCTGACTGAACTAGAGTCTAGGCTTCACTCGGCAGAGGAGGCTAACCACGATTTGCGAGCGGAATTGGATTCGTCTATCTTGGCTCACCGCGAATTAGAAAAAGGGCTTCGGTCGACCAAAGCGCAACTTGCTGATGAGGCTGGCCAGAAGGAGAAACTACAGACTGAGCTATACGCACTGCGACAGTCTCGGGACATCCTGGAGCATGATCTAGAGGCAGCCAAAGCACGAATACAGGAGCTGGAAGGAGCAGATGCGGCCACGAAACAGGAGTTGCAGTCTTTAAGAGAGTCTGAAGCCACAATTGAACGCGATCTTGAAGCCGCTCACAGACATTCTGGTGAATTACAAAAGGGCCTGGATGAAAACAGTGGCAAGCTTGCTTCGCTGCAAACGCACACGAATGAGTTGACCACTCAATTGCAAAAGACAGAACAGGCAAGGACAGCACTCGAAGCACAGCTACACGGCTCTGAGCAGAAGAGGAGTATGCTTGAGGCTCAGTTGGAGGACTCCCACAAGGCCAGATCTGAGACGGTGACACGTCTCAACACCCTGTTCGGCTTGAAAGCAGACATTGAGCGGGAGCGAAATACCCACCAATCTCAACTAGCTCACATGACATTGGAAGCGACTGGCCTGCAATCTCAGTTGTCCCTCTTGAAAGATGAGCTTCACCAAAGTCAGCAGACCAAGGTCGAGCTTGAAGAACGTCTTGAGAAGGCACAGTCCGAGGCTCAGGCTCTCAGCGCTGAGAGTTCAGCACTGCACGAGCAGCTGTCAGTCAATTTAAAAACCCATTCGGAAGCGCAAGAGCACCTGGGCTCTCTCCAAGGCGAAGCTGCAACTCTGAACATCCGCATTTCCGAACTGCAGGGCAGAGCCGACGCGGGTGATATTTCACAGGCTGAGGTAGAGCGCAGCCTGCGTGAATCGGTACAGAACCTTGAAATCTTGAAGCGCGAACTTACAAACACTCAAGACCGGCTATCAACCGTTGATGGAGAAAGCGAAACTCTCCGGTCGAAGCTATCTAGCCTTGAAACGGACTGGACACTCGTTCAGGCATCCAAGAAAGAGATTGATCGGCAACTGAAGGAAGCAACTGAGGATCGCAGCAAGCGGGAGAACGAAGTGGAGTCGCTCAGCTTCCAGCTTGGTGACGTGACTTCCGAAAGAGACGAACTGCTTGTGAGGGTTGCTGCGACCGAGCAAGACCTTAAGAAGCTGCAGGAGGCCAGGATCGACTTCGAAGAGCGCTTAGCAAAAGAGACAGAATTAAACATGGAACTGGATTCGGAGCTCCGGTCGACACGATCTAAATTATATGTTTTCCAGACGGAGAATGCAACACTGCAGACGCGACTCACCGAGAACAGCGCGGAGCTGAAGAACCTGCAATTGAAGCATAGGGAACTTGACGAACGCCTGACCACTGTCGCTGAGGGCAAGGCCAGCCTTGAGGAGGATGTCACCTCCGCCCGGGGCCTCCACAAGCAGTCAGAAACCAATGCTGCGACTCTCAACAGGCGAATTGTCGAGCTGAGTGAGGAAGCTGATAGTCTCCGCTTAGCGAAAGCCGAGGTTGAGCAACGACTTGAAGAAGTGACCAAATCTAACGAGGACGTTGAAAAGGAGTTGGGAGATGCTCGTTCCCGCTTGTCAGTATTCAAGGTCGACACATCAGCTCTGCATACTAAACTATCCGATGCACACAATGAGCTCGATATCGTGCGCAAGGCCAAGACAGATCTTGAGGAGCGCTTCAGCACCGCAGCTGGTTCAACAAATCAAGTAGAGAAGGATCTCGAAGCAGTCCGCTCACAGCTCCAGGAACAAGAATTTCAAGGCGCCACTATGATTTCTAAGATCTCTGAAGCGGACAAAGAGCTCGCGAAATTGAAGCAAACGAACGACAAGCTCAATGCTTCTGAAAAGGACCTGATGCATCGGCTCGAGGTAGCAGAGGAGGAGCTGCGGTCTGTCCAGACAGCGAACACGCGATTGGAGACATTCCTGGATAAAGTAGAACAAGACATGCTCAAAGCGGAGGCTGCGTTCGCAGACAGCGAGCAACGGCTCGATGAATTTGTTACCGAGTCTGAAGCGAAGATCAATGCTGCGACGACATCGAAACTCAAATATAAACGTCGCCTCACTGCTAGAAACAAAGAGATCGAGATTCTCATTGACGAGAACTCGGCGCTGCACCACCATGTCAGTGACCAGTCGCGTGAGCTGGAGTCGATCGTGCAGAGCAAGAACAAGCTGCTGGCCGAAGCCCAAGGCAAAGAGAAGACCATCCAGGAGCTCGAGTGGGCTCATGAGGAGCGACTGCGAAACGAACACAAGAGCAAGGACGATCAGCTCGAGGAGCTTCGACGGATCCAATTGCGTAGTGAGAGCGACTATGAATCACAGATACAAAAGCGAGATTCAGCCATGTCAGACCTCAAGCAGGAGCAGCAAAACCGGCTGCGGTTAGAACTACAAGCGAAGGATTCTAAGATTAACGAGATACAGAAGGACAAGGATGAGTTCGCTGCTTCCCTTGCTGCCGTGGAAGCAGAGCTTTGGGAACTGCGTGAGAACAAAGAAAGCTTCGAGGCGCTGGTCCAGACGCTCAATGAGAGGATACAGCATCTAGAAGAGTCAAATCGTCCACAAGAGTCGGTAGAGATTGCCACACCCACCTTTTCTGACGCAAAGATCCACCAGGAAGATGCAGAAGCTGGCCCCTCGACACCTCTTCCACCGAAACGCACCACAACCGTAGATGGTGAACATGGCAGATCCAGCGTCCAGCCGGACGTACCGCTCAGCAGCACTGAGCCTGCGGATGGATCAGAGTCATGGTCAAGGGAAGTTGATCGCGTACGCTTGCTTCGCGACGAGACCGCCAACCAACTCAAAGGCATGAAGAAGCTAGAAAGCGACCTGAGGAAGTCGCTGAAGGATAGTGAGAAGCAACTGCATGACTTGGAGCGAAGCGGCAAGAAGTGAGTCACCCCTAGCCACCAATCCTATCCCTACGTTGGGTTACTGACTGAAGACGCAGTAAGCGCACCCCAACCGTGCTCCGCAAACGTTCCCACTACACGCCCGCCCGCGATACCGAAACACTATCGCCCTCGCGCCCTGCGACCGCTGGCCTTCTTCACAACCGCAACACTTCCTACCAGCATAACTCGCTCTTCCAGGACAAAGATGACAGTCCTGGTCCGGAGCGCCCTGAAACCGCGAGTCCTGTTCGGCCGAAAACGGCAGGCCATGCGTCGTCACCGCGCCGGTGGTCTAGTCTACCGCGACCAGGGAGCTCGTATCGCCCAGCGACGAGCAAGAGCTACGGAAGACTGGGCACGGGGCTTCAGGACGTAGATGAGCATGGGATGATGGTAGAGAGACCGAAGACGAGTTTGGGTGGGCCTGTGGGCAGGAATCAAGGAGACAGTCAGAAGAAGAGATTCACCAGCCTGAGGAGGTTGTTTCACAAGGAGACGTGAGGGGGTAGAAGGAAGTCCAAATTCTTTTTCCTAAGTTGTTTCCTAGTGGGCACTTCTTTCTCTTATCGGTCTTTGGGTTGAAGAGAAAAGTTGGGGCATTACGCACGGCGTGCATTGTTTTTCATTGGCGTTTTGCTGGGCGTAGCGTTGCATTCTGGTCGAGCACGGCATTGTTTAGGTTCTGCATGGCGAAGGTATGGGTATGTCGTGAGATGCGATGATGATGGTGCACATGTTTGTATGTTATCAGAACTACTCCAAAGGGATTCCGAGGTAGTGACATATTGCCATGTGTGGGTCAGCACACCGTCCGGGGCCATGGACGGTATTTTCCACTGCACTGTTTCACTTTGCCAGATGGACTTGGGCAGGCGCAAGAGGCAGGCGTCGTGCAGTGAGAAACGACCGCTTCGAATCGTCGCGTGGGCCGGTTCTCGAGTCGAGCAGCGATGCGGTCGGAGTTGAAGGTTGGTGTTGTCAGTGTCGGAATAGTGTGCGGAGTACAAGGCGATATACACAGCAGGCGCTACGACGTCCACAAGGGCTGTGACTGGCTGAGCACTCGCCTGCGCCCTTTCCTCCACATTCTGTTGTTTGTTAGCCCTCAGGATGCGAGGCTGCGCAGGCATGCACCGTGTCCGTACACTGGTTCGCCTCGACTTCCATTGGACGGTTCTCTGCAACATGCTTCCGTCGTTCGCATGCGCCGGGCGCGAAGGCGGCCTGTCTTCGGGGGCCAGAGGCCATGGGATGCACGACCGAAGCGGCATGGCGTGCGAGGGTCGTCCAAGGTGAGTGGCTGGCTGCCGGCCAAGTTGACAAGCAGCGGGGAAGAAGGGCGTGCGACAAGTCGTTTTCCGGCGGGCTGCTAGTGCCAGACGCCATCTTTCTCACATCTACAGGCAGCGTGCGTCGACCCAAGTCCTGGATGACTCAAGAGACCACCCGGAGCAGCCATGTAGCTATAAGATCAGCTGCGCGCCTCTTTGCACCCCATGCCCACTCCACCGACACCCTACCCCCCACCCCGCCTCTGTTGTTCGGCGTATTCTAGACCGTAGGCACCTCTCCTCCGCCGTCAACCAATAAGCGGGACTGCCGCCCTTCATACCACTTTCTTTGTTCCTCCCTCGCGCAAGCCAAGCGGGCACGCGCAGCAAGAATGCCCGTCCATCACCTGGTGCCAGCTCCACCGCGGACAAACTCAAACGCCATGCAAGCCATTGGGACCCATCTTCAGTATCGCATGCTTCAAATCGCACACTATGGACAACCTGCCATCGACATCGAGCTTGACGAGAGTCAGCATGAGACAAGTCGTGCCGTCACCAGCTACTCCACCATGGACACCATGCAGGTGCACCTGTCCAGTCGCCAACAGAGTCTACGCTAACTCGGGAACAGCGAAGGGAAGGTGCACATCACCGTCCAGCACGACACCACTTTCAACGACATCGAGATTGCCTTCACAGGTATGTATATGCCTGCATGGGAATCGCTTGACTCGCCCCGCTAACCGTGGGTACAGGCATCGCACACGTATTCGTAGAGCGACTGACGGCCTCACCTTCCATGAGCGGACGGACAGAAGCATCGCACAAGTTCCTCACCTTGAAGATGCCTCTGAACCCTGCCGATCTCCCTTCTTCACGCGTCCTACGAGCAGGCAGGACCTATACCTTTCCATTCGTCTTCACCATTCCTGCTCAGCTCCTCCCGAAATCATGGTGAGTGCACCTTTAAGATGCATGCGGAATGCACATTAACATGATACTAGCGCCCATGCTGTTGCTTCAGACTATGTCCGAGAAACGCACCTTATGCTCCCCCCAAGCCTAGGCGATGCCGAGCTATCTGGCTTTGGTGGCATTCTCCTCGACGACATGGCGCCCGAAATGGCGAAGGTCACGTATGGAGTCAAGGCGCGCATAATGCAGCTACACGAAGACAAACTTGTACTTTTGGCACAGAAGACGAGGAAGGTTCGCGTGAAACCGGCCTTTGAAGAGCAGCCGCCACTCAACACCGATGGAAACAGAGAATATCGTCCCCGGCTCGAACGAAACATCAAGAAGGGCCTATTCAAAGGTAAAACAGGCACCTTGATCGCTCAGGCTAGCCAGCCGAAACCTCTCGTGATTCCAGGCGCGCGGACGCTGGATGCTGGGCCCATTGCGACCAGGGCCAAGGTTCTACTCCGCTTCGATCCTACAGACGAGAACAGCTCACCCCCAAGGCTAGGGTCTCTCAAAACGAGCATCAAAGCCTCGACCTTTTACGCTTCGTCTGCAAGGAACAATTTCCCCTCGCGAGAAAACCTCAGCTACGACCACACCCAGGGAGCATACACAGACACGATCTCATTATCAACCATGTGCATCGGCACAACCGCGCAATGGGTGAAGCAGCTACCGTCCGCTAACCCACCAAATGAAGAGGACCTTGAGCGCCGCGACTCTGGGATATCCGATTGCTCTAGCGTCTCTTCGCCGTCGTACAAATCCAACATTCCTGCTCACTCTGCAAACTACAAGGGTGGCTCTTTCTACACCGCCTCCATCATCGTTCCCATAACGATGCCCTTGAACAAGAATTTCTTGCCAACCTTTCACTCCTGCCTCATTTCTCGCGTATACGCCCTCAGCATGAACCTTTCCGTGCATGCACCTGGACTGGGCGATCCGACCCTGAACCTCAAGTTGCCGCTACAAGTGTGCGCTGAGGGCAGCGCAACGGGCATCGAGACTGCGAGGGTACGAAGCGAAGAGGCTGCCGGAATATTGGCGGAAGCAGACAGGATACTTTCGCCTAGAAGCGTCGCACCCCCGACTGTGGATCTGCCTCCAGAATACGTTGCTTTGTCATCTGGAGGCGGAGGGATATACCACCCTGGAGTCACTGTCGCGGGATGATAAAATCGTCCAAGAGAAGGATGAGTGAGGAAACCATGTATACCCGGGGAATCTAACACGGCGTTTGGTCTGGCTGATCTGACTACTGCGAGGAGCTGGGGTGGCAAAATTGTATTGACTTGTAGGTTTGGAGCTGTCGTTTCGCTGGCGATCTTTGTTGCTACTCTGCATCTATGATGGATTTTTGCTGTTGTTGTTCGATACCCTGCGTAGGCGCGCTGGATGTTTTCGCACAAATTGGAGGTTAGATAAGAATGCATCTATCTATTCAAAGGAACAGTGCGTGAGCTTCCTTGTGAAATCGTGTTGGCCTAATGACCTCACTGCTCTTCCCGACTTGGTATTAGCCTGCGAGACATGTATACGGATGTCCTCTACGTGATGGCGGGAAGACTAGGTATATGTGGTCGTTTGCATTAATGTAGATTTTGAGACCGATCTATAACGAGCTTGTGGGTGGAAGAAATGATAGTGGAGAACTTTGAAAGCATGAATTTCGGTGCTGCATTAGCCTTGTGTTTGATGGTCCTGAAGAGGTAGAGCTCCCTCACATGTACAAAGAGGTTATGCAGACTGCGTCGCAGTTGACTCAGACGCACTATAACTGTTTGTGAAGTATATATATGAAGCATTTCGAAAGTACTTTGGAAGTCGAATACAGAGGGTTGCCATGGAAATAAACTAGTCTGGACAGACATTTGGTAAACCTTTGATGACTCTAGCCTGTTTCTCACAAGCCATGAAACACATACGACCGTAACGGCTAAGATCCGTTAGTATTTCAATATAGACTTGGACGCTCTAACATGCTCTCTCACTCTCGCGATCTTACATGATACCCTCGTCTTGCTATCATTGCCCTTGTTACCCTCCACCCTAATTGACCCATGAGCATAATGGACATGAAAACGCCGTGGGAAGACCAAACTGGAAAACTTGCTAATGCTCTTCATATCTCACCTCTTTAAATAAACAAAATTCCTACATCTAGTTTTACGTCATATTGAGGAGATTAAGACATTTCTGCATCAGCTATGAGTCCATCAGAGTCTAGTGCCGTAGCAAATCTTGCGTAACGTACCTCGTCATAACATCCTTTTCCTACAATGGTTGATAGCACAGTGAGGGCCGCTTATTGCGTCGAAAGGCACATCAAGAAGTGGGGCGTTTTGAATTTTATTACTTATAGATATAAGCTCCAGATCTATGGTGACAGAATGTCTGAATTAGATCGCAGGTGATCATTACACAGATCCTATAGCTGAAGCTGATGAGACGGATTGCCTAGCAGATTGAAGCTCACATGGAGACCACAGAAATGAACATGATAATACCGGGAGGGGAATCATGCTAGTACTTATATCACCAGCCCCAGCGTGGTGGCAAGGCGACTCCAAAGAATGATAAGTTGAAGCAAGGGCTTCATCCAGCCCCAACGAAGGAAGGAGCAACCCGGCCATCATAAACAGCCAGACTATGGAACAACCCACGGCGAGTGGACTTACAGGACGCATCCGACAACTCAGCGCGCTGGTGTGTCTGTTTTATCCGGGGTAGCTCAAGCACATAGAGGTAGTGTAGAACCGTGATCATTTAAGTATCATAAAAATAGGTATATACACCGAATCACACCGCAGAGGCACCCAGGAAAGCTCAAGGCAAAGTAGATTGGGCGCTGCAAATGGGCGCGAATACTACTCAGCTGCCTTCACTTTCCTGACAACTTCGCGGTCTCGCCACCCCTGTACTTGGTGAAAGGGTCAATCAGCCGCTTCAACAAAAAAGCGGAGGGCGTCGTGCCTTGCAGTCTCATGCGAGGCCATTCTTGGAGGAATCGTAGGAGGTATTGTGGCATGTCTCGATCTTGACGATCTTGACATATAATGTCAGCGCAATGCAAGTGCGTTCCAACTAGGGAGTCCAAAGGTCGATTAGTCTATGCATGGTGCTCAAAGTAGACATTTGGACATATCCATGTATTCGCAGTACTCATTGAGCAGCAAGTGTGATCGTTCAGTTGTGCGAAGCCATGAGTCCATAGCAGCCTACAGCGGTCCTTGCTTCCTTATTACCTTGTATGTTCAGATGTTTACTACGTTTCGAGTTTGTAGTGCTTGGTTATAAGTTTGGGTACTGTATCGCTCATCCTGAGATAACAGTGTACCAAAACGTTTGATGAGGCACTGCATGTCATGGACGCAGCCGTGGCTCTTTGTGTGCTCGTTGTAGATTCGGACTTGCTGGACTGCAAGGCGTCTCTCATTATGAACTTTCGCAACCCCACTGCCACAGGCTAGCGCGCGCCCACCTCCGCCATCGCTCGGCCTATCTCCGTCGCACATCTGAAATCCTGCTGCGAGACCGTGTTCGTGCCTCGCTATAACACGGCGTACATCATGCCTACTCTAGCGCGACATCAGCGTATGTGAAACAGTCTGGCCCTCGTGAACAGATGCAAGGCACACCATGCCAAGAATTGCAACGTCTAGTCTGCTCCTTTACGGCCCACGTGTGTCGGTGACCGCCAAGCGGATACATGTTGCGATCGGGCCTCTACGCACTGAATGTGAGTAATAATACGCGGGGATTCCCGTGCGAGGCTGTCACGATTGGAGCACTAGTTTGTACGGAGTAAGTAGATGATTATCGAAACATGAATGATGTCGATGAGGAAGATGTGTGGTTATGTCAGAGGTTGAGAAGATGCTATTGCTGGTTGTGAAAGCATGGCAGCATCCCGCTGTCCGTGCTGCGTGTTGAGAACGAGCATGAATGGGGTCGCGGTGCTCATATGGCCCCAGCTTGTTCATCAGGAAGTGTGAGAATGACAGCGTGGGATGGTGTGAAACTTACCTCAGAATATCGATAGTGCTCAGCTGTATGGCAAGTTCCATGTACTGTATCTCACACTATGCTGTCTGAAGTGTCACTAGTGCCCGCGGAGGGACAGCGAGCTGCGCTGACTGTGGACCTTTTGGAAGGCTGACGGTTGACGTGGTCGAGACCGCGTTGATGTTGCGTACAGCAACCAGGGCTAAGGTTCGGACCGAAGGAAACTGGGCTGAAGGAACTGTCCTCAGCCTTATGCATCGTCCCGCCCTGTAACGCCGCACTTGACGGCAAGTATCTAGATGAATTAGCACGTTTCAGTAACAGGCTTTCAAGCATTCAACAGGAAATACGCACCATCTCATCCACGTGGTGACACAGCTCCTTACTTCCAACGTGCGAGCTGCTGCGTGTTAGAAGGCCAGTCACAGCGCCGAATTTTGTCCATGTCGAGCGGAAAGGTACCAGATCAACGGGAGTCGGTGAGGTAATTCCTGCAAGCCTCGTGGTATCTGCACATGCGTAGCTACTCGCGTCGCTCCTCACCGACATGTGCATACCCGCCAGGCCAGACCATCAGCCTGGTTCACGCCTTGGCCAGATGGAGAAAACATGGTCTACCGCGTGCGGGTATTCGGCCGGACACTGCATCATATCGGAACACAGCTTGCATACCGCAAGCCTAAAGTTAATCCTAGCAGTGGGAAACGAGGGGCCTGGGCTGGGATTGGATCTTCGTATTCCGAGGGCGCGTCAGCTGCGTATCTGGGGCATGTTGTTGAGAGGCATGGGCTTGGGGAAGATCTCAGCCTCGCTCCAAGGTCGGCAGTTTGCGTCAAACTGGATTGTAAGGCCTGGACGCGATACGGGCGCAGGGCTGCTGCAGGAAACATGTCGGTCATGAGTCGCGGAAGTCGAGCTCCATGCAGCAGTGATGAAGAGGTGCAGGCGGCGTGCAGCCCGCACATGGGCATGCGATGCGACGGCGGGAGGGTGATGATGGACACGTGCCGCGTCGTCGATGGGGTTGGAAAGGCCGGCCATGTGCGGCGACGAGCAGGCGTGGGTGACAGACGGCGATGGCAGGTGATGGCAGGTGATGGCAGCGACAGGCGACTGAGACGAGGCGAGGAGTGACTGTTGCTCGAAGGCCGCATCGTCGAGGCGCCCGCGCCCGAGGAAGGCGCGAAGTGGGAACGTCAGTCAGCCAACGGCGACGCAGGCAAGCGCCAAAACACTTTACTGGCGACGGCCAGCGATTCATCGTGGCCCTCACCCATGTCGGCGCGATGGTGAGGAATCCCCGCCTCCCCATTCGAAACCAAGCGTGCCGCGCGGGACGTGAGCTGCCGTCCCAGCACTCCGGTACCGGCCGGGTATATGGCCATTAAGAGCGTCGGAGCACAAGCGCTTGCCTTCACCGTCGCCAGCCCTCTCGTCGTCTCTTGCCCATGTCCTAATCGTCCGAACCGCCATGCATTCTGCACGCAACCTGCACACCCGTTTGCACGCACGTTTCTCGCCCCTCTATACTTGTCGCCACGGTGCAGATCCAACATGGCATCTCGTCCCGGCGCACTGGAGCCCTCGATCCTGACATGCAACGGCTGAAATCTCCGCCACTGACATGCAGTTACGCAGGCAGACTGGACAGCCAACAGCCCCGCTTCGTCAGACCGCCAATTCACCTTCCGCGCTCGCCATTGCGAGGCCGACGCTCGGCCCATTGGACCCGTTGTGTCGGGATGGCTACGAGCAAGCCTGCCGTCCAGGGCACCCGAAAGCGGCAAGTCATGTCGACACTGGCTCCCTCTCATGTCCGTAAAAAGCAATGTACGCGGTTCGACTCGGACAGCGCTCGCCGCCACCGCAGCCGCTGCATTGCACAAGACACACCCCGTAGCGTAGCCGTGCTGCGCTGCAACCGCAAGGTCCCATCTCCCACGGCGGCAACAGGAACGGCACGCCGTTGCAGGGTGCGGCTCAGTGCGGCTCGTGAGGTACCGAGAGGCTGGTCGCCGCCGAGGCCGCCGTCGTAACCAGTCGTCTCTCCGCACAACGCGCACTACGAGAACCCATGTTGAAGCCAGGAGCAAGCTTCGCTCGCCTCCACTGGTGTTATAGGAGCGGGCACTTGATCCAGCCATTATATAGCATCTAAACTGAATATCGGATACCGAGCGAGCCATTTCTCCTGCAGCGCTTCGCCCAACCACAGCGTGGGCCTCCAACACCGCACCGAAACGTGCGCCTCGGTGCTGCCTCCCATTCCCAGGCCGCTATGGAGCGACGGAACACAACGTCCGCATCGAGCGCGAGAACAGAAGAGACAACAGCCGCGCAAAAGTGGGCTGCCAATCGCATCCCAGCCCACGCGCCCAAATAGTTTTTAACAGCTGCGCCAACCAAGCAACGAAAACCACTGAGAAGGGTCGAGAGGGCGTGACATGACATGTTGCGGAATGGTAAGAATGAGAATCAGCCGCTCAAGAATAGGCCAGGCGCAATTACAATCTCCGTAGCTCCAACAGAACAGAACAACATAAGCATGAGATAGAGTGCCAAACGACAAAGGTATCAAAATACGGAACTGCGAGATGCTTGACCAAATCGAGACGAGAACGCCTGGTAGTGTGCAGCCGCCGACCAAGAACTCCATTTTTGTCCCGCACACGCATGCGCCGCCCAAGTGAAATAGCTCAAATGTCGTAAACAGAATCGAACAGGGAATTTCGGTAACAGGGCTAGGTCATGATCAAGATAATGGGGTGTCGTTAGGCGTAAGCGTGCCCTTTGTCCGCGCCAAGGACCGCCGTAATGTGATAGGAGTTGAGCGCATAGAGCCGTACAGCGTTAGTTGCTATTGGAGGTACAACAACGTCAACAAGGTCCCGAGGACGGGCGTAGTACGATATATGGGTGCCGCGGAATGCCCGAGACCGAAGCGGGCCGAGTAGGACAGGTGCCGAGCAGAAGCGCACAATGCAGACCGCACCGGTAGGATGAGTGATGTCGCTAACGGGCGAGGAATCCATGGTCTGGCTGCCATCATTGTCCTGGTCGGCGGGCAGTCCAGATGTGGCTATCGAGCAAGGGATCAGCGCTGTGACCTCAATGAATTGGTGTGACGGGTTTGACTTACATGTTGTTGTACGCATGAATCTTGCGGTTACATACTTCGCGGCGCACGGCTTCGACAAGCGGCTTGACGTGCTCGTTCATATTCCACCGGTTCAAGCGTGTGAACGGCGCAGCACTCAGAGCTTCCAGGCCCTCGGTTAAGCCCAAATTGTACCACCTACCAATATCCCTTTGGTGGGGGTCAGCGGGCCACGAGTTATATGGCGCACGAATGATGGTCTCTTGGATGTCGATGAAGCCGGCTGCTTGCAGGAGCTGGCGAGTGCGGTGGTCATACGCAACAGGGCGGTCAACGCGAGCTGTAGCATCCGCAAGGTAGTTGTACCACTGGGTGAGGTGGCTGTCCGGGGAGAGGGTGCCGTCGTCGCAGCGGGGCTCCAGGTCAATTTCGACATGTTCTATCCACCCAGAACCGGGTTTCAGGTGTCTAGCGAGATTAGCATGGCGACGCAGGGGAGCGCAGGACATGCATACGTGAAGATCTTCTGGTACATTTCAGGCCAGCTTGTGATACTGCCGCAGGCCATTCTGAGGTGAACCAGATCGAATGATTCCTCGCCGAGGGCCCACGGGCTCTCGTAGTCGCGTGGGACGCGAAACCGCAGGTTCGGGGGGAATCCTGTGCGCTCGCAGTCAGTAATTGCACCAATTGCGGGCTGCAGGACGCATGCTCACTTCTCGGGCTGGATGTTGACCAGATCCAATCCGTAGACCTATGGGCGCAGGTTAGCGGTCGTGGCTTCTGGCAGCCACGAGGCAGTCGCATACCTCGGAGTTCAGGTATTTGCTGCACGAAGATTAGCACGACGGAGCCAGGCTGGGGAGCAGATTACTCACTCGGCCATGTCGATTGCCCAGATGCCGGTGCCGCAGCCCAAGTCGAGAATGCGGGGCGCCCAATGCTGCGGGATCGGGGCCTGGTGCAGGTGTTCTCTCCGTGCGACCAGGAACAGCTTGTGGTAAATGTCCATGCGGTCCTTTTCGGGCTCGTCGCACGGGTACATGTAGAGGCCGCGTCGGAAGCCGTGGTAGAGACGGCCATTTTCCTCGTAGTTGTGAGAAGCAGGAACGACCAAGCTGCGGTGGCCGGTCAGCATGCGGTGGGGGGGCTCGGGCGGTCGCACCAGGCGGGGACGGGCTGCACTCACCCATTTGAAGCCATCGTAACCATTGGAGCAGCCTTGCTTCGCATACAGCGCTCGCGGGCGGGGACTGGTGGTGATAACTTGTCGAGCGAGCGAGCGAGCGACGGGACGGGTCGGCGGGAGGGAAGGAGCGGCTAGGCGCTGGTCATGCAGTGGTGGTGGAGGGTGTTCGCTATTATGCAATGTGCAATGTGCAATGCGGGTGGGTGCGGCGACCAGGTGGGAGAGAGCGACTGGGGTTGGGCGAGGAGGAGACGGCGGGAGCAATAAGGGCGTCCGGGAGAGGCGAGTCTTAATAACGGTCCAAGGTTGGCGGGACGGTGTGCTGGGAAAGCGGGAATACAACCTCAGACAAGGAGCAACACTAGTGCCCACGGTGCAGGGACGGCTGAGTATTTAACAGACCAAGGGAAGACCCACGAAGGATCCCTGGAGTTGCACGGCGCACGAGCATGGCTGCAAGAGCATCCCCCCATCCGTCAGGGCCAGGAGCCCGCACCTGCACCGCTGACGCCCACTCTGAGCATCGGCGGCGCGCTCCACGACCCACCGCGACTGGGAACTGCGCATTAACAGCTCGCGATATTGATTAGGGCCGCGACCCCTGCTACACGGAGCAGGGCAGGAAGCGGTTAGGGCGCGCCTCCCTCCAAGGCCAAATCCGAAGCCAAATGCGCCTAGTCCTTCGCACGAGCAGTCCCACTACCAGACCATCGGGAACGTCGTCGATGGCGAGCGCATTGCGAGCGCCATTGGCCAGCACGCCTCACAGAGTCCCGGTCGGACGGTCTCTGCCATCAGCTCTGCAACTGCGCCGCGACACCCCCGGATGCCGCCACGCACACCCACCCCAAGCCGCACCGTCGCGGTGCTGCCGCCGCAACCCACGCCCGTCTGCCGTCGACTGGAAACATGACAGCCCTCTCACCGGGCCATGGACGAGTGATTCACCCATGCGCGCCCCCGCCCAATCACCGCGCCTTGCATCCGACCTAGTTCGCAGTCCGTCAAACCTTGCCCACCGCCCTCACCACCACCACCTCACCACACACCTCTTCGTCCCGTGTCTGTGGTAGGTGGAAATGCAAAGTGCCTTGGGTGGCGGATCCAGACGACGACTCTCCAACCACCATCGTGGCCGACCAGCATGCTGACCCCCGGGCGAGTGTGATGGAACGGATGCGCCAGCTCGCCCAGAAAGGGGCACATGGCCGCACCGAGATATGCTGTAGAGTCGCAGGTGAGAGAAGGCTTGCAGCCTGGAAACTGAACCCGGCTGCTCGGTAGGGAGCATGTCAGAAGTTGCGGCAGCGTCTGAAACTCGCGTCTCCAAGAGGATGCTCTGCCTGCCAGTACCGCGATCCGCATTGGTCGCTTGCATGCGAAGGAAGGATTTCGATGCGTATCACGACCTGAACGGCCGTCGACTCCGGCTACCAGACCGACCGCCATAGGACAGAAACACGGTCGCGAGGCGTTTGGCAGCATCGCACCGCGAAGCGAACTAGCGGCAGGCGCATTGAGCGTGTGTTAATTTGCGTGGACCTTGATCGGAACTATTGAGCGAACAGGGAAACCGAAAATGACAACCGTCCCGGCAGAGTGGTTCACGTAGAGTGCCGTCTGGGATCGCCCTAATCCAAGGGGCTTTAGGGGCGGCCTGCTCCATACGTCTCGGTAAGGCTGTTCGGCGTGCTTGGTCAGCTCGAGAGACGCCGGCGGACCGCGGCACAACAAGGTGACGCTCCTGGCAAACTGCGCTTGACGGTGACGGTCAGCATGGACGGAGCGCTCGGAACATGGATTCATGGGGTCGTGGGATGTTTGGCCGAGTGGAGTGGAGCGACCACCCACCCCAGCGTGGCAGACGTCCATAGTGCTCATCCGGGCGAGTAGAAGCCGCCGTGAGACATGTGATGCGATGCTCAACACACACGCACGGGAAGTGGCCTAACAACTTCAGCCGCGGCAGTCTGGTAAATTGCGACGCCGTCAGGGCGTCGCTCGCGGTCAAGACACCTTCCCGCCCTGTCTGCTGCCCTGCGACGCCATTCGTGCTGTTTGTTCCTGCGAGCGGTGGCTGCATGCAACAGAGTCGATGCTCCTATGGCGACGGACAGCGACCGCCACAAAAGGGGCGCCGGCGCCATACGACTTCCCAGCCATGCAACCAAACTCTGAGAGGGCGCGGATGCGGGGCGAGCAATCAACGACGAGCCAACCTCCATCCGACGTGAAACTCGCTAAACAGCTTCCTCCGGCGCACCCAGTCCTCCGGTTCTGTTCCCACCAGATGGGAAACCTGAGCGAGCTTTCCGTGGCCAATTCATCTTCTTTGCAACCTCGCCAGCATCCTCTCGTGCCTGCCCCAGACAGCAGCCTTGTAGAGCCATCTAGAGGGCTGCCGTGCCCACGGTCAGCCTTCATCACAACCAACCGGTGAATACTTGCGAAGCGCGCACTCCGATGAGAATGGGGGCCTATTCCGGTCTCACATCGCTTAAAAGGACAACACTTGCCCTTTTCAGATTGTGGGATGGGCATCCACGCCCGCGCTCATGGGTGAGCACAATTGCGACGCGCGCGCTCAAAGCTCGGCAAGCAGTTACCCCTGTCTATAAACAAGATGATAACGCCCGCATGCGTGCATCGCTCCGGACACTACGACGCAGCAAGCGGATGTCGGTTGGCCATCGATTAATGAGCAGAATGAGGCCAGAACACGTGAACCCGGATCGATGGTCGCATGGCCCCCAGCCAGAACGGAACAATAATTGATTGCCGGCATCTGACAGGGCCCCAATTACCCTGGTCTGTCTCGCTGGTCCAGCAATGGACGTCCGATGTCGCGCCCGAGACCAGATTGCAGAGCTTTCCTGTCCTTGTACGGGCACCTACATGATCAACGACACTGCGTCACCATGCTATATATACACAGTACAGTTGGCATCGCCTGAGCGATTGATCTCACGCATGAACATCGGTTTGCCACGACGCCACCGCAGATTATCACTGGACACTGCGAGAATGGCGGTGTGAAGCTACTACGTGGATTGGCGAGACATCTTCAGCTATACGTAGTAGCATGCCTTGACGTTCTCGGCTGCAGGTTAGGGCCGTTCCACATCACGACTCGCATGCTTGGCTACACATGATGAACCCTCCGTGCCATGGCGAAGATGCTGCGCAGACCTGACTCTTGACTGAACTGACACAGGGAGGGAAATCCAGCAAGCATTGGATGACAGTCCGGGAGTTTCAAGCCATCGGTCGGAACGTACACGTCAAAGCACATTTTCTTGCTAGGCCCTTGTCAGGATGAGATCAGTAAGTACTATGGAACGTTTGTCAGAGCACCGTCTTGATGCTTTGGGGTCATTGTGAAGGGAATCGGATTGACTGCCATTCCTTCTCAGCTGCCAGCTGTCCAAGACGGTCTCTGACAGACCATCCACCGTAGCCGAATGAAGTCCTTCTAAATCCTAGCATTATTCCATCTGACCAGAAGAATTTGTTACCGCAGAGTGGCGACGACTAATGGAGCCAACAGTACTTGTGTCGAGATTTCACTCACTCAACTTCAGACCTGGCGAGGCAACTGCATGTACGATGGAGACCTCAAAATCCAAGTGCCTTCCAATGCAGCAGAGTCAACGGCCTAGCTTTGCTGCGCAGTCGTCGGCGTCGGCGTCGCAATACGAAGACCAGAGAGCACACTAAAATCCGATCAACGCCCGTCTTGCTTTCGAGAAATTTACTGGGCCAGACACGCTTGAAAGTAGTGTCGCATAAAAGGCGAAGCCACTTCGAGGACGACTGGTGGCCAAGCCCGGTTCTGTACGAGTAGAGAATTGAACCAGATTTTGATGGCGCGTCATGCATTACGACCTTTTCCCAGCATCCGCTTTGCATAACCTTCAAGGTAACCAATCTGAAGCTTACCAGCCTGGGAGTCCTAGTGGTCTATTGCGCGCTCAAACACTTCGTGGTTCCATCGTGGCTATCCCAGCTACCTAAGTTGTGATCGCGGCACTAATAACCAAATGCTTTCTGTGCTTGACTTCGAGGTCATCAGTAGTCTAGCGCGATCATAATATTTACACAAACAAATTTAAAACCGCTTCGAATGCCTCCGAAATACCCCACCTGGAGCCAGTTCAGCTTCAAAACTCAATAAAAAAGGAAATCGAGCGTGCATGTGTCTTGCATCTCTAGCGCCATGGCAGTACTGTAGTAGATACGGTGGACACCGGTCGAGAGCGACTCTTCCAGAAGCATAGCTAGAAATTCAACTAATGCAGACAGCTGATCGCCACACGTATCAAGCATCTGTTGGACCATGGTGCTCGCTCGCCACGTTGAAGACCTTAACACCTAGGAAACGCCGCACACGACGGTCCGCTGCCCGCTAGGCCACAGCACAACCAACTATGACTCGTCAACCAGGCTAACGGGCGATCCCACCGCCCGTGTACTAGGGTCACTCTACACGAGTGGGGACGGACCGACGAACACATTCGTGCAGCTGACACAGCCACACTGACTTGTTCTTAAACTTCCTATGGTCTGTCGTCGACGTTTCCACCAAAAGATGAAAGACGAAGATCGCCCGGGAGTGATTACTTATCAGCTAGTAACATCTATCGTGCTCTTAGCATTTGTACCCAGCGCTTGCGCGCTTCCGCAGCACCACACTTCCTTGGTTGCATATCAAGTCGTGAGATCATGTCGAATCTCTACCACTTGTTGCAAGTCACACTCACCGGAAGATGTTTCATCGTCAAGTGGTACCTCGTGCGCTACCAAACCATGACTTGCTCTCAAATCAGCCTACTGGAGCCCCCATCGACATTGAAAAAAGCATTTTTACATGACTTCGCTTGCCGAAAATAATCGGACCCTGACTTTGAGGCCAATCTCCTACGCCCAGTGCCATCTAGCCCTCAACCACTTGAGCACATAAACCAGAGCCACCAGAACTGGCACTTCGATCAGAGGCCCTACTGTGCTTGCTAGGGCTTGTCCACTTCCCGCTCCATATACCGCGACCACGACGGCTATGGCCAACTCAAAGTTGTTGCTCGCAGCGGTGAAACTTTGGGTGCAGCTTACCTTGTATCCGAAGCCCATCTTCCAGCAGAACCAGACCGTGCTGGAGAAGACGACCAAAAAGTATACAAGTAACGGAGCGCATACGCGCAGGACGTCAGTGATCTGTCTGATCACATGAGCCCCCTGGCTCGCAAACAAAACAATGATAGTATACAGCAGCCCGATCAGCGAAAATGGCGCAATATACCTTATAAACCTTCTCTGGTACCTGTCCTCGCCGATGAGTTTTTTGAGCACGAGGCGTGTGAGCACCGCTGCACCCAGAGGGATCCCGAGAAACACGCCGACGCTTTGAGCAACGTTTTCATACGAGACATTCGTTTTTTCGCCATGGCTGACGACTTGTACGTAAAACACGGCAAAAGGCGCGAAGAGCACGATTTGCAGAAGCGAGTTAAACGCCACTAGCACAGCGCAATAGTCGCCGTCCCCCTTTGCGAGATCTGTCCAGATGAGCACCATGGCAATGCAGCGTGCTATCCCCACAAAGATCAGACCCTCGCGGAGGTCTTGGCGGTCTGGGAGGAAAGCCCACGCCAGGCCTACCATGAAAAGTGGCGCAATGACCCAGTTCAAGACGAAGCTTATACCTGTGCGAAAGTTAGGAAAGCTTCTCCAGCTAATGTCGCTGGTATACGAATACGTCGAACGACAGGATTGCGTTGGTTCGTTTCACTTACCAACTTGTATCCATAGCTCGCGAGACTTGAGCAGCAAATGCAGAGACTCATACCTGACCTTGCACAGTATGGGATACATCATGACCAACAGACCAATTGCTGTGCTCTATTAGCCGTACTCTCGACGCTTCCAAATTTTAAAATTCGCGATGGCGAATGAGGCCGAGGGCGGCGGTACAGTAGCGCCTCGTAGTGCAAGCCCGATGGTTACCACGCAGCTGGTAACTTTGGTCTCCACGACTTTCCCACGGATAAGACGGGACCGGCCAGCGCCAGTCATGGGCGCGTGGCTACCACGAGGTCTGCAAATCTCCGACTTGATAATTACGAGGGCGATGAGCACATCATAGCTCTGCAGGGCTTTTCGCCCGAATTCTGGGTGACGAAGAGATCAAGCCGTCTCGCGGCTAACAGAGACACACTTGTGCCCTCGCCTGCCGCTTGTCCGTTCTGCCTGCTACGGAACGCAAAGCCGCTCCACTTGATCGCCGTACCGCCGAAGTAGCACCTATCCGGACGGGAATATGAACGTCAAGACACGTACCTATGGGTATGCTGACGCCAACAAACTCGCCCTTCTGGAGCGCCGGGCCGACTGAGGCAACTGTATTTCCCAGCACGATGCCGATGGCCATGGCAAGGACGATCCATATTACGAGAAACCGATCGAGGAAGGAGAGGCCTTTCAGTGGGGGCAGGATCTTCTCGTCTTCTGTATGCAGTGTAAGCGAGTTACTGCATGCATTGATTTAGATAGAACAACGTCCGATATACAAGGTTTGGAAATAAAGTGTGCTCGGTTTGTGTACCGTGGTAAAAGAAAACTTACCAGTTTGACGGTCATCACCTGTGGTGGTCGCGGCGTTGGTTCCTTTTACGACATCGTTCATGGATGAGGGGTTTTCGACGTCGAAGGGTCTTCCCTGGGTCGGTGAGTGTGCGGCTATTTCCATTTTGTTGATCGAAAATATGAGTATCTTCTTGCATCTCCATGCAATTGTTCCTCGCCGATTTTATGTCTCCAAACGTGGTAGTGTTTCCAGCCAATGAGGCAGAGGCAGTGACATTCCCTCTGCCAAGCCGCTACATTTTCTGCCAGCAGAAAATGAAGGCAGCTCAGATCTGGAAGGCGGTCACGGCATAGACCGAGGTAGCGATGGGCTGTTCCCCCAACGTCATCGGATCCAGCTATTACAGTTAAGGACCTTACAAGCTGAATTACATCAAGATACTGTCAAGCCGATCATGCTAGAAGAAACTTTCCCTTGACCACCCCGTCTACTCGTTTCCTTCGTCTGTGATCGCCCAGATGATGACCTCGCTACCTCGATCCACCAGAGCCTCCTTCACTCGGTCCAATCTCTCCATGATTCCAGGCTTGCGCCCTATGGCTAGGATCTTTGCGTGGTAGTATATCTCACGACGAAATACTGACAATTGCTCTGTTCTCGTCTCACACAAGACGTGCGGTCGAACGGCAAGTCTTTGTTGGTTTTGGTAAGGGTGTATCCCGTTGATCTCATGAATATCATTACTGAGGTAGCGAAGGTGGTTCAGCAATTTGATTGAATTGTGAAAGTGATCCTAGTAAAGACACTAGCATTCATACATATAGCAGTTCTTGGAATCGAAGCGGAAACATGTTCTGCAATAGTACAACTAAATCGCTCATATGTATAGTTCATTAATAAACGTCTCGCCCTGACGAAACAGTGGCATTTGCTCTTCATGGTAGAAGAATCACTGCTATAGCGATATAAGGGCCGGGGTCCTGTAATCTTCCTAGGCGTATGCTGGGCGCCTATCACAGAGTTCTCGAGGTAGTTCTAAGAAAACCTAATACAAACTTGTGGCATTTGTCCTCCGAGTAAGAAACAGCGACGTTATAGATCTCTTGTTGATTAATACACTTTTCTACTTGTACTCGTGCTGTATGTTCGGGCGCGTTGTCATGTCGTTTCATGGATTCGGGCATCTCGCGAGGTTGCTCCGCATTCCCGAGCAAGTCGCGATTCGTGGTCTTGCCACTTCAGGTGTAAGGATCGTCCCATGTTGCTTGATATGTGTATGACTATCAGACACCGAAAATCTGAGCCAGAGGCTCATACGTTTTCTCTTTTCAGCAACTTCGTTCTTGAGCCTAAGGCTTGTGAGCACGGCCACCACAGCGACGTGAAATGACGATACCTACCTGTTAAAGTGTCCCTTCGCGTTGGCGATCGTGAACGCGATGGTATTGGCACAGGATTGAGCGAGGTTGAACTCAAAGGTGTGCCCGGCGAGAAATCCGGTTTTGCATGCGCTGTCGACGTTGCCGGTAGAGTGACAGGCGCAGCTGCCGGCGTGGTACCTAAGTAGAGTATGTAGCAGCAGTGATGCGTTGCCGCGATTGTATTGGCGCTTGCGTTTGTTAAAGACGAAACCCTACATGTATGTGAACCTTCAAGACTGTCAACTCTGCTGGAGAGGAGAAGCGGTGGATGAGATTAACGCCAAGCAGTCGTAAACGGTGCACATGCTGAACAACGAAACGCCGACGCCGACGTCGGGGCCATTGTGGTATAGCAACGGATTAAACACTCAAGACTATCGACATAGCTTGCAGCAGTGTATGGTGAATGATATGAAAAGGCTCCGATTAGACAGCTTCAAGATGCTGATGTGTGAGCTGCGCGTACTTGTTTCACAATCGACTATCGAGGCGGTCTTTGTTTTTATTAAGAAGACGTATTCCTAGCAATGAGTATATCTGTTGTGCACATATCAAGCGCCTCTCTAACCCTCGCAAACAGATTCCAGGATGGGTAGTCTCCTCTGGAGAACGCACTCGGACTCTCAAATATGTGCTTGAAAAACCTGGGTTGCTCAAGAACCCAACCCTGGCTTAAGTGCATAATATCATGGGACACAGCGGCATGGTGGGCTCCGAAATTCATGCCATAAGGTGAGCCAGATATATACACTCCTCGTGGAACAGCTCAGCTGATGTGAGCCGCATCAGTATATCAGTGCATCGTTTGCGACAGTTCGCGAGCGAACGATGCCACAGTTCCGTCATCTACACTAATTCTTTCCCCCGATGTACACGAAGGCAAAGCATGTTCAAACCTCATAGATTCAAAAGGAACTATCTTAACTTTGAGGCTATCATGTGTATATGCAGTGTCCTTTGTCCTTTTAGGTAATGTATGGTGGTGGCTACGCGTAATAGGGCGAAGAAAGGTGAAGATATAATATCATCTCAACATCATATGTGATAGCCTAAAATTGGCTCACACAGTGAATGACTTGCTGTTCGTTTGATTGAGCTATGAGTGACTGATTGATATGATACGAAGAAGATGGCACGCGGTTGAACACATCATGGTATCCGCGTTTAAAGCAACGAGCCGTGAAAGAGAAGATGGAAAATATGAAGACAGCCGCATCTGACTTTTTTCTGCAAGGATCCTGCCAATGGTGATACAGTTTTCGACCCATAACAAGGTTGTAAGACTTCACGACAGCAGAGCTGAACATGTCGCACATCTTCCGTAATTACGGTACCCAGGTCGCCCCTTCTGTGGTCGTGTGTTGCGATGTCCAAAGGACGATCGGTGCGTGCTGAGCCGACCAAGCTTATAAGCCGATTTGGTGTGAGCAGCGATGAACGCTCATCTCACGGTCCGACCAGAATTGGGTGGCTTCTGGATGCAGCAACCTGAGACAAGGAAGTAACCGTTATAGCCTCGTGAAAGCAATGCGCAAGCGAGGATAGTAGATTAATGGCATCTTTCCCTCGGTAATTGCTCACTCAAGCCAGCCCTCTACCCACTGATCTTCTTCCATTGGGCGTGACGATGGTACGTAGCACTCAAGACCATAAGCCTGGAAATTGACATGCTGAGGAACAAGAACATCCCCCGAGGTACGTATCGTTGCTTCCGCAACGCCAGCAGGTAAGACGCCAGCGCATACAACAGCGACACCGTCGGGGTTGAGACGGCTGTTCAAGGCATGCAAGTCCGCTCCAAGCGCCCAGTGTCGCCCAATTCCCGAAAGTGTCGAGGTGTATTTGACAAGCTCTACAGCCCGCATTCCAATTGGACCATTCGGCATGGCGGTGTATCTCAGGTAGTGGCCGGCTTGATGAACGAACTTGACCAAATACCGGCTGTTGCGCTTGCTTAGCAGTGCATTGCGCAGACGGCCCTCGAAGAGTTGCATAAGGGTCAGACATGGACCTTGGCCCAAGTCATAGTCGCGAAGCGCATCCACCTGTTTCATGATTGCTCGAATGAGCGCATCGAGCATGCGACCTTCGCCACGGCCACTGACACCGTCGATAATCCTGGGCGGTACATCCCGAATAAAGGTATTAGTCGTAGCCTGCAAGATGGGACATGCTTCGTGATAGACTAATTTGCACGTCGATAGGATGGCGACGGGGACTGATTTCAGGATGACGGTCATGCGGTGCGATGGCTCATCGGGATGTCGTGTCTGATGGTGTTTGATTGAGCGTGGGAGATTTTCATATATAATCAGTCTGATTTCCTTGGGCAGATGTAGGAATCGGAACGGCTCGATTGCCTCGTTACCGCGCATCATAGAAAGGATAGCCTCGTATACAAGTAAGTGAGCGGTGTTGCGGGAGGGTGTAGTGTGGAGTATTAGAGGCACAAGAAAGGGGCACGCGATGCTACGCAGCGACAGACATGCATGAAGCAGAGAGAAGAACGAGCGCGGAAAGAAAGGCACAGGCGCAAACTGCACCACGAATATTTACGAGGCTGATGAGAAGAAGATGAGCTGGGCAGGCAACTGGGCGAGGGGGAGTAGCCCTATTTTTGGTTGCCTAGCGCTTAGTCGTTGCCCGCTGTGGCTTGTGGGTGGCTCATGCCGTGGCTTGAACCGTCTGCAGTGGGGGCCGTTTCCTCGTCACGCTCTTGATGGAACGATGATTGTCGAGAGCAGTAATTGAAGTGGTCCAGTCGTGTGCACGGCATACTACATCGCAATCGATACAGTGGCTCTGCGGTGTGGCTGGGCCATAGACGGACGACTGTCACAGGACGGCAATGTGCAATCTCGATGGTGCTCGCAGAGGGAAAGTGGAGCCGATGGAACGCGGAGGTGGGGCAGGGTCTGCGGGTGGGAGGCGTTCCCGTCGCTGGCATGGAATCTTGGAGCGGCTCGGGAATGGATGTTGGCGGCACTGGAAATTGTTGGGTGTGTCGGTGCAGGAACGGTCGCAAAGGGAGGGTGTGCGTTCAGTTCCTGCAGGTCACGTCGGACAGCTCGGTCTGACAGGCGCCGGACCAACCGACGGCGGACTGTTCTGCCTGCCTCGCCGCGTCTCCATGGCGAACGGATGCTGCGTCAGACTGAAGGAGAGCAGCATCCATTCAGTTCCTGCTCCAAAGGCGTTGCGGTCGCTTGTCGCCTGCACGGCAGTGTGGGACAGACCGGGAGGCGAAGGGCGGGTGCGGGCTACTCCGGAAGCGGCAAGGCGAGCTCTGCGTGTCCAAATGTCACGCCATGCCGAGTGGCCTGATTCCACTCTGGCGACTGGACAGCTTGTGCTTCAGCGCCTGGGTTTTCGTCGCTATCCAGGTGGCCCTCTGCATCCCGCCCCCTCGCAGCCCTCAGAGCACTGCGACGAGCCTAGAACCCATCTCCGCCGTTACCACAAACACCCTGGAGCTGGCCCGGCGCCCATCACCGCGTGCCGCCAGAAGCTGTGCTCTGCGAGACCGCCGAGCTACCCACCGTCACAACCCGGGCGGGTCCCGTAATCGTCCTAGAGAAGAAAAGACCTTCTGGCACGTTGCTGGGCCTGCTTCCTTCTCCTCCACACTCCACCATCAAGCCTCACCTCTCCAACACTCTACATTGCTGACTTCGTCTCCTGCGTGCGACGGAACGCGCGAGCTTATCTACACTTGTCGCAGCTTTGTCCACGCCTTGCTCTCGACGGATTAGTCTCACCACCCTGCTTGGCGCCTCGCCCCATCGTTACCTGACTATCTCCTGACCCTCGCGTGAGACCTCTTGACCCTCGGGCAAATCTCTGACAGTCACCATGGCCCTCAACTGGAATGCCTTTCTCATTGATGAGGCCTTCAATATACCGAACGATCAATGGCCGGACATCACAACACCACCAACAGACCCTACATCTGACATGCCAAAGTCAAGCTCGACCCGCACTTCAGGCTCAGCAGAACCTGAAGTCATCGCCAACTTCGACTCCCTCCTCAACGGTACATCAGCTGATCCTTACTTCAACGACTCCCTCTTTGCCCCCAACGATTACTTCCTAAGCGACCTCGAGGTGCTGCAGCCCTTTGGCGACTCGACCACTGGCGGCGAATCAACTTCCGAATCATCGCCAGAGCCCTCTGTTGGCACCGCCTTGACCGGCAACAGCCCTTTGACCTCTGAGAACCCCGCCTCGTTCAACCGTTTCGCCCACATGTCGCTCATGCAGAAGCCATCCATCTCGCGAGCCAACACCTTCCCCAACCCACAGTACGAGTCGTTGTTCCCCAACAACCTTGATTCTGGCTTCGTTGAAGACCTCACCTTCCCCCATGGACCCAACGGACCGAATAGCTCACCCAACTCAACAAACACGACGACTGAGAACAAACCATCAACAGGCACAACGACTAAACGTCAACACAAGGCCAAAGCTGACATCCTTTCGGCATGCTGGACATCGCCGCTGTGCCCCAACCACGATCAGGATGGCCCACCCCCGAATCCCTCAAGTTGTGGAGGCGGCTGTGCTCCCTTCTTGTTCGCTAACGATGATACCCTCCCCACCTCCACCATCAGCAACCTTCTCAGCGAAGCTCAGGAAGTCATTGCCGAAGACGGCGTTGTCGAGATCAAGTCACATTCGAAGAGGAGATCAGAGAGCGATGCCTCAGCCGATGAGCCGCTGGGACGCCAATTCACATCCCGAAATAGCATCGACAACGAGAGTGCTAAGGTGAAGAGCGAGTCCGAAGACTCACCGCAAGCTCCAGCATCCGAGGACAAGGCCAAGCCACGCCGCCGATTACCCCACAATCAGGTTGAGAGAAAGTACCGAGAGTCTCTCAACACCCAACTCGAATCGCTCCGCCGCGTCGTGCCCTCACTCCAGCAGAATCAGCGTGGTTGTGACGGCGCCGACATTGAGGACCTCCCCACGCCCTCAAAACCCAGCAAAGCCGTCATCCTCGCCTCGGCAACCGCGTACATCAAGTCCATGGAGAAAGACAAGAAGACGCTCCAAGACGAAAACCAGCTGCTCAAGACACGCATCAAGGCCCTGCAGGCACTCGTAAAGTGCGAGGATTGCTCGCTAATGCAGTACGTTATGGACCTGAAGATCAACCAGCAGCCCAAGTGATAGGCTCGCCATCTCTACCACTTCCTCCGCATATTCTTCTTCTTATTCAAATTCTTTGATACACGAATGACCGTTGATCATCTGCACTTGAGCTTCGATACGGCGTTCTGAAACGACGGGATGAATCGCTGCATAAAACGTGCTCTCCGCGTAGACTGGGGACCCCGGAAAAGTATGGCTTTGCTACTCTACATTACGACCACCACTACCACCCTTCTCAATCGATCCACAACCTCGATTATCTGCTGCATACTTGCGTTATATATCTGACTTGCCTGACGTCTCTGAGGACCAAGGCTTAATGGACAAGGGGCGGCGACCCCTGGGCGTTACAAGGATACTCGCCAGCCTCATCGGCGGCTGACGTTCTGGGAACTGGTGTTTTGATGTGGGTTTCGTCGTGGATGGGCGACTACATGTATTATTGTCATAGTACAATTGATGAGCATTCCTTACTGTTGCATGTAATTGCTCAACCTTATGCAGCTACTCTTCCACATCGTCGTTTAGCCGGCCATGTCCCCGCAATTCGAGCATACGTAGTCGCACGGAGAGTACCTTGCATCGAGCTGTAGGCGAAAGACGCTGCTGAACGCGGTGATAGCGTAGTAGCGAAAACTCGTTGCGAAAGGTGGTGGATAGTTCAATCTGCAAAGAAGACCTCCTGTGTCCTCATACTGCGCGCCATGCCATATCGTCAAGCTTATTCGCTGTGTGCATCTCATCATAGTTCGCATTCGAAATTGAAGTCATCCCCGGACCTAATACTATCCTGTGAATTGGTACAGCACCCAAAGTGTCGTTCCAGTCGGGTGCATTACTATGCTTGCCGAACCGCATCTCAAACTTTCGTTCCTTCTATAAAATGGAAAAAGGAATTTCACGACTAGTTGATCGTCTTGCGGAATACACGCGCATGGATCAGAGACTGGAGATAGGAGATCCCCTTTCGCTGCGGAAGAACGATCTATGAGTACGACGTCTTGCCATGCTAAGAGAATGCAATCTGCCTGCGACATGCTCAAACTAGGTCGACTTGAGAGGGCGAGCATACCGTTTATTTCATGGCCAACTTCAATTGATGGGACTGCAGTGTACTGTCAAACAGATAGGTGGAACTTCTTGCACTACTTGGAAAACGTAGTCCCGCATTCTGAATGCCGGAAAATCTATGATACTGAATCACGTCCTTTCCTACCCTAGCAATGAGCCTATTCGTACACACCGGTTTCTCAGGCACGAATGAACGCCATCGCTATGCTAACGCAAAAAAAAGTTGACTAGGATCCAATAGACCCTTGCACGCTTCTGACACCCCAAGCCACCGTTCTGCCTACCAGGAGCGTAGGTCCCGCAATAGAAGTACGACGGAGGCTCCCTACATCAGCCGCCTTTCCCTTGCCGTGGAGGATTGCAAAGCGGAGGAGGACCTGTACACCAACTGTCAGCCTGTTATGTGACAAAGGTTTGCGCTACTTGTCACTCTATGACACACTTCATAGGGATCCACAACCAGGGACGACTTACCTCTAAACATGTAACACAAATACTGATAACGATAAGGAAGATGATAATCCAGGTAATCCTCGTCATCTTTTTGTCAGAAATAGAATCAGACAGTATCTCGCCAAGATCGAGGAACACCCTGCAACGCTCGTTGAGGACCTGAATACGCGGTTTGATTTCGAGGTACTCGCGCACAGCGGTGTACAGCGGGTGCAGCGTGGGCTCCGAGTCCCAGAAGAAATTCGGCGTGTCAAGCATGTTGGATGCTAGGAGTGTATTAGTCAGTATCTCCTCATCTGTGAGGAGACGTTGGAGAGGCTTACAAAGGTTAACGTCCACGCGACTGGTGAACAGCTGCCCGATCATCTTAACGACGTCCGTCCGCGCCATGCCCAATTTTCCAGTCAAGGCGAGCCGCTTCGGGACATACTGCGCTTGGAGCATCGTTCTTGCCATGCCTTCTTCAAAAAGGCTCAGCTTTGTGCTTTGTGCGATGGCATGGCTCATGGCCAGCTTGATCATGTGGTCTCCGCTCTTCAGGGTGATCATATCATTGTAAACCCTCGGCCTGGGTATGTCAGGATTATATTCGAAGTGGAACTCCTCAGTTTCAAAATCCTCTTCGTTCAGCGGTCGAGTGGCAAGCAGGATATTAGTGGAGGAAGTGCTGAAAGTGAGATCGGCGAGAATATCCTTTTCTTGCTTCTCGGTGAAATTCCAGAAGACGACTACGCCGTAAGAGAAGACAAACATTTCCCCGAAGGATAAAGCATTGGGCGGAACGCGTGAGGTCATACCGTCTAGTATATCTCGTGACGGAGAGTATTCTTCGTACTCGCGACGTGGGCTGTGCGCAGGGTCTTCCTCGTCGCCATGCCGTACACTATATTCCTCGGTATCCTCGAAATATCCCTCACTGTGTTCCCTCCGCTCGTTCCTTTCGATTTCTTCGTCAAGCACTGTCTTTCCCCCAGGGCTCTTCAGCGCGGGACTGCTGCGTACGCGATAGCCATCGCTTCCCGGCAGGAGCGGAAGATGGTAGACACAGTACAGGCAGTCGTCGTAAAGCTTCGTCCGCGCATTATGTTGCGTCTTCACGAATTCGGCCGTACTCTTCATTTTGTATGCCTGCGCTGTGCAATATGCCGTGACCCTCGAAAGTTTCTCTGCTCTCCGCGCCTTTGGCAATCTCTCGGCATAGCTCTTGTCCTTGGGCCCGCCTTTTGTGGTCCGTCTCGCCAGATCCTCATCCGTGGGCGGACCCTCCTCCTCGTCATCGAAGTCCCCCTTCTCGTCATCCTCATCCTCCTGCGTATCTGGCAGCAACACCAACTTCTCGCTCAGCTTGCTCGTTCGCGACGGCATATGCGCAGGGATCAGCCGCCCTGTGAGCTTGGGATCGAGCGGATGACGCCCGCTAGGTGTACGCGTATGCATCAGGGGACGATGGCCAGGTGGACCGCGACGTTGCGCCGAAGGGATATCAGAAGCGTACTGGAGGATGTTGTCGACCGAGATCAGCTTCGCGCCAGGACGAAATTGGGCCGTGTCTTGTCTCTGCGTCAATGGTCGTCTCTGAGGCGCGTCACGGGTGTCAGTCATCAACACCGTTGGGTTTCTCTTGCTCTTCGCCGTTGGTGCGCTCATGGGCCCTTGGAGTAGCTTGAAGGAATCCATGTCGTCGACCGGCGTACGCGCGGACCTGGAGAGCTTGCACTAGTCTGGACGCTAGAAAGGGAAAAAAATATTGCAAATTGACTGCGGGTACTTTCGTACTCTCGCATAGGCAGACGGCTTCCTCGGCTGCGTAGTTAAGATGATTCAAAGCTTGAGGTCCAGCGGTGCACGTCATGGAGAGCTCGGGCCACCCACCAACGCCAATTCGCGCAAAGTGCACACCCTGCCATTCAATGCTACCACAAGACGTGCCACGCAAGAGGCTCTGCCCGTCAACTTGATAATGACCATGACCGAAATCTGCAGTCAAAATGCTGTCTAGAGCGATGCATGTAGTTCGCACCACTTTCGCTATTCCTCCAATCTTTTACGGTACATGAGTCGGTATCGGTTGAATTGCATTGCCATGACCTACGGACTCGATAGAAAGCATCGAACGCTAGAGATTCACGAGCAAGCGCCTGGAGAAGCTGATTATGCGTCTTTGGAAACCCATGGGACAGCCCACTCCTACACAAACACTGCGCCGAGAATCGAGCCCTTAAGACTCCGGTGGACCCAACCGCCCGACAAAAGAGACCTGTCAGACATGACTTTCCCCAATCTCTCTTTGAGCAACCCGTTGGTATCAAGAAAAGGAAAATACGAACCACTTCCCGCTATTACCGCAATCTTGGAATTACAATGAATGAATGTGAACAGAAAAAGCCATAAACATTAAGGGCCAGAAGTAGCAGGGTAGGAGCACTGTGTTCACAGCCGCTTACCTGGGACGAAGATGAAGAGGCAGCATACAGCGGTGTCAACGAGCACGAACAAGCCCAACATGGTGGCTGATCGCGCATTGAGCGTCTTCCTGACGAACGGCTCTCGTATTCGGTTGAAGTCCATCAGTGTGTACTCGCTGTAGCCGACTAAAGCCAAAATAGGATCGAGCATGTACTGATGCGTGAAGATGAAGTAGAGCGCTACTGTGAAGGGGAGGATGACCTGTGTCCGTTAGCATACATAACCCAAACTTCGAGGCTATGTTGTGTAATACCCAACAGCGAGTCGCTCTTGACTTGTTCAAAAAGATGAGGATGAAAGCTGTCCATACGGCGCCGAAGAAGCTGATGAGGCCAATAATGAGCCGGATCATCATGCTTTGAGGGACAAGATTGCCAAGTCCTTTGCTCTGTAGGAAACCTGGGAAAGCGTCCCGCTCCATGGCCTGGAAGACGTAGTCCTTTGCCGCGTCGAAAAGCTCGGGGTCGCTCCGCTGGTCGGGTCCTTCGATAGCCTCTTGTACATCGTGCAGGATGCTCTGTGGAATGATTATCTCTCGCTCCGAGCCAGGCAAAAGATACGTGTACAAAATCTTCTCAGCAGAAGCCCGCAGGTCCTCTCGTCTTGGCTGATTGTCGCCGGAGGAGTTCTGGCCTGGTGAGGAGTCCTGCGGCGAGTCTGTGTGCAACGTCATGAAGCTCGGGCGGCCTGGAACTTCACGACTCTGGTTGCTTCCTTGACTGTTTTGTGGCGAGTGTTGACGGCTCCCGTGATCTGACCGTAGGAAAGCGGACAAGCGCTGGTCAGATACGTTGCCCTTCTCTCCCGACGGGCCTTCTCCCGCATTATCCAGGATGTATGACGACCTCTTGCTGTTCTTCTCCATCTCCGGCGTGTCTTCAATCACAGAGCGGTGGAGGCGGCGCACGTACAGTCGGCATAGCTGAAGATGTTGAGACACGTCAAGCCTACTTCGTACTCAGTACAGGTTTAGCGATCACATGCATGCGGAGGATGGCATACCAGAAGTCCAGGTAATCTACCGACCGTTGCTGGTCGCGCATATATATGTAGAAGGAAAAAAGGTCGAGCGGGGCAACGGTCTTGCGACTTAACACTTCGAATAGGTTAGGGAAACGGTTGCGGTTGAGCTCCGCCGGCAGCGGTGAGTCCGTCATGACGGTGGTCGTTACGCTTTCTCAGCGTACGGAACAAACAAGCGTTTTGTTCAAATCGCGAGGTCCCGGTGTGGCTGCGGGCGACGGAGTTGACGTTGGGAAGCGCGTGCGATGCAGCTGCTCCCGGTTGCTGAGCAATGGTGCAGTGGATTGGAAAGAGCGACAAGGAGTTGCAGGAAGTTGGCGGGTGGGATGATGCGCCGTGAAGAGTTCGCAGAGGACCTGAAGGGGTGTCGGCGGCGCAACTGACGTTGTTCGGTGAAGTGAGCTCGGGAAATTAGAGGTGAGGTCGAAGTCAGGCTTGGCGCTTTGAGTGGAAACAAACGGCGGGTGGCTGAGGATAGCGCATTAGTGTCGCGCTCGCGCAAACAATAGAAGCTAACAACGCTGCGCGCACAAAGCTCGCGCGACGCGGTCGCAAAGGGGTGCGTTGGTGGAGAAGCTGTTGCCCGCGGTGATGTGGAGACCTGAAACAGCAACCGGACAGTCTCGGTCGGGACCTGATCGACTGGACTCCGATCTTCACGTGCCCGACGCCCTCACCGCATGTGTATCGCATACGTTGTAGATGGTCGTACACATTCTCAATTCTGTATTGCCGGGCTACAGATCCTGGGCGGTGTCTATGCGACAAGCGAATGACTCTTTGCAACAAGGCGCAGTGATGCTTTTACCACTGGGGAGCTCTCAGCGCTACCTAGGTACGCCCCCAGGCAGCAGGCATCAACAGTTTACATTCGCCCGCGCAACTATAAAGTGATGCATGTATGTCTTTCGCTTATGTATAATACGTGCCAGACGACCCGTCCTACCTCATATCTCAACATTGGCATATTAAGTCAACTCAGTCACCATGGCTTCATCTGAAAAGGTCCAGCTGCCCGACGGCTTCCTCGACGGCCCGGCTCCAAACCTCACCAAGCACGTTGTGGATTTCAAGAAAGAGGGCATACCAGCATATGACGGTCGATGGGCGGTCGTCATGGACGGTGTCTTGACGCAAGACGAATGTGCGTTGTTGACGAAGGCTGCTGAGGTGACTACGGGTGGTCAATGGGAGAGGGTGAGTCACAATATCGAACATCAATCTCGAGCGCCACAAGTTCATAGTAATAGGCAATGGTGAACGTTGGTAACGGCCAACAGCGACTGTACGAGGACACGCGAAAGTGCGGGCGCATCATCTGGGACGACCGCGACATCGTCGCAAAGATATGGGCAAGGGTAGCGGACTCCGTTACCGACATCCACCGGTTGCAGGATTGGGCAGAGGTGACTGGCATCGGGCCCGCAAAGCGGAAAGAGACCTGGAAGGTAACGCGCTTGAACGAGCGCATGAGATTTCTAAAGTATGTGGGAGGGGAATATTTCAAAGGTACGTATATCACTCCGCATTACTCGGCCAATGTTGACCGGGTAGCCCACAATGACGGCTGTTATGAAACGCCAGATGGCAGAGAGCGCTCGTATTTCACCCTCCATTTGTATCTCAACGATGCTGCAGGTCAACTCAAGGGTGGCGCAACCACCTTTTACGACTATCGAATGAAACAGAAAATCGATGTTGTCCCGAGGAGCGGTCGTATTCTCATCTTTCAGCATCGCAACCTCCTTCACTCTGGCGACGATGTATTGGGCGGTATCAAGTATACGATGAGGACCGACGTCATGTACACAAAAGAGACGCAAGAGTGAGGGGTCTCGAAGTGCAGGAAAAATTAGGTGGACGCATCGAGCGGTCAAACGAGGCAAAGTCACCAGGCGTTTCGGTCAATGGACGGTTTGCGCATACAGCTATTAGTAGTATCCTCGGTCTTTCATATTCTTCGGTCAGACATACCTGAGAAGGAAAAGAGTGAACGGCCTGCCTCGCCTGAGTAATCAGAATCGAATGATACCCTCGCTTTTTCGCCAAAGGCTACTCAAGTCCAGATACGCCGCGTATTGTACTACAGTGTCGCGCCGCAGCGCACACAATCTTCGCACCGACTCCCATAGAGACACCAAGACACCACGCTAGGCGCAGTGCTTGGGCCCTGAGCTTTCTGATGCCGAATGCAGACGTGAGTCACGCCAGGCCCTTACGGGCAGTCGTGCCAGCGCTCGCGGACGAAACACTGGCAGAAGAAGTGAAGATTACTCCGAATTTCTCATTTGCATAGAAAGACAGCACGAGGCAAGCTCGGTGTCCGTGTGTGAGCAAAGAAACGCAGCGTTGGAGAGGCAGACCGTTGAGGGGAAAAAGTGATGGTGAGAGCTGTGGGGTTTTGTAGCTCTGGCCGGGCGCTAGGCGGAAGGTTCGACCGGGTAGTACCGAGGCTACTGCTGCTTTGGACTGTTCATTCTACGTCAACCTATGGTAACTTTGCTTCAATGTTGTTAAATCTAAGCACCAGCAGGATATGCCTCATGTTGAATACATTACATAGCTGTCACCATATCGACCATAAACACAATCCGATGTACATTTCTGTCTTTTAGACTGCAAGCGCAGAATTAGTGATTATCAAGTCCAGAATCCAGAAGCATCAAGAAGTTTTGAAACTCTGTTTGATGCAAATGTAAATTGAACCTTTCTAATCATCCCCTGTCTATTCACACATGCAAGAAGGAGTGTAGATCTTCGTCGAGGCCCACGTAATGGTAAGCGAACCGTACCATCCTGGCAAACTCACATCATTTCGAGCGATTGCAGTAGGCGGTTCTGGCAAGAACATCGAGTCTGATTCGTAGAAAGTAGCGAACAAGAACAGAAACATGTCTGCCTTATCAACAGCGATGTGGAACGATGGCAATTGACATGGCAAGTCGACAGAATTCTACAGTCGTTGCTTAGCCGGGAATAATTGAGCATCTTTTCGAGTGGCAGCCTCTGGCTGGCTTGGCCATGCACAAAAGTCCTGAGTTTAGTTTCGGGACCTCCGAATATAATGCTGGTACACCTGAGCATCCTGTCGTCCGACTCACCAGTCTCTGCAGTGAAAGCTCAAAGTGTGGCGCGTAGCGTACCAAACTACTTCAAACTGTAATGGCACGCGCATGAAGTTCTACTGGTGCCCGGCACTCCCGTGTAGCTTCAAGTGACTACTTACGCAACCAATCTAGTAGCGGACCAGACTTCGAGATGATTCGAGACCTTGCTGTTTTACTTCATTTGCATACTAAACAATACTTCTACTTTTGCTCAAAGTGATGGAACAAGCCAAGCCAAGCTGTGCTGCGATAATCAATACATAAGGTCGTAATTCGTCCAATCAAAATTTGTCCAAGTTATCCCCAAATTCCCACCCAGTGAGGTCAAGCTGAGATACGTCGACCAGAAAACACCAGACCGTTCGCGTTTGGCCCAACCAAGGCAACATCGCCTAAGCTAAACGCTTAGCCGAAGCGTGTAACCTTACATTTCAGAATGGGGAATGCAGATGCAACATGCTTCCAAAGAGGAAATAGGTGCACAAGATGATCGCGCACGGTAAAAAGACACAAAGTCGAACGTCTAATGGAAACCTCCAGGAACAGCCTTGGTAGGAGACTCTGGGAGTGAATGGAAGTCGTCTTTCTCCTCCTTCTGCTCTTGAGTCTCGTGCGAAGTATGCGGGTGGAGCTCCTTATTAACGTGCTCAAGACGCTCGAAATCATCAATCGAAGAGGCAGAAGAGCCATCCTTTAGCGATGGCGTAGCTGGCGGACTTTGACCAGCTAGAGGTGACGGGTCTGTTGAGGCGTCGCGGAAAGGCTCCTCATTTGATGTGGTCGATTGGTATGAGCCTCGATTGCGAAAGGGGTTCCTAGGAGGAAGCTTCGGTGCGATAGGCTTGGCGACTTGGACAATGCGAGCGCGGGTGATGGGCTGGGGTGCTGCGGCTTGATGAATCTCTTCAATGATTGGCTCCTCTTCGTCCGAGACTTCGCCGTCTAGATCAACATCATCGAATGCTTGAGACTGTCGCACTGTACCCTGTGCAGTAAAATCAACATGTTTCTCTTCATTTTCTTGACTCCTGCGTGTTGGTGTGTCTTCAATGATTTTCGTTTCGGGAATGTTCGCTAGTGTAGGGCTAGGTGTGTGAGTTTGTCGTGGAGGTAATGGCGGCGGGACTTGTATCGATGTGGGTGCGTCTGTGTCCGTCTGTGTGCTCGTATCCACCATTTTCGACGGTGTCCGCGGTTCTAGGACACTGCTAATAGTGCTGGTCCTCCATGAGGACCTTCTGCTGACGCTTCGGCCATCAAAGCTTGAGCGATCGAAGCTTCGTCTGAATGTTGAGTAAATAGGACTGGTCGGAGCTGGGTTGAACTCGAACTGCTCACTGGTGGGCCGCTTGTGAGTGCCCGCTTCCTTGATATCCAAGCCCGCCTCCTGCAGTGCTAGTACTCCATAAGGGTCCGGGTCTTCTTTATCAGGAACGCCAAAGGTCTTGTCTGTGGGGGCCTCAATCTCGTAGTCAGCCGGGGGCGGCTCACTCGGAATCAGTGACTCGTCAAAATCTGCGTCTCCCTGTGCAGCTTTGATAGTCTCATGCAGCCTCTTGATCTCATAAGGCGGGTGACGAGCTTTGCCTTTCAAGATATCACCAACAGCTATCCGCTCTCCGTAGAAACGCTCGTTCTCATCTGTGCGCTCTATTATGATGGTGCCGTCGACCTGAACGCCGGCGTATAGGCCCCGCGACTTCATGTATGTAAATACGGGAGCCTGCCGCTTGTGAACTTCCGTCTCCAAGACTCCACCCACCCCAACAGGCCCGGCAACTGCGCTGACTTCTCCGCCGAGCGTACATCGAATCTTGGAAAAGGCGTCGAGCGCTTGCTGTGTATTGATAACAACAACGCAGTCGTATATGTCGATACCGGCTAAGAAACCCAAGCCGGCGGTATGTAACATGATGCCTGAGGGTGGTGACCAGGTACCGTCTTCCGTTCGGCCAATGAGGATGCCGCTTCCACCGGCTCCGGAGAACCAAAGACCGGTGCGCATGGTGGTGAAAATGGCGAGAGCTTTGGCATTCTTGATCACCTGAGAAATCCGTCAGTGGTGCACAATGCGCCACGATGCAAAGCAATGCAAACGTACCTCTGTCGGTATCTTCTTGAGCACTTTCTGTTTAGATTTCGGGCCCTCTGTGGTAGGCCGTTCCTCCTCCTGGTAGAAGCCATCCTTGCAGAAGCTTTTGAGGATGCGCGCAGCCTTGTCGCTCTCTTTGTCGAGGGTCGTGGGCCAGAAAGCTTCGGATCCTAGTTTGTTGCTAAGGCGATTGACAGGCGGGCCTAATTTGTCCACCAGTCCGTACAGCTTGTCGAACCCGGCCTTGCTGCTGGTCTTCGTCTTCGTCCACATGTTGAAAGTCGCCGTGGATCGACCAAGGCACTGCGCGGGGTGCGGGATTATCAACAGACAGACAGAGGGCTAAACATTAGGGTTGGGGCGGACATTGAGCAGGATGGGTCGCACGGCAGCGAGGCAGTGGAAAATGCAGTCTACGACATGACGGGGCGGGCACGGCAAGTAAGTAGACAGCGCTTCGGTAGGCGGCGGGAGCCCGTTAGACGTCGTACGTCAAGTGCTCGGTCAGCCATCAGCAGGCTACGGACGCTAGCCTGCCGTGGCGGACGCAAGCGGCTTTCGGGTACCTTACAAGCACGCGTGGCAAATCCCTGGTCGTCGCTCTCGTCAAGGCAACTGGGGCGCAGCGATGCTGCATGCGCGCAGGAACCCCGAACGCGTGCGATATTGCCCGGCCGAGGGTGCTGGTCTCGATTCGCCCTGTCTCCCTTGAGATGGCCGACTGGGACAGCCCCGCAACCAGCCCCCAGCCTTCCAAAAGCAAGCATCATATATTCGCGAGGACTGGAAAGGATCCAAGATGGGCCCCTCTGCGGCAGCACTCCAGGTTGGCATGTGCAAAGTAGATCCTGGGGTAGCACTCTCACCTACACCGGCGCTTGGATCCACATGAACAGTGTTCAGATGGCCGCTTGCATGCCTCACCCACACGGCTGCTGGGCCTCGTGCGCGAGTCAGGCTGCGTGGCCACTCCAGTGACTGTCCAGCGGAGGTGCATGTGTGTAACGCGAGCGAGGGCATGTGGGGATTGTAGGAACGATCTGAACGACTTCATCTCCGACGTGCGCCTAGGACAAGCTGCAAAGGAAGAGGCGGAACGACGTGCGGATCAACGTTTCGCCGCTCTCTGCCAAGAGGTTCGCGCCAAGGAATGTGCGCGTTGTTTGGTGAAGCTCTCGCGAAGGTTATGAGTGCGGCGCTGCAGCTGGACAATCGCCCGTGCACTACCCAATTCCACTGCTCAAGTCACGCGTGCACAACGGTGATGGGCTTCCGCACGCCGTAGCCAACCTCGACCTGTCCGTGCAATTGCGCAACAGCCTGACAAGCCTCGTTGCTCGCCCGAGAGCGTAGCTCCATCCGAACAAACGCATCATGTTCCGCGTGCCCGACTCTTCGTCGCCGCCCTCGACGCCCGGGCGATATGGCTATAGCACAAACGTACCGTCAACAACGCCCGCGGGGCCACCGCCAGGTCAATCATTCATCTCCTCTACCCCGGCCGGTCCACCTCCAACAGGCAATCTCTTCGGTACAAAGCCAACTCTCGAACCCGGTCGCCCCAACTCTCATCCGCCGCTGTTTCTTGGAAGCTCACCGCCCAAGAATGAGCTCTTTGAAGGCGTCGGTTCAGGTCACTTCAGAACATCGTCCGAGGGGAGACCAGGATCGCAGCGTGGGCGAGCCTCGAGCTCTGGCTTTGGCCGCTTTCCGAACAGTCCGACAGCCACAAGAGAGTTCCAAGTGCCAGATGACGATGAGATGGAGGAAGACGACGCAGAAGGGGAAGAGGACGATGAGCTTGACAATCCACACGAGCGTCGCATAAGAACCAGGGATAGCTTGTCTCAGTCACTGGCATCACGATCTAGCGTGGGCGAGTATAATGCTGGGCAAAGGGTCGTTCAGAGCGGCTCGAAGCAACACCAGTACGACCTGACCAATCTAGCTAAGGGCCTCACGTCCAAGGCGGATCGCGGAACCTTGGTCGAGTCGGACAACGTTATACTAGAGACAGAGCGCCTGCTGGCGAAATTACAAGACGCATCGGATGGCGAGGGGTCGAAGGCTAAACCCTTGGGGGACACTGCACAAGGATTGCTCGCACTTTGGCGAACCTCATCGGCCAAGAAGTTGTCTAATGCAACAACATTGGCAGAATTACTATTCGGCATACATCATCCAGATCGCCTTGTCGCTGAAGAGCGCACCTTGTCAGCATCCCGAGCGCTCATACAGCGTCACTCGGAATCCTTTGCACCCATACCCAAAGTACTCCTTGAATGGCTTAATACTCAACGGCCCGTAGACGATGAGATAAACACTGTCTTAAGCCAACCCGGTGGATACTCGGGGCACGTATACTTCTGGGACATAGTACAAGTCACAGCTTTGCGCGGTCAGCTTACAACGACTCTGGAGCTTCTTACCGGAGCAAACTTTTCGGTCGCACATACGGCACAAGACGATGAGGGAACTCCTGGATATAGAGGCTCTAAACTTGAGTATGCTACGCATGCTGCTCAAGAAGCTGTCAACCTGCTGCGTCAGTGTCCCGCACTGAATGACGATTGGAATGTAAAGGGCCATGACTGGAGCATCTTCCGGCAGCTGGCACGTCAGGCAAAGCGTAATCTCGAAGATCTTGCCGAAGGAGAAAGCCAGGCCCGATTCTCAATGTCTCAATCACTGGGAGGGTCCTACTTTGGCCTCTCCCAGTCTCGTGCGAACTTCAGCCTCAGCACCCATAGTCGAAAGGTGGAGTGCAAGGTGCCCTGGTCCGTATACGATCGACTCCTGAAATTTTACAACAACTTAATTGGCGACGAGGGAGAACTTGTTACGTGCTCAGAGACTTGGATTGAGGCAACTCTCTTGCTTACGATCTGGTGGGACGGTGAAGAAGACTTGCTTGCTCAAGGAAGTCTGGCAGCTACCCGTCGTCCTCTTTCTCAATCACAGCGCTCACAGATCTCGGACGTCAAAGCGTATACTGAACGATTGGCAGCTGCTCTAGCCTACGTTCTCGATGGCGGCGACGAGTCGTTCACGCTCATGACTAACAATGTATTTGAGGTGGGCGTTGCAAGCATTCTCGACGACAACGTTGAGGGTACTTTATATATACTACGCAGCCTCTCACTCGTAGCAGCGTCCGCGGTTGCCGAAGTGGCTAGTGCGGGTGGGTGGTTGAAGCGCTCTGATGGTATCTTTGGTCACCTAGATCAGAGTGACTTAATGCTTCTGAGTTTTAACCAACCAATACGGACTGGGTTATCTAAAGACGACCTCCTCGTCGCCTATGCCGACCAACTCTCGCCCAGAGACCAGCTGAAGAGCCAAGATGGAAACATATCGCGACCAGGGTGGGAGCTGGCCATTGAGATCTTGGGAAGATTGGATGACACAGCGCTTGGAAACGAACGGATTCAAAAGATACTTGACGAGCTTCCTCTTGCCTCGGCAGAGCAGGTTGATAAGGTCACGCAACTCTGCCACAGCATGGGCTTGTCTGACTTGGCTTTTAGCATTGCTCGGGTAGGTACAATTTCTTTTCACCACACTGAAACAAACCATATTACTCAGGTACATGGCTGATGCTTGACAGAAATTTGCCGATCACCTTCAAGCCAATACCCAGAACTACGGGGACGCAATCCTATACTACGCTCGTGCACGCGCAGGACCGAAGATTCAGGAAGTTCTGCGAGCGCTTGTTGCCCACTGTCTCGTCAAATCTATCGCCTACCCACCTCTAAACGAGCTAGACACCTCCCTCAAGAAGCTCATAACCTCGCCGAAAAAGAGCCTGAACGAACTTGCAAGCCTGGATATAGAAGCTGCCAAGCTACTATCAAACTCACTGAGCGGTTACGCCACGATACGGAAGTTCTACGACCTACGAGATGAGGAAGTGCTGCTCAAGGACGGCGAGAAACCAGCTCATCGGCCATTGGCGCGAAAGCGGACAGCAGCCAATGCGCTTACCGTTATAATCTCTAGCGCAGCGTCAAGTATTCGAGGAGGCCTCTATGATCCGGAAGTTGAAACTGTCGTCCAAGTTGACGTGCTGCTACCTCTACTTGGAGAGGTCCTTGTCTTCGTCAACCGTATGTGTTTTCCCTAAAGTATCACCACGGTGGCTAACACTGTCCCAGAGCCAAAACGCACGCTCACTCTCCGTGACCTCTACGAACTCCTCGCCGCCGTCGAAGACCTCTCGACCGCTCCCAGCATGATCCGAGCACAATGCGAAGAGGCGCTATCTACCACCTTACTTGCCGCGGGCGGTTCTCGCTTGTCGCTTCAAAAGTCGACATCCAATCTGACAACCGCCTCGTCACAGTACTCCCTGATTGGTAGTATGGATTTGGGATCAGTGGAAGGCGTGAGCACAGAAAGCTCAACTGTGTTGGTTCAGGGTGGAGGGGTGGACGATGTGAAGAGGGGATGGGATTGGCGCAAGGGCTTCCCTCGAGGTGCGAAGGGCGAGGACGTGATCAGGATACTGAGGCTGGGGATTGCGAAGGAATTGGGGAGGGCGTTTGCTGAAGGTGAGCTTCAGCCTTGAACGAGGATTGACGCAGGGGAGCAGGGGAAGTGACTGGCGAAAGTAATGATACCACTGTAAAGACATACGGGCATGCGTTACGATTCGCGATGCGTTTACAGTCATTTGAAGACACAGCTTCGGGAATCGACTTGAATTGGGATGACTTCATTTGGATGCGAAGTCTATGGCACAGTGCCCTATCGAAAACACGACTCGGCCTTGTCTCGATACAGTACGACGCAAGACTTTTGAGTACCTTGTTATTCATCCTGACGCAACACAGGGCGTGGTTTTCGCAACCGAGAATCGTGCTAGATCGACTCGCTTATACAATATAGATTAGCAGCTATGTAATATCGTATGGGACCAGTGCCCTGTATATCGACAAAAGAAAGACACAGACACCACGCTAAATAACATGCACATATGCCAAAGCGCCATAAACAAGGCCGTATACACCACTCGTACCTCCTCTTACAAATTGCATTTATACACAGGTCGGGAGACAACTACATTGGCGTATGCCAATTCTTATACAGACACGAGCACATCGTAGTCGCATCCTCTGCTTCAAGGCTGACGGTATCACCTTTCTGCCCACTCGAAGTGGTCTTGTAGCAATTTGGCACACCCTCACCGCCTGCCGCCGTCTGCTCGACACGCACGGCGTACGGCCAAGTGGTGTGACTCGTGTCTGGGTCGGGATCCTGATCGCTTGGATACTCCTTCGCCATCTTCGTGTACATGACTCCCTGTAGGTTCCCAACAAAATCGCATTCGACAGCGGCGTTATCGGATGTCAGGTTCGTGCTCGGGCTGACCGTCTTTGTTTGATCGATCTGGAATCGGTACCGCTCTTGCTCCTTTCCTTCGTCGAGAAGTTCCAGATTGGCGTTCTTGAAGGATAGACTGAAGGGGTTGTCGGTTGATGAGATTTTGTAGGCGCCTTTTGAGCCGGAAATTATCCAGTTGAAGGTCGCGAGGGACTTGGAGTTTGAGGTATAGTAGGTGGTGTAGGGAGCGCATGTCCAGGTCATGGGGTTGGACGTGCAATTCGTTTGGACAGTGTCAAGGAAGGTTACGAGGCTGTACGTGCCGAGAGGGAACTCGGAGGGTTGCGCGATTGAACTTGAGGTCGAGGTTGGAGAGTCGGAGGATTCGGATGTGGGTGTACCAGAGGCGGGTGTACCAAAGGTGGATGTACCGGAGTTGGAGGAAGAGCTTCGATGTGTTAGCTAGGGTGTCAAGTTGCACAATGAGCGGCATGGCGTACCTCTCGGACTTCTTCTTCTTCAGTCCTACACCCAGACCGACGCCCAAGGCGATTATCAATAACATAATGATTGCGAGTATGATGAGTAACCTTTTCCAGCCTCCTCTTTTCGCGACCTGCTTGTGGTTCCGCAGCGCAGCAAATTTCTCATTCTCACTCCATACATTGAAGCTATAGCCACTTGAGTGGGCGCTCGCACTCCTGTCCTCTGGTACATCAGCCAGTATAGGGCTCAGGCCGCTTTTCCGTCCCAAATCGCGATGCGCTTCACGTGCCTTCGTGGCTTGGTTGTCGGAGCTTCCATTCTCGAGGATGACGGTGAGGCGGTGGCCGGCTGAGGTGGAGATGCGCTTGGGCTGTTCTTGATGTTGCTCGAAACCGACCTGGTTGAGGTAGTGCTTCTTAGAGCTCCAGAGACCCATTGCGGCGAAAGGCTGAGCAGCTGTAGTATAGGAGGGTTGCTGAAGCAATCCCGCTAGTGTCGTCGTGTGTACCACGAGATCCCGAGGTCCGTTTCCAGCTCCTTTGCATGCTCAGCACGAGTGCTTTGCTTTTCTCGTACTGCTTTTTGATCGACGCGTTCAACAAACCATAGCCTGTCTATTCCGCTCAACGATGGACATCGCCAGGGTCCTCCGCTCGAGGGATCACTCCGAAGTGAGGTGATGAAAGGAGAAAGAATGAGGAATCTGAGGACAACGGGCGGCAAGCCCATGGCTGGCTCCCTGAACACTGGGGACGGCGCACGTGGAGACCTAGCTCCTCCCGTGGACGGCATGGCGCAAATGCTATGGACTGCCTTTTGCCTCGATGTGTTTAGTCAGACGGTAGCCGACCGACCTATTGAGTGCCAACATCAGCTGTTCGCGTCGATATCGGGAATAGCGCTGCTGCGAGGCACTGAATCTGAGTGTCGATCTAGACTTACGCCATGCTTTTTAGAGGTGGGAAGCCGGGAAGAGGTTCAGCTCCTTAGCGAAGGGGCGTCGAACACGAGCGGGAGCATCGATATCGGGTCATCAGCGGGAGCTGGACTGCAATGAACATCGACGTGTGATTCCGACATGTAGCATCTACTTGTAGAGAGCATATCGTGGGGTGTGTCAGGGCGCTGCATGACATGCACGACTCGCGTAATTCGCAAGGATGACAGGGCTGTGGGACCCTGTGCCAAGGCTGTTCTGCGAACACCACCGTTCAGTCATCCTCACTTGGGGACAGGATACGATAGGCTCCATAGGCTCCAAACGGTCACGTGCCACTTGGTGAGGGAACACCTGGGCAGCGACCTCAGCGACCAACGAACGCGCGTAATGAGGTTCAAACGCGTACACGACACATTTCGCGGCACAGAATCCGCCTCTTCACGCGACTGCTCCCACAAACGCTTTCGTAAACAGCAGTCGCAACCATGCCTCTTTCCTAAACATCGCAACCCCTCACCTTTCTCGGTTTCTTGTTGTACTCTGCAGCCGGCATTTCTTTGAGGAACTGCAACACTATTATTTGCGAGATAACCTCACAATTGCCGACGTCGAGTAGGCTCTAGTTGACTGGCCAGTAAGTACGCATGTAGGTTTGTTGACTAGCCCGTCCTGACAGGTAGAGTTGCGCGCCACATTCCAGCTCGTCAAAGGAAGACGGCAGCCATGCCTGCTGCTTTGGTCGTGGTACCGCTCAAGCCCGGTTCCGATGGGGATTACACGCATAAGCCCCCCGACAACTCGACCTGGACCCTCATTGATCCGCCGACTCTGTATCTGGAGCGCATTGGCCTGCAATGGATGCAAGATCGGGGTGAGGCCAAATCGGGAGTCAAGTACATCCTTGAACGACTGCCCGTGGGCTACACGCTGCAGGAACGTCCTCGCGCAAGTGGAATCAAAGACAAGTACCTCTTCGGCCATCCTGATCATAAGCAATTCGATTCACCCAATCGTTTCTACCCACATTTCAAGCACATGATGGAGCACGATGGCAATACCATGGGCTGCCCATGTACCGTCTGTAACCCACGTGGCGGTGTGCTTCCCGGTAGGCCACCATCGACCAGCGGTTACTTTAACAAGAGCAATTCTACCAAGGGTGATTCAAGCCCTTCAAGCTCGGCAAGAGTCAGCGGCGCGAACTCAAGGTCCGGCCGTGGCACAGATCTCAAGAAACCAATCACCACGTTCCAAGCAGGCCCTATGAATGGTCATCCCGCCAAAGTGCTATACAAACCCATGTGTCACCCAAACGTGACGCTCGCCGGTATGGACACCTCTCGCGTTGATGAAGACGGTACACCAGACGTATATCGTAACCTCATTGACAAACTCAAGCGTCTCGGCACGTTGGACGAGACTATCAAAGAACCTCTAAGTCTTGAGTGGCGTGCTGAGCAAGAAGTTATTCCAGACCTATTGAAAAAGGTACGTCGGGACCCGCAGTGGATACCTCGTGTGGGCGACATACTTCTTTACGTCCGAAACGTACTCGAAGGCTGCGAGATTGCACAAGATCCTCAGACATGCGAATATCATGTCTACGATCCCAACACCCACAAGTTCGTCAAGCAGGCTGTGTGGGAGGTAGGCATTGTTGGTCAAGCTCCCGCAGAACCTGCAGAGGATGGTAAGAGCGATTGGTATGTGAGTCGAACGGGCGTTCGCGTGGAGCCAGTACCGAACCCCAATGAAACTAACAAGTCTTTGTCAAAACGTTACACATATGTTCCCATAGAACATACGCGTCCATTCTGTCTGTGGGAGGCTTACGTTGGGTACATTCCGCGAGATGAGCGGCATCCGACTATCCAGAATGCATTTACCGTCTCGGCTACAATGTCTCTGGTGGGCAAGCACCGCTTTCACGGCAAGTGGCCAGATGCTCAGATCTACTGTCACGCTATATACGTTGGGTCAGAGCTGATTGCAGTGGGTGATACCGTTCGTCTTGCACCGAAAGCTGGCGATGAGGACAATGCTGTTACAGATGTCCTTGTCGTGAAGACAGTTAGGCTGAAGCTTTCTAATCTCGATAATGCCTCTTCCAACGATTACGACGAAGGACGACACTACAATTCCGAGATATGGATCTATGGCTCAGCATATACCACAGTAGCTTCACGCTCAAGCAAAGAATGGCTAAGTGAGCAGAACGCAGAGATACCAAAATCAGCGTCTGGGTATGGCAGTTGGTACCCACTGCATCCGGCTACAAAAGAGCTTGCGGTGCCGTTTTCCCGTATCGTGGGTCGCTTGTACGAACATAACGCTTTGGAATCCTGGGTTCCAGATCCGAATCCAGATAGCGGCCGTAATGGAGTTCTTGACGCGCGGCATTTTGCTTCAAAAAACGATAAGAGGATTGTGTCCAATCTTGGTACTACCTGGTACTGGGCGGATAGTCGTGCTGACGCCTTGGACTTACAAACCATCAATGGATTCGATGTTGGCAAGCATGATATAGAGCGCGATCCGAAAGAATGGAGAAAGAGTATCAAGATAATGGAAGCAGGAGCTGCAGTGTCCGATCGCGAGCCAGCGCCTCCCATGCGCAGTCTCCGGGGGTTCATGGCACCAAGCACGCAGCATCAAGGTGAAGAGAGCAGTTCATCAGGAAGCTCAGCGACAATTGGCAGCAAAAGACATGCCATTATGGTTAGCGACGATGAAGAAGAAGTTCGACGACAAACCCGCATTGTCACCAACGTCCCCTACAAGAAGTCAAAAATACAGGTTGTCGTCGACTAGAGTTACAACAGAGTGTATCCAGCTCTGACTTCTTATCGTCATCAAAGCTCTCACATCGTGGCTCCTTACCGCGGTACCTGCGCGACTAGCAACAGCCATACAACACAACAAAACTAATTGACCACAATTGTTCCCCTGACGCTACCAGAGCCTAAGTGCGATCAGGGTGTCCGTGCGTTCAAAGTACTGCAGAGCTACTATATGCTTATTGGATCTACTATAATGTCCCCATCGCTATAGTTGTCTACGACATTGGCAATAGTGGGGACAGCCGGGACGGTGGGAAAGGTGGTGTTGTCCATTTCTGTTTTGCAAATGCATATACAGACGGCGCTGGCATCTCGGCGGAGTACGAGGATTGATGTTGAGATACCATGTGCTCTGGCGAAGACCGGCGAAAAGGCCCGGCACCTGTATCATAGGAAAGGATAGACAAAATCGTGCAATATCCACGACCCTGGAACTCCAGATTTTCTCATGACAGGGCTGCATATTGTCTCTGAATGCCCTATGAAATTCACACCTCACAAAGCGGCTTCGGAAATCATAGAGACCAACGATTCTTCCCATTTTGGCTGGAAGTGCACACGTGATAACGCGCGAACCTCCTGATGTCGTGAAAGCATCGCTGCCTTACGCGCGCCCCACCAACACCTCCACCCCTCGCATCTCAGCCTTGATCGGCACTGCATAAATCCTTGGCGCATTTCACAATGCGTCCCAGCGGGGAAGCGGGTAGAGGCGTTTCGGTCTCCCGGAGCGCCTCATCGTGAATTTGCCCCCTCAGGGGCACGGAACACGGCGTAAGTAACGACAGACATCAGCCAGCATGTGAACGGCCGACCGCGGCTCGATAGTCAGCAGCGAAAATTCGTCGCTGTGTTGGGCATTTGATGGCCGTTGCACCGGAACTATTCTGGAATTCTTTCGTGGTGGATTTGGTCATAGCTTTGGACGACGGAGCGAAGGATGCACCCAGCGCAAGGGTGCGAGGACCATCGGGAGTCAGTGTCGATGGACCCTTCTTTCATCAGCAATGCCCTGACCTGAAATCAGCGCAACTGAGCAATAGATGCATGTGGCTTACGAGCACCTGTACACGTGCTTTTTTTTTTTTTCACTCTCGATGCCGCGCAAGAGCAACCCAATGCAATTCCTTTGTCCAGGCGGTCTCCACCCCAAAAAGCGCCACACCATCCATTTAGTTTACCCGAGCCTGTGTCACAACCCCTTGCGCTTTGTGCTCCTCTCGACCAGGACCGGGGCAGCTACTTGACTCTTATGTTGCCGTTTTGGGATTAGTCCTCATGTGATACCGCGTTGGCGCGTTTTGCTAATCAACGCGTCCAATCTCGCGTCGACATTCACTCGGACCTGGTCGCTGAGCAGATAGCGGCCTCTCCGCAGCCCGCCTATATAGCTACAGCGGTCTGCGCCCTCATTTGCCTGTAATCGCCTCTTGTCTGCCTTTCGAAGTTTCTGCCTGAGGACTTCCCTATCGGCTTGCGTATTCCCGGACAATTCTACACCTGCTGCCTATATACTAAAACTATAAATACTCGTCGGCCTTCATCCTATAGCACCAGTTTTCCCATCGGCATCATCGACTTTCCATCCCAACAGAAATGTTCTCATCATCGAACAGGTATCGAGAAGGCAGCTTCTCGAAACACCGAGCAAGCAAGTCGAAGTCGCACAAGAAAAATCCTTCTTTCAAAGATTCGTCTCGTAAGGTGGAGAGGCTCGCACAGCAGGCCACGGCCCAGTCACCACAGTCGAACCAAACGTCGCCAACGATCGGGAGGTAAGTAGAGCGACCTTATTCATCAGTCGTATCAGACGTTGATCACTAACGATGACCCATCAGTGCAATCATCACTCTTTCCATCGGACACGAGCAACGCCTCTTCGCTGCCCACGAAGACGTCCTCTGTCACTCGCCCTTCTTCCAGTCCGCCTGCCGTGATCAGTTTTTCTCTAGCAGCAACAAGCGCATCGACTTACCCGATGAGGATCCCGAAGTCTTCTCCTCAATCCTCGAGTACCTCTACAAGGGCGATTACTATCCCCGCTTAGAGTATGATACCAAGAGGAAGAGCTGGAACTTGGAAGACGGTGGAACTAACAGCGCCAATGAAGCTATCATTCACACAGTCGTCGGACCGATCTTGAAGGACACGGTCATCTACTGCCAGGCCGACAAGTACGGACTGCAGGAGTTGAAGAAGCTTGCGCTACGCAAGCAAGGCCTTCAGTCGGGCATCCAGTGCTCGACTATCCTCACATCGGCACGCTTCGCCTATGCCAATACTCCGGACAGCGACTCGAAGCTGCGAGCGCACTACCTCGCACTGATCATCCGTGCGCGACACACCTTCAAGCGCAGCGGCACGATGCAGAATGAGATGGAGAATGGCGGAAAGCTATTCTTCGACCTTTTCGTGGCGATGGTGAATCACATGGATGACCTCGCTCAGAAGTCACCTCGCTAAGTGTGTTCGCCATCGCCAGGCAACGATGCATCGCACGTCGCCGTCTTTCATCTCCGACTTTTACAATACTCTCTGCTCTTGATTTGTCTTTCTTCTCGGACACGACTTTGGCACGTCCGCGTGCGCAACTCTTCTCACCCCTTTACTCTGACTCACATCCCGGCACGCTCGGTTCGTCCCGACTTCCCGACAACCCCTGAATTATACCACGTAACATCAGCACGCACCAACAGAAAAACTTCACGTCGGCATCGCCGTCGTACTATTTTCGCTTCTTGTATCATACATTTCTCTCAGTCAGCCTCACAGCTACGACTCAATGAGCACCGAGGCTATTCATCTTTGTTCCATCGCGGTTTTCATCTCCTACAAGGCGTCAAGGGTTCTGCGAAGCGATACAATTCAGGCACTCTTTTGCCGACTCGTTGTACCAGTATCGTCCTGTTCTTCCCAAGGTCTATGAGTCTTGTCCTTACACTCAGTTATGACTGTATTCCTCCTCTATCAGGCAACTAAATTGTAGAAGCCCTGATTCGGACCCAAAGGCGTGGCGATGCCACGGTGTCCTAATGGGCTATAACTCTCTTGATATCTTGTTTCACATTTAATGATCTTAATGTGCCCATGGGTTTTGGCTTTCCTTTCTGCGGGACAGATGGCACCAAATTGTACTACTTAGAAGGATAGGTGGAATGCTTGTTGGCTCGATCGCTGGTGCGCTTGGGTATGCAGGATTCAGACTACGGCTAGACGCTGCATACGCTACTATGTGACCTCCAGATTTTTACACAATATGGATTGATGCTTGCTTTACGGACGTAGCCCTCTCTCAAGTCTTGTGATCTTGGTTGAGATGGAGAAGACGGTATGCAGCCTCGCTCACAGCCAGCGTTGGCTGATCTCATCGGGCGGGTGCCTGCATGGCCTTTCTTGATCGTGTCTCTACTCTGTCAAGATGCACGATGTATAACATGCAGTAGGTCTATGGCTCCCGATTTTGTCTCAACTGCCAATACTATTCTTGCACCAAGCTGGTGTTGTCAACGGAAAGGAACAATCCAACTTCTGCTCACCAGGACACATCAAGCCGAAACAGCGCTACGGCCGACAGGCGCCAAAACGGTACCGCAAAAAGCAAGGTCCAACACAGAAGACAGCGCCATAGTACTACACGGTATCAATGTTAAACACCAGCGAAGTGGAAATGGCTGCATTTGCGTCGCTGAGTTGCGTACCACCACGAACCTTATCGACAAATAGACTAGAAGTAGGCTATGGAGGGTCGAAAGCCTCCTCGATAGCTTCAACAACGGTTCGGCTCGATACAGGGCATAACATCCGACCAACAAGGTAGTCAGCCGAAACGATTAGAAGGTTCGAAAGGAACGCCACGGAACGCCAGACGTGGGTTGCCTTGCGTGGGTTAGGTGACTCTCCGCACCGCGAGGCGTCGTTGCTAGCAGGCACGCTATTCACCGGAACGCATGTATATGGCAGGGATACGCCGGACGAGACCACTGCGACGGAATGAGTGTCTCGGTAGGGACAAAGGAGGAATCACGGCGCCGTCACTACTAGCCATGCATGGATGTCGCTGTCGCACGGACAAGCCGCTCGTCATTCTCGATCGCCAAAGTGAGTCACAGTACATGTGGCTACTGCGACAGCAATGCTCAATGTCTCACAGGCGAGTAGCGATCTTCGGCGTGAGACGCAGCAAAAACAACGAACAGCGACCGGCAGGTACAGAAGCAAGGATCTCGCATGCATGCGCGGGTGGTCTCGCTCCGGTGTCTTGAAGCGGCGAGCAGAGATATTGTTGAGGAGGGGTACCAACGGCTGGCATTGGGCGAAAAGACGGGAAAGATGACCGACGCGTCTGGGCGCGCTGACGCGAACACGACCCGATATCACATGGGGTGGTCGGTGCACGCGCTAAGTGCCGCAACGCAGCCTTGTGCAACAGCAGACAGTCGCGCAGAGCCTACGCAAGTGGATTCAGCGCTAGCAATGCAGGCGCACTTCTCCTGAAGATCTATCTAGGTACATTGTTTGACTCACGATACCCAGCATGCCGTGCTCAGCGTGCTTCGGCGCACCAGTTGTTGCCCATCCATCACATCGGCGCGCCGTTGATGTACCTTGTTACAGATACCCAAGGTAGCGCACTGACGGCACAGGTCTGTATCTGCCCATCATGGGCCCCGGAACATACCCGGACAATGTCGGGATGCATTGGTGATACGTAGGCTCCTAGGCCTACCACTTTAGGTATCAGACCCCAGTACCAGGAAATGCGCCCTTCTTGTTCAAGACCACCATTGCATGTTCGCGCGATATGTAGCCCTTCATGAGACCCTGTAGGTGGTCAGCAATGATTCGAGGCGTGCACAGATATGGCAGTGAGCGGATGAGGGTTGCCAGCGCGACGTGGCGACCTTCACAAGCGCCCGCGTGGGAAGCTTCGTATACGCACCTTGTAAATCATATTGGCGAGCAGGCACTCGACCTCCTCATCGTCGACTCTCTGACCACCGCCTGATCCCATCCTCAGCGCGGTAGCAAAGTGCGCTAGCGGGATTCGGGTCTTCCTTATCCTGTCCTTCTCCGTCTGGCCCTCTTTGAGGTCTTCGTAACCCGCTGCACGGAAGACCTTGCGCAATAAATTGCGCAGTGCAATGTCGCGGCTGCGCTCGAGCGTAAGAAAGACGCGCCGTCGCACGAATTCGGGTTCGCCTTCAGCAAACGCCTTGTCGAAGCCTGCAAGGTCGCCCTTTTTGATAGAGCTGACGAGGTCGCCAAACAGGTTCTGAAGATGCGGGAATTCCTCGAGGATCTGAGCGGATGGGATCTCGCTCTTAGTGATGAGGCGACAAGGAATCAGGTATGTCAGGATGAGTTCACGGTTTTTGGTGCTTCCTTTGTAGCAGTATGCCCACGCATTGAACAAGGCGGTTTCTGCCTAGGGCACGTCAGTGGCTGAAAAGCGCAGGGACAAATACGACGCACCTTGTTGTAATCCTCCTGCAGGAAGGCTATGACACCGCAGTAGTACATGTAGGTGACCCGATGTGCCTTCGGGTACAAGTTCCATGGAGGCATATCTGCTTGGGCTTCAATTGATTTGATAAGGTTCTTGCACAACGTGATCGTTTTAAGCTTGAAATATGTCTTGAACTGTAGGTTCGCTATGCAGTACACAGCCCACTTGCGCGACTCGCTCAAGTTCGGGTTTCTGCAAACGTCAGTGTTACCATCAGAGCATCGGACTAGTACACTCACCTGTCGCTCATGCACAACGCAAAGATACGGCTGAAGACGCGAGCAGCTTCTTCAAGCTTCTGGTTCTTTGGTGTCGTGGTCACTACATCATCCGAGAAGCCTGCACTGAAGGTGACCGGCTTTGCTTTGGCTAGTTGTGTGTCCGCCTTGATGGCGAACTTCCTCAAATCATTCGCAACAAAGTACAGCGTGAAGATTATCCAGTGTGGCAGCGTCCCGTTGCCGATATACTTTTGGAAAGTTGACACCAGATCCTTCCATGCATCGTATACTTCCACCGAGTGTCGCTCTGAAAGTCTGCCTTGATTCTGCGCCTGATCTGCTTTGATGATCTTATTCGAAGCCCGCCAAAAGTCCGCGAACACGTCTATCCAGCCCTGCACTTCACTGCGTTCTATCCCGCCCAGCCCGTAGGTAATCGCGTTTTTGACGTTTTGCTCGACTCTGGCTTCGTTCGTGGAGCGCCAAAAATCGTATAGGCGATCGACGGGCGCAGTTTTGAGGCAGCTCGCAAGTTCTAAGGCATCGTGCTTATAATAAGCCTGCTGGAAGCCGGCAAGCGCACCCTCCATTGACATCGAGTTAGCGACGTTGAGTGCGCTGCACTTTCGGGGCGGTATAAGGTACGTTGACCCGGGTGCAGGTATGTAGCCTTCAAATATGGCACATCCTGTGAAGTTGACCTGAGTGACTAGAGATGCTTCCCAAGTCACAGCTAGAGGGGACTTTAGCGGGCAGCTGCGTCGGTGCTTGTGGAAGGTGCCGCCGATCGTGCGCTAACGGCGAAATCGGTTAGCTCGCACAGTTCGGCACGCAAGACAATTTTGGTCTTCCCTTCGCTACTGCCAACTTCGACTCTACGACAACACCGGTACTAACCACCACACCACAGCATCAAAGTGCGTTACCTATATCCTCAAATTATTGCGATTGCTAACAGGAATGCAGATGGGTAAGCAGTTCTTTCCTCGCCCGCCAAGTCCCAGCAATTGCAGTCCGTTCCACTTGGAGATGCGCCCGCCTACCTTCACCCTCGCGACCGCTGTCGATTGCGAAAATTTGATCAACTTCTGATTGGAACGACACAAGAAGCGGTATTCCTAAGAGCAGGATCACTCCGTGTCGCTCGCGCTGAGTGACGTTGAAGCAGCGAAGATACGCAGAAGCGAGGACGGCCGCCAAAATCCAGTGCTTGATCATACCACCCAAGGACGCGCACATCAACTGCATCTACTCAACTGATCCGGACTGCAATTGCTAAAACAGTGATTACAATACTTGCAGGCAACATGCTGACAGCCGTAGGTCGCCTTCAGGAATACCAGATCATCGGGCGTCACCTGCCCAGCGAGGCCAACCCGACCCCGAAGCTCTACCGCATGCGCATCTTTGCGCCCAACGAGGTCGTCGCCAAGTCGCGATTTTGGTACTTCCTTGGCAAGCTCCGCAAGATCAAGAAGGCGAACGGTGAGATCGTGTCTGTGAACCAGGTGTGTACCGACTTGCTCCGTATACTACGTTTAGCACCGCTAACTTCTCGCAGATCCACGAGAAGCGTCCCCAGAAGGTCAAGAACTTCGGTATCTGGATCCGTTACGACTCGCGCTCCGGCACACACAATATGTACAAGGAGTACCGCGAGATGTCCCGAACGGACGCCGTCGATGCCCTCTACCAGGACATGGCTGCCCGCCACCGATCCCGCTTCCGGTCGATCCACGTACGTTCACCGCTCTTCTCATCAGCACGCAACTAACCTTTCGCTCAGATCCTTAAGGTCATCGAGGTCGAGAAGTCCGCTGACATTCGCCGCCCGTACATCAAGCAGCTCCTCGTCAAGAACCTCAAGTTCCCTCTCCCCCACCGTGTCAACAAGTCGGCCAGCAAGAAGATCTTCTCTTCTTCCAGGCCTTCAACTTTCTTCTAAGCGTCTTCTTTCCTGGAGTGGGGTCTGGCTGGCAGGGATGATATGGCTTTCTCGGGCTTTCATGCATGGCTTCAAAAATGAAGTATACTAGGAACGAATCAAAATCCCTGATACCAATCATCTCGCCTCTTGTACGTGAAGGACAAAGGGACAACGTCGGGATGAGGATCGGATGTCGGGCATGAGTTACGAAGTCACATACACGGTACATGTGATCGATATTGGAATCAAAAAGCTTCAAGATCAAACGCTATTTGCTTGTGTCAATACTCAATGTTATAGCTTAGCTCTTGCACCCTCGACTTTCGGCTTTCCCACAACATCAATTGGATTCCACCACGGATACGCTGAGACGAGCGTGTTATCCATCGTTCCAGTGAACTGCGCAGGCCGTTTCTGCAAGAAACTTTGCACCCCCTCTTTGTTGTCCCTGTACTCTATGTTAGCTCGCCGACTCCACCCTCTTCTTATGGGCTACACTTACGCAGACGTGAACAACTCATACAAGATCCTCGAATCCAGCAAATGCTGCCCCTCAGCACTCCCCGTGTCCCTAAACATCATCTCCTTCATAAGATAAGTAGACACTACACTTGTGTTCTTCACAACCTCATTCGCAATCTCAATCGCTTTAGGAAACACATCTTCCGGTCTGTCCACAGTATACGCGAACAAGCCCGCCCAAATAGGGTCTGCTGCAGGATACGTTGAGCCCGTCGTAATCGCCGCCATCGCACGCGAGTGCCCGATCAGCCGTGGTAGAAAGAAGGAGCTGCACGCCTCCATGACGAGCCCGCGGCGCGCGAAGACGAAGCCAATCTTTGCGGTTTTGGGCGCGATACGGATGTTCATGGGGAGCGTCATGGTCATGCCGACGCCGACTGCGCTGCCGTTTAGGGCGCCGATGGTGGGCTTGCGGCAGTTGTGGATGGCGAGGGTGACTCTCCCACCACTACTCACATATCAGCTACAGCCCCCTTCCTTCATCTCTCGTACATGACATAGCATCACTTACCCGTCCCTGTGCTCATTAATCGGTTCCCTGCCGCCCACAAAACCCACTTCCAGGTCCGCGCCTGCGCAGAATATCTTCCCTGTCGCAGTGAAGACGATGCATTTCACTCTGTCGTCTACATCGAACATGGAATACGCTTCTTCGAGCTCGAGCATCATGGTGTTTGTGAAGGCATTGTGATTATTTGGCCTCCAGAGCGTTAGGACGATGATCCTGGGATCTCCTCCGTAGTTCTCGGTCCTGATTTCTTTCCATTGCAGGTCATTGTAGCTTCTTGGAAGGGTTGGGGCCGGACGTGGTTGGGGCATTGTGAGTTCACACTGGTCAGCAAAGCGGTAGTGGTAGATCTCAAAGGGGGCCTGGGGAGAGTCAAATGGAACGGAGATCACCGAAAGCCTATAGTGAGAAAGCTGGAAAGTTTAGTACACAAGATTAGTATAGTGATCAATGGCTTGGTTAGTCGCCTGTTGTGAGAGCAAGCATGTGCGGGGATGCGGAGTCTGGAGTAGGCCGAGGTTGATGTTTGGAAGGACGAGGGGGTTGTTTTCCGGCTTGGCGGGATAATTCCGTAGAATTCGACTCGCAGGAGCCGTCCCACTTCATTGTTTGTTCAATCTGGCAGTCCTTGCTGTAGTTCAGAAAAACCTCACGTGGGTGCCTCGATGATTACTGTTAATCTAGAAGTACGAGCTCACATGTTGGGGACTTTTGCTAGGTTGGATGAACGCATCCTCTGTAGCAGGTGATGCAACATTGTCTACTTCGTGTTTGCGTATCATGGGATACATTAATCAGCCTTTGCACATTTAATATCACTTGCGTGAACAGGTCGGCGAGCTTTAGAACTGTGATACTTACTATCAGTCAAACGATCGGGGCTTATTATTAATTACAGATTAGATGCTAGGGAAACATGCCGTATCTAGGCTGGTATATCCACCGTCCCTCCATTGGAGTCCAGTCCAATCTTCTCCCCAATAACCATTCAAGAGACAATACCACTCCCAAAGATCAGGTATAGAACGCCAAACGATGCAATACATGCATGTTCCTCATTCCCACTCCAACTATTTACGCCTTCACGCAGAAGCAAAAACACAAGATAGGAAATTTACAATTAACGATCGTTTTCCACCAGAGGCTGCCACGCTGCAGGACAAGGCTCCAGCTAGCCCTCCGCAAGCGCCTCTCCTAGAGCCTCCGCGTCGTACTCCTCAACCACAATCTTAGTAGGAGTCTCCTTGACATCGAAGAACCCCCAAATAGGCCCATTCTGATTGACGCCTGGTGCCCTCAAGCGCACTTCCTTCCTCGCCTCTTTCTTCTTTCCACTCACTTCCTTCTTCACTGTATCAGTGCTAGATTGGGTCTCCGCGCTTTGGCTCGAGTCAGGTCGTGGCGAAGTGGAGGTAGAAGTTGAAGTGGGCGCAGCACCCCACTTTCCAAGAACCCACCCACCGACTTTCCTACCCAGGCCTCCGGCTGAGGGAATTCTGTACCCTGCACTAGGCGCGCGTGGGGTACTGGAGTATAAAAGGGACCGATTGTACGTGCTGGAATCGAGGTCACGACGGCTCATACGCGCAGTCGCTGTAGCGGTCCAGGGTGTGAGCTCAGGATGCAGACTGTCTGCGCCTCCTGGCGTCGCAAAGCGTGGGGATGTAGATAGAAGTAATTGTGAGGGCCGCGATTGCAGGGTGTGAATATCCATTCCCGATATCGAGATCAATGATTCGTGAGACATGGCGCGGCGGAGGGTTGGCCGGGTTTGGAACAATGGTGACATGAGGTCTTCGAGTTCCTCATCGTCGAGACGAGCATTAGGTGACGGGGAGGCGAGAGTTTCAGGGGTGGTGTTAGCGTCGGCGTCAGAGGTATCTTCGCCTTCTTCTAGAATGGTAGGCTGCGCTTGCGGAGACGGTGAAAGGACGAAGTCATCGTTGGCAAGCGAACTAGCTGGACTGACGCCAGACACCACTGCGCTCGCTGGGCTGCTTTTTGCTGTTATCGAGATGGGTGTGCTTACGCTCCTGATCGTTGCCAAGCTCGGAGGCTTCAGTGACTGGGTTTTCTTGCGGTAGTGCTGATTGATGTCGCATGTAGTGTGCGTCCTTGGTCCGAACTTGGGTGACTGAAGGTCGATTGAGTCGGAGGGACTTGTCGGGCGGGAAGAGTCATAATTAGCGTCGCTGAAGACGCGGTCGTAGATGGAATCGCGATGTGATACTGAGAGAGGGGAGCTGGGTAGTGATGGTGCGAGGGTTGTTGCGTTGGACCAGCGATTCGTGTTGGGTACGGTGACGGCGGTTTGAGATAGTATAGTGGTTTGCGTTGCGGGATCTGCTTGTATAGGAGGTGTGAAATGTCCAGGTGTGAGACTGAAGCGCTTCTTTCTCGGGCGGCGACTCGGAGGTTTCGACGGAGTTTTTGCGAGAGGTTGGCTGTAATGGTGGTGGATATGCAGCTCTTGGTTGTAGACGGTTTCTCCGGCCAGTTCTTTCTGCAGGTTTGGAGTGGCAGCTTGGGGTGTCGCGAGCTCAGAAGGGCTCTCACTCGGAGACACAGGCTGATGGGCGCCCAGATACTCTCGGAGACGTTCCACTTCTTTGTTCGAGCTGTCTAGCATCTCGCGGAGTTCGACGATGCCATGTTGCAAGTTCGCGTTGTCCAACAGGATGTCCTTGACAAAGTGCGAGACCACATTTGTGCCACTTTTGTCGACTCCAGCTTTCGCCTTCAATCTTCCAGCCGCCGTGGCCAACTCTCCATCCACCGCCATGCGCCGCTCCATGCGCGCTACAATCTCGACATGCCTCTCGCGTTCTTCCCGTGACTCTTTCTCAATGCGATCGATCTGGTCCTGGAGATCGGCAATGACCTTTTCCGCTCTCCTCCATCGTTGTATGGCCGTCTTCTCATCTGTGAGCCTCAGCTCCAAACTCGTCTGTGTCTGCATCTGCTCCCTCTCCAGATCGAGCAGCTGCGCCTCGAGCATCTGGGTCCGGGCTGCGAGGGAGCTCAGCCTCTGAAGCTCCTCCTCGGTCGAATGCAGCGTATCGGTAAGCGCCTTGATCTGGGCATCTGAGCTCGCGACCGCGTCGTTCAACTGCTCCAATCTGTCCAAGAGTTGTCGGTTCGCCTTGATGACCTCTGCGTTCTTCTCCTCGAGCTCCACCTTCTCTTTTTCCAGGCCCTCGATGGTGCCGAGCATGTGTTTGCGTTCGCGCTCCGAGTCGGCGACGTAGGCTTCATGGCGGGAAAGAAGCGCCTGCAGGGAGAATGTGAGCCAGTCTCTCGAGTATCTCTCTGTGTCTAGCATCCTGTGGCACGACTACTTCCACGCGGTGAAGGACGTGAGGGAAAGTCATCGGCAGGGCAAATCACATACCTGGCCCAGCACGGCAGCTTTGTTTACATTCCGCTCGAGCCCTTCGACCAACTTGTCGTTGTGCTTGAGGAACGCGCAGTCGCTGCTACCGCAGCAACAACGTGGGCTGTCCGGAATGTTGTCGTCTCTCGCTAGCTCCATGTGCGTCTCGGCGGGGCGCACTCGTTGCGCGCGATACAGCGAATGCCCGGGTGGAGTTTGTTCGTCCGGCGGCGCGCATGCTCGACGTGTGGTATGTTGAGGGCCGGTGCGTGTGAGCGAGGAGGGGAAGAGGTGCTTTTGGTGATTCCCCGGCGCGTGGGACATGGATGCATGCGTGCCTGGCTATTGCACCCAAGGAACAGCTGAATCCTTGCCCAAAGCCCCGCCCCAGCCACCGCGTTTTGCGCAACGGCCACCTGCCATCGCATCAGGTTTCCCTGCCCAGTACCATTGGCCTGCTGTTTGCCATGACGCTCGCCCACTATGCACATGCGCATGCTGCCCTTTGTACCGCTGGACGTCTGCTTGTCTACGCCTGCCGCGCGACGCGGATGACACGCCTCCTTCGGGCATGGCTAAGAAAACCCTGGAGATTGCAATCATGTGGGACGCCGTCTACACAGCAAAGTGGACCTTGAACATGCCTTCAAGACAACACACCAGCCTCTCATGCGTTGCGCCTATCTCTCCAAGAGGCAAGAGAGCGAGACGTGGCAACTCAAGTCCGCCAACGACGTCTCTGCCTCTCGTCACGCCCACTTGCCGGGCTTTCCAACATACGAAAGGACAAGGCCGTGGTGGCAGTCGGAAGATGCTGCACGCGCTGCCTGTCGGACTCGAGTACATGGAGCAGCGCAAGCCATCATGACTGGTCGGCAGGCGTCCATGCCGACTCGCCAGATCTCGCACTCGTCCGCCCAATTCGGAGCATTCATCCTTGGCGTGGCCCCATCCAGTAAGCGAGCTGATATACCTCCCAGATTTGATCCAGCCGTACGTGTATAAGAAGAACAAAGGCAATATTGAGTGGAGTGGCTATTGTGTTCCATCACCGCAGCACTTCTCATCTACACCTGGCTCAGAGTTTAACTTTCGACATGAAGCACAGCTTCTAACGTCAACCCCTACTCCCAACGTCAGTCCCACTTCTGGCACCAAACTCACTTCTCGACGCCAAATTCTTTCACTGCTGTGCAACGAACCCTGATCCGACCTAGACTTTGACCAATGGCAACCATGTTCCGCTCAATATCACGAAGACATCCCGTACTCTCAACAGAATCAGCCAGCCACCGCATCTCCTCCACCTTCGGCACGCCTCAATCTTCCTCCCTCAGTCACTCCTCTACACATCTCACAACACCTCGCCCACCAAAACATCCAGTCTCTCCAACCAATAACACCTCAACCAATGCATCCTCACTCAGCATATGGGCCCAAATTCGCTCCTCCCCGCGCGCAATCCGCTACACAATCTACACCGGCTTTGCCCTGGCAGCTACTGCGGAGACCACCTTTTGGACGAATGTCATCTATGCAAAGTGGTTTGCCGGCGAGGCTGATAGGGAGGAGGCTGATGTGTTATTGGAGAGATTTAGTGAAGCGGTGAAAGGGTATAGAGCCAGGTATTTGATTAATTATGGTGCGTACTATAGTGCTGGTGTGTGGGGATTGTGAGGAAAACCAGAGAGAACGATATTGCCTTGGCAATTGTTCTGGGCCAACTACTTGGTACGACTATGATACACCGTCGCTATAACCTTAACTTGGGGCTATCTCAACCCAATATCCTCCCCGTCGAAGTCTCCTTTATCCTTACATGCCTTTCCTGGTCTTTATTGAATCTAATCACTGCCGTACACTCTCCCCGACAAGGAATTCTATGGCCTCGGCCTTGCTCATATAACCATAAAAGCGTACTATCGGCAATAGAGAAATCAGCAATTCAGATACAAGTAATATATCATGCTCCCAAGTTCTGTTCATCTGGTCCTAACCTCGCGTTTCACTTACATTTACCTATCCGTCCACTTCTATCATTTAGCCAATATAGTACAGACATCTACTACTTGAAAGTTACCGTTGGGAGGCTAAACTATCCTAGAGTACTCGTGGCTTCTTCAGAACAAGAGTTGGATGGAAGATAGGCAGCGCGAAATTGCTTGCTGATGACATGTAGAGGAAGGGCGAAAACATTCCATTATAAAACTATGGTCCGCGCCTTTCCCAAGACCCGGAGAAATCTACTTTCCCCAGCTCAACGACCACGCTCCCTGCCACGCTCCTCCCTTCGTAAGCTCATTCAGACTGCTGAGCTTCAGCACACCCGTCGCCTCATCGTACGCCACGTTCCCTCCGTCCACAGCCTTTCCGTTGAGCTCTACGTCACCAATACCGTCAAAGACTCCAAGGATGGTGATATTGCCTAGCGCATTAGGATCGTTATACTCACCCTTGGCCTCAACCTTCAGTTCTCCATCCTCCGCAATGAACGCCACTTCTAGCGTCGCATCCTGTTCGATTGACTCACCATCGTCCACGTAGAGGTAGCCTGACGCCTTGCCATCGTCGCTGAGCGCCACGATCAAACCCCAAGGGTTAGCGCGTGATTCTGTGGTCGTGTACCCTGGCTCCTGGATTGGTGTGACTGATCCGCCACGAAGATGGACAGGTATGTGGCCCAACGGTGAAGGGATAGAAGTATTCACGCCGGCCTGCGCATTCACCTTCTCTCCAGTGTACCAGTCGTACCAGCTCGTTCCGTCAACGACGCCAGGGAAGACGCCGTTGACGGTCTCGACTTGAGGTTCTAAGACCGGCGTGATGAGGATGTTGGGCCCAAGCAGAAACTGCGTGCCCACATCTGCGAGCTGCGGCTCTTGCGGGAACTCCCACGCCAGAGCACGCATGACCGTCGAACCAGTGGTATGGGCTTCATAAAACAACGTGTAGATGTATGGGAGAAGGGAATAGCGGATATTCATGGCGGTCTTTGAGGCAGAGGCCACGCTAGCCCAACGGAAGGGCTCCTGGGATAGGGCAGACAGAGTGTTATGGTTGCGATAAAATGGGAAGAAGGCTGAAAGTTGCATCCAGCGCGAGCAGAGCTCGTAGTCAGTATTGCCATTGAAGCCGCTGCTAAAGTCAGAGAAGATGCTCCTATCATATCAGGGCAACACTTACCAAGTGTCAACACCGAACATGGGGATACCGTAGAGCGAAAAAGAGAGCGCTTGTGAGATGGAGAAGTACATGTAGTACCATTTTGAAGCGTTGTCTCCACCCCAATGGCCGGCCCATTTGCCAGAACCGGTAGCCGTCGATCTTCCAATGATGAACGGTCGTTTGCCGGGGAACACTGAGAGGAGGCCTTCATAGGTTGCGTTGAGGATCTGGTGCCTATGCTAAAGTCAGCTATGCAAATTATATATTGCTCGAAAGAATTCGCTCACCCAAAGATGTTGTGCACATCGTATTCTTGTACGCCGTTGGCATGCGTCGCGTTCGGGCTGACAGCATGGACGGCCAAGTCTCCTTGGACGTTGTTGATCACATATGGAGGATGATTGACATTCCTTGCTCCGGGGGTCGGAGTAGTGTTGAGATAGCTAGTAGTGCTTGGTGGCGGTTCAGCTGTCGCACTGAGTTGTGAGGCTTGTGAGCTACTTGCAGAACTTGCGGAAGCAGCTTCAGTTGTGTTTGTAACATTGAAGCCTTCAGGGAAGTCATATATACGGTTTCCAACTTCTCCCGGAAGGCTGAACGGCGGGTGAACGGGATTCAAGGTGACGTTTCCAGTGCCGCAAGATCCAACGCAAAAGGAGGATACTTCAGACATGTCGATCCAGATGCCCGAGAATGGGACTTCCTTGTACCACTCAACAAGCTCCTTCACCCACCATGCTTGCCCATTGGCAGAGAGCCAGTCTGGGAAGACGGTATAACCCGGCCAAACAGCGCCAATCTAGCATTGGAGTCAGTGGGAGAGGTATCGACGTTTTCGTCATGCCACTTACGTATTGACTTCCGTCTGGGTTGGTCAGGAAAGAACCTGACTCGTTTCCGCGAGTGTATGTGTCATATGCGTCGGACGCATTCTGGGGATCCGGGATGTATATTGCCGAGTCTACGATTGGAACGAAGTGCTGGTTCTTGCTGTGGATGTAATCGAAGAACTCCTTCACGCCTGATTGTGGGAATGACACTGGGTCCAGAGTGAAGTCGCGATATTGATTCATGTAGTCAATATCAGTCCAGATTGTTTCCAATGGAATGTCGAAGGCTTTGAAGGTATCAACAATCTCTCGCAACTCGGTCCAGTTGTGGTAGCCCCAACGACATTGGTGATAACCAAAAGCCCAATATTGTTGTAGAGCGGGAAAGGCATCCAAAGATTTGAGATATTGCTTTGTGACTTCTGGTTGCGTCGGCCCGTCGTAAAAGAACAGATCAATGTTACCTCCAATAGTACGCCATGTGATCCGGTCGCTGGATAGTTTCGGTTCTTGTCCGTGAAGGTTCCTGAGATACACACCGTGAGAATGGGACTCGTATGTAGGTCCACCACTGCCGCCGCCATTCGAACCATTGGTCGGGTAGCCACCGTTCGGATTTTGATGCTTCGAGCCATGACCGCGCTCATCGATCTTAGTCTTCTTGACTAGCTTTCTCTGTCCTTCTTTGTCTGTTTCAAAGTACCTTGTCTCGAGATAGAACGGTTGGCTGCCGTATATATTGTCATCGATTGGATCCCCAGCATCTGCAGCATAGATGGTTGCGCTTAAGTTGCGATTCAATTGAAAGTCATGAATGCGTTCACCAAGGCCGTATACTAGCAGTAAAAGTTAGCTAGGCAACATTCATGTACATCCCAAGAAGAAAAGCCGGAAAAGCTCGTGTTGTTAGTAGCGCAAATTAGTGGACGACTGCTTGCTTGCGAGGAAATGTATGAGATACGTACGGTGGTAGTCCTCCGGAAGATGAGAGACGAATTCAATGAACTGGTCTTCATAAACTAGTCTAGTGTTCTCGGATGAGAAGATCACATCACCAGTAGAGTGCCTTGTAACACTGAACCAGAATGAAGGTTCATCGTCCCCTGCGCATGTCAGTCATGATGTCTCGTAGCCACGATCAGTATCTTACAATCAAATTCGAGGTCAATGTCTCCCGCAGTTGAATCTGCCTTCGGTCTAGGAATCAAGTCTTCTGGGACAATATACCAAGAGGAATTCGAGGCGTCCTACTCAAGTTAGGTCTCATCAAGTGTTTCAGATGGAGATAGGTCGGATACTGACAATGTTCGCAGGGCTGATGTTGATGGCAAGTCGGTTGGCACTCTGATATTCGACAGTCAGTTTCAAAACCTCAATATCGTTTCCATACACATTGCAGGGAGCACCGGCAAGCGTAAGCACGGCGGTCAAGCAGTTATCACTCTCTTTGACCTGCGATGCCTTGTATCCCGGGCAAACGGTCTGAGCGTCGATAGCTGCCGGATCATGGACGTTGGGCAAGAGGTCCGCTCCGACATCGACTGAGGCAGGCATCGTGAAGACATCGCGAAAGGTTGTTGGCGAACCGCCAATTGTTACAGTGTTGACTGTCGGAGAAGGATGTGGTGTGGCAGATGGCCCAGCACTATCTTCTGAATTGACCGGCTGTTGTGCAACTGTCAATGCTTGAAGAGAGAACAATGACAAGGACAATTTGAAGAAGCTTGAAGGAGCCATGGTGGGCCAGAGCTTGCGCTCTCTGACAATCTTCGCTCAAGAAAGGTAAGAGAGAGCTTTCGGGATGTCTATTATGGATGCCTTGGTATAATTGAGTCCAGAGGTATACAGATGTACCAAGTACCCGTCATGGGGGGACTATGGCCAGATATATCTGCGCTCATACTACTGGGTCACTCCGGCAGCGCACAAGCTTGCGCAAAGCTCCTAGATCCCCGCAATAAACAACAGAGCGAAATGACGATGGGGCAGGAACATGGACAGGCACACAGGGTGGAGGGTGCATGGTGCATAAGCGAGTAAGCCGGGACACCTCCACTTCAACACTTGGCCGTTGGGGCGTAGCCGTAGCGTGCAAACCAGATCGCCTTCGAAATTGCGGGACGATTGTACACCATGTTGGAGCAGCCACCCAATGCCGGTTGCTCTAAATGGCCGGGAAAAGCAGCAGAACTGTAGCGGCATGGCTAACCGTTGAAATTACGTTGAGTGGCGGCGGCGTTAGAAAGCTCCACAACGCGAACAGGTAGAAGTGGGCTCGAGAGTACATTGACCAGGTAATTCTTGGTTGTCCACAGGACGAGGAGATGCAGATTGCATGCAGAGTGATGATCCCATTGAAGCTCCTCGGAAGGATATTGACTTTGTATTGGTTCCATCTCGGAAGGCTGCTGGATGCGAAGTCGCAGTTGGGGTGCGGGAGGGTAGGAAAGCTTGCTCAACCGATGACGGAAGGCTCAATGTGGGGTGATCCCGCCGCTGGAGCTCGACCTCCACGCAACAGAACCAGATAGTCTGCAAATTGAAGCTCTACACTGTTACCTCCACAGGGCTTCCAAGCCAACCTCTGAGCGCCTCTGCCTTCCACAGCAAAGTAACAGCAATTCTCAATGTACAGTCCAAGCACATCAAGTCGTCCCTTGGTACAAGTAACAGCGCACTCTAGCAGCTACATAGTGCACTAGTGTACCCCGCGATGAGGCTTTTCAAGCTCAAGCTTCGTCGAGCAGTGGACCTTCCGAGGGAGCTCCCGAAGGAGCTCAACGATTGGCACGATGTCGGAACGGGTCCTTCACCGTTAGCGCGAACAACGGACTGACCATGACAGAAGCTTGGAATTCCGCGATGGCCGTCTTCTCGCTTCTGCGAACACGATGGTTCCTGGACCGCTGCATGTACGGAAACTTTCCCGGAACAGAAACGGGTGCCCGTGGGCGACGAAGACGGCACTCGTTGAAGGGCACGAGAAGATCCCATCTGTGTCGTTGCACAACCTCTGACACAAAGCGTTGTGCAAATGGTAATGACTAAGTGACTGTTGCCACTAACCACTTGTTGATAGACATATGTCTGGAGAGCTGGAGTTGAATGGCACTCATAGATAATCCGCCTTCCACGCAACTCAGGAACAACATCGAGAGCAAACACCCACACGGTGACCCGTTTGGAGACCGGAGGAACGTATTGGCATTACCAAGGACACTAAGGTCACGCGACCTTCCAAGGTTATGGGGACGCCACGTGGGTGGTATTACCTCGGGAGGCATCAGGTGCACCAGACATGTTGCGAGCTGCTACCTCTGCTGGTACACAGAGGGAAGATCTGCCACTTTATAACAACAACTACATCCAGCATCGCCGAACGTATACCGGGCCGATATGCGACCTTTAGCATGTAGTGTAGTCACCAGCAAGTCACATCCGAGGAACTGCATTACTTCTGCCTCTTCTTCAAGTCGCAGTCTTCCCTTGATCTCTCCGCCTCCCGATGTCGCTGCCCTGCAGCTCGGCCAATTCAACAGCGTGCAATTCCGCCGGCGGATGCCTCGTCTCTAACTCCTGCGTCTGTCCGATTGCCTGATACAGCTCCTTCCTGTCATCATCATATGACGAAGGAGCTACAGCGCCAAGTTCATATGGTTCCATTCTTTTTCGTCGCCGCATGAAGGCCCACCACCCGCCAACAACACATATTATGAGCAGCGCAGCTCCTCCTATACCGATGCCTACTGCTGCGCCTGTGCCGAGACCGCCAGGTGATGCTTGTGCGGGTGCGCTTGTGGAAAACAAGGTTGGTGAAGGCGTTGTGGAAGAAGAGATTATCGAGGTAGACGATATCGTCGTGAGGTCGGAAGTTGAGAATGTGCTGAAAAACGTAGGCTCGTTATCTGTGACGCAACATGTCCGGCATGTCTTGTTGGCGCACACCCAGTCGCGGTCGCAGTCATCTTCGCTGCTACATGAGTCTCCAAGGCAGTGCCCCTCCCAAGTACAGACCGCGACGCTGGCGCTACTGGTTCGTGACGCCGTGCGCGTCTGTCGTGTGAGCGAGGTGATGGTTGCAGACATTAAATTGTGCTAGGGAAGGAACCAAGGCCCCTTCTAACCTTCGAAGTGGGTCGCGTAAGAAAGAGGGCTGCTACGGCCGTGACTTTTGACTTGTAGGATACAAGATCGTAGAAGGCTGAATTCTTGGTGTTGCCAGCTGAGGGTCGCGGGTTCCAGAATGGGGCCGCATTGCCCAATCGATATTCGGCAACGATGCTCTGCCGACCAACCACTCCTGGACACACAGCCGAGCAAGATGGTAGGGGTCGATAAAACCAAAGTAGACAAGTATGGCGGCAATTGTGGGTGTCACTTTCCAATTGTTTTCTTTGTAGTATAGACCATGGACACCGTTGCTTCAGTCTACATGTGGAGACGGTCATCATGTAACATTTGCAGGTGTTCTGCTTTCAATGTGCCATGTAAAGTGCCTGTGGCTGCTGCAGCACGATGCATACTGCTGTCATCAGCTTCGGCTACAGCTGTGTCAGTTCCTCCAAAGGAAGCCTGCGATAATCATGCAGAAGCTCGCAGCTCCCCCAAACTACGTCCTGAGATGAGGGTCAACAATAGCGTTTTGGATGCTACTCTGTGATACGATCATCTCGTCCGAATTATTCAAGCGAGTGCGCAAAGCTGTTCCTATCGTGTAAGCATTCGCGCTTCTCGTCTCGCTTCCAGCCACTCCGTCGCATCTTTCGCATTCTTGTCGGAAAGAAAGACATGATACCAGACCTGGATGCTATTTCCTCCATAGCTACCGCAAGTCTCTCCACGAGGCTCTTACCCTGCCATTCGGACGTCGGCAGCTCCAGCGCTGTCGCAAAGACTAATCCTTCGTCCGATAGCAGATCGTGCGGCATATGACCGCTCTCGCGCTTACTCCGGACATGAAGTGCCTTGCGTAGTCAGACCGTAGAGGTGCTTTACTCCAAGCTGCCGCAATCACTCCATCTCGTCGCAGAAGGAGCAATTCTGAGGCGTGCATCCCCGCGCGCCAGGTGTGACATTCCAACCTTGCGGTATTGACTCGTGCGGCCCGTCAGTTCTGGGCTATCGAAAGAGGATTGACATGCCAGACAGTGTTGACAGGTCTACTTGGGCGCCGGGCGTCGTCGGCAAGTTTACCGTGGATGATTGTGTTGAGGGACGTACTGACATCGCCGAGCCAAACTGACGCGCCATGTCTGAAGCCATCGAGGTCTTGTGCGAACGATGTGTTGTGCTTCAAGTAGATACTCGCAAGCAGTCTTGACGTTGTGCAGGTGGAGCGGGAAAGAGGCGGAGCCAATCGCCGAGCACGCGTTGGATATTTAGTGGACGCGTTTCGATGACGTCACGACCAATGATAGACCACCCAAAGATGCAGCTGTCAGCAGGCGGGGTGCTCTCAAGGGAAGCCATAGATGTCGTGCACTCGCTCTGTAGCCTGTTTATTCACTTTTATGCAGTCATTACGCTTCCTCTCCCCTTTCCGAAGCTCCTTCAAGCTCCACACTGGGCTACGATCTAATTGCAGAACGGCTACCTTCACAACAAACACAAGAGCTATGGCGCAAGAGTTCAAGGTCAGAGGACTTTCTTCCTTGAACTTGAAGAATGGAGACAAGCAGGAGGTAGAATTAGAGGGTGTCGAAGGTGGAAAGGCCTTGATTCTCAAGATCCAGGATAAGATCCACGCCACTTCCGCCAACTGCACACATTACGGCGCACCTCTGGCCAAAGGTGTTCTTACACCGGAAGGACGCTTGACGTGCCCATGGCACGGCGGTAAGCTCAGCATTGGCTCTTGAGAACTCGGCCTAACGGCCGACAGCTTGTTTCAAGGTCTCCACAGGAGATGTGGAGGACGCACCCGCGCTTGATCCGCTCGCCACGTATGAAGTGTTCGAGAAGGACGGCGCGGTCTACGTCAAGGCCGATGAGAACATCATCAAAGCGAACAGGAGGTTCCTCAACCTCAAATGCTCGGCATTGAACGACCAAAAGGTGTTGGTCATTGGAGGGTAGGTCGTATTGTTCCAGTGATATAGTAACGCACTGACTCTGTCGTGCAGTGGCTCCGGAACCCTCGGCGCCATCGAAGGCCTTCGTGGAGGAGGGTACAAAGGCGCCATTACCGTACTATCAAAGGAGGGCTACCGTCCAATCGATCGTACCAAGTTGTCAAAAGCATTGCTCGCAGACCTGTCCAAAGCCGCTTGGAGACAGCCGGATTTCTACAAAGACGCCTCGATCGACATCGTGGAGGATGAGGTAAGCAGTGTAGACTTCTCCGCCAAGAAGGTGTCTACCAACTCTGGGAAAACGTACGATTATACGAAGTTGGTGCTGGCAACTGGAGGAACGCCACGGTGGTTACCATTGGAAGGCCTGAAAGGAGACCTGGGTAACGTGTTTATCCTCCGAGCGTTGCCTGATGCTCAAAACATCGTCAAGGCAGTTGGCGATAACGGTAAGAAGATTGTTGTCGTCGGTAGTTCCTTTATCGGTATGGAAGTCGGCAATTGTTTGGCCAGCATGAAGAATGACGTTACAATTGTGGGCATGGAAGAAGGTATGTTCACTGGACTCATCTAAGAACAAGCCTTTGCTAATTGTCTAGCTCCCATGGAGCGCGTGATGGGCAAGAAGGTCGGCGAGATCTTCCGAGGCCTCCTCGAGAAGAACGGCGTCAGATTCAAAATGGGAGCTAGTGTCGACAAAGCTACGCCTTCGAAGGACGATTCATCAAGAGTAGGGGCCGTCCAGCTCAAAGATGGTACCACGCTCGAAGCCGATATTGTCATCGAAGGAGTGGGCGTCGCCCCTGCCACAGAGTACTTGAAGAACAACTCGGCAGTGCAGCTGGAGAAGGACGGTTCTATCTCCACTAATGAGGCGTTTGAGGTCAAGGGTTTGAAGGACGTCTTCGCCATAGGTGATATCGCGACCTACCCTTACCACGGACCTGGCGGTAATGGTACTCCAGTTCGCATTGAGCATTGGAACGTTGCACAGAACGCTGGCCGATCCGTGGCGAATACCATCAACAATCCAGACTCAAAACCAAAGCCATTCATCCCCGTATTCTGGTCAGCTCTCGGTTCCCAACTACGCTATTGCGGAAATACCGTGGGAGGCTATGACGACGTAGTCATCTCAGGAGACACAAAGGCACCGGCGTTTGTGGCTTACTATACTAAAGGCGAAGAAGTGATTGCTGTCTCTTCGATGGGCAAAGATCCATACATGACCCAAGCTGCAGAGCTGATGCGAAGAGGCAAGATGCCTACAAAGGCCGAGCTTCAGAAGGGCGTCGATATCCTTGAGATCGGTATCCCCTCCGAGATCAAGATGTAGATGAAACACTGTTTCTGCCAGGTTGGGCGGCAGTAAGCATGATGGCAACACCGGGAGAAGGGGAGAGGGTCTTTTCTTCTAGAAAGCAACGGGGTTTCAATGCGATACAGAGTTAATGACGCCAAACATCTCAGAGCTTTTTATCCAGCTGCCGTATCCTTGACAATGATGCTCGCATTGAACGCACGATGGACGATGGCGCTAAGCTAAGCAATCGCGCGGAAAAGTGGGACCGACGGTCGATGCACGTGGTCTCACTAGCCGCCCAGGTTAATTTCCGAATCCACCTGCCCAGTGCTGGCTTTGAAAAGCAGAATGTTGCATTCCGTCCTTGCGACGAGGAAGACGACATGCCGCAAACTTTGGTCCTCAGTCGCAAATGCGAGTCATCGGCTGCGGTGTTGACTGGCGTTGCTTGGCGGCGCGGAAGCAGACGCAGGGCGGATCCCTTGCAGATGGAGAGCCGCGACGGCGGACGGGTGTTTACAGCGCGAGGGTAGAAGGTGTGGGATAGGGCAGGGAGCTTTCCACGTCATCGCCCAACGGCGGCGGCGAGAGATGGCGTTGTTTACATCGCGACGCGTCCCTTTTGTCGGTCTGGGTTGACCCAGGAACTGTTGCGCGGGTGGATCGAGATGCCAATCGGCTCCGGCTCCGGCTCTACTTGTAGCAACTGGCGCAACTTGGAGTTCGTTTTGCTGCCGCGCCGTGTGGCGCCGTGATGACTGCGATAGCAATGGTCGATGGAGCTCGGTGCAGGTCTACGCGACGGGTGATGAGCGCATGGCACAGCAATTTGCGCCATCCCGTTCCTATCCCGGCGCGTCGACTTGAAACACGGCCACCCCGGCTTCGTCCCCAAAAGGGAGAGACACTGCAGACAGGACTGGAGAGCAGCGCCCTGAGCGCCTGCCGGAGGAGTGGTGAGAGCATGGCAGATGCATGCGCAGAACGGGCATCAAGATGCAGAGATGCTCGCCCAGGAACGTGGCCTGCGGCTGCACGTAGCGTCCAGGGACGGCCCAGCCTGCCGCAGCACGACAGGTTGGAAATGTTGAATATATCCTGACTTGTCTTGTCCTCGGGCCCTGTGTAATGCCGGTGCTCTCCTTTTGAAGAACCGAGATTAGAGAGGGCCTCTCAGCCGCGCCTGCTTCCTTCACCACTGCCTTGTCCGACCTCAGCAGCTCGCTATCCCAAGGCCTTCGAGTCGACAGACGTCGCCGCCGCCGCCAACGTTGGACTCGGCGCCTTGCCCTTCGTTGCACGCCGGCCCACGCAGCCCCCAGCCTGAGGCACCCGCCTGCTCGCTATCGCATCCGCCATCCGACTAGCAGTGCATGTGAAGGCACGCCAGACGCAGTCCACAACGCGCCGTGCCCGAGCTCCTCTCTCGCCTGCGCGCTGCCGCCGCCAATTCCCTCGACCGTCCGCTCTTGACGCAGCACCCTCTCGCGCTGCCGCCCGCCTGGCCTGCGTCGACGCGCTTCCTCTGCGACGCTGCCGCGCCGTTGTGTCGGTTCCTGAAAGAATTGCTAGCCCCATTGGTTAGCCATCGTCGCCGCAACAGAAGGCACGACACGCCGCTTCCCCCTTATCCATGTCTGCAATCGCAAACCGACCCTACCCGCCGCAGTCACAATCGCCGCATTCACAGCAGTATTACGCTTCGCAGCCGCCAGTGTCGCCAGACTCGACGAGGCCCTCGCGAAATGGGATCATCGCACCAACAACACCCCAGGCTCACAACTCTCCGCAATCTGCAGCAGGTTTGACCCTGAACACCCCACGCGCCCAACCCGCAACCTCCTCCTCCCAACCATCTTCCCAGATGGCGACCGCCGCAGTCTCCAACGCCGGCGCGCCCATGCCTCCGCCCCGGACTTCTTCGCACCGCAATCAGGCCAGCCCCTCGACTCCCCGAACTGCACAAGACGCGTCTCAGTCACGCAGGAAAGGCAAGGACAGCCCGCATCAGCAAGGGAGCGCTAGCAGATCGCGGCCGACCCCCTCGCAACCGTCACACAGCCGCTCCGCGTCCGCTGTCGGCCAACCACCGGCTGGCACGAACCTGCCCCGTGAAGAAAGCACCGTCATCAACAGGATAGTCGTCGCAGATCCTCAAGAAGACATTGCCCGTGAACAGGCGAGGCAAGCAGAAGCAATACCCGCGACATCTGGACCAGGCATTACGCCGATAACCGGCCTCGGCCTGGTAGGCAGTGAAGGCGTCGATGACGGAGGCAGAGGCGCGGGAAGGAGCCGCCAGGATCATTCCACCAGCTCGGCAAAGCGCTCTCGGTTCGGCAACTATATCCTTGGACAGACGCTCGGTGAGGGCGAATTTGGCAAGGTCAAGATGGGCTGGAAGAAAGACAGCAGCGTCGAAGTGGCTATCAAGCTCATAAGAAGAGAAACCCTGGGCGGCAATGCAAACCGCTTGCAAAAGATTTACCGTGAAATTCACATTCTTCGCGGCCTCGAACACCCGAATATTGTACGCCTGCACGAGATGGTGGAGACGGAACGCCATATCGGCATCATATTAGAGTATGCGTCTGGTGGCGAGTTGTTCGACTACATCCTCAATCACAGATATCTCAAGGACAATGCCGCGCGCAGATTATTCGCGCAACTCATCTCGGGTGTCGGCTACCTGCATAAGAGGGGCATCGTTCACCGAGACTTGAAACTTGAAAATTTGCTTCTCGATCGCAACAGAAACATCATCATTACAGATTTCGGATTCGCTAATACTTTTGACCCTACCGATGAGCTTAGCGAGGACATTGAGTTCAACTTGAGTAACAAGGATTATATCAAGGCAATGGGACTAGAGGGTACTGATGGAGCACGTCGGGGCGATCTCATGCAGACCAGTTGTGGTAGTCCTTGTTACGCAGCGCCTGAGCTGGTGGTTAGCGACTCTCTGTACACTGGTCGGAAAGTGGACGTGTGGAGTTGTGGTGTGATTCTGGTACGTTTCCACTGCATGAATTACATACAAGATCTAACTATATTAGTACGCCATGCTCGCCGGTTACTTGCCCTTCGACGATGACCCAGCCAACCCCGAGGGCGATAATATCAATCTCTTATACAAGTACATCGTGTCCACCCCACTCACCTTTCCCGAATACGTCACACCGCATGCTCGAGATCTCTTGAAACGGATCCTCGTACCCGATCCAAGAAAACGAGCGGATCTATTCGAAGTTGCGAGACATAGCTGGCTCAGCGACTACGCTCATGTAGTCAGCTTCATTACCTCGAGCACGACTACCTCCAATGACGTGCAAAAAGCACCAACAGCAAACAGTATGTACACACATCGACTGAAGTTGGAGTCAGGGTATGCTAATGAGTTTCAGAAGATCCACTCGATGCTCCCCCAGCACTCGCTAGAAGCGCTTCCGTGCGCGAACCAGGAAAGCCCCATACAGCCGTCACGCCCGTTGGTGGTCTCACTGCCAAACGTGATCAGATCAACTCCCAACCGTCCGATAAGACCAAAAAGGACAACAAACGCCGAACCGTGCAAGTCGAGTACGTGGCACCTCAGTCACAAACAGCTCGTGGGGAAGCGTCGCCGCCCACTGCTCCCGCGGCATCGTCAAAGTCCCGCGTCAAAGACCCAGGACCCACCGAGGTTCCCGCAACAGATGGCTATAACGCTCGTCGATCAACCACAACCAGCAACATGGCCGCTCCATCAAGGCCAGGGCGAGAACCACAAAGATCGGTCTCAGACTATACGGCGTTTGGTGCAGTGCCTGCAACATCCACAGCGCGTCCTTCAACAGGCGGTACATTGGGTGCAAACTCACGCTTGCCTTCAAGAGGAAACTCGTACAGCCAGCCTGCTACTGCTACCGTTGCTCAAACCAACGTAGAGGGCCGATTTTCTCAGCCAAAGGGTAAACAATATTCTATTTCGGGACCGATTGCGCAGGGCGATGCGGGAATGGGACAGCCCAGTATTGGACAACCCAGCGCGCAACGAGTGCAATCACTACAAACAGAGCATAAAGGACACAAGCGCTCGAACACGGTTAGTGAGACCCTGGGCAGGGTGACATCGATGTTCTCGAGCCGTCAGCCTTCCTATTCGTCCTATTCGCAAGATCCCAAAGACTCGTCCATCTCTCAAAACTCGAATTATGCGCATGAGAACAGACCGCAGAAATCATATCCTCCCACAGCCATGCCTGGACCTATTGCTAACGAAGCATTTCCCCGACAGAGCAACGAGTCTAGCAGACGAACATCGTTTGGCTTCTCACGTAAAACTACGAATGACTCCCACAACACGGGCAAGTCGGGACGAAGGTTTTCCCTTTTACCGAGTTCATTGTCGAAGACATTTGGTTCGGGGCACAGAGAGAGTATGCCGGCGCAGCCACACTCCGAGCGCCGCGGCTCTGCAGCTGCAACAGGGAGACCAAGAGCTGGTTCTCGTCCGAGCGGCTTGGCCTTCGGGCGTGGAAATGACTCCCGGTCTCCTAGTCAGAGCACCACGGGAAGTAATGTTCCAGGCTTCTACGATGGATCACACGACAGCAGGCGCGCGGTTCCTGCATCCGCTCCACCCAATCAAACACAGTTCGACTACGCTTCGCCCATTGGCGACGACAAATTCCCTGGTCCGAAGGAACAGCACCCTTCTGCGAACAGACCGTATCGCCATCACACAAATGACTCAGAGGCGAGCGAGGGCGTTCCGCGGGGTCAGCATAGGCCACAATATCCGCCTGGCATGGGTAGCGATGGCCCCGAAGAAAGGCAGAGGAAAGGGGTGCTACAGAAGAGTAGGAAGTTCGCGGATGCATATGATGAGAGTGCGGGTAACAAGGGATCGAGTGGTAGCTCGAAGAGAGTGATGGACTTCTTTCGAAGAATGGGCCGGCAGAGAGGAAAGGAGGACCGGTGACGGAACAACAAGTAACGTGAAGAGCTCAGCATGGCTCTATTTCTTGCCAACATAGTTTGTCTACGCGCATGATGCGTGCGTATTGCTAGCGGGGCGAAGAGCAGCGCCGCGGTGGATGAAGCATACTGGTGTAGCAACAGTAACTGTGTGGGTTACGTGAGGAAGCGCCATGGGGTACTAATACCGCATCTGATTGGCGTTCTTGGCAGATGAGGGTTTTGTTTTGTTTCCAGCTTCAGGGGATCTTTTGGTAGAGCGGGGACGGGGGCATCGGCAGACGTTGTAATTTCTATTGTGTGGTTCAATTCTTGGATGAGAATATATTAGGAGGCGCAATCGGCATGGGCATTGCGAATTGAGGAGACAGAAGCAATGCAAATAGTGTAGGATGCAGGAATAGGATCATGGGATTTGACTCAGCTGCGGTATCTCTTTTCTCACGGCCTTGAAGGAGCGGACAATTCGTCCGAACATCATAAAGTAACCAACTGCGTAAAATCTCGACATCAGTCCTCCAGATGTTCCGAGCCCCGCAAGTGGAGAGCAACCCCAGACGCGGACGTGAGCGTGGCAATTCATGACTGTTAACGGGGCTCCCACGCAGAAAGGGCCCAAGCTCCCACTGACAGGGTCCACACATCGACGTCACAAGATTAGCCTGCATTTGCATCCCTGTTTGCTTTCAACACACATTTCCCCCCGAACGTATGTTCGCTCTCTGATTGTCGAGCGTCGCATAAAGAATCACACAAGTCGTGTATCCCAAAGTAGAATCGCGAACATGTTACGCTGGTAAGTGCGATCTGAACCTAGGGAGAGCGGGATCGGACATGGAAAAGGATGCTGATTGTGGGCACCGCAGGTACCAAGCAAAGCTGAAGAGCGCGCCGCTGCTCACGCAGAGCATCACTACGGCGGTATGATGATCGTCTCCTCCCTTCTATCGAACGCGATGCGCCCTCTAAGCCAGCGCCCACCTTCCACCACATTGGTTCGAAACAAAACATAACATAGGATGTGGTAGAACAATACTGATGTATGGTGAATAGGTTCTCTTCGCGACCGGCGACGTTATTGCCCAGCAAGCCGTTGAGAAGAAGGGCCTCGATAAGCATGATCCCTCGAGGACAGGACGCATGTTTGCATATGGCGGCTGTATGTTGTCTTATTCATACTCCTACCATTCCTCCAATCACTAGACAACTCATCACCCATTCTCAACTACCCATTCTCAACTACCCATTCTCAACTACCCATTCTCAACTACCCATTCTCAACTACCCGTTCTCAACTACCCATTCTCAACTACCCATTCTCAACTACCCATTCTCAACTACCCATTCTCAACTACCCATTCTTAACTACCCACCACTGACCCCTTTTTAGTCATCTTTGGCCCCGCCGCAACAAAATGGTATACTTTCCTCGCCAACCGCGTTTCTCTCGGCACCACCAACCGCACAATCGCCGCTCGCGTCCTCTGCGACCAATTCATCTTCGCCCCCGTCAACATGACATGCTTCCTCTCTAGCATGGCGTACTTCGAAGGCAGCTCAGTGAAAGACAAGCTTAGCAAGGCGTGGGTACCGGGCATGACAAACAACTTTCTGCTGTGGCCGTGGGTACAGGCAGTCAACTTCAAATTTGTGCCGCTCGAGCATAGAGTGCTGGTTGTGAATTTCGTGGCGCTCGGGTGGAATTGTTATTTGAGCTACCTCAACTCCAGCGGTAGCACGGAGAAGGGCACAGTAGATAGGATTGAGGAGGCAGAGAGCAAGGCGGCAAATAAGATTAAGAAGGAAATCTGATGAAGCTGGGCTCCTCGAAACAAAACGATTTGAAGCTGGGACTGGGTTTGTTGGTAATATGGACGCATATATGCGTTGGAGGTCGTTATGTACATGTAGTTGAAAGCGGAATTCTCTTGAGAACGATACCCTGCGATCGATGATTTGGCGGGCATTATACGCAGCATGGGCTTGTAAGATACTTTGATAGACTCGGCGTTCCTACTCACCAAGTATTCCACGTTCCTCAAGCCTTTTGCTCTGACTTCGCAAGTTTGATTCTATAACGATCATTCGATTCACATCCATATGGATAAGGTCACGCAGCCAGACCTCAAGACTGATCTGATGGGAAAGAAAATCGAGTTTTATACAAAGGCCGTTCGGAACTAGAGCTAAAGCCAAAAGCAGTACATGCATGGTATATCAAGCAAAGCCGTCCTTCCAATCAAATCCAGGCTCTCGGAGTCGACCAATGTTCCAGCTCGGGCCTAACTCCTCTACCCAGATCAGACCGAATCCATCCACACAGACCCGTAGTGTCCAGTCCAAATAAACGCCAATTGCTCTAGCCCAGCCTTCGTTTTCGTTAGAGACAAGGCTAGAGCTATGCTTCGCGGAACGCATACCGATCGTTTCGTTCGATTTTGGAGGTATAATGTAAACAAAACAAAGCAATCAGTCATTCAAATACGAGCTCTCGTTCTTTGACAGGATCAATCAATCTCCATCCGCTGGGCTGGTGTCGGTCCGCTCAAGCTTGGCATCTCGTTTCCGTAAGCCTTCCCCTCGCTTCCCCTCCCGACGCTCTTCTCGTTCACAAATGGCTTCAGTCCCTTGTTGAAATTGTGCGTGCAAATGCATGCTGTGATGATGGTGATGACAAGCAGCAGAATGGTCAGGACGGCGAAACTTGTCAGCGATTTTCGTGCAGGCTTGTAGTCCTCGAGACGCGCCGCATCGGCAGCGTACATGCGGACTAGCTTGAACAAAAAGTAGCCCAGGGCAATGAAGTAGATGATGATGACCACGATCATGCCGGCCACGGACTCTCGGCGGACCCACCACGCAGCCAGGAAGAGCAGGATGAATGTGATGACCAGCGCAGCCGCCGTGAGCGCGAGTTCTACCGTCGAAGTGTTCTCGACAACGACGAGGAATTGGACAGTGAAGGCGAGGAAGAAGAAGAAGTCGAATTTCAGCAGCGCAATGTAAATCTGTACATGTCAATCAAGGTTTACCCAGTCTGTCTGGGCGGGACAGGACTTACCTGATAGGTGAGGTAGCGCCTCTTCATGCGCAGATCTGCGGAAATGTGCTTGTAGATGGTCCAAGCGAACTCATCATACAGCTTCCACGCAATGAAAGCGAAGACGATGGTAGCTACCGCCATCAGAATTGGGAGGGCGACGAGTTCAGCGCGGATCTCGGTCCAGACAAACAGGTCGTCGAGCCCATTGAGTTTCTTTAGCTCAGTAATCGCTTCGTCGATCTGATCGAACTGGATGGCGGCATAGATGAGGATACCTAGGTTATATATAACCAGCCCGATGACCTGAATGGTATTCTTCTGGGCGAGTGCGTCGTAGACTAGGGCGATTTGGTAGATGTAGCCGAACATGAACACGGCGAGGTAGGTCGGGATCGTCCGCGACTCGTTGTGGTCGTTGACGTTCTGCTTGAGAGCATTCTGGAATCTAGCAAAGACATATCTGTGCGAAGTCAATTTAGCGATTGCGCAGCACGGGTCGGAAGCAGACGTACGCTTCGAGGACGAGGGCAATGACGGCCTGGGTCACGGCCGTGAGGAAAAAAGCCCAGGTCCACCTGGTGTTTGGGATGTACATTCTGCGTTTCCTTCTCGCAACGGGGGGGAGTTCTGTGGGGAAGCCCTCGCGGCTGTGGTAGCCGCCTGGCTGGGTCGGGTAGGGCTGGGGCTGCGGTGGGTGATGGTAGTTGCGATCGAGGGGCTGGCCTCCGAGGAGGGAAGTTCGTGCCTCGTGGTGAGAAATTTTGGCGGGAGTGAACAGCCGGTATACGGCTGAATGGAGTGGATCAAGTGGGTGGGCTGGCGTTTGCCAGGAGGAGCAGCGTGCGACTCTGGGCGGGGATGGCGGCGCGAGTTGATAATGCTATCGGCGGCGTGAAGACAGGGCTGAGACGGGAGTGAGGCACTTGGTGGATCGCTGGGGCCGCAGTGAGTGGACAGTGGCAGTGTGCGACGCTGAAACAGATGGTGGTGCGCGTTGGGGTGCGACTGGGTGCCTGCGGCTTCTGAAACGGGGTCTGGCAGGTGAAGGAGGGTTGCCGGAATGCCAACGAGGCGTGACAGGGGCGGCGAAGGGCGTGTGTGGGCGGAGTGCGTGCGAGCGAGCGGCTGGAGTGAGGGTCAATGTAGAAGAGAGGTGTTGTTGTGGACGTGGAGAAGGAGGAACAACGGGCTGCGGCTGGTGCGGTGCTGACCCCGTCGACCCCGTCTTGTGGAGCTGCAAAGCGCCGGATAGCGGCCAACTAAAGCTGCCCTGGCGGCGGCCTACAGCAGCGTTCGCCCACTACTTGTTCCTGACGGGCAAGACAAGCGTGGTCGCGGGAGGGCTTGTTGGGCAGTGGAGAGCAGATGCAGACTCAGGAGCGACGACGGCGCACGGGAAAGAAGATGGAGTCGCTCCCAGTCAGCCTGTTTTGAGACGATCGTCTCGCGTGACGGCGACGCTGACCTTGGCGCAAGAGCTTTCGTCCATCCAGGGCGCACAGCCGCACGAGACGTTATATTTAGCAGTCCTCAGCCACACACGCGGGAGCGGTGGGGGCTCGTCGACCGCTGTTCATCATTCTTGTTCAAACGAACGCAGGTTGCATTGCACCGACGCATTGGGTCCAACTCATGAGTCTGCTACGTTCTCCAACGGTGTGACGAGTGAACGGCGTGCTTCTCGTTCGTACAGCGCCCAGCCTCGTCTTACTAGTACAATACCCGGCACACCAATCCAACGCTGGGATCCCTACCTCGAAATTCTCCGCATCCTGATACGTTTTGGTTGCGTCTCTCTACGTCATGGAATGCCAGAGCTGCTCCATTAGACATGCCGAAAAGCTTCGAGGTAGTGAGTGCGACTCTCAGGTGGCATGTGTGCTGGTCAGCGGGGCCCCACTCCTTTTTACGTGGCGTTGTGCAGGGGTTACAATGAGGGCCGGGGCCAGGACGTACAAGGTACAGAGCCCCCAATCTTGTAACTGAACACCGAGTTACTCAACAAACCACTGTGCACTACAGCGACGAGGCCTCATTAGCATCAGAAGACACCGATTGGCCTCATGTACTGAAGCAGTGAAGCTTGCGAAGCAATAATCCGCGTTACGGGAAGAGGTCGCTGACTTTGGACTTGCAGATGAGCATCAGTAACCGCGCAGTGTCATGTCGTTTTCACAAATTCTACTCAGTAACCGCGCAGTGCCATGTCATCTTCATAATCGTCTCGGACTACTATCGAACTGGTGCAGACATGCGCAACGCACGGTCAGTGCGCTGTAAAGTCATTCGCGCGAATGCATGCAGTGCCTCGTCAAAAGGTTTGAGTCACCATGTTACTTACCCAAGGACGAGCCACGCAGCACCCACATGCGGGACATAGTACTGTACAGCTACAGGCCGGGAAACATCAGCATGATCAAGCTCCTTACGCCGTACCGGCGCATACTTATGACGAGAATGAGCAACCTATACGCGATAGAGCGCCATGAGAGCTAGTATCCCGAGCAACTGGCTCCATCCTACTTCCAATGTCTTGCCGACGCCCTGCTGACTTGGCGGCCTCTGACCCGTCAAGTCCTTCTCATAACCCAGCGTCGACTGCCAAATTGGCGTTGAGTCATGCGTGTTCGAAACTAATCGGTCACTTCTTATTTCATCAATGGTTCCGTTGAAATTAATCGTTACGTTGCCCTCAACAAGACTGCCTTGATTTGATTTGCCTTGGTAGAAACCTTGGATCTCGAGCGAAGCGCTACCATTGCTGAACCGTCCGCTCACTCTGGGTACGCTGTTGATGCTGGTATTGGGTGAGCAGGAAGATTGCGCTCCGACGATTGTGCCATTGTACACGGCTAGCGAACGAGTCGCACATTGGGTGTAGTTGAAGCGTAGGGCTTGTGGTGAGACGGTCGAGTTGCGGTAGCCAGTGAAGGAATAAGTAAGAGCTGCATCGTGGTACGCGGTGAGATTCCAGGGTGGTGCGGCTGTAGGATCGTCCGGTGTGTCTTTCGTGTTCATCCTGTCAATAGTTCAGCCTTATTTGCTGCTCGACACATGTGCAACACATACTGGACGGAGCTGATATCCTGGATATCCTTGATGGGACCATCGTTCATGTTCCCAGACGGCAAAATGTTCAGGTCTGAGTTCCAGAACTTCAGACTGAAGGCCAACGGATTGGCAGCATCATGGTTCTCCAGCACAAGATGCCCATTTGTCTGCGTAACAGCTAGAAGTGAGTTGTTGAAAATAGCAATCGGCCCTGAAGAAAAGTCTCCACATCCGATGTCTCGCATAGAGTCCTGCGGCTGTAGTCGAATCGTGGTCGAGCCATTGTAGTACCTACTGGGTGGTCAGCGCTGAGAGCTACGAGTCGCAGCGGCATAACGTACGACCCCGTCCAGCGATACAAATAATATATCAACCCTGTAATGTTATCAGGCCTGAGGTTAGATAACGGATCCATGTCGACTTCCGCAGTGAGGAATCCCTGAAGCACTGTGACCAGAAGCAGCCACGCCTTGCACCACATCTCGGCGCGAAGCAGGGTGCGGTAACTTGCGCACGCGGTCGCGTCCTATACATACGAAGGTCGGTATCTATGTGGTGCGATGCGCAATAAACGAAAAGCCGTCAGTCCCAAGGCGAATCGTACTCCATAGGATCTGGTGAGGGGAAGTGCCATGGCGAAAGGCCGCACAGGCTGAGCGGCTTAATCGGGAAAGATTGCGTGAGACGCTTGCTTTGCTGGTGGTTACACAGAGCTTGAACGAGCGCCGCTACACTCCCCTTGCGCATCGCGCGCGCCGAGTTCCATCGTCTATATCTTGAAGTGCTTCCAGAGCTCATAGAATTCAAGGGGAGATCAACAAGACGTGCGATGATAACATCGTGGGTTTGGAAGGTTGCAGTCACGGCAGACGGACGGTAACAGGAGTCTACAACGACGAAAAGATCAAGCGCATCGTTTTTCTCGATAAGAGCTTAGAACCAGTGGTTAAAACAAGCACTTATGAGCGGAGGTGCAGAGCGATTCCAAGGTTGAGCCCAAGTGTATCCAAAGGCACGGACCATCTCCCTTCAAGCTCCCATTTTCTTTCCGCGCGCATCATCACCATCACACATCTTGAACAATCCAAACTGCCAATACATCCCATCGATCCAAGGTTACATATCCGTCGCTCTACGATCCGCCATCCATCTCCCCGCCATCAAACATAACAAAACCGCCACAATGTCTTTCCTCTTCGGCCGCCAACCGCAGCTCTCCTCCGAGCAAAAGATCGCCCAAGCAGAAGCAGAAATCGACATGGTCTCAGACATGTACGCGCGGTACGTTGCACTCCCCCCATCCTCTCGTCGTCTCCACTGTCAGCTGGGACACGCCGCTGATTTTCTCTGGTGGTCTAGTCTCGTTCAGTCTTGCAGCAAGAAGTGCATCGACACCTCGTACCGCGAAGCCGACCTCAACAAGGGCGAGTCCGTCTGCCTCGATCGCTGCGTCGCAAAGTTCTTTGAGGTCAATGTCAAGGTCAGTGAGAAAATGCAGGGCGAGGCGCAAGGGAAGGCTGCTGGTGGAGCCATGTTCGGCGGTGGCATGTAAACAAGATTACGCTATGAACAGGGTTGTGCTGGGTGAATGAGGAAGGAGAAGCAGCGAGAAGCTGTATGTTTGAACAGACACTGCGAGATACGGGGGTTACGGAAGGCGAACAATAATCACCGCTTCACATATTTGGCGCTGGGTGGGCTGTTTGGGTCGGGAATCGGCATTGAACTGGATTGGCATTGTACAACTATATTCGTCGGACTGGGCAAGGCGCTCAGAGTGGTACGATATGCAAAATGCGAATGGCACTCAGACTGTGCACCAACACCCAGATGAACTGCAGCAAACTGTATCTCGTCTGTGAGAAAAGACGTCGAGCACATTGGATCGTGTGAAAATTCATCTTCCACCCGCAAACGATCTGAAAGACCTGACAAATTTGCGCTTTCTTACTCGCTTTTAGACTAGCACAATTTGATGCATCTCGAGCATGTAAGCGCTACCTTCGCCAGTGGATGCTAGATAGGATACGCGATGCTCAACCCCTATTTATGCTGTTAGTGTAACCTTCTATAAGCAGTTATGTGCGATCTGCCTACCCTTGTTCAGCTTCTTGAAAGCCACCATTCTATCCGTTCATGGCGGGTTCGACGTCACGCAAGCTTGTTGACGATGCCGCTGGAAATGCCGAATCCCACGCATTGCTGAGCAGACCCTTGATCAGTTGCACAGTCTCCTCGTCAAGACCACACTCGCAAAGCCTGTGCAGTCTCCCAAGCTCAACAGCAGACCTTTGCGCATATAGCTCCGCCTGACGAGAATGTTGCCGTGCTTGTGTAGCCGCGATTTGTGCGTGTTTACAAGCATCCAAAGAAGCGAGAAGAGCCTGTTTCGTTTGTACCGTTAGAACAAGCTCCTTCAGCATACTAACACGGTGGTTCAGGGTTGTACAGACCTCAGCGATCTCGAGGCCGCGCAGACGGTCCGAAGACGTGTCCCGAAGCAACGACACTTGGGTGAGAATACTGTTGATCACGGGTCCAGCGTCCGAGGTAGTGACTGCTGGGGCTTCTGAGATGGTATTGGGCGATAGGACAGCTTGGAAGTTGCCGTGCTGCGTTCCGGCAGCTTTCGAGGTAAAAGTGGGAGGCGTGGCGACTTGCACGATGTCGTTCTGCGAATGAGCCGGATAACGGTCTTCTCGAGATATTGCGCGACGGTTCGTCACGTCGGTCGCCTTCTGATCATGCTCCGCGAGGTTGGCGGAGCTTCTGAAGCGACCTCGTATGGTGCTCCCGATCAATAACGAACGCTTCGGAACTGCAGGTACAGGAGGCGTCTTCTCCCTGTTGTCCCGGGGAAGGAACATGTTCCTGAAACTACGCTTCGGGTTGACCGTCTTTTCACCAACGGTCTGATTCTTCTTTTTTTGTGATACCTTGCTGTCATTCTTCGACCGAGTCTCTAATCGTTCATCCTTCAGTTCACTTGGCTGGCTGGGGCTGTATGCAGGCTTCCGGAAGATGGCACGCTTGTCCAACATGCTCGCGTTGCGTGAAGACACTGCTGTGGATCTAGCATAGCTGGGCGAGGATCCATCTCGAGAGCTGGGTGTGCTTGGATTAAGAAGCGCAAGCCTCGCCTTGGATCGACTCGAGGTTGTATGCTTCGGTTCAGCAACGAGGTGTTGATCTAAGCTGGCAGATGGGACCATGGCTGGCTTGGGGGTGACCTTAGAAGATCGTTTTCGAACGGTGACGTTCCCCTCCCGAATAGGAGTGCTCTGAGGAGAGGCTGACGACTGTTGCAGCTCGCCACGCATGGGAAGTTGGGTGGTCCTATGCTCCGTAACAGCTACACTGTAGCTTGATCTCCTCCCACTAGCTTTCGATGTTTCTGCCCTAGATCTACCGGCAGAAAACCTTGACATCGTGCGGTTAGTGATCTTACTCAATGAGTCTCTCTTGAACACTGACTTGCTGACTGCGATGTCCGGCACAGGAGGTACATCCTTGCCAAGCAAGACAGCGTCTGCATCGTCTGCGATCTTGAGCATCGGGCCAGGCTCTGATTTTGATGAGTAACCAGAAAGGCGCTTGGTGCGGTATCCGGGCTGCTCAGCCTGTGGCTCATCACCGCAAATCGGCGAGCCAGCCGTCTGACTCCCGACGGTTGCCGACTCAGTCGAACTAGGCTTCCAGGCGGCAGTGTGATAAGTATTTGCAGACTCGGACATGCAGTGGGCGCTACTCATGTTGCCATCGTTACTATCAACTTGATCCGTCTCAACCGGCTCTATCTGCATCCCCATGCTATTACAGGCATTGTCGCTTGCTGTGGTCAGAAGAGGCCACTCTGCATCGCCCGCTTTAGCTTCTCGCTGGCGAGATGCAGCTGTAGCTGCGGCCTTCACCATCTGGGCTTGCGATGTAACAGGGAGAGAGGCTCGCTTGGAGCTAACGCGCGGCGGAATAGCAACCTTGTGGGCGAGCGGACTTTCCAGAGCCTCATCGTCAGGGGTTGTGAGAGCATGTAAAGTTGTATCCGGAGCGAAACCTCCATCAGAGAATGTCTGTGGTGTATCTTCAAAGGGTGATGACGATGTTACTTCCTGGGAATTGCATTCGTGTTGGGTAGTCGACAATACGGTAATTGAACGGTCTATGACACCAGTTGTTAGCTCATCTCCCTCATATAGCGACACGGATTCAGCAAGGGAATGGCTGCAAGCTGTGGCATTAGCAATGTTAGTATCCTGGCTTCCTCCTGGGCCTTCCGATACAACGTTATCAGGCGAGAGCGCCGGCCATCCTTTAGACGAAAGCGTTCCAACGACGTCTGCATCGATGAGGGTCCGTTGGGCATTGGGCGGGCTGAAAGCATTCATGAACTGTAGCGCTGGCGGGCTCGGTAGCGGCTTTTGTGCGGTTGCTAGAGAACTCCGCTTCGATTCCTGCGCGCCTGTCAGTATGTTGTTTCTGCGACCGACTCGAGGGGTCGGAACTGACTTGAACCAGAGTAGAGCCAGTGCCCTCCGACGCCTTTCCTAGGGGAAGACGAGGCTGTGCAGATTGACGAGATGCCTTCAAAGATCCCATATGCCCAGGTGCGGCAAGAGCAGAGCCAGGCGACTTGCGAGGGATTCGTGAACCCATCAGAGGCGAGGTAGTCATCGCGGGAGAGTCTGGGCGAGGATTATATCTAGGCGACCCAGACGCGGTGACCCGAAAGGGATTGCGGCTCTGCTGGCCACCTTTCGAAGTGTGGCTCTCAATTCTGGAGTTGCGAGCTGGAGGTGGCGGCATTCTTGCGAAGCTAGGTTGATGACCCAAGGGTTGTCAATAAGCGCGCGATATCCTCGACCGAGGTTTTCAGCGCTCACGCGGGTTATGGTCGTTGATGAAGTAAATTGTGAGGACTTGGGTGTTGTTCGGGAGGGCGACTCGGTGGGAAGAAATAGTCAGCGCGGGCACAAAAACATTGAAACGCGACGCGCTGTGGTCGACAAACGGAAGGGCGACGGGAGATTAACGGGTCTAATTGCGGCCTCATAATCCAGAGCATGATCGAGGTGAACGACATCAACTCGCCCCAAGTACGGGTTGCCCAAGCAACATTGTGCACTGGAGGAAGGAGCGTCTCGCCTTCTTGAATCGTGGCTTCGCCACCCGCAATCAGCCGCATGATAACAAAACCAAGAAAAAAGAACCCTATTCGAGATGTAGAATGTGGAAAGATCGCATTGATGGAGGTAACCAAGTAGGTCAGCGAGTCAATATTATGCCTAGAATGTAGTATTGTACTGGAAGCTTCGTTCACACCATTCTATTGCTGTCTTTCCTGTGAAAGAACCAGCATCTGAAGTACACATATAAGCCGACATTTGAAAGCTAGGGTGATTCCCACGTCAAGGGACTAGCTAAATTCCACCATCTAGGTCATAACGAATACCGCGGTGCATGTGCGTCTCGAGCGCTTTCCGGAACAACCCAGCGGGGTGCAGCTTTCGGGTTCGGAATCTCATTATATCTCTTAAAAACCATTCGCATCTTCGACGAAGTCTCGAGCGAAGCGTTAAACCGACCCGAGCGATATTCTTCTCCATGATCCGGGCCGCTTCCGGTCAAGGGGGCCGAGCGATTGCTAAATTATATATTTTTTAGGATAGCAAGGTACTAAATATGCACAGCAGTGCACTGCGGAACTTCAGAAGCCGATTGAAGTTTGCGTTAGATTCGGCATGAGTTGCAGAGACGTCGAGGAGTAAAGAGGATGTCGTTCAAGTTGGAGCACGGGCCGGCGGCACTAGGTAGGCGGCTTGTGCTCAGAGCTCCAAGATGCCACCTAGACGCGCTCCATACACATCATCTGCCTATATCAGTGAACGACAGCTCACTACAATGGCAAAGGGATACAAGGAGCTCAAGACGCAACATGTCTCCGGACACGTGGGGAGCTCGCTCTCCGACATCAACAGTGTTTCTCTCGCAATGCCTGTACCGTACATAACTCACCCTCCAACGCGCGTACCTAGACTAATCGCGAGAATAATAGTTGACAATCCTTTTATGGTCGGCCCTACAATCGCGCATGCGTCAATTCACGCCATACACTGCGAGCGCGTTCTTAATCGATCTTGTACTGAGTTGCGGCATAACGCTCGCCGCGACGACAGTTTACTCATCCTCCCCATGGCTTTTGAACGTACTTTTGGTGGCTCCAGCAGCCATGATATTCTTCACCAACTCAAGACCGCCAATACCTAGACGAAGCAGCATACGTCCACCGAAGAAAAGTGACGACACAGAGCAAGCAAAGCTGGACCTGCTCCCGATCAAACCTTTCCTCACGAACTATCGTGGGTCCATGATGGTCATAACTTGCATTGCGATCCTAGCTGTAGACTTTCGCGTCTTTCCACGTCGCTTTGCCAAGGTGGAGAACTGGGGGACATCGTTGATGGATATTGGAGTAGGATCCTTCGTATTCACAGGCGGCGTCGTATCCGTCCGATCGTCTCTGAAGACCGAGAGCGGAAAGCTGCCGCCTCTTTCCAGCAGGCTTCTTGCGTCCTTGAGACACGCTCTCCCTCTGATAGTCCTCGGAACGGCCCGCCTAATATCAGTCAAGGGTCTGGATTATGCAGAGCATGTCACAGAATATGGCGTGCACTGGAACTTCTTCTTCACGCTTGGATTTATACCGCCCTTTGTCGCACTCTTCCAGTCGCTTTTTGCTCTCGTACCATCGTATGCAGTTCTTTCCTGCGTACTAGCCTTCTTCTACGAGATCGTACTTGACAAGACCAACCTCAGGGCGTTCATCCTTACTGCTCAACGCACTGATCTCCTCTCAAAGAACCGAGAAGGCATTTTCTCCTTCTTTGGCTACTTGGCCATCTTCCTGGCAGGACAGTCTCTTGGCACATATGCCCTCCCCCGGCAGGTGCCGCTCGCCAAAGATGCTTCGATAATAACGTGGCTTCGGCACTCAATCCTAGGCAAGCTCATCGTATCCTCCGCCCTTTGGACCGCCCTCTTCTTCTTTTCCACCAGCTATTATGGTCTTGGCCTTGGCGTCTCACGGCGTCTCGCTAACTTGCCTTACTTCCTTTGGGTGTGTTCGTTCAACAGCTACCAAATCGCAATCTGTTGTGCTATCGAGACGATTGTGTTTCCCGACATCCATAAAGCTACGCTAAGGGAAGAGGAAAAGCAGAGGTGTCGAGAAGCGACAAGCACTATTCTGTACGCTATCAACCGGAATGGGCTGGCGGTGTTCTTGCTGGCAAATCTCCTCACAGGTCTTGTGAATATGACGATGCCAACGTTGGACATGGGAGTAATGAGTACTATGGTGGTATTGGTGGCATACATTACTTGCATTGCCGGGGTGGCGGTCGCTTTGGATCGAGCCGATGTTTCTATCAAGCTCTAGATAACAATTGAATCATGCCATGTCATCGTGGCTTCTCCGCCAACATTGGGATCTCGCACAGCTCTTTCTAAGGTGTCTTGCCGTATTACTAGGATTCGGTATGCACATCAGAAGGTGACTGTGGTCAGTACACACTTGCCAGTTGGTGGGGCGGGCACTTCCACGTGAAGACGCGTCAATGGCGCGCCTGCCGTTAGCATAAACCCCACCTTCCACACTCACCACCATACCTACCACACCCACAACTCCAGCTCCCATCCATCCCGAAAAACGCTCTCGAAACCAGAATATCCTGCGCCCATCAATGCCCCCACCATCCGGATGTCCACCCCGCAAGCGAAGCGCCGCCGGCTGAACGAAGCTACCAAGACACTGCACAAGCCGTTCAAATCGCCCTTTCGCACACCACTCAAGCCGAATCCCGGCTCTGATCCGCCCTCTTCAGATCCCCTAGAGGCTGGCACACCTTCGGGGTTTGCGGTATCGAATAATGGCATCGTTCAGGAGCGTCCGGTCTCCTACCGACCCTCCCTCGACCGTTTGACCACAGATGTGCCGATGCCAGTCTTGCTCCGCTCTAGCCTCCCAATACCTACGCACCCACGACTGTCACAGAAGAAAACCACGCCTCTGCAACAAAGCCTGACGCGGGAGATCATCGAGCTACGCAACGATATCCAGATACTTTCCCAAGCGCACACACTTGCGACGTCGTCGAAGGACAATGATCTGCTTGCGCTGAGCGAGCGGTGGCGCATAGCGAGTCGGGCTGCAGCTGAAGAGCTGTTTGCTACCACGCGTGATAGAGTGAATCGCATGGGTGGAGTAGGCGCCTGGAAAGATAGGGAAAGGGAGCAGAAAGAGTGGAGAATGAAGGCTGAGAGAGAACAGATGGAGGTCGAGAGGGAGAGGTTGGAGAAGGCGAGAGAGAACGGTGAAATCAGTGAGGAAGCTTACGAGCAATATGCGGATGCAAGTATAGGTGCTGAGCATGAGGAAAAAGAGACCTTCAAAGCTGCAGACGATGATGTGAGTCAACTGCGCCAAATCGTTTATATGATTTTATGCTGATTCTCAGCGGTCTTTCACTATGGACATGATGTTGAAGACACTCAACATCGATCTGGAATTGATTGGCTACAACAAGAAGGCGCAGCGATGGGACGGTTGATGCTTCTGCGCGGTACAACGGTATCCTATAGAGGTCAATTGCAAGCATGCAACTGACCCGCCACAGGCGCTTTCATTCACCCCAACCCTATCCCGACTGTAATGAACCTGCATGTATGAGGTTGGGACATGCTGCCCTCCTAAATTCCTAAGATATGTATTACGAGATATGCGTCAGTCATAACGTCCCTTCTTCTTGCAGCCCTCGGCACCACGCCGAGCAAGCTTTAGCTAGCGCCCGCACTGCTCGGTGCGGCTCCGAGATGGAACCCATCTTTTCAGAGCTGACTGTCCCATAGATACCAATGCGGCTCTACGATTATGACGATACGGATATTCCAAGGTCACGGAGATAACAACAATGGATATACGATGTGTGCGGCATCAATATATTATAGCGAAACGTGACGTCATGAGCATATTTCTCCACGGTTGTACTTCACTCATAAACTTTCGTAAGGTGCATATCTTTCAAAGACCTCACCAAACCCTCTATCTTAGTCCCCACTACCAACCTAGGCCATGTCCCTCAGGAACCAGAACGTCCTCATCACCGGCGCCAGCATCGGTATCGGCGCGGCCATTGCGCACCGCCTCGCACAGGAAGGCGCGAATCTGATCCTCTTCTCCCGGACCGAGTCCAAATTGAAGTACCTATCGCAAGACATTCAGTCCAACATCGGCGCCAACACTATCAGGATCTTTACTACAGCCGTGGATGTTTCCAATCAGGTGGAAGTGACCAAGGCCATCAGCAACGTGGTGAAGCAGAGCGGGCCCATTGACATACTCATCAACAACGCTGGCCTCGCACTTGGAGCACCGGCCGCATTTCAGGATTTAAGTATTGAAGATGTGGTTGCAATGACAGGAACGAATGTTAATGGGGCAAGTCTCCCAGGCACAAAGTGGATGCGTGTTTTCTGCCAAGCAAAAGAAAGACCATCTTTTAGTTACTATATAGAAAAGACTCTTTCCTTCGCTTAGCTAAGACATGAGGCAATGTACCATCCTCACTACTTTGAAACATAAACTGACTTTGTACCTTCGGGTTTGGCAGTATCTGTTCGCTACGTATGCTGTTCTGAACGACGGCAGAATGCGGGAAAGAAGGAAGGGAACGATTTTGAACGTTACGAGTACAACGGCATTAGAGGTCCCACCTTTCCCCGGCGAATCTATCTATCATGCCAGCAAACGCTTTCAGGAGGGCTTCACTGACGCTCTTCGGACAGAGTTAGGAGGGACCAACATTAAGGTTCTTGCTTTGCGGCCGGGTGTTGTGGCCACACATTTCCATGAGCAGAGAGTGGGTTTTGACAAAGATGCTTACAATGGTTTTATGGAAGGTAAGTTTATGTTGAGTGATGAGTACACCTAAGGTATAAGCTAATCAGTGTTCATAGGCTTCGAACCACTGCTTGCAGAGGACGTTGCCGAAGCTGCGGCGTGGATGTTGAGTGGGGAGGAAAGAATCAGTGTGAAAGCGTTAGATGTTGTGCCAAGTGCACAGAGGAGTTTGTCTGTATTTGATCGAAAGTGGAATGGGCGAAATGGGAAAGAATAAGAACTTGGCCGTCGTGTGGAGACAACTACTGGATGTTGCAGAATATCTGAACGCTGAGCAGAAGATATGATAGACATGACAAATGAGATTCCTCCTTTAGAAGCTTGCTGCGTAACTCAGCTACCTCTACCCGGCATTCAGCGGGACAAATCATCAACAGCCTGACTTGTAGGGCCTCCCTGACCAACGCATGAGCGTGGGCCATGGGATACCACGCCTTCTACCAGCCGCTAGTGTCCGCGCCTACCGGATTCCGGTAAATCAATTCGAGATCATCGACGCGTAACTTTGGGACGAAGCTTGGGCTCGTACTTGCTCGAGGTTGCAAAGTGGGTGGTTCTAGGCTGGGCGGCTTTCTATAGAGATGTAAGAGGAGCATGACAAGGTTATCAAGGGACAAAACGTGGTTTCAGGAGAACGGATCGTGTTTCGTGTGCTTTTTGACTATCTCGGGGCAGGCAGAATGGAAAGCAAATTGTGGTAAAACTGGGTAAGATTCTGAAAAGAGATCCGCTCTCGGAATCGATTGCTTAGCCTTCAGAGCGGAGATATTTGGTTACGCGAATGCTTTCGTGCGTCCGACGCCAGGACGTTGCTTCATGAGGTATCTAATGCTTCTCGCAGCCAACGTCTAGAACGTGTACTCTGCACGTGTGTATAGTATAGCGCAGGGTAACACATCAGTGTCAATTTGAGGGACTAGCAATATACTGTTGGAAAACCGTAGGAAAGTCAGCAAATCCCTGACGGAAGTGGAAGAGACTGCATTTCACGCACGACCAGGACTCATTCCCGCTTAGTAATGTGATAACACAGACATGATATGAGACACGTTTCAATAACTTTACGAAAACAGAGCACTTGCATCGCTTCGCCGCGTCAAGACGAGCGGTGAGATTGCGGATCGAGACGACAATCCCTTTCGAAATTTGCTCAACATTGAACTTAGAACAATTCGTCATGCTCCTGCGCGGATTCCGTGAGTTAGGATCGATGCGAGGGTTTCAGCAGGTTTCGTCGCGATTGAAGTACGCCTGTTAGGACTCACAGGAGCATGCGGACATCCAGAAATCCCCTAGTGCGCCAAGCACTGTGGGTCGAGCTTACCTTCGTCACCACGAACCTCACCTGTGAGCTGCAACACTCGAAAGCCTACGACCACGCCATAACGTACGTCCATCTACCGAATCTCGGCTGTCGCGTTCTGCTTACTCCTCAGCATGTTCTCCCGGCGCATTGTCGCGGCCCGCCCGCTGGCCCACGCCGGCGCGCCCGCACTCGCACGCCGACCGCAGTTCATCCAACAAGTCCGCACCGCCCTCACCGAAGCCGAGCACGCGGAACTCGCCGATCCGAACATGGTACCTTTCCTTCCAAGAGATATGGATGTTTTCGGTGGATGGGAGCTGACAAGGGCAGAACGGCGGCTACATCAACCCCCCGGCCGAGCTACGAAACAAACGCGACCCGTACGCCGACTGGTGGGACAAGCAAGACCGTCGTAATTACGGCGAACCCGTCCACGAGGACAACGACATTCAGGGCGCACTCTCGCTGCACGACTATGATCACTTCACGCCGGGCTGGGGAGGTGTGCTATTCGGCACCTTTGTAGTGGCAGTGTTCGGGCTCTGTGGGGCTGTGAGCTTGGTTTACCCAGACAGGGTCAGTGTGCCGAAGCAGTATGAGGACGGACTAGAGGCAGAGCTTGGTGGCCCGAGGGCTGTGAGGGTGAGTTTCCGCGATAGGCTAATGGGGGCGGAGAATATGCTGACATACACAGGCGAGGAAGTACGGCGAGGAGCTGAAGTAAAGCAGGGAAAGACATGACGATAAACGTGTATATAAACTGGAATCGATTTTCTTTTGTCTCGAAGATCAATACGTCCAACAATCTGAGATGCAGACAGTCTAGAGCTATTATGTATAGAGTGTGAATGTGTATGAAGCGACCTCGATCTTGCCGGGCGATGAACGACGTGGCGATGAACGAAGTGTACGAAAAGACTCAGTTGCCTGTGCGAGATGTTCAGAAAGCCTTTTCACTATTAGGTGCAGCTTCACCTAGACCCTTGCCTAGTAAAGGTAACGGAACACCACGCCTCAAAAAAGAAATCGTTCTCGGAAACATGTCTGTGGCTTCCATATCTCCGCGTCACCCAATTGACTCGCCCCAAACGGACATTATCCATGTATTCCTGCATGGGCAAGACAGACTGAAAGATAACAAGTAACACAAAAAAGAGGAGCAAAAGAAACGGACGCAATGCCAGACTCAACTTAGGCGAAGCAACCGCCCAGAAACCAAATTAATGGTTTACTGTTGGGTTCGAACACACGCTCTCAGGTTCGTCTGGTAGCATTGGTTACCACAGGGTTACAAGTCAGTCAGACTGCCTCGCAAACCACTATGCCATGTGCCGCAGGCACCAAGCTTAGAGCGGATGTTGATGGAATTTGCTCGCCTTAGAGCACTGATATACTCGTCAAGTGAAGATTGTGCAGGCCCTCGTGGGCCGCAGTGCCGGCAAACGCGCTCTTCTCTTTGCGAACAACTTCGACGAGGAAGGCGCGTGAGTGCCCGCGTCGACGAAAGCCGCGCTCTTGCCGTTGCTGAGGCAATGTGCAAGTTTTCTAATGGGCCCGCGGGCGTGTCTTACCAGCTCAATCCTTCCTCCCTCACCGCCCTCCATCGTTTTGTGAGGCAGCTTTACATTGACACCAATTGCAAGGACTAACCCAAGAAACCCTCGCAGTGCGAGCGCACTAGCTCAATCCGCGCAATTGCAAGCATAAAGCGCGAGATCGCTGGCGAAACCTTCCATGTGCCTCCAGTGTCGCAATGCAAAAGCCCGTTGGTCACTACGCTTAGGGATCAGATTCGACGTGCCTTTTTTAGGTACATTGCGGACAGCGCTGCAGCACATGCTAAAACTTGACGATACCGTCCCTATTACGGTGTACAACATGCAAGGACCGGAAACAAGGACTTTCCGCATGCTCGCAGAATCCTGATTCGCCGCGGCCCCAGGTCGTGAAATACTCCCGCAAGTTTAGATCTAGCAATGAGATTACAATAGATACCGAGGTATTCGAGAATTCCATCGCTGGGTACACACAGGAAGGTTTGTCAGCCGTCATTCCTTCTGAGGGAACGACAGCCACCGATAGGACTCCTACTCTTGGTCAGCCACTTCTTTGCAAGCCATGAACTTTTGGAGACGCTCGTGGCGTACCAGCCCTCAAAACGCGGCAATCGACGCCTTGAATGAGACAGTGACCTTGCCTTGAACAAGCTTGCTTACAGGAAATTGTCAACTGAATCCAATCCCCAAAATTTCGTCCTTGACACGTACACTCATCTACTGGAACCACAGAAACGGCTCTTCGTGACTTTACAGTGATTTCATACAAGAAGGTGATTATTTTCGTGTATTGGCACCTTTTCTCCAATTATTCCCTGGTTCCGCGCTTTGGCACCGGCACGAAAGGAGTTACTCGCAACGTCCCTTACCCGATCCCATGAAACAATCAATTGAAGAACGCCACGATTGTTGTGTACAACTATCACAGTCCTAAAAGCACGCTTAAGCAAGTCCTCGAATCATTGCCTAACGTCGTGCTATATTACTCTGTAGTCGCGCCGTCAACACGAAGCTGTTCTCTGTAGGATGGATGTAAACGTGTCTGCGGTGACATCCAGGGTTAGTGCGTGCAGCACCAGACTCGCTTCAATAGCAGTACCAGACTTACTTGAGATGTTCTAAATAATCGCATCGATATCAAATGCTCTTACTTACCTCGTCGTATCGGCTTACTGTCGCTACAAACTGTTTGATTTCCTCGTTGAATTTCCCTGCCTCCTCCCAAAATAGCCAATGACCACTCTCAAAAACGGACCATGTGGGTTTATAGCCGCCATTCCTAACTTTTTGTCCGTTCTCGACCCTTCGGATGGTCTCCTTCATGCCATCTAACGGAAAACAGCCGCTTCTTCTTCCGGCCATGACCAACACAGGTACACTAATCTGCTCACAAGCCTCTCTGTGATCGTACCTAGTGTGATCGGCTAACAGCCTAGCTAACCAGACCGTATCACATCTTCGACTTTGGCCTGTGAAAAACGTCTCATCACTGGTCTTGCGCTCTTCACTTGCATCATCTCCCGGAAGCGGCTTGTAACGGTACCCCAAACAGTCCGCAACAAGCCCCTTAAAAGCACCCTCCGGGTCTTGGATCCACGCCTGTTGGGCGACCAACATCGACCTCTCGTCAAAGCATCCTCGGTGGGCCTTGTACTCATCCCAAGAATCGAAGGTTGAGCGGTCCTGCAGAGGTGCTTGATCGACAAAGACCATACCTGCAAAGCCATCATCGCTGAAAAGCTCGACATAAGTCCACAGGATCGCGGCGCCAATTGAACAACCCACTGGGACTATCTTCACGTCCGGAAGAGCACTTCTAATGTGTGAGACGAGTTCTTTTAGGTCTGCGGCTAGACGGTCGACGTGGTATCCGCCTTTTGGACGACCAGAGTCGCCGTGCCCACGAAGATCGATGCCTATCACCCAGGAATCACTAGAAAGATAGCTGTAATTACGCTGAAAGTATAAGGATGATCCTGAGAAGCCATGTATAAGGAGCGTGAGGGTACTGTAATTCTTCTCCGCCGATATAGGGTCGAGTGGCTGCGAGGTTCGGAAGGCGAGTCTACAGCCATCGTTGGCAGTTATGTGGGAGTACTCCATCGTGTCTGTGATCTCCGGGCGAGCTTGAGGAAGTGAAGATGCATCTGAAACGCTAGGTGGGAGCTTGACCTTAGGTTCCGATTATGACATAATCATTAGCCCCACCCCACTCTATTCCATTCTGTACGTTGTTTTATCCGCACGTGCCTTAGTACTCAAGCGTATTCGGTGGTCAGACCCCAGAAACCTCTATCTTGTATGTATATGTGAAGGATTAACTAAGAATGCAGGCATAAAGCTAGTGTGGGCCAAGGCGCTGACAACCATGTGTAACTTTCCACGGAGGCGTTACAGGTTCCAATGATGAGACCCTCAAGTTGTGCTATTACTCTTATCTACCTTCTCTTATTGCCCGCGCTACGAATAAAGGGCTCGAGTGGGAAAACCTCCGTCTCCGGCTTGATGCCGTCGTAAATCTGAGCCCATCTGGAACGAAGCACTTCGGGTGTGCCACGCATTCTCCGGGTCGCGCAGCCAAGACCGCAGAAGGTGGCGTCTGCTCTCGATATTAGTATAAGTCGACTCAAGAAAACAGCAATGAAGACCAACGTTTTTTTTTGGGCTATCCGTGAATCCATCACGAGCATGGAATACTGCCAGGTTGTTTACGTATTGAATGTCACCTTTTTGAAACTCGGTATTGACACAGAACTTCTCCCCGGTGTAGTGAAGCGTGTCCAACGCCTCGGCTTGCGCTTCTGTAATGGGAGGTATTTGTGGGCTGCGAGGAAGAGCGCCAAAGCCGACGAAGTAACGGCGGCCATATTGGAGCGCGACCCGCTGAGGATCATCGCCATGAGCGGGCAGTAGATGTGTGAGAGGACGCTCAGACCATTGTTTATCAGCTTTCTCAAATCTGTCCATGTCAGTTCTAGCTTCAAGTTCTATGAGGGCACAAACATCTCGTAATCCCAAGATGTTGTCAAAGTATGGATCAAGTCAGGTCGTGCGCGGGCAATTTCGTTGTACACTTTCCAAGTACTCGCCAGTTTGCTAGCACCTCCGCTCAGTGCCGTCTCCAGCACAAACAGAGACACGAGATCCCCTGAGTCTGTGTGGAAGACCTGCTTATCGGTGGTATAAGCCGGGCTGCCGATGATTTTGTCTGGGTCTGAACGACTGAGGTCCTTGATATGCGACAATACTACATCGGCTGACTTTCCATCATATTTTTGATCTTGTCGACCTCGCTGAGGCGCGATGTGTGCAGATAGTCCAGCGTATATCATAATGTTCTCCTCTCGAGTATGTTTGTCGACCTGCAATCCACGGTTCACGAAGAACCCGTGACCGCTATGAAGCTCACGAGACAATTCTCGAAGCTCACCATGCAAACGAGGCAAGCGAAACGTCTCCTGATTGATATGACTGGGTGGTAAATTAAGCGCTGAGTGACCATTTTCAGTATTGCTTTTGGTGTTTTGGGGATGTATGTAAGTACCTTGGAAATAAGCCACAGCTTCATCAATCTCTGCCAACTGCTCGTCCTTCAATACATAGATCCAGTCGTATGTCTCGGCCAGTATCTTGCCGTCCCAGACCAATTTCCCCTCCAACTCTTCAGGAAACCCTTGTGGCAATTTCGTCTCGAGGCCCCCTGCAGCAAGTCGTCTAGCCGCACGAGCCTGCCACTTTTCGTAATTTGGTGCATAGTCAATGTCTGATTGGTCTGGATGACTTTGAGCTGCCGGTGTGACCCAAGTGACAGTGTTGGCTATTCTGGTAGTCATTTAGTGGTAGAGCCTCTGTCCGAAGACTTGTATAAATCCCTGAATATACCTAGGTAGTCTTCGTAGTTTGATGTTGCTTCGAATGTGGCATTGTTGTGACATGTTACTGCATAAGACACGTGATGTACCCCAACAAGAATCCTAAGCACGTCATGATGGGGTTATGTAGAGTGCGTGCTCCGGCAAACGTTCGCCGGATTAACATCACCATAGCCATTGGTTACGGCAACGTCCCGAAAACTGCCTACTTGTTTTCGCTATTGGCTAAAGGATTCGGAAGATATAAGTTGAAGGGGCCATCGGGAGGCAGGCAATACAGAGGTAGGGTGCGCTCTTAGTGCTATTAAGCAGCTACTTCGCATACTTAAGGTTATACCATACGCATCACTACTTAATAAAATACTAACAACCTTGGAATTTATATTAAAGCTATTCCTACGAGCGTTGCCTAACAGCACGTGAGAAAAGTGCTGAAAGAGAACACCTCTAGCCGTTGTCTGATCTGGGCAGCACCTTAGCTGTGCATGAGGTACATTAGTCCACCACCTAAGTCCTCTAGCCCTAGAGCACTGACGACGTACGCCTTTCCCAAATGGTCTCTCTTGAAGTAGGATTTATATGCCTATGGATGATGGGCAGAGATCGTATTATATCCTTATGGTATCACCGACTACCCCCCTTCCATCGAGTACAAGGTGTATCTCCAGCATAAGTATATCTATGCAGGATACAAGGCTCTATAACTTAGAAAACCTTCCCTGAGAACCTTAGTATATCACTCTATTACTATCTATACTAAAGTGCATGTTTAGATACCTTACAAGGGAGAAGAATAAGCGCTATATAACCTTATAGCCTAGTAACAGTAATTGTTTAGTAACATACGAGACAAAGATAATATGCTGGGATCTACCTGGTCTAATTACTACTCGATCTGATGCGAGCGCTGGCTCTCTAGGAGCTTAGCGTTTGGTGTGCTACGTATGTTTGATTGACACTCGAGTATATTCATGCTAGAAGTATGTGACTCTACTTATTAGAATGTTGGTACGCGATTTGCGGCGCTGTTACTAAGTAATAGGGCATTTTGCGCTGCTTTCCACACTCTAGTGCATGTTTTTTTTTCTTCGCCAAGCTCTATTCAATTCCCTACACCAAGTGGTGGGGACTGACCAGCCGATATCTCTTTCTATCCACTAAAGAGCGCTAGCGATATCCATCTTATGAGACATATATAAAGACCAGGACTAGACTTGATTATGTTGATTATTTGTGGACGACTGTAACGCATGCGGCTCTCGGGACGAAACAACCATCCATAACATAACTTTCCATGAAAGACTTGTACGGTACTGATCTGGTCTGATACCACCCAAACGAGCGGCCAAGCTATACAGCTGAAGACATCGCTTCGTAGTACACGTATAGGTAGCTGCATCCTTGTTGTCTATTAACTGCATGAATATGCTACGCCATACCATGTGTCTTAATCCTAACCTCATTCTTTACCATGCCCCTGTCGCGCGTTTCTGGAAGCCTACGAACGGTCCCTGCGTGTTTAATATGCATGTTGTTATCCGCATCATCTAGCTTCATGTACTGCCCATCAAATCCGTTGAATATCGCACTCATTGAGCTCTTTGTTATGTAAATGCTTTCCTTGACGAATGTGGTTCGCTCTAATCCTTTAGTGTAGAGCCATTTCTCCACGCGCTGGCACGGAAGAGGGCCGTGAGCTTGGGAAAGCAAATTTTGAGATTGCTTGACGTGAGATCGCCTGCGCCCCAGAACATGAGATAGTCTTGTTACCGCTGTTCTGAATGCGGACAGCGATCCCAACCGCGGCGAAGATTGGAGCGCTACAGAACGTCAGCATGATGGCTCCCTAAGGGAGGCTCGAACGTACTACATGCCAAACGTAAACGCAAGAAAAACGAGCACCTTCTCGAGCCGGTCCATCTGCAACTTGGTTACAGCGTAAATTGGAAGCAGGAGTATGATCTAGTGAGTGTGCTACAGCCGCCGCTTATGTTCAAGATCCATTTCTGTGACATCATGCGAAATGCAATGTCTCATGGCGGTGTTACGCATTTGTGTGACATAACGCCTGTAAGGGCATATGAGGCCGCACATTGGTTCAATGTCTGCCACAACGAGTGACGACGCGTATTCTCCCCACACAGATGGAGCACATTCGACGTTACTATTGTCGCATTCATTGCCGTAATATTTCTCTCCCATACTGTGACGAGTATAGTGAAGAAGTCTGAGTGCTGGCCTTGAAATAAGATCTGGGATAAGTCGCTTCCCATATGCGACAGTACCAGACTAGAACACGAGGTAGAGAACATCCTCGAAGGTTAAGATCTGTTTGACCCAGAAGCGGACGTAGCTGTGAAGGTTGAAGAATAAGGTGATGATGGGTATGTATATGGATATGGTGATAGTCGCAAGGTACCTATGATACATTGTACTACCTTGACTGGTGTGATGGAACCAGGCAAGACGTGTCGTAAGGTGTATTTACTGGGTACCAGCAACTGCGAATCCTGGAGTATTTAGAGATTGAGGAGCTTCTTTGGTTAAATGATACTAACAAAGAGATTAAAAAAATGGAACGTACATAAGCGATTGCTGATTAAGCAACGAACCTATTAAGTAAGGAAAGATAAGATCCAGACATCTTGGCACCTTATGTCCCATTGCCGTTCGTGAAATTTATAAGGATCATTCCATCTTTCCTAAATTTAGGATGAAGGTCTCCACTATGCTTGCTTATGTTGTGGCTGCCGCCACTGCAGCACCTGTCTGTATATAGGAACAATTGGTTTCGACTAGTGGCTATGCTAACTCTGTGTAAAGTCAATCGCGCAAACTTCGAGTCTGATAGTGCACTTCAAGTAGATAAGGCGGACCAATTTTCGTACGTAATAAGGACTATGTTCGGTTCGGATAGTGAGCTCTAGGTGGGCAGTGCTGGCGCGTCCCCCTACACGCAGAAGAGGAAGATCTTCGAACTGGATAGGGAGTCCTAGGTAGAAAATGCTGGTGTGTTATTGTATGTACGGGGGAATATCTTTGAGCCTGATGGTGCCCTTCAGGTAGATAGTGTCGAAGCATCGTCGTAGACATAGAAGAGGATCTTCATTGAAGCCGATGGTGCGCTTTAAGTCGATAATGCTGATGCGTCCTCCTATGCGCAGAAGAGGATAATCTACGATTCTGATAGTGAGCTCTAGGTAGACAGCGCTGGTACGTCGTTGTATGCACAAAGGGATATCTTTGAATCAGATGGCGCCCTTCAGGCAGACGCCGCCGATGCGTCCTCTTACACACAAGTAAGCGGGGTTAGAAATTAAAGTTCCAAATACGTTCGCTTCTTTTCTATTCGAAATGTGGGCGTCATTATTAGGCTGTCTGAATGCACTGCACTATCATTGTCGGATATTGTTAGCAGATAGCTCACTGATGATCAATTCGCTTCCGCAGTGCCTAGGCCTTCTCTCATTAAGCAATTCCCACCTGTGGCAAACGGCCCCTTGCGTGGCGTCTGCTATCCCAAGCAGGCGCAGATGTCGGTTACGTGGGCCTCAGCCCCCGCTGCATACCTATGGTTCACGGTCGTCCCAGCGTAACAATTCACTTCCTGCATCATAGCCTTGCGCGTCGCAATTTTTACACCTGCGTAAACACAGTAGCCTGGTCTCACATCGCAGATTAAAATCTACTACCACTATCTTACCCCTCCCTTCCAGCTTTCATCGTGTCTCCGCATCTCCACAACTAGTAGCACGACAAACATCCACCTTCACCACGTCCATCGCTTGCGCCAATATGTCAGCCGTGCAAGAAGAAGCGTCGCAGTGAGCTTTCGAGATAACAACAGTCTATTTCGAGATGTTAACCAAACGTAGATACACGACAGCTTTTGCCTTATTCGAAGCGTTAGAGTAGGTAAGTATTTGCGTTATCAGTACTTTACGAAAAGAATGCCCCCACCCCTACCATTGTACAGCTCCCTATTTTAATTAATTGTATTACCTATAGTATATATCTACTCAACAATTAGTTAAAATGCGTTGGTACCCCTATTTTAACAGCTTAGTGCCCTATTTTAACGTCTACCACAACCAGATCTAGCTAGCATTCAACAAGATCTAGCCAGTAATAGAGTGAATCTATCATACAATTGATAAAGGTTGGGGATCTGTACCATGGTCGGGTGGGGGCATTCTTTTCGCAAACGATAATATCGATACTTTGTCCATCAATGTTTTCTACCATCGAAGCAGGCCGGCATTACAGCATGTTTTGTCAATGTTGGTTCCGATCACCCTTCCATTATCGAGGCCATCATCAAAGGCAAACGGGAGCGACCAGACAAATGGTCGCGTTTCATCACGTGCCCCGCCGAGATCACAGTGCTCTCTATGGCTGACGGCTATGCTCGCATAAGCGGAAAACCACAAGCTGTGGTGATTCATGTCGATGTTGGAACATAAGCGCTAGGCCAAGCTGTCCATAATGCCAGCATCGCCCGGGCCCCTGTGTTCATTTTTGCGGGCCTTTGCCCGTATACCGAAGCTGGTGAGCTAAAGGGCTCGCGGACGGAGTACATGCACTGGTTGCAGCAAGTTCCAGATCAAGCAGCCATCGTCCGACAATATTGCCGATATACCAGTTCATGCAAATTCTCATACAGCGCCTGCGAAAGACAAGTAGATCCACGAAATTGCAGGTGTGGACATACGCCTATCATAACATCCGAAACGCCACGGTTGAAAACCCCATCAAAGTCTTACTTCCGCGCCACGTCCCGGCCTTCTGGAACCCTTCACAAGCCGCATGCACACATTTGAGGGGTATCCATCAATTTTCGACTACCCGTGCTCTAGTTGAAACTTCACAGCACAGCATTGTGGTACAGCTTCAGTATTACTCTTAGTATGGCCCATTCGGAGAGATACCGTTTCTTCTCGCATTTCCAAATTTTGCTGCTTCCGTGGCAGTGCAGTGCAGTGCACCTCGTTAACAGTTGCTTGCACATACTGACCCCACTGGTCTCCCTGAACCATCCCTTCTGGGCCTCTTTCCATGAGCTTATAATTCTGAACCTGTTTGTGTATGAGGCACTACAGCGAAAATATTAATCAGTGGTGGATACGGACACCATGCCTGTCTTCGAAAGGATTGGGCTTCAACGTGTATTCACCCTTCTTCAGCGCCCTCCTTCTCGCCCACTGGTCCAGTGCTTTCCAGTTGACACATGTGGTCTGTCCTTCAGATATCATTCGGAAGCCATCAGGAAGGACATGGGTTTTGTCCCACTCAGGGATGTAGACTGCGGTGTTCGGGTGACACATGATGTCGTCTCGCAAACGCTCGATGCAATGGTCTAGCCAATCAATCAGAACGCCGAAACGAAAAAAGCAGGTCTGCTTATCACGTTGTCAACAAGGTCAGACTTACCGGAGTGTTCTTTTGTCCATATGCCAGTATCAGGCTTATAGTCAGGGATTTTGTCATGATAGTAGTCCATGTGAATGACTTTACGCAACCTTTCCAGGCAATGAAGGCTATGCCAAACCGACATCGTGCCCAGATAATCGCCGTCGGTAAGCTGTACTCTGTTTGTCAGGTTCTCGCCTTGAAGTCTCATCTCTGCCTCTGAGACACGGATGATTTGACCTATATCGTCGCACGTAAATCAGAAAAAACGGATCACAAGGGGGGGCCAGTATTAACCTACCGGTGAGAAGCTCATTCCACAATGCATCTAGTCGGGGCCCTGGTTTCTTATCGAATGGCGACCAATCTCCGTCTTGCCATATTCGTTTCGGGGCGTACTGCACAACTTCATTGGCTGGGGCTTGATTGATCTCAGCTCATGTCGGTGGAATGCGCAAAGGTCAGCCAATAAATTCCTGTCTGCTTACAGTATGGTAGCCCCCCAGCAAGGTATAGGTGAGCATGGTGGTTCTGCATGGCTAGGCGTGTGTTCGTTTCGAGGAAGCAGATGTAAGCCAACGCGATGAGTACTATCGTCTTGAATAGGTGACGGGTACGATTGCTTTTCGTGGCGGAAAAACACCGGCAGCATTCTTTGTTCGGTAGCAGGGCTGCGCTTTCGACATCCTGCGCAAGGTCGATGTCATGGCCATCGTTCGATTTTGTGATCCCCATCGCAGCTAGGATTTGTTTCGAGCCATACATGTTTAACAGTCCCTGAAGGTGGATAGACTAGACACGGTGTGGATTTCCGCAAGTCTACGGCGCCCACGCAATGTATATCGATGTCGAATTTCCTAATTGAGTTCACAATAGACTCTTTATGTACGGCGTCAAATTGCAGGGAAGCGAAGCGAGGAGGCGCATATAGGGTTTCAGTCAAGCTCGAAGCGAGTGTGCCTCCTTTGTTTTCAAAAGCTTCAGCTCCGAGTCTTGATTCACGTGCGAGGTCCTGTTTTGGGTATCGTAACTTCGCGCCGTGGAAGGTAGCCTGCGACTTCGACGCTAAATATGGGTCTCGATCTATGCGCAACTCAAACATCGGCGCTCAATACTGCGAGTGCAGATGCCATGCTACCGCTCGGAAGGTCGATGACCATGCTTTGCACGGCGCTGAACGGCGCCAAACTTGTTCATTCGAGAGAAACGATTACGTCATCATACTAGACTAGCAACAGGTGGTGAAATAATTCGTGAGGGTTATGTAAGCTGCATTTGCCCCAGGTGCCTGGAACGTGGTGGGAGCCAGGCTTACATAACCCTCACGAATTATTTCACCACCTGTTGCTGGTCTATCGTCAGTGCCGTCGGTGACATTCCATCGATACTGTAGGTCTCACGGCCAGCATCCCAATCTCCGTCGAGTTCCATCTACCAATTCCCATGCATCGATTTGCGCTTCGACGCTTTGGTTCCTGTCGCTACATATCTCTCGTTTGCCGTCCACGCCTGATGTCTACCTTCCACCTCGACAGGAGTGTTTTCACCCCAGCCTTGTATAAACAAGTCACCGATATATGGCTAGTCGGCGCAGATGCCGAAGGGAAGAAACTGGACGACAGTGCGGTTCTAAGATGGTTTCGTGGCGACGCTGAGCTAGACCGCATATGCAAGGACAACTTCGCGCACGTTTTAGATAGCATCGGACCGGAACAGTTGCCTGAACCCACTGCGAAACCATTTCTCCAAGAGCTAGAGACGATTCAGGAACAGGAAAAAGGGAGTGATGGTTCGCGAACCGCCTGGGCGGCTTTGAGCATGGTGATATTGCTAGACCAAATGCCGCGCAATATCTTCCGCACAAATGAAGGCCTGAGCAAGGTGTACACGCACTATGACAAGATGGCTTTGGACTTTGTCGTATCATTGTTGTCAACATCTTCACCAATTGCTCGGCCGGATCTCCACCCACCATGGCAGAATTCCTTTGCGCACATTATGTGGTTCTACCTACCGCTGGAGCACTCTGAAGATATTGAGGCTCACAAACAACTTGACGATCTCGTCGCGCACTTCTCAGAACACATCGAAAAGTTGGAAGGCTATGAAGCGACGAGAAGCCTTGTGGAAAGTTTCATGAAAGCAGAGAAAATGCATAGAGAGCCTTTAGAGAAGTTTGGGAGGTACCCGCATCGGAATGGTGCTTTGGAAAGGACGAGTACCGAACAAGAGCAAAAGTTCTTGGAGGGCGGTGGTGCGACGTTTGGAGTCGCACAGTGATAAGGTGGAAACTTCAAACCATGCATTCGTCCTCTCTCCGATATCCCGAAACAACCCGCTCATGCCGCGGCACTGACGTCTCCCTAATTACAGTCTTCTCATGCTCTTCCTTGGCTTTCCTATACAAAGTTCACCACGCCAGCCTTTCTGACGAGATACTGCCTCTGCACCTCATATGCAAAACGAGCTGCGGTATACATGGATTGATCTAGCGATGATCTGTGGTTCTACCTTGAAAGCGAACAAGACCTCACTTCCTGATGGTAACGTTCGTCACGACCTCTTTTTCCCAAGGTCGCCAATGTGCAGTTGCTGGATGTGTCAGCACATGTTGGTAAGTTCCATGGAGGGCTCACAGAAATCATGCGGCTTTTGAGAAGCCTGGGACAGTGGATCACCAGGTTCTAACTCCTGCACTAGGTGATCATTCTATTCTTATCCTCAACTTCCAGCACACCATTATATGCGCTCCTAAACCAAGTTTCCACAGTCAGTGATCGCTCCAACATTAGGATCGTGGTCAACCAAAAATTCGAAGTCTTGTGCCCTAAATTTTCGAGCTCTTCAACAGCTGGATGGGCCCTGCATAGTAGAAGCGAAACGCGTGGCCACTTTATAATGAGCCGGGGCGATGGTAGACCTCTCGATCATAGGATATGTTCATGCGCAATCCAATAATTACATGTCACGCCAAATGATTTCAAGATGACTACTAATATGCTATACCAATTTTGACCTATAATGTTTCTCATGTACTATAGGATTATTAGCCAGGTTCTGTTGGATCTAATGTTCTCGGCCTGGTAGACGTTAAAATAGCGCCCCAAGGTGTTTAAAAGTCAAGTTGACCAATGATCAGTCTCTTATCGTCCTGTGAAGAAGGTACCCAGAGATATGATGAGGTGGGGAGAGATTACTGTAATCGACAACAACGCTTGGCTTGAAGCTCACTCAATCGCAAGGGACGCTACAAAAGGCACACTACGAAAATCTAAATCTAGTTGACGTGGCGCAGCACCAAGAGATATAGTCAATTACAAAAGTTCCTCCCCCGCCTTTATGTAGCTCTAGATTAATTCTTGATTGATTTATTAGATGTCTATGATTCACTCCAAAGCACCGATAGTGCAGTCTTTGTTCATTCTATACCGCACGTACATTGACAAAACATTCCTTCCTACGGTTCTAGACACAGCCTACGAGCGAACACATTTCAGTGGCGGCTTTAAAAATACCTGGATGGCCGGAATTGAGACCGAGATCGTTGAGTTTAGACAGCTGTAGAGTTCGCCTGGTATCATAGGTCTATACACTGACATGTCATTAATCAGGGAGCTGGTCACAAATGATTGTCCAAAGCCTGACTGGCGACTCAATCCCTATCTGGCGTCAACATTCTCAAAAGTCCTTGATCGTTGATAAAATTTTCGATTTCGGGATGTGTAGATTTTCCCTCATAGATCCGAGAGAGTACCACTAACCACTTCGCATCCGAGCTACACACCTATACATCCATTAGCCCGATCACCTGGGCTATTGCGGCCCCATAGCTGATATCGCACTATTGTAGCGTGATCTGGATATCTTTCGTATCACGCTTTCAGCTGCACATTGTCACATGTACGCCTTCTGTCTTCATGTCAGCTGCGTGGCCGGACTAATCGTAGCGACCAGTAACCACCCTCTCATAATCTTCGAGAATACCCGGCAAAAAGGCCCTTGAGTGATGCTCACTTTCTTGCAGAGAGCACGCAAACCAAGCCTTGTTGATGGGTCCTGGGTGCTAAAGAATCTTGGTAGTCATACAAAACCGGGAGCTCGCCGTATATGATCCTTTTCTCGCATGTCTTGTCGGTAAAGCAGCAATTTAAAACATCGAGCACAGCGGAGCTTTAATCTAGCGGTCTCTGCTTCTGCAAATCAAAACTGGGAAACATATATGGCGGCCGAAGACGACTCAGAGGGTTATCATACTGGAGGCTCTGCGAGCAAGAACGGAAATGCTTCGGCTTCGCATAACATCGAAGATGAATACAATGACGCTGTACATGAGCAAATCGTGCGACGTATGGAGATGCCCGACTACAAAGAGGAACTGCTATGGAATCGTGAATACTTCCACAGCACTGTCCGGACCCGAACTTGTCCGACTTTTGGACGATCCTTCTTATCAAACCCGGAATTTTCGCTCGCAAGGCGAACAAGGCAATCCAACATATTAAGGGTTCCCACCAAGGGAGGATCCTGTGGTTGACTGGTCGCTGATAGGTATGTCATGGTTAGCATACTTCACATCTGATACATGCTGGACATGTCCACTTGATCACATCTCTTTCTGGCTAGATTGGGACGACGCCGTGTGTATTCTGGTTATAACTCACAGTAACAACAGCGAATAATATTACAATAAGAGCCCAAACACAACAGCCGCCACAGCCATACCAACGGTTGCTGCATTTTTGTCTGCACTTCCAGGAAATTCTGGCGTACCCGTCGCCGAAGGCAGTGTCACGTTTCCAGTGCTGGTCGCATTGCCCGAAGTCCCGTTTGCTCCGCTCACCATCTCAAAGTTCGCACACGTCAACCTCGTAGTATTGCTTGTATGGATCACGAATCCCAAACCACCGAAAAATGCCGCACTGCTAGGGTCCGTACTGAGGTATGGATCAACGAAGCTTGTCATGAAACTGTCCTGGGCCATGATCTTTCCCCCATGTTTACCCGCCAGGTCGCCTACCTAAGGAGTAAATCTATCAGCGAATTGGTGCTATGAAGAACGACTCTCACCGCTTACCTGACAAGTCTCCGGAGCAGACGCATCGCACATGTAGTACTCGCCGCGATTTGTGGGATCGAGGTGGCCAAGTGTAGCCGTGCAATTGCCGTCGCTAGGGACGGATAGGGTGTGTATGTGGTATGGGAACGGTCCATATTGCGCTTGGTTGGGAAGACCAGTCAGGTTGACGGTGAACTGAACGCCAGAGTGTGTACCGACGGCTACGATAGACCCGCGAATCACGGTTTCTACATATGGGTCGAACATAGTGTCCGGTAGGTCGGCGCGATAGGTCGCAGCGGGCAGGTTCGATTGGGCAGTTGCGGTGCCAGCTAGCCCAGTGAAGCCCGGATTTACAGGGCCGGGATTGATAATGGCACCCTCGAGCGTGTCGACACCAGCGAAAGGCGTGCCGGTGGGCAGAACGGGAAGAACCCCTGATTTGGTGGTGCTGAGTACCTCAGGAGGCGGAGGAGGGCCTTGTGCCTGTGAGGCGGACTGGCCATGAGCAAGAGTAATGAGAGTGGAAGCCAGCAGAAGTGAGTGGTACATCTTGTGCGAGAATCGACGACGTGATTGTGATTACGCGAATGGAGGGGGCATGTATCGCATGTGAGGAAACAGACTAGCAGTGTACTCAACTTATATGCGATGCTCAATGCAGGAACAAAGAGTTTACCATAGACTGACATCACGACTAAGCTCGCTTGTAGCATCCAATATACCGTTGAAGCTCTGTCTCGCTACATGACAAGGGCCGCACGGTCAGAATCGATCTCGCATTCGCACTCTCGCGATGAAAGCGAGCCGTGGACGGCACAATCTATCCAGTAGCTGACCTGGGGTAGATGTGGGGAGCCAATAGATGCAACACTAGCCTCAGCAATCCCGATATTCCAGGTCTCAGGCGCGATTTCGCGCCTGGTCGCGGTATAGATGATTGGAGACGTAAGTGTGGCGCGACGCCAAGCTGACTTCACCACTCGATGAAAGGAGCCTAGTGCAAATGGAACAAGCACAGTACAGGGTCACTCAAGTCGACAACGTCGCGTGGCTGGTGTATGGTGGCAGGATCGCATTCAGGATGATTTTAGCAAGAGAGAGTTCGCACGTCGTATTGCTGGAATGCATGCCGGCACTCATCATCTTATGCCCAGGGGTACTACTATCCACGTCAAGAACGTGACGATCGCTCGATATCATTTGAAGATGCTATCGAAGAGCAGGATTTTACACCACAATATTCGTCCACGAAGCTCCACTCGCCTTCGCTATCCTCGCCGTCGTTACTACCACAATTTTCATGCCCATTGACTTTTGCCAGTGCCTCGTCGAAAATCAACTTTCTGCCCTCGGCGCTAACCCACTCGACCAGACTACACGTTTGCTGCTCATCTGGCGCGATCTCGTCCCCGAAGTCCTCACAGTAACATCGATAAAACATACTCCCGTTCCTGCTGTTACAGCAAGGGCAGGGAATTGCGCATCCGTTGCACGCACCGTATCCAATCTGCCAACAGCCAGATGCATTTCTGTGCCAGCGCCATGTATACTCGCCGAACCACCCATATCCATAAATCCTGGGGAAAAGCGATATCCTCGGATTAAACCGCGCTTGTTGTCGAGCCCATTTGGGTTGACTAAGGGTTGCACGTAAAAGAGCATGGCCGTACGCGTCGTAGCTATTAGTTGGGAGCGTCGTAGTACGAGACGAACCGGAGAATATGCTATAGTCGAATCCAACTACGCCCACTCGCGTTGCTTGGAGATGGTACGTCGCGTACGTCATAGGTCGTTGGCGAGGTGTTAACATTCTTCGCAGTCTGCTCTCTTTGACGGCGCGCATCTCTGTGATGCGCCGCTGAGCCCAAGCCGAAAATGTCTCACCGGTCTCTACATAATGCTCAGGGTTCTCGAACACTTCGGCATTCTTGTGGAGCTTCTCATAGCGGATCACATCGTCCATCATGCCTTCAACGTGCTCGTCGAACTCTTCTTCCGCATTCGTTTCCCACACGACCAATTCCATATTCTTCGATTTCCCTGGGGACCACACCTCTTTCCGTTGTTGATTGTCGTGAATCTCATATCTCAGGATATCTCGCTTCCTTCTGTTGTTGTTTCTTCGCCGGTCCGCGTGTTCCTTCTTCCTGCCTCCAATGCTTCGTGTCCGGGGCCTAGAATCGGGGAACCTGTGAGAGCGCTTGCGTGCGTAGGACGCAGCTCGCATGTCGCGGAACGGGTGCATGGTGGTGCGTCCCGCAGCATTCATGTAGGATTCATTGCGCAAGTCGGCCGCGAAGAGGTCTTCTCCCTGCTGCGATGCAACGATGTCTGAACTGGAAAGCTCTCGACAGCACAGACAGCCAAACCAGGTGATGTCGTCCCAATCGGAACATTCGCTGTCTGTCAAAGGAACCCGCGAATGAGCATCCCAAGAATCATTTGCCAAGAACCATGGAGGGTGCTCGGATTGTATTGCGACGTCCATGGCTGATTAATGTTCGCAATACCTAGGAATCTAAGATGACAAAGCTTTGGGAAAGCCTAAAGAGCGGCTGAGCGAGTATCTAGTTGCGCTCAAGGAAGAGGACTGTTGTTAGCAACAAGAAAGACTTGATTGATTAAGTACATGAGGTAGCAAAGGAATTGATTGCAGATCGACTTGGAGTCATCCCATTCCTACAGCGTTGCGCCTTAGCGGCCATGTAGAGGGCTGAGGCTGAGCGAAAGGGCGGAGGGCTGTGACGCGGATCGCATGTAAGCTCTGCCCACGTTCACGACTCACCAGTTCCCGTTGCTTGACTGCGCAAATGTTTTTGCGTCTCGTTGGGAAGCAGAGCCGGTTGGCGTGGCCCTAGGTACCGGTACACGGCCGTTCTCGGATCGCGTGGCGCTGCACCGTGCGATTCACATTCAAACCATCCCACCCACATCGAAACGCCTCATTTACTAAATGGAAGGGTTACAATCTCACATATGTATATCTATGCATCCGAGGAAATGACTATCAACACAGATACCGGCGTTCGCACGCGTATCGTCCTGAATCAAGGCTCCCAGTAGGCGGCCCTAGGGGAAGGGGGGTTGAATTGATCATCTAATAGTCACATGCCCATTTTAGCAGGGACAATTATCTCAGATAGGGTGAATGTATCCTAATACTCTAATGATGACCCAACCTAATCATGTGTGAAATGGTCTTAGGTCCCTGAAATCATTCTACAATGTATCTTTATATACAGAAGGAGCAGGTGGGTACATAGGGCAGGTGTATAAAACCTGACTAACGCACTCCATAAATCAATCCTAGGGCCAATGCGGGCATACAAATCACGTCCTGAAGCCATCATTTCCCATTGTGCGGTTACGAAGGAGACCTTGTCATAAAGCGTAACATTGACTCTCGGCATTGTGAAGTACACAAGTTTTGATCTTGGTATGGTTTTCCACGGCTGCATGCGAACAGCATTATCTATGACATCTTCCGCGCAACCATACCTTGATTCCAAGTATCGTCAAGTGACTCCACTACTAATCTTACCCCAGGTAGAGTCCATCTTCCTTCTTCCAAACCCATCCCAACAATAGCGATTGTCAACTATACCGCCCGTGCGCCTATTTCTATAGTATCGACTTATAGGTTTTAGGGATGGCTTCCCTCAACGTTAAGATCACCCGCCCCGCCAGATTGTGCACGCTGGCAGGCAGTGTTGTATCTTGCCACCGGCAAGTCAGGCTTCAGTCCTTCCCACAGTAATCATGCCAGGATAAATCTGGATGTTATAACTACTTACAGCAAATACAGCATCTGTGTTTATTCAAACAAACTCAAGGATGTATCACAGAGTAGCCCTAGAGAACAAGGCGGCCGGTCATACTCTGTTAGGCAAAGAGCGGATGCGCAGAAAATCGAGCTCTTTGTACTCTTCTAAGCGTGGCCTTGTGATGTGTAGCGGGTACCTGTTATCTAAGAGTCCGAAAGTCTCAGCAGGTTGTGAGTTGTGTGTGAGGACGAAGGCATGATGTTGGTTGTATCCGAAACCTGCGTGTGGCAATACAGCCTATAAAACACTAAAGATAGCTTAATCTTGAAGTACATGTCCATTGATTCGATCTAAAGGCATAGCCTTCTAAAGTATACTTTTAGGTTATTCTTAGGTAGGCCGTGCTTCAAGAGAGGATACTTATTATAGAGGCAGAAGGTCTCCCTACTATTACTTAGTAGTAGTATAACTTTTCTGATTAGCAAAGTCGAGATGGAGTATGTGGATAAGGTTATAGAAGATATAGGAGGACAGAATTGAGGTAGGCGATCCAGAGTTTAACTACGGTAAGTAATTACTTGGTGCTATCAAGTAGCTATATTGCGTACTATAGTTCTATCCTAGGCATTACTACTTAACAGAACACTAATAAATTAACACTAAAGCTATTCCCACGAACGTTGCCTAACAGCACGTGATCAATATGCCGAAAGAAGACATGATGTTGGCTTGGATGATGATGCTGACTGCAGTGGAAGGGTAAGATTGTGTCCGGTGATTAAACGTACCAGCCCCAAGAGCATCTTGTGATTTGCAAATGAACATTAACTACTTCTTGAACTTGCGGAAAAACGAACTAGTTTTCCCGCCCCAGCCACCACCTTTCTCCTTCCCTGCCTTTTCGTCCTCCTCCAAGTGCCTCTGCGCCTGTTCCTCCGTGTCCAACTGGGTAGTGTTCGCATCCATAACCTGCTGTGCAAATGATACTGAGGTCTGTGGCGCATTCCCCAACCCAGGTTGGGCCGGATGTAGCAGCGTTTCAGGACGGTGGAACGGAACGTGCCCCTGGCTACCAGTCCCTCCAACAACACCCAGCTCTTGAGTGGATTGCGGTGGAGAGAATCCGGGTTGTCCAGGCTCTTGCATGGTGAGGTCATTTTCGGGGAAGAGGTCGGCAACTTTGCCTGAGCCGAACAGCCTCTCGTACACTGCTAGGGTGGTGCCAAATTCCTTATCCTGGGATATCTGAATAGTATCGAGTAGTTGCAGAACGTATGTCTGACAGTTGTTGCTAATGAGGTTATAGCCTGGACGCGTGGTTCGAATGTGCTGAATAACAGCTTCGCCTATATGTATTCAGACATGCAAGCAACCTCCCGGCCACACGTAGAGCTAGGTGGCACTCACCAGTCCTCCTAAGAGCATCGTCATTGAATTTTGTCTCCCCCACTTGGAATGTGTGCCATTCTTTTGGGTCAATCTTGGCATTCGTGTATATGATATCGAAGTTCTCATCCATCCACAGTTGATGCGCGTATTCACCGACGAGCACCGCCCAATGCTGCGTCGGATCAGGATACTTGTTAATCTTCTCTGTGATCAACTTGCCCAAACCTGTATTCTCGGCGAACCACTTGCCCTGATGCGCGCGACAAAAGTCAGTATGAGACAAGACAGGGCGGGCGAGTACCTTGTGCGTGTCTCGGCCCAGCGAGAAGGCAAAGACACATTCACTTCATACATGGTGCGTTGCTTACCGCGAACCCGCCGACAGGATGCCACCCTACTTCGACAGTCCTTGGGGGTCCATTGGTAAACGGCTGAGAGAGTGGTACCACATTTTCGACAGCACCTAGGCCGATGGCGTGTTTGAGGGCTAATTCGCCTTTATTGTAACTCTTTTGCCTACGTCGAAGGTCAGAGCGATGACAATAAGAGCTGTGTCTAATCACAATGTCTCAATGCGGGGGTAGAAGTGGGGCTCTTCACCAACGTACAAAAACTGCCCGAGTTTGTCTCTCCTCCTCTCAGACGTCCCTGTGTCCTCGCTGGCTTCTGCCATATGTGGAGATGAAGGGCTTGTTGAGCGAACGAATATCGAAAGGATCGATTTCGCGGCGAATGCTGTGTTTGTTGCACAGCCACCGCCACGTGGCACACGCAGGAGGCTAGCGTGCCGGCATAGTACACCAAGCGGATTCAGTTCGATCTTTCTCTGCCTCAGAACGTATCGCCTGATCCACCACGGCAGGTACTCCGTAACCTGATATAAACCGAAACGCTTCGTAGAGACCGAGAAGACTTCATCGAGTTCTTCTAGCATCTTCAATCTCGTTTCCGGCTCGAAGAATACCATACTAGCCCAAGAGTATCCATAGTCCACACGGCTGGAAATGCATCTTCGACAGGTCAGTGACTCTCTCCCGGGACATGAATGGTCCAGCTAAATGGAGGCGCCAGGTGTTAGGTCCATAGTCATACACAGCCACGTTATCAATGAAGCCGACGAAAATGCCGAAGGCGCAGAACATCCGCCATGATGCCTAGAGCGCACCCCAGAACCAGTCTGAAGAAATGCAACATCTGCCAATTCAGCGTTAATGCCTCGCCAATGTTCGACAGAAGAGATACGGTGGCCGAGAAGATTGCACGCTGTCGACCGAGCTTTTCGTTGAGTGGAGCCACAAGCCAGGCATCGAGTAGACCGCTCCTGGGGTAGATGCCAGATTTGATCATTCCGAGGGTCAAGTTGTTGCGCGGTGTGTCAGCGCCAATGCAAAAAGCTTTAGGAAATTGAAGGTTCGCCCCATTGATGCTTATTGATGCTTAAAGGGAGGGGTAAAGAGTCAGTGTGATGTTCATAGATCAGGAAGGGGTGAAGTAGGTGGTCTGGCTAGCTACTGACGTCTGAAGATCCCAGAGTTAGAGGTGTAAGGCTCGGAGTCTTGGACAATCGCCCACCACGAACGCCCACTCTATACCCCGGCATTGCGTACTCGTCTGAAGTTCTGAACCCAGCGTTGAACCACAGCACCCAGCACTGTAGCTACAATCATCAGATATATGACCAACGGCTATCACCATTTTTTCCTGGGACTCTGCGTGAATCGCTGCTATTTGTTGGTCTGTATTGGATTTAGTTTCTTCGAGAAGCGTGGTTCCTTGTAGCAATAAGGAAGCCTATTGGAGAATGTCAAGTGTGCGGCTTAGGCTGGTGGATCCGTGCAGAGTTGACATCCTCTTCAGTTGCAACGTGCTCAAGTCTTCGTCAGGCGATACACCATATTCAACCCGGGTGTCTAGATCGTTCTGCGTCATCATGATATCGCGGTGGCCTCCAGGGGGGTTATATAATTGTCTTGAGGGCATCGATTGGAGCGAACACGACGGCGCGACACCGAAGCGGAGGCGCGTGCCAAACCGTGGGAACCGAACCCCGGATTAGCACTCACGACTTCCTGGCACTGTGAGGTTTACATTTCGCATATGCATCAAAAAGACATGAAGAGCATTTGACCCACTCTTCTTTATGATATGCGCTGCATTCCTGCTCAACGTTGCTGTTCCCCCCTTGTATCAGTGCTTTTCACAAGTTTTGCGGCCACCTTACCGTGGAAGAATATATGGAAAAGTGGGGTTCTATAAGATGTATGACTGTGGGCCTATAGGTGGTTGGTTAATCGACTTTGGTTGACAGATCCCATCATCATGATACCTCTACCAAAGTTAGATAGCCAATCAAGCCTAACACAATAATAACATACCCTACTGTTTCTATGGTAAGGTGGCCTCAAAACCTATGGAAACGATAATATGTTATTGGGATACTCCATTGAGCTGCGCCGGCGGAAAGGTTCCACATATTGCTCGAAGAGCATTCTATCTGACACTATATCGGGACCCAGCGTGCTTGAGCTTTTCGTCTTTCAAGCGTGAAATGACTTTCGTTGGCGATGTCCGCGAAGGAATCGACCAGCGCTCGGGCAAAGGAGAGGTGAAATAATGCCTTGAACAAGTGTGCTCCTATGGTTTTCCTGCGAAAGGCCTATAATGACATTATCACAAAACATAGTGCTCATCTCAGCAGAAACTTCCTGACGTTTCGTCTTGTGCTGTGACCCCTGCGACGACCACGCTTATTAAAGCCCCACTGTCGCGTTTCAACACACTCGCGTGCGTTGGAACGGAGAAAATCCTGTGCAGGTCTTCAAAATCCACGAACGAGATGATGTGCTGTCGAGCAGCGCGTATCTGTAATTGTCAACGGACTCACCATCCCTCATCAAGCGATCCATTCGGTAATAGGTATGGTTTTCCGTTCCATACCAGGTATTGGGCCACGCAAATTACAACGCCGGCTTTACTGAAGACTTGACACGATTGCTCTTACTGAATCTGCTCGGACCATCATACCACCTACTCTCGAGACAAGCATGTCATGTTTCTACGAAAGACTCGTATCGCCAGCGGCAGACGTGAACGGTGGCATGATGGATGAAACCCCTCTAATACCCACCCGAGCTTCGCACGGACACGAACAACTCTTGGCCCATGCCCACCAGCGATTTCATCCACCAATCAACTTTATTTGTTCCAGCCCCTGTCAAATGTTCCCAGATCTCCAGGACCATGAAATGGGTCCGAAAATCACACAATTTGAAAGCCAAGCTTTCTTGGCTCAATCTATCCCAGATGTTCATGAACCCCACGTATGGAAATCTGTTGTCGGGTGGTAAACGAAACGACCATGCCTACCTGTACGGGACCCAAATTGCAGTTGACAGCATTGGCGCTTCGGCTTACGATTGGTATAAGATGTCTAGCTTCCCCATTCTGAAGAAGGATATCGCAGCTGCGCTGACTGTCATTCACCAACGACTTTGATTTAGTCTTTTGTTCGTTCTTTTCGTCACTCTTTTTTCCAACACTTGTTCATCAACAATGAAGACTGCCGCTGTTGTTGCTGGCCTTGCCGCCGCCGCCAATGCGCACGCCACATGGCAATACTTGTGGAGAAACGGGGAGGATCTTGGAAGCACCTGTGTCAGAAAGGTTCCGTCAAACAGCCCTGTCGAGGACTACACTGGCACCGCGCTGCAGTGCAACGTGAACCCGGCCGATGCAGAGGGCAACTGCGAGTTTGCAGCTGGTGACACCGTCACTATCGAGATGCACCAACATGACACCCGCTCTAGCACTGAGGAAGCTATTGGCGGTGCTCACTGGGGCCCCGTACTTGCGTACATGGCTTCCGTTGAGGATGCTGCGGCTGCTACTGGTGCAGAGGACTTCTTCAAGGTTTACCAGAACACTTGGGCCAAGGCGCCTGGTTCGACCCAGGGTGACAACGACTTCTGGGGTACCAAGGACATGAACTACAACGGTCAGTCTCGAGAACATGCAAGAAGTGAATTTGACTGACGATCACTAGGTGGAAAGCTTGATTTCAAGGTTCCAGCCGATCTCGCCCCTGGCGACTACCTGCTCCGTGCCGAGGCGATCGCTCTCCATGCTGCCAGTGCTTCTGGAGGAGCACAGCATTATGTTGCATGCTACCAGCTCACAGTCACCGGCAGTGGTTCATTGAAGCCCACCGATACCGTCACGTTCCCGTCTGCTTACAACAAGACTGGCCCAGGCCTCGGTTTCAGCATACACGCTCCTCTCGACAGCTATCCTGCTCCCGGCCCTGCTCTTATCGAAAGCGGAACCGAGTCTACTCCTCAGCTTCTGACTTTCGGTACTATTGAGAGCGCACCCGCTGCAAGCGCCGCTCCCTCCACTGCCACCAAGCCTGCCTCCAGCGCTGCCTCTGCCACTCCAGTTGCAAGCTCTGCCCCCGCAAGCTCCGCACCCGCCAGCTCATCCGCTGCTGCACAGACTTCCGCTGCTGCACAGACTTCCGCTGCTGCATCGGCTACTGCCACTGCAGTTGCCGAGCCCGCACCCAGCAGCTCTGCTGCTGCCCCCTCTGCTACTGCTTCCAGCCCCGCTGCAGAGCAGAAGTACACCATCGCCGAATTCATCGCCTTCCTCGAGGAGGCTGATGCCGCTGATAGCTCAGCTACGTCCAGAAAGGCCAGAAGGCACGCACGTGCTTTCCGTGTCTAAGCATTAAACATCACGTTTGGTTGGAGGAATGTTTGAGTGTTGGTTTAGGGAGACTATAGAGATGGTTCTCCTCGATGGAGGCTTCGCTTCTTGTATCCAATTCATTGCATGGCCATTTCGTGCCGAATCTTCCGTACTGCACGCACTTTATGATCGCTGTTGACAATATATCGTAGCTTGGTTTCTCTTTTCCTACAACCAGAGCTATCTTTACAAAAATGAGTGAGCTTCATACTGATAGGATCTGCACGAGGATGTAAGGCAGCTATAGTAGAACAGCGGAAGCCTTGGAGTACGTGCATTCAACATAAAGCAAACAAAACTTTGGTCGTCTGAAGTGGGATGGTTGCTTTTTCATTCTATGCTTATCACTGCGGATGTATCGCGTGCGGTTGCAAGCCTTCGTTCACCGTCGGGAAGCGGCGGGGTGGGGTAAACCCAACACCCTGGAAACGGGGCTCTCCACGGATACGCCTTCGCGAAAGGGATATAGAAGTCCATTGCGGAGCCATCAACATTATTGACCACCTTTGTCTCTTCCCCTCATGACGCGCCCATACGACTCGATCAACGCTGAGCAGTTGCAACGTGATGCAGACGAGCACCTGCTCGCCTACGGAACTTCATATCATCCCGAGATCATTACTTCGACCGAAGGCGTCTATGTCGAGACACATACTGGCCATCGGATGATGGACTTCACCTCTGGTCAGATGTCGTGCCTTCTCGGTCACGGAAATCCTGAGGTAGTGCAAGTTATTCACGAGCACGCGCAGCACCTCGATCACATCTTCAGTGGCATGATCAGTCCTCCTGTGATCAATCTAGCAAAAAGATTGACAAGTGTCACACCTCAAGGCCTCGATAAGGCCTTCTTCCTGAGCACAGGGGGAGAGAGCAACGAGGCGGCGATACGACTTGCAAAATTCTACACTGGAAAATTCGAGATAGTTGGCCTGGCAGCATCATGGCATGGAATGACTGGCGCATCACTCGGAGCACAATATCACGCAGGTCGTGCAGGCTATGGGCCTCTTATGCCTGGAAATCTCGTCCTTCCGAGCCCAAATGCGTACCGTTCGATCTTCACGCATGCGGACGGTAGCTACGACTGGACAGCCGAGCTCAACTACGGATTTGACTTGCTGGATAAGCAGTCATGCGGCTCTCTTGCAGCTGTGATACTTGAACCTATCCTTTCCAGTGGCGGCATGCTCGTATTGCCGCCCGGGTATCTGAAGGCGATGAAAGAGCATTGTGTCAAAAGAGGGATGCTGCTCATCGTTGATGAGGCACAAACAGGTCTGGGGAGAGCAGGAGATATGTTTGCATTCACGCATCATCCAGAAGACGAGGGCGTAGTTCCGGATGTTCTGACATTGAGCAAGACCTTGGGGAATGGACTGCCTTTGAGCGCCGTGGTAACTTCGAATAGTATCGCTCAGCACGCAAAAGAGAACGGATTCCTTTTCTACACGACACATATCAATGACCCGCTTCCGGCTGCGGTTGGCGACAAAGTACTCGAGATAGTTATTAGGGATGATTTAGTTTTTCGCTCGCGGCAGCTAGGTGTCAAACTGCAGGCGGGTCTGAAGATATTACAGTCGCGCTACGGGTGTATCGGCGATGTCAGAGGCCGCGGCCTGATGGCTGGTGTTGAGATTGTCGGAGACCGCAAGACGAAGGTCGGGGCCCCAGAGGTTGGTAATGCATTGGCGAACAAGATGACAGAGATGGGATTGTGGGCTCAGCTTGCTACTATTGCATCGTTTGGAGGTGTCTTCCGCATCGCGCCTCCTCTCACTGTGACGGAGCAACAATTGGACGAGGCGCTATTGATTATGGAAGAAGCTTTGAGAACAACACCAGGAACTAAGCCTTTGTACTCATTAGAGGGATGATACAAAGGTGAAGGAAGGCTGTAACTTGAAATACGAACTATTAAAGCTTTGGCTTCCACACATGCTTGTCTTGAATGAGATATATTGAAAAGCGCATGTCCTCCTTGGCGTTTACATATTCTCTTTCGGCACTTTGACCACGTGCTGTAAGGCAACGTTTGTAGAAATAGCTTTAATATATCTTTAATGTTTTATCAAGTTATAATACCTAAGATAGAATACAGTACGTAATACAGCTGCTTAATAGCACTACGCAGTCTAACTCTGTATTGTCTACCCCACTTCTATCCTTATCTTCCACACCTTCGTCTATATACGCTGTCTAGACTTCGCTGATTATGGCTGCACTGAAGCTTGTGCCGCTGATTGGTGACGCCAGGGAGAGCTTCCGCCTCCACGACGATTCTCCCCTCCCTCCAAGTACTCTCCGCCTGAGAGTACTCTGTACATATGAACTGCACCACACATCATAAACAGATCTTGAGCACAGAATCCAGCTGGACCATCGTTCTTCGTTAGAGATAAGAGCGTCCTTTATTAACAGTAAGTACAGATCGGTAAGGCCGCTAAGCAAACCTGAGGCTTGTTGGATGATACCTTCGATGGTATCAAGTGGTTCGCTTTGCGACGAACATGTTCTCTGCTGCGATAAAGATGACATATCGAACAATCCTCGAATTACAAACACTAACATGGTTCAAGACCTTTATAGCCATTTCTTTTTTCCTTGTGTCTAAGCTATTTAGAAGTGACGGGTGGTGATCACTACACTACCAATTGGCTATGTTGCGACAACGGAATCGCAATATGGCCAATTTGATCCTGCTATCGTCCACTGTCTATCAGACTACAACATCATGGCCAAGCCAAGACCAATGACAGCCCCGCCCAATGCGCCCTTGACTTGTACTGCAGCACCAGGGAACTCAGAAGGTGAAGGTGTAGGTGCGGGCGCGCTGCTAGCGGTCCCGGCAGTGGGAGCAGCACCAAGAGCAGATGTGTATGGTACATCAGTTCCAATGGCAGTCGCGCCTGGGAAAGCGGGCGTGGGAGTTGCAGCGGGAGTTGGGTTCTCGATTTCGTCCTCCGGGTTGAGCACACTGTATGATGTTAGTCCAGAAAAATGAGTGTCTGCGGATGTGGACACTCACGTATCGATGATGTGCGCTACGCCGTTGCTGAGGATGATGTTGGCTAGGACGACCTTGGCGTTGTCTACGTATACTGTTCCATCGACGCCGACGCTCAGAGTGAGGTCGTTGCCGTTCACTGTCTTGACTGTTGTGTTGGTGATATCACTCGAAAACGCAACAGCACCTGTTACGGCGTGGTATGTCAATACATTGGTAAGAGTCTCAATGCTAGCGTTGGCAAAGGCAGATGCTGCAGTGGTGAAGGCATCGTTGTTGGGAACAAAAATGGTTAGGTCCGCGACGGAGTCAATTGTTTCAACAAGACTTGCGGCAGTGAGAGCACCCAGTGCGGCAGTCACTTCGACGTCCGGAACTTTCGACAGAGTAGTGGAGGCATTTCGAGGTACGGTAAGTACGGTGTCTATCTTGTGGACGGTGACGCTATTTGCGGCTTGAATATCCTGGTCTGGTAAGTCTCTCGTGGGGGAAGTGTCATGTTTGAATTACTCACTGCTTCTATCACGTTGGCGGACTTGAGCTCTCCGCTGAGGATAGTAGCATTTTCTCCGTCTAGCAACAGACCCACATTCTGCCCATCTGTAACATTCGTGCGAATGCTGCCGTCGAATGACGGCAAGAAGAGACTGCTCACAAAAGCAGGGGTCTCGCTAAAGTCAGACGAGACGTAAGTCCCATTGAGAACGTGGTACGCAAGTATAGCTGCGATAGCCTGCATATCGCTTGAGTTGACCGCAACGCTCTCTGGCGTATCTTCCTGCGCGAGGAGAGCCTCGAATGCGGAATTCGTGGGCGCGAGGATAGTAATGTTGCTTAGGCCGGCGAGTGTCTCCGCAAGATCGGGCACGCTGCCGAGGGCTGCACCGATGGTGGAAAGGTCAGGTTGAGATGCAATCAGGTCAGTAAGACTGGGTGCCTGTGCAAGCACAGATGATACACAGGCAAAAAAAGCTATCGAGGTCCTCATCTTGGTCGAGTGTTGTTGTGCCCCTGACGTTGAAAGTGATGTTGGAAGTGAAGATGCGGAATAGGTCTGCGAGCTCGAGATGCAGATACTGCGGTACTTTTTATAGCATGTGCATTGAGGCTATGCATCCCCGAACGATCTAGCTGATACATCTTTACAAGACTGGAAACTTGCATGTCTTCACTGCCGCGGCACTGGGCAGAATTGCATTCTACATCTGGATCGGGAAACCCCTGAAGTATCTATCACGATGGCTAGCTTGAGTCCAGTCGCCATGGATCGCCAAGTCAGCTCACTGGTCAGAGGTCTTTCCGTTTGCTAAGCACATCGTGGTGTTGCAGGGGCTGTGAAGTTATATGTTCCCAAAGTAGCTGGTAGTGACGTTGGCCAAGTGCGAGTCCGGTGAGTTTTAGCCGTGCGGAGTACATCGCGTATACTGGCGAGCTCGCGTGGTTTGAGCTTCGAGGTAAAACTAGATGCCTGGTACCTTGCAGAGAGATGCGGGGTGGACCCTCGAAATTTGTCTCATGCAATTGCGCACTGAACTTGTAATCGGTCAAGGTACTGATCGTGCTTGAAGGCTCCTCTGAGTACGTTCTACTGCAGATATCGCTTCCATACACACGGCCAGCACCTAAAACCGATTCCCGTAATTCGTAAGCTGTTAGCAGCCACCATAGACGGCAAATTCTTATCTTCACTCCGGTACCCCACCTTTTTGACGTATACTATTATCAAGCCTTAGCGCGCTCGAGCCGGTAGCATACAGATGCTGTTTCATAGTCAATCACACAAGTTCCTCGCCCACCTTTTCATGGCTCTAGGTACCTTTTTCACAAACTTCAGCAGCCTATGTATACTATAGCAGGTTGATCGTTAGAGGTTCTAGTAAATCTATATTTCTAGTACTGGTAAACGTTCAAATAGAGCACTAACCTGTCAAAAAGTTCAGTAGGATTAGCTTAGCCTCCTATAGTACATAGATTGGCTAAAAGTTGGCAGAGATACCGAGAGCCACAAAAAGGTGGGGAGGAACTTTTATAAAGCACCCGATACCTCGACTATGATCATAACATATCTCACATCCGTGATATCGTTCTGACCATCTTCCTGAAGTTCCACAACACTACGGTGTATGGATTTCTTTCGACTATGTAACCGGCAGTGTAAGTTTGATTCGAAGCCCAAGGGTACCAACGCGAAACGAAGGCTTCGTGCACCAGTCGCATTATTCATCGCATCCTGTAAGCCTTAGTCCAGTAGTCCTTTTTGCCTCAACCACGCCTCGCACAATCCTGGCCACGTGGATACTGGCAACTCCGCCGTATCTAATCCAAAACCATGCGGCGCGTCTGCGAAAACATGCAATTCGACCTGCGTCCCTTTCTTCCACAGTCCCTCCGCCAGCCTATACGCATTAACCACGGGCACAACTTCATCGTTGCCTGCATATACGATAAACGTTGGCGGAACATCGTCCAGGAGCTGGACATCCGGCTGCAGCGCATCATACAGCGCCTGCTTCTCTGGCGGCTCAAGTGGTGCCTTATCGGGGATGATAGTGCGCCCTTTCGCGTTTGTAGAGATAGGTGCATAGCCTATGATCGCGAAGTCGAGTTTCGGTAAGTTCGCTGAAGAAGCGGGAGACGTCCAAGCTGACGGGTACGACGCGAGCAAACTTGCAGCGAGGTGGCCTCCCGAGCTCAATCCGCATACGCCTAGCCCATTCGTCGCAAAGCCCTTCTCTTGGATGATGTTGAGTGCCCGCCGTGCGTCATCTATGGGTGCCTTCGGGCTGGACTGGGCATTTGGGAATCTGTGGATGAGGACAAAGGCGCGAAAACCGATGGTAGACAGCCATTTTGCGACGGCGACGCCTTCGCGGCCGACCATGAGTTGGGTGTAGCCGCCTCCGCCGAGGATGAGTACCGCGCGGCCATTGGATGGGGTTGCCGCGGATGCGAAGCTGAGGAGCCAGGGGCGGGATACTTCTGTTACTACGGCGTGGTCGAGAGAGTTGTTGGGTTTAGTGAACGTGAAGGCATTGTCGATAGGTTCGTTGTCCCAAAGTGGGAAGGCTTCGGATGCGTTTATTGGATTTGCCATTTTTTTTTTGTATATACACGGGTCTCTGCGTCTTTTTGAACGTATCTTGGGAAGGTCGAGTGGAGAGTGGGTGGAGCGTTGCTCGCTGCAACTTTAACCGAGATATCCCGATCGCCGTGAGCTTGCTTTGCTTTTGCTCTTTTACCGTATCCTGATCGCATGTGCTCGCGATCAATGGGCATTCTGCGTCCGATGACCTCCAAAGATTTCTAAAATCCTACGAAGTGCCGCACAACAACCCCAAAAGACTTTCACCGTAGGCATTATTGGCAATGAAGCCCCCCTCGGGCTTATACATGGTTTCTTATCAATCCGAATATACACTAGAAACAACATACAATCGAAGAGCGATGGATATCTTGTTCGCTCATTCCCGGTTCGATCCCAAATTTCCATCCCATTTCCGGCTGTGTAACCAGGCCCGCTAACGCCAGACGATGCAAACGCCGTGCTCGTTCCAAAAGCAGTCCTTCCCGTCCATAAGCGTTCGTGATATGGATTCAGGAACCAATTTCCCTCGATTTTTTTCAACTCGAATCTTATTTGGAGGGCGTGAATCCAAAACATCCACGCCGCGCTCACAGATCATCAACCTCAACAAACCGTCCCCTAATCGGCCTCTTCCTACTATCCAAGCTTCTCACGCTCCCGCTATCATTTGTACTTCCAGCGTCGTCGCCAAACCTACCCGGCGCAAGGCTTCCTCCGCTCATGACATGCGGACCTCTCACTGGCACAGGTTGTGCGTAAAACTGCGCGGGCGTCTGTGTCGTGCTCGGCGGCGACCTCGTATGCCTATCAGCCCCACTGAACTGTGTTCCCTCAGGGCTGGTCATACGGTCTGAATGTGAATTCTGAGAGTTGTGGGATTGATGGGAATGGGTTCGAGTATAGGGATCCGGGGGTGGCGGGTAGTAGACATGTTGAGTCACTGGAACGAACGCATGCGGGTGAGTGGGTGATGTCGGTGTAGGATAAGAGTATTCGCGCTGTAATGCTGCGCCTGGAGGTTGGTGGTAGACATTAGGGTCGTAACTTGGGGTATCGTAAGTATTAGTGTGTTGGTTGTAAGCAGCATGCTGATCTTGCTGCGTGTAATTGGGATGGGAATATTCGGTATTGTACGGTGAGGGATATGTTGCTGTTGAAGTAGGAGAATTGGATGGATATTGTTGAGGCTGGTATGGCGAGATGGGGTTCGGGTGCAAGTAATCGCCGCTTGGTGAGCGCGAATGTAGATGCGTGGTGGTATCGGGCTGTTGTCGTAAGCTCATGTACTTCGCGGTACCTGGCGAGGGCATCTCTTGTACTGGTGAGGTTGCTGCTAGCTCGACGGGAGGTGGTGGTGATGGGCCTTGGTTCTTCTCTCCTTTGACTTTGAGAGCCTTCTTGCGCCGACGGAGGCAGAAGAGAACGAGCAGAAGTATCAGAATGAGGCCGGCGAGACCTCCTACGACACCACCCGCAATAGCTCCAACGTCAGTCTTCTTTGATTTGCCGGTGTCTGACGGGGTTGCGGTTCCACTAGGAACTACACGAGTTGCTGATCGGGCTGAAAAGCTTGCCTGGCGACCGAAGTAGACGCTGAGATCGCCGTTATCCCAGCTGGAAGGCTTGGTCATTGTCGCGCCTCCTGTTGGTCTAGAACGCGTTAGATTCACCCTGTACCAGTATCAACCGAAACAAGAGCACACTCACCCTCCACCAATGACCGAGATAACAGGCGTAGGGACGAAGTACTTGGTGGCCGACGGGTCCCATTTGTCCCAGAGAACGTTCTTTTCCCCATTGTATCCGAGGTTCACTGGAAATAACAATCAACTCTGTCTCATCTCGCACATGAACCTCGCCAAGCTTACTATTGTGTTGCCCTTGAGAATTTGGTGCGTCGCAATCAGTATAAGACGAGTTGGTAAACCAGCCCCCGATGATAAGCATCTGGTCTCGGTTGACCACGTTTGCAGAGCAAGCTCCGTGCGGGAACGGTTGCGTGTTCGTGCCATTGCCTGTATTGAAGACGTTGATCCACTTGAAAGATGGCAGTGAGAGGATGTAAGCATCGTCATATCCACCTGGACCATCGGCAGTGAATCCGCCATACAAGTAGCTTTCAATGATTAGACAAGTTCACAGCGGAAGGGTGAAGAAGCCACTCACATGTTATATGACGATTGATCATCAGCCCAGGTAGCGCCAGCACAGAATTGTCGTCGCGCGCCTGGGACTTGTCCGGAGGCTTGCTGGGTATACCACTTGTTCGAAGAGATGTCGTATATATGGACAGTCTATCCATGGTGAGTACAGTCCTAAGAAAAACAGCAAAAGAATGCATTTCTTACGCTCATGTTGGCCTGATTCCAAATTAGCATGCGAACAACAGATCAGGATCCGCGCTTGACGTACCGCTTGAGAGCTTCCATTGCGACTCGGATCCTCGATACCTCCAAAGTAGACCAGAAGACCTCCGTCAGAAGCAGGAAGGTAGACCAACTGACCCTCAGCGCGGCCAACGTTGTCTGGTGGCCCACTGTTGTTGTTCAGCTGACCTGCGGTGAAGTCATAAGATATCAGATTGCTGGTAGCGATCTGTTCCCCCTTCCAAGTTGGAGACGTAAGGTTGTTCATGTAGCCTCCAAAGTAATACCCATAGCCGAAATCCTCAGCCGATGTTCCTGCGCCATAGGCCACTCGCTGTAGTGATGCGACGTTGCTGTTCGGGCTGGATTCGTTCCATTGGTCCAGTCTGGTATCGTAGGTCCAAAAGCTGAAATCGGGCGGAGCGCCTTGGTATTCTCCTCCGAACTGGTAGAAGCACTTGTTGACATCATCCGGCCACAGCACGGCGCCTGATACGCTCGGTACGGTGGCGTTCTTGGTGAGGTTCGCGTATTGGTTTGGCTGGCCAAAGCCCTGGGTCGTGGAGTTGAGGTCGCTGTAGAGGAGCCAGGTATCTAGGTATGCGGCGTTAGGGACATGGATTCATGCGTGCAGTGTGGGGTAGCATACTCGTGTAGTTCTGGGGATTGGTGGAGATGGGATTCCATGCTACCTGGCCCCCGTCAATGTACAGCTTGTTGTCTACCTGCGCGGTCTGGTGACCCCATCGTCGACAAAAGTCCTGGATTGGATCCTTTGCCTGCAGTGAGCGAGACAGCAATGCAATTGCGGCCAGCAGGGAAAGCCGTGTAGATGGCATGGCTGGCATTCATCCCCCCAGGGTCGTACAGACATGGAATGGTAAGGCGTCGCAAGTACTGTAAGGGAGCGCAACAGATGTTGCAGTCGAGGTCATGGGCAGCTGCAGGAGGGTGACGGCAGGGCTGAAGGGAGCTGCACCAGGTTGTCAGAACGCGGCGCACGAAGAGAAGCTGGCTCGTGCTGCATCAGCCCGTTCATTCGCGGATGCAGCGGAGAGATGCTGAGCGTTTGGGACGCCAACTCTCAGCCATGCTGCTGCTGTGAGACGCGTGCGCCAATAGCGCAGGACAGGCGGCGGAACGAGGTTAGGCAGGCGGCCGGTCCTGTGCAAGCGGGTACCCGGACCGGGTTCGCAGGTTCGAGGATGCGGGCAAACGGCAAGGATCGTCAGGTCTGAACGCGAGCAATCCGGCGTGCTCTATTCACAGCAGCAGAGAAGAGAGAAGAGGCATCTGGTCGGGTGACGCAGACGATGGCTGGATTCTGCAGGCGCGCTACCGCCGGCCAGGTCCCTCTCGGAAGCGGAACCACGGCTGCGGGGAATCCTCAGCTCCTGCGTGCTGTGGGAGCCCGTTTATTGCTTTGTGCACCGAGTCGACGTCGGGCCTGCCTGTCGCGACCCCTTTCCTCCTTGGCAATGCATCCATGGACATTGCAGTTGCTGATCGCAATGCGAAAGCATTCGCTGAGAGCGCACTGCCACAGCCGTCGCCCGTTCGTCGCTCGACTGCCCCAGGTGCATACGAGAGCATGTTCAGCACAGCCTCCGCTTGCGCATCTCGTGACATCAACCGCAGCTATGGCGAAGACAAAGTTGCTGGGGGGTATGTAGGCCTAAAGCGAACCCAGAGCTCCAAGACCGGCACAGAGAGCCAGCGAAAGCGAACCCCAGGATTAGAACAGCCGTCATCGCTCTTGGTCCATCGGAAAAGGCAGGTTCAGGGTATGCAGAACCGACCAGAAAGAATAGTCAAGACCGTGTATGTATGTAGGAAGAAGAAAGAAGGACCTGGGCAGAGCTGGATGTTGAAGATTTCGACCGCTCACGTGATGGCTTGGCGCGCTAGCTTCCATGCACGACCCCATTTCAATGAGAAGCTTGAATTTAAAAATATATGCGGAAGGCCTCAAGTGCTGATCCTCAACCAAAAACTAAAAAAAAATTTCAACTTCGTCATGTTCGAGTCGAGCTAATATATACACAGATGCTCATCACAGCCAATTCTCGATCCCCTAAAACCTCGCCTCCACCTTCTGCTCCGTATCCTGCAGCGCCCACTCACTCCTCGCTTTCTTGCTCCGCACTCTGTCAACCTGCTCCTTCGTAAACCCCTTCGCTACAACTGCAGGATTATATCCGAGCCCATTGATCTTGCCCACCTCCTCGCTACTAACATCTGTCGCCGCACTCCCATCAGCGCGCTTGTACACCGTCACCACCACGGCCCCGCCAAGCCCGAGATTGTGTTGTAAAGCGACCTTGGTGTCTTTCACGCTGCGGTTGTTGGCCCACCCACGCATGTGCCACACGAGCTCCGCGCATTGCGCAAGGCCTGTTGCGCCGAGGGGGTGCCCCTTTGAGATGAGGCCACCCGAGGGGTTGATGACCACCTGGGAGTTGGGCCCGTACGTAATGCCTCCTTTTCTGATGAGTTCATGGGCTTTTCCCTTTGCCGCGAGACCGAGAGCCTCGATGGTGACCATCTCGTTGGCGGAGAAGCAGTCATGCACTTCGCAAACGCGGACGTCCTTGGGATCCGTCTTGGCCTCGGCGAGGGCCGTTCTGGCAGCGAGTTCGGACATGCTGAAGCCGACGAGCTCGATGGCGGAGCGGTTGAAGAGCTGCGGGGTGTCGGTGGCGAGGCACTGACCTGCGATGAGGATGGCTTGCTTCTTGAGGTGGGGGCGGGCATCGAGGAAGGATTGCGAGACGAGGACGGCGGCGGCGCCGCCGTCGGAAGTAGGGCAGCATTGCAGCTTGGTGAGGGGCTCGTGGATCATGGTGGATTTGAGGACCTGGTCGAGGGTGTATTCGTCTTGGAATTGGGAGTAAGGGTTGTTCTTGGAGTGGGCATGGTTGATGCGGCCAATTTCCGCAAAGTCTTCGAGCTTCGAGCCGTATCTGTTTGCTGTTAGCATCGTAGGAGGGAGGAAGGAGGGTGCACAGGAGCGGGACGTACTTCTCCATGTGCTCTCGTCCTGCGTTGCCGAACAGTTGCGCCGCACCAGGCGCCTTCGTGATCCCCCTCGTCTCCTTCATTACTAAGTTCGTCGTGCTCGTTGGGTTCGCGCGATCCTGGAAGAACGTCTGCAGACTACCTGGGAACATCTTCTCGAAGCCCACGACTAGCACGCAGTCACTGGCGCCATGCGCAATCATGTTGCGCCCCATGTACAGCCCCGTCGAGCCGGTTGAGCAATTGTTGTTTACGTTGTAGACGGGGATACCCGTCATACCGAACTGGTAGAAGACACGCTGGCCGCAGGTGCTGTCGCCGTAGCAGTAGCATGCGACGCCCTGGTCGACGTCGTCGTAATTGATCTGCGCGTCGAGCATGGCCTTGACGCCGGCTTCGAAGCCCAGCTCCGGGTAGTCGACCTTGCCGCGGGGTTTTATGAACTTGGTCATACCCACGCCGAGGACATAGACGGGTTGTTTCTGGGTGGGCGCCATAGTGGTGGTAGGATAATGGGAAGGCTGGTATGAGAACGACAATACTGCGAATGCCAAAGAATCAAATAACGAATCGAACTATGGAGGATGTGTAAGAACACTCCGTGGCGTGCAACGTAGAGACATTGCGGCTTCGGCTGTATAAAGGGTCGCGAGTCGGGGAGCTGGGAAGGATGGTGTGGGGTAAGTTACCTCGGCACGGCACGCCGTGTGAGGTTGGTGGCACTCGTCCGTATTGCCTAGTCGATCCAGGATACCTTTTGCCGACTGCCTTAGGGAGCATATGATATGGCCTACTTCTAGGAGCGAACATCAACAAAACGTTATTTGTTCACAGTCAGTCGATGCCAGCCACAGTCCACGACTGACTCTGCATTTCATGCTTTTGAATCTCAGGCTAAGTAGACAAGGTGAAGCTGACACATGCATTTTTAGTCAGGAGAGGATGTTTCAAAGACCTGATTATGCGTTATATTCGAGGAATTCGGTATCCAATGCAGAAAATAGCAAAGCAGTGCGAACACTCAGGTATTGATAAGTCAAAAGCAACCACTCCTAGTGTGAACCAAACAACTCTACCCGAGTGTTCGATTCCATGTGATATACAATCCCTGATGCCAGAAACCATGAACAATCCGAGGGTATGCCGATCCAACCAAACGCCCTGCTTATATGATTCGTGAAATCGTGCCTATGCGCCGGGAGCAGACTACATTTGTAGCCTCTTATGCAAAAAAAATCTCTCAAATCGTTAACCAGCCCATCCTATAGACGGATCATCCAGAGCGCGGGTTGGGCTGGCGTATATCGCGTCAGGTAGGTTTAATACTTCAGCCCGCGGAGGAACGACCCCGTTCGAGGTCGACGGTTTGGGGGAGCTGGAGGCCGAGCTAACTGTTGAGCTAGATGCTGAGCTCGACTCGCTTTGAGGTATAGGACTTCTGACCTGCGAGGTGTCCCGTCGTGGTCGGGTCTTTGCGGGGCTCGCTTTTTCGCTCGTCATCCCCTCAGTCTCACCATCACTCGAGGTCGAGTTTCTCGAACTGACGAACACCGGCGTCACGATATGCGAACTGTCGTGTCGTTGAAAGTTCTCCTGTCTGAACGCCTGTATCGATGGCGGCACAATTCCGTCCGGCCAGCTCCCGCGCTCCCTGTGCTCGACACTCGGAAGCTGCTCTTTCTCTTTGCTCCACCGGCTCTTGAACCTGCTCCACCTCTTGTGCTTCTCACTCATGCCCATGCTTTCCCGTCGCTGTTGCTCGACCTCTGATTCTCTTCTTGACTGCTCGTCGCGAACGGGGTCTGCTAGCGTATGGGCTGCGGACGAGGGGCCGTTGAGCCAGATTGGGAAGAGTGCACCAACAGCATACGCCGCAATGACAACGCAGTACGCATACTGCACGTTCCTTGCCTTGACCACAGTGTACATGATGGGTGGCCAAACCGCTCCGCCACCGATAGCCGCCGTAAGTAGAACCGCTGCGTCTTTTGTGTGTTTGCCTAGACCGCGGAGCGACTGAGCGTAGATGAGTGGGAAGAGGGGGCCTTCGAAGAATTTGCCTATAACAATAATCGTGGCCCATGTACCCCCTGTGTCGCCAGACGTAGCAGCCGCTGCAAAAGCGATTGCGCCGGCAAAGAAGAAGGCGAGTAAGAAGCGTGGTTTGATCCAAATACATAAGAAGGCTGCAAGGAGACGCGAGACAGCGAAGCCGGTGTGGTCAATGGCCTGGAAATTGACAGTATCCAGCGATGGAGTAACACGGGTCAGGTATTCGGCGAATGAAGTTGATGTGCTTTCCTGGCCACCAACGTAGCAGAACATGGCGGAAACACCTAGGGCGAGGGAAACCCAGACAACACGCACGTTGGTAGATCCAACGGTAGCATCACAAGGAATTGGCATCCTAGCCGTTGCGTTCTCCAACTCCTCGTCTGTGGCCTCCGGCAGTGGGACATAGAAGAAAACGATGGCGAGGAGAATGGTGAAGAAGGAGATGCCGAGATAAGCCCATTGCACATCAATCAAGCTGTCGGCCGAGGCCTTGAACAGCACTTTCTTGGCGAGGAGCGGGGAGACGATTGTGCCGATGGCTTGTATGCCTTGCGACATGCTGAGTCTTGCTTCTGCGTATTCAGGCGGACCGCAGAGCGCAATGAAGGGGTTGGCGCTGAGCTCCAGAGTTGCCAGGCCCATACCGACGATGAAGTTGGATATAAGGAAGGCCGGGAAAGATGTGAGCACTGCAGAGGGCCAGAAGACCAACGTGCCACAAGCGTACACCATCAATCCAACGATGTAACAAGCCTTGAAGCCCCAGTGACGGAAAACAAGCCTGCCGAAGGTAAAAGGAGCGACGATGTAGCCGAAGTAGTAGGCGCTATGTTGACCCACGGTTTGACCATCACTCATCTTGGCCACCACCTGGAATTGCGAGTTTAGTGTATCTAGGAGGCCGTATGCGAATCCCCAGATAAAGAACAGGGTGGTGACCATGGCCACGGGATACACAGCCTCACCATTGGTCCTCAATGTGATGTTCTTCTTCTTTTGCATGTCTACAAAGTCGAAGTAGGCAGCGGAGCCTCTGCGAGCGCGAGTAGTCGTCGCGTAGGTGACCAAAGTCTCGTTGCGATACATTTCCGGCATTTCATTCATGTCCGGGGTGGTCAAAAAGTCCATCATGCCTATGGGCTCATTGGCGCCGGCGAGCGCTGGGGGTGGCTTCGTAGTGGTAGGCGACACCGGAGGACTTGGTAAATACGATCGCCTGGTTGCGGCTGTGATATTCGTGGGAATGATCATGCTGTCGCTCGTTCTGCTAGTCGACTTGTCGACTACGGTTTGATCGAGCACCCATTTTGGGAGGAAGCGTTTAACCAGAGGCTTCAGTGCCGGCACACAGGCGCACATGATTCCGGTATTGATCTCGACGGCGCTCCACATGGACGAGAATGCAGCATACCATGAGAAGTCGCTTTCATTGCGAAGATCCATCGTGTCGGCTCCTCCCATACCGGCCTCTTTGGCACGGAGGTTATTTCTTTGCGCATCTTGTAGATAGTAGATGCGGACCACGTCGACGACGGCGACGAAGATGCCGAAGCCAAAAGTGATGACCAGGATGATCTTCTGCTTCCTCGGTAGCCGCATGCCTAGGAGATGAAGTCAGTATACGGTAGACTGGTGTTGTTCAACGCGACATACCAGTCAAGAGAGGCATGGGCAGGAAAAAGATGGCCAGATCAGTGACGATGTTGAGCGGTGCCGAGGACAGGTATATAGTGACGATGTTGATGCACGTGTGAGGCGGTTCGAGCGGGGTATAAAAAGCTGCCGATACGGGGTCGCATTGGAAGATGTTCAAGAGGGTCAACGCCAGGCCGCCGACGTTGACCACGACGAGAGTCGCAATGGTGGCCCATCGGAAGACCTTGTTGGTTTTGGACAGGGTGAGGTAGAATACGAGGATGGAGGACTTGGTGGCCATCAATGCCGGGTTCTGCATGTGTTAGCAAACCAATGCTGTCAAGGTCTTGCACGTCAGAACCTACATATAGTACGGAAAAGGCATAGGCGGCCTTGTTCATGGGAGTGAGGTCATGTTCTGGGATGGTGTCCTGGTGCCTGCCGAAGCCCTTTGTGGTGCCCCAGCAGATGGAGAAGGAGGTGCCAAAGGCCAGAAGCCAGGCGAGTATGATGGTGTAGTCGTCCCACCCCGGCTTCTTCACGACGGCGAAGCGCGAGACGAGGCGGAAGAAGACGAAGACGGAGCAGCAGGCAAGGGTTGCGGCAGAGACGGCGAGGACGGCGGGCGCGCGCGAGGGCTCGTGGGCCATGGTGGTGGTCGTTTTGCGTTGGTCGGCACCCGGGGCATCGTATCGCGTCGCGATGCTAACGTGGTCGAGGGTTCCGTGGGTAGAACTGGGCGTCATGAATCGACATGCTTTGCTGCTGCGCGCATACGAGCTCGCACACGCTGCCACGATCCTGCGAGGGGTCGTGTCTGCGCGGCGATGCGGACAATTAGGCGACGGTGGACCGACCAAGCCTGGGGAAGGAGCGCCTTTTGGCTGGAAAGGACGCCGGGGACGGCTGGGACGAAGAGTCAAGGGTCTTCACCGCAAAGCCCCAGGTTTGCCGCCTCGCTGGGAACTGGGCGCAGAGACTGCAGCCATGATGGGTGCTAGCCGCGCCGGCGCGCTCGCTCTCGGCGAGCATTGGTGAAGAGGCTGGCTAGTGACGTCGTAGTGCACGCTTCTCCACGCCCCGGTCACTCGCCTGCTCGACTCTCCTTAGGCGCCCCAAGCACCTGCTGCCTCTCTCCAGGTGCCGGTCGCGGGGTGCAGCGCAACAGCAGCCGTACCCAGACTGTTGAGCATCTTCACGCTGCGGTCATGGGACATGCCAGAGGAGTGTGCACCTTTGCAGACGACAGCCCGGGGCCTGGCCGACGATCGGCGACCGGCATCGCACGCGAGCGAGAGAGATTGTGGGGAAACAAGGTCTCGAGGGCTGCTGGCTTCGGCGCCCCGGCCGAATTTGCGGGCCTCCAAAAGGTACCCACGGCAAGAGGCCGGTCATGTGAACCCAGACTCACCTGGGCACCTGGCTAGTCCGCCCTGTACGAACTCCTGGGGCTCCACTGCGAGTCCACGAGGGTCGCTCAGGCAGCCTGGGGTAATCCAAGTCCCTGAAAGCGCACGTCTCTGCAACCTCATTGGCCAACCGAGTGCTGCTTTTGCAAGTGTACTACTGTTTGCGAGTACCAAAGTTCGGAACCCTTCACACATCTCAAACCTTCTCGTCCAAGTCTTGTTCTCCACGAAAGTTTACCTACTAGTCCAGCATTGACCTACTACGACCCGCATCAGCAAGGCAATCCAGTGTCTACCACGTCCCTGATCACTACCATCCTTGATTAGTCAGACGGGAGCGAACGTGTACAACACTCCGCGGACCTCGAGCTGTCCTCGTTTAGCATCAGCTAATACGATCGGTATTAGGCAAGTTAGCCTAGAGTGCTTCCCTTTTTTTTTTGGTACCTTCCAAGGTAGCACTCCCTAGTCAGTCACGGACCTACCTCGAGCGAGCCAACATTCAGTAGACTCCGCGGACATCGACCCCTTCTCTTCTCTCGTGTGAACATGGACATTGGCCAGAAGCTTCCCAGTTGTCGAAGCCTCCACCAATCGGTCGTCCGATAGTAGATTCTAGGGTCACTCGGGTTATGATCAGCCTCCAGGGTTTAGTCTTGATACTGTCGCGCCGACGATCACATGTACGCGGAAACCCGTCCAGCATCAAGGCATTATTACGATTAATGGTAGCTTGGTATCCACACCTCCCCTTCTCACTCTCCTTATTCACCCCGTCTAACTCCTCTTCACCCTCTACTCTTCTACAAAAACCCCGCAAGACCCAGAACAACAGCAATCACACCGCCAACGGGGATATCCATCGGGCTCGCAGCGCCCGTGTTGGAGGAACCGAAACCCGAAGCCGTCGCAACCGTCGCACTCGACTCGCTCGATTCCGTTGCCGATGCCGACGTGGCGGTCGCTGTAGCAGATTGGGTACCTGCCGTCTTCAAGACGGATGCGACTGAGGCGCTGGATGCGCTGCGCTGACTGTTCACCTCGTTAGCTTTTGTTCTTCTCCAACTTCACATCAAAATGTAGGAAGCAGGAGAGGGGAAGGTCTGGGGAGGGTGACTCACGGTTCCGCCGCCAGACAAAACTGCGTGACCTGGTTCTGCACCGGCGGGCGGTCCTCGCTGCCCATGCAGTTGTTGTAACACGTCAGCTTGTTGGTGTAGTTATCGCACAGGCAGATGTAGTCGTTGCCGCTGCACGCCTTGACCTGCTTGTCGTATTGTTCGACGCAGGCGTCGACGATGCTATGAGCGTCAGTGAGCGTCTCTGGTTACCACCTTGTGTCTCCTTTCTCGAGGTGTTCGGATTGGCGTGAGAAAAGAGATCGGGGTTGGGTTGGAGGCGAGACAGGGGAGCGTCGAACGTACTTCTGCGCGCAGATGCCAGTATCAGTCGGTGTGGATGCGGCAGCGGAGGTGGTGGCCACGACGGCAGCGCTGGCACCGGCGAGGAGGAGAGCGGCTGGGAAACGCATTTTTACTGTTCTTTCGTCTTTCTTTTTTCGATTAGAACGTATGAAGCGACGTGTGTATCAATTAATCAATCAATCTAGTAGAGCAAAACCCAGAACGAGTGATGGGCAATGCAGGCGAAGCAGGAAGCGTAGGTAGCGAAAGGTGCAGTGTTAGTGTTGTTGACGACGAGGAATGCAAGGGAGGAAAACCTTCAGCCAGCACGGAGCCACTCATTTATTAGTTATGGTGTTCATCTCTCGCGCCAGCCATCTCGGCGCTTTCCATGCAGTCCCTGAGCCTTTCCCCAGACGGAGTGCGCAGTGGGCGTGTGTTGACCTCTGTCCGCGGCGTCAATCACCATCCCTTTCCCATTTGGGTGGACTAGCTGGGTTGGACTCGTTCATGGTTCGTTGCAGGTCACCACTCGGAGCCCTTCTTTTACTGCTGGACTGCTGAACGCGCTTATCCAGCCTCCAGACATGCCTCTCCCTCTCGTTGCCAGCCAACTGACCAGCTCTCGCCTTCGGAAGTTGACGAGTTCACCCTGCCGCAGGCTAGATGCGACGGGCTAGCTTCGGGAACCTGAAGCTGTGCGATTGGTGGGCCGGCGATCGGCACCGGGATGCTTCACCCAACGACCCCTGTGGCTATATATTGAAATTGAGGCGCTTCAGACGTCGAAAAGTTGTTGTCAGACGGTCTGTGTGCCTATCATGTGCGTTGGCGTTCAGCTGCCGACGTTGATGAAGAATGTTTTGGAGCGAGAGCAAACGGCCACTGAGGTTGCTAGGACTGTAGAGTAACGTTCGTTGCTGGGCTGCCAGCGTGGAAGTACGGCCTGAGTTCGAAGCCTTGGAGCATTCACGCAGGGATGGAGAAAGGAAGAGGCAAGTACGTCTCCCATACGCCGCATCCACATTATGCATGCAAGAGTAACCAGCTGCCATCGATGTACATACGCAATTCCATTGTAACCGCTATACCCATGCCGTAACAAATCCACAATGACAACTATTATCTACCGCCAAACACCATGTACAAGACCTTTGATAGAGACGGGACGAAGATGACTGACTGACTGACTGACTTCGGCGATGGAAGAAATTGACTGGCGGGGTCCTTGTCCGCGCCATGAAAGATACGTAAAAGATATGTGAGCATCGGTTCCAATCCAAAATATGCTTGCTTCCGCCTGCTCTGCGTGCTTTTGTACACAATGTTGGCCACCTTCCCCGCTCGATGCGACTACACAACGCAACCCAGCTCGTGTCCTCGTGTCCTCGTACATCTTGCGTAATAATCGTCTACTCCTGCCCGAATCCAACTGTTTCCTCGACGGCAATCGTGAGTTTCTGGTTGAGCGCCTCGAATGACTTGTACGGTGGCAAATCAAGACGATTGAAACTGAATGTTGTTAGCACAGTATTTCTCAACGTCGCAACGAGAATACATACCAAGTATGTGATTTCGGCAACTGAGTAGGCTCACCAGCCTTCTCGATCGTAAACCTTCTTGGTCCATCGCTACCCTGCAGATCCTTGAATCCGTTGACAGGAATACGCGAGGTACCTGTCGCGAACTGTAGCAGACGAGACTTCTGTTCGGCATCCCAACTCCTGATGCACTTCCAGAAATGTGCGATAACCTCATCATTTTCGGTGTAACCGCGGTAGTCGGTGTGCTTCTTCCAGTCATCGACATCGATATCCGCAATACCGCCAATAAGCAGCTCAAGTTCGCGCTCGTCGAACACATTCACCAGATCAGCAGGAATCAACTCATGGAAGCCAGAGATGAACGCGTTGAATTGTTCTTCAACGCGCTTCTGGATGCGCCACTCCGTGATAAGACTAAGCTTGTTAGTGCTAGCTTCGTAAGCTGAGACGCGCGATACTTACTCAACATATTCCTTCTTGTTCTCATTCGTGACTTCGATCTCCTCGCCTCCCGGCTTCAACTCAATGCTGACAGTCTCGCCGAATCGCTCGTCGTCCGTCGAGAAAGTCAACTCCAGCGCATCGGTGATGTCATTATTACTGCGACAAATTAGCGTAGAAAACTCACAGTAGTGAGCTCACTTACAGCATCCACTCCAAGTTGCGGTGGAAATCCGCGTCTACACCCTCCATATCTGACAGTGCCACCTTCTTCCTCAGAATCATCTTGTAGAACGCTCCAATGAAAAATGCATCCAAAAAGCGGCGGTGGAAGATGGCCAGACCGACGACACGGCCGATGAACTTGAAGTAATTCAAATGTTCGGGGTTGATGCCGGAGTGAGGGTTAATCTGGAGAGTGTAGTTGTCGTGTGCGGAGTATTCAAAAAGACAGTAAAAGGGATTGAACATCTCGTGAGAAAGCAAGAAGAAGAACTCTCGAGAAAGACCGCCGTAGTCCAGGCCGTCTTCTCCGTCGAACTTAATCATGAGCCTCTTCTTCAAATCTGCAGCGCTCTGCCGCATAATCTCGTGATATGAATCTTCGAAAATGTGCGTTCTCCGGACTTTGACGTGACATTGTCCAGAAACAATACGCAGAGCGGGTTGCGATCGGAAGTAGATCAACTTGCGACGGAAATCGCGCTTGTACTGCGGTACGTTTTGATCAAGCGAAGATGGTAGGCGCGGGTCGTCCCATGTCGTAGTCTTGGTGTTGTGGTCGACAAAATATACACGAGCAGTGTTGGTGAGACGCATCTCCCATCCCGAAGGTAGCGGTCCGAGCTGAGACACGGGTTGCTGTTGAATGGTACTATTATTAGCATTTTGCCCGCCATACATGCGGATGTACTGCTGACGGCGTGGGTCGACCCAGGTAGTAGTACGTGTGTTGTGATCCACAAAGTACGGTCGCCCTTCCGGTGTGTGTCGCTGTTCCCAACCTGACGGGAGTTCTCCAGTCCCAGCGGTCGTGGCTCCGGTAGCCATCATGCTGACAGCATTCGCAGATGTACCACCTGGTGGTGATGGCTGGCGTTCAGAAAGCGTGGGCGAATTCGCGCCGGTGCGGTCCTCGGGCAGCATTCGGTTCTGGTGTCGAGTCCGTTCCTGCTGGGTTTGAGCAGCCATTTGCGTCCTCTGGTCGGCTTCGTTGAATCCAGCACCTGGTCTTATCCAGGTAGTCTGCCTCGTGTTGTGATCGACGTAGTATGTTCTTCCCAGATGATCTTCTCTGCGTTCCCATCCAGGCGGTAAACGTCCCTGTGAGTCCTCAAAGGCGCTATAGCCGCGATTCTGGGCTGGTGGAGCTGAGCCGTTCATGGCTGGTGCAGCGGGCGGGGGTTGCAGGGTAGGTTGGCTGAGTCGCTGGGACGGCGGCTGAGAGGGCATCTGCGGTCGCTGGCCAGGATACATGTCGGGGTGGAGATTCTGTGTGGACTGGTGTTGACTAGACGCAACAGGCGCAGCCGCGCCGTTCACAGACGAGTGTGCGGAAATGGGTGGGCGGTTGGTGTTTTGTCCACCCTGGCTGATGGGCTGGCTCAGGTTGGTCGATAGATTGAGGATGAGTTTGCCGTGCACAACCATGTTGTCGTTCGACTTCTTGAGATCGCGGGTGAGCATTTCTGTGAGGATGTAAGCAGGGAGTTAACGTCTTCCTTCATGATTCGTACCATCGCCACCGGCGTCCAGGTCGATAACGCTCCCAATGCGCACGTTGATGACACCCAAAAAGCCCTGATCCTTCTTCTTGAACTTCTTCTGGTCGAAGATCTGGACTGCCAGCACGCTGTCTTCAGTAACCCGCCTGCCCATGTGTTAGCACTGGCCCCGCTCTGGTGCTCGCATGTGTGAGGGATATCGTACATGTCGAAGCTCTCGTTCCAATAGGGGTTCAACGTCTTCTTGATCACGCTCGTGGTCCGCGTCTGCTCGCCGCTGATCGTGGCAACCGCAAAGGGATCCGGAAAGCCTGTAGAAACGTGAGCGGAGTGCGGACGCAGTTCGAGCGGTGAGGCGTACGGAAAACATCACGCTTGTAGAGGCCATCTGCGGCGATGACTGCAGGATGTTAGTAGTCGTCCTCGTCTTCACGGGCTGTATCAGCCGCGGTAAGACGCACTTGTAACGCGCAAGTTGGGTTGGCCGGCGCCGTCCATGGCGTGCGGATGTCAGCTCGGGCGGCCGGTCGAGGGCGTTGTGAGGCGGCTCGCAGAGCTCGCGCGAAGGGGTAGTCGTTCGTCCTGGGCAAAACGGGCGGGGGTGTCTGTGGCCGGCCTGGAGGCACGACTGTCGAAGACGTGCAGTGGAGGAGGCTGTGCTGTGCGGTTGCGGCCGTGCGGCACGTTACAAAGGGCGGCGGGAGTTCGGCGGGCTCCCGGCAGCGTAGTGGCCGTGCAAAGCGCAGACGACGCTTAGCCAACCCTTAACAATCGCTGCAAAGACTGGGCATGCACTCGCCACGGGTCTCGGGCGTCGTGGTGTCGTGATGGACTGGGCCTGTTGTCGAGGTGCGGCGCCTGCTCCTTGGCGGATACCCCACTTGCCTGCGAAATGTTGGTAGTTGGCACGAACCGAACCGTTCAGCCACTGGGGATGCTCGTAAGCAGCGAGTTCGAGGCTGCTACACTCCAGTCCACTTCACACCTGTATATTCAGCTGAATCGGACTCCATGGGAAGGCAGTGCTGAGCTGCGTCATCCGTAGACGCCGCGTATGCCACCAATCTGCGATGATGTCAACCCGCCTCATGCGTCCAACTCGGAATCACCGCTTTGCCAGTAGTGACCAGCGTACAGTACCAAAGACTCCACATGGTGCGTCTTCCCGAAAATAGATTCCCAGCTTCGTGAAAACTGTTACTGCCAGTCTTGATCAAGTTACTGCGAGGAGGAGATCCAAGTTCGTCCTGCTTTGTGATCAAACGCTCTGTAAACGCACCCTCAAACAGACCGCTACCTACCGAGCCCACGTCCCAAGAGCATAGCCACATCCCATCAACACGGTGGCCAGTGTTTGAACAACATACCCGATAATTAGGAAGGTCTTCTAATCTAAATGTTCATCAGATTATCGTATCCTCATCCTCACGTCGTAGTAAAAACGTCTAGATCGCCTCGCCACCTTACTAATGTCTAGTCAACCATCGGATAAGTCGAATCTGCAACGGTGCTTCGTGGTTTTAGTGACAGCACACAGTATCGATATGATAGCAAGTCATCGCACACAGCAATGACTCCACTAGGCAGAAGTTTGAAGATCAATCAAAGATCATGACTTAGACTAGAGAACCCAGATTCTTCAATGCTTCGTTGGGCCGCTCGATCATTCCTATTTCACTGTTACCCACATATGCCTAACATTCTCTCATCTTTCAGTCGTATCTATCTTCCTAAAAGCCTCATATGTCCCTACTCAAACCCTCACCCATCTTTCGATATTACAGAGCCGTCATTCCAATCTAAAGGCATATTGAAAAACTCAGATCCAGCGACACATGCACTCAGTCTGTCGCGACGTGATCAAACTATACTGCCACTCAAGTATCTCAACACCGACCTCTTTCTATTCCAAGCATGATCTTGCACCGAGATTTATCTCTAAAACTACCAGGATTTCTGAAATCACAACTTTCGGTACAAGAAAAGTTATGATAGTGGCGCATGGGTGTTTTCGGCACGAATCCAAGTCACCAAGAAGCACGTAAGCCTCTGCTGTCTCGTTCTGTCACACATCTGTGCATCTTTGCCAGTATAGATCAGCCATCGCACGAGAGCGACAAGTTCATTGCCTACGTCAGATCACTCAACAGGTAGAGTAAGATTATCATCTGGTATGAATGGCTCGGTGCTATGGTCCTAGTACTTTCAAAGTCTATTCGCTCGCACACTCTTTTCAACTCAACATGCCTGCCCCCATGACGGGCATCCCACGCCTCGTTCGTCGATCTATCTACAATGACCACTACACCATATTGACACCGCAGTCGGTTCACACGCTAGGAGCCCGTAGGTCAACTTTCCCCATGTTTGTGCACTTAAGCTGATATCGGCTGCATCCCCAGCCTCCCCCTAACCCACAGTACCCACTCAAACAAGCCCAACCTAACCTCCACCCTCACATGCGCGGCGGACGCCCTCAGCCACACCAGCAGGTTAGCAGGCCAGAGTAAGCTCTTGCCTGTTAGAGACTCCAGCTGCTCCTCGTACACGGTGCGCGAAGCGTAGCGCGCAAGGATGAGGAATGTCCGGGCGGGTCCTTGTCGCGTGTGTAGGTTCTCGTCAAGGGAACGCGCTACTTCCGTTAGCTTCTCCTCTTTTTGTGCTAGGTGAGAGGAGAGGACAGAGGGAAAAGGTAAAATAGGTGACATACTTAAATCGTTCGTCTTCAAAATCAGCAGAATAACCCGCGGCACCTTCCCCAGGAGCTGAATTAGACTTTCCAGCATTCCATCGCCCAACGCATCGGTGATAACCTCCTTTTCCTGGGTACTCCTTCTACTACTCACGCCTTCCCTTTGGGTAATGACGCTGTAGTCCCGTCCTGTAATGGCGGAAGCAAAGAGCGGGAAGTGCTTGTCGTCGATGCCAGCGACTTCGTAAGCATACCGGCGCATGCGCGGCTCATCCGCATCGAGGACAGCGAGCCAGAGTTTTGCGTAGGAGCGGCGGAGATGCAGGGGGATGTCGCGGTAGAGGCCGTGGTCGTACAATATAACGTCAAAATTTGCGCTTCCATGGCAGGGCGAAGGATTGTGTCGTATGGCGATATTGCCGCCGTGGGGGTCGCAGTGAAGCGGAGCGTTCGTGCCGAAGATCATTTCGTTGAAGATGCGGGCGAGGGCTGCGGAGACCTCGTCTCTGTCGATGCCATGTGAATCAAGGTACTCGAGATCATCCGGGCGATGCCCACTCACGTAGTCCATTACGAGAATCCTCCTCTTTGCCCAAATGACGGAGGGGATGATGACGGGCGCATCGCGTACATGGGCGAAGTATTCTCGCGCGCGAATGGCGTTCTGGCCTTCTTGTCTGAAGTCCAGCTCTTGTGGAAGCGACTTATCCATCTCTTCTGACAGCCATGTTAGATCATACTCTGGAAACCAGTACTTGAGGGTTTCGAAGGTAAATCTCGTGAGCGCGAGATCGAGCTTCGCCCACTCGTCCAGCGCAGGATGCTGCACCTTGACCGCGACCTTCTGCCCTGTTTCCCTGACCACCGCCCGGTGCACCTGCGCTAGCGACGCCGCGCCGATGGGCAGCTCCTCAAACTCGGAGAAGAAATCGGAGAGATCTGTGCCTTCATCTTGCAGCACCATATCCTTGATCGAGTCGTACGACGAGACGGGGCACTTGTCCTGCAGCGGGATAAACGTGTCGCACCACTCGCTTGGAAGCAGGTAGTTCAGACTGCTCAGATGCTGGCCGAGCTTTATGAAAATGGAGCCATTTTTCTCGAGAGTGCGGAGCGTGCGTTTTGCGCAGCGGAGGTGGCATGCTTTGAGTGTGTCTTCGTATCCTTCGTCATGGTGCTTCTTCAACGTGTCTCGGTAACTGCACCTGTTAGCTTTTGCTTGAGAAGATGTGGGTAACGCTCACTCCTTCACGTTGACGAAAAGCGTCGAGAGCACTCTGCTGCTGCGCTGCACGGCTGTATACGCATGCTTCGCGTCGTTGTTGTTTGTGACCACAACCCCTGCGACCGCCAGTCCTCCTCCTACAACCAGCACTCTCCTCCTTCTCTTGCTGTTCTTCCCCGCATTCCCAGTTGGCCTCGGGCTTGCGTTTGTCTTGGTCGCAAATCCATTCCGAAGCTGTGAGACCTGGCGCCGAAGACATGCGTGACATGTCCACGGCACGGGCGCAGACCGCCGTATCAGGGGTGAAAAAGCATTGAGCGAGTTCATAGTAGGCGCATGATCGGTGAGAAAACGTCAAGTGCTCTATCGGAACGAGGATATCGAGGTAAGCGGGCAGTTGTGGTTCAGCGGTCTGCAAGTGGTTCGAGACTTTTCGCGATGAGGCAAACCCTTAGCGCCGAAGCATGGCGGAAACCGCGCCACATCCCTGTCGTTCTTGATATGCACGTCATACCTGAGGTATTGGCCGACAAATGATTGCATGAGAAGCACATCAAAACATGCCTAGTGCACTCATTACACGACCAGTCCCTAGTGTAGAGTATACATTAATGACACGTAGTAAGTGTATCAAATATAAACTTCCAGTATGCCTCCACCACAGACTAAATCATGGCATACCAGGAGCGCAATCCATTCTACATTGAAACCAGACAGCCGCCCAAAATCTACGTCAAGCCGAGGCCGCGGTCATGCTCCATCTTTCTGCAGAACTCCGCAGATTGCCACCCACCTCAGATATAGAAACTTTTGACACCTGCACCCATAGCCCACTTTTCCCACCAAGAAGTCCAGACACCATGTCGTGTATCCCTAACCTCAAGTCGCCCCTGCCCCTACGCATAAAAATACCTGTAGAAAGCGTCGAATGTCCTACATGTCGATGCTCTCGTTGAATCTCAGCACGCCATTCCCCCTTCAGGATTCCATCAACCCCCCTTCGGCATGAAATCGCCAATCGGCCTGGCGACTCCAAGGCTCGCTTCGGTGCGCTCGTGAGCTACGTTGTCCGAGACGTCGGTGACTAGAACGAGGCCGGCCGTCTTGATTGATTCGATAATGGCAGGTGCTAGACCCTGTGATTGTTAGCTCACGGTTGATGATGCTAGAGTACTTAGGAAAGAGCATACCAGCAGACGAGAGCTGCAGATCAAACCCATGAAGTTGTTGTCGCGGGCAATCTGAACAGCGTCCTTGACGGAGATCTGTGTGCGCCCATTGCTCTCCACGGTGTGCGAAACTTTCGTTTCTGAGCCATCGGCACCGAGCTGATTGCAGAGCATTACAGGGTCTAATCCCGAAGTCAGTACTGTCCAAAATCTAGGTTCATACCGGTACTCACAATTTGGCTGCTTCCAATTGATGACCGTGCAGATATCCTGATTGAACGAGCTGAACACGACGCTACGCAGAGTTCCATCGATTTCTCCCGCGCCCTGCTCTCTTAAAACTCTAGCGTGCTCGAAAACGACGGAGAGAATCTTGTCCGCAAAGTCGTTCATGTCTTCCGTGGGCCCGAGCCTGAGATGATCCTCTTCCGCTCGCGATGGGAACAGAACATGCAGCTCGACATGGATATGTGCCGGCAGCAGGGCCAAAGCATCTTTGAGCGTCGTGAACGATGAAGCGAGAACCTGGTATATTGTGGGAATGTCGCCGGATGTTGCGCGTTGCAGACTGGTGAGTTGTGCTGCGGCGGCCGGATTCTGCCTTGCGCCGATTGCAGCAAATTGTGCGTAGGTTAGTATGTTGACTGGGACGTCTAAGCCCTCGTGGCTGATCTTCCAGCGAGGAAACAGAACAGGAACTCCATCGCCGGTTAGCTGCACAAGTAATCTAACGTATTCTCCGGATAAGCTGGATCCGGTAATAAGGGTATGAGGTTGCGAATCTAATTGACTTGTTGCCTTCCAATAGGTGGCGAAATGTGTTATTTCGAGCGGGATTCCGTGGAAGGGCTTCACGACCTGGTAATCGAACGATATCCGGCCGATCGCACGTAACCTAGGGTCGAAGAGCTCCAAATGCCATTGACCAGTACTTTTCCCCTGGATTCGTGAAGACTCTTGACGATGCAACGCCGCGAGCGATCACCTTGGAACCGATAGTGGGATACACATCGAAATCTATCGAAAACGACGAGATGTTCTCGATCTGGAAGGAGATGACTTTGAACTCGTCCTGGACAGGAAGCAGAACATTTCGTGGAATAAGATCAGAACTTTTAGACGATATCGTGAGTCTCGCTGCTGGATACTTCGTCTCGTCATAGAATCGTATCGCATCTTTGCCCAGCCTTTCGAAGCTGATGACCACGAATGTCTTCGTATCCAGGAAATTATGACCGTATCGCCTAAAAGGTATAATCGGTGGTGGTAAGATGAATTCTGGAATCCCTTCTGCGTCGTTCTCGGTTTCCATCGGGCCTGGTGCGGTGCCGGAGGCGGTTGGTGTTGTGAGTCGAGGAGATAGTCCTCGCTGGACCCTCAAGCCAACTCCACTCCCGACAGAAGCCAGCAGCTTGATGCACTCCAGATGACCTTCCCAAGTCGCGTAATACAGGGCTGACAGGCCCTTCTCGTCCACAACATCCACATCCACCTGGCACTGGAGGAGGGTCTTCAAGCACTCGACATGTCCGTCGCTAGCAGCGTGGAATAGAGGTGTCCACTGGTAAAGTTTGTCCGGCTGATCCAGGTCGGCGCCATACTTTTTGAGTAACATCAGCATCTGCGGGGTCTTCCCTGAACGTGCAACGAGATGGGCAGGGTAAAGCCCTTCGGCATCTGGGAGCATCTCTGCGTTGCGCTGGAGAAGAAGTTCGACAATCTCCATCGAGCCCCATTGGCAAGCAAGGTTAAGAGGAATGTGCTCCGCAGGACCGAGACGAGTAAGGTGAGCACCGCTTGCGAGAAGTATCTGCACGCATTCAAGTTGAGAATGCACGATTGCGTGAATAAGCGGCGTGAAGCTGTCCTGGTCTCGAAAATTGACAGTATCAGGGGCAGCGTTGATGAGCTCCTGAAGCAGATCGACGCGACCATGCATTGCGCCATAGTGTAGGGGTATTCGGCCGTACACATCTGTGGCGTGGGGGTCGACACCTCCGTTAAGACCTAACCTCAACACCTCTTGCCTTCCACGGATAGCAGCCTTATGCAGGCAATTTCGCTCATTAATTTCATCTTCTTGTTGAAGCTTTACCAGGTTGGTGTCTAGTAATGACTTCAAAGCGGACTCCGGCGCAAATTCAACAGTGCTGAGGAAAGCACGGGTGATGCGTTCCGATGCATCGTTGAGTTTCTGTAATCGAGAAAGGCAGTCGTCGATTTGAATAACATTAGCGGTATTGATGGCTTGGATGATTTGATTATCCAGTTGGAGGTTGGCCTCTACTGATGGTTCAAAGACTCTTGACTGCGTGGGCTCTTGTGGCGCTTGCATGCCCTCGCCTTCAGACCACCCAGAGAAGTCGAGAAGGGCTTGAGTAGCTTGATCCGATAGGTTGCTGATGACATCACGATTGAAGCACGGTTGAACATCGACAGCCCTTGACAGATAGAGTTGTTTTTCTCGGGACTGGCATGAATGTCAGCCAGCGTCGCGCTATTGCTGTGTGGTATCCGACCTTGGATGTTTTGTCCCACTACTGTATGTTAGAACACTTGATGCCAACAGTGAGTAAGATCACAAACCTTCTTCAGTATTTTGGAGAATGCGGTTCCGTTCACGTCGACAAATTGCTAGCTATGGTTAGCGTCACCCACGCGTAGTCGCAGAGGCCAATCACCTCGAGCTTATTCAGGTCCATGCTAAACTGTTTTAGGCCTTCTTCAAGGGCGACATATCTGGATGACGACTTGGAGACGGACTGTGGATGCTGCTGCATCACTCTCTTCTTGTCGAGAAGTGTGGTCAAGCGAAGGCGCAGCTGGAACGGCGTTAGTCACGGGCATGGTAACAGTAGACAACACTAGTACCTCGGCCTCTTTCTGGAGGTAGAAGGTATTGACCTTCTCTAGTTCACGTTCCTGAAGACTACATGAGTACACGGGTACGAGTGAATACTTTGGAGCGCTCACCACTCGGAAGAAGAAGGTGGCCTTGTTGGCCTGCAGAGAGGTCTGCGGGTCGAATGTTTCGAGTCCATGGTGCTCTCCTTGGGCAGGTATGACTGGGGTTGTGCTCAGCTTCTTGATGAGCTAGGAGGTGTTAGTCGGTGGTGCATGGCTGCGGTGGTACAACGGTACCTTTTTGAGGGCCTTGTAGTCGACAAAGCTAGCGGCATATTCTGGAATCTCCAGCTGCCGCTTTTGTATGTGCTTCCCGAATTTCCTAGAAAAGCGCGGTGAGTCGGTGGGTTCGTCCTTGGTAGCCAGACTGGTTGACGATGCAGACTTCCTCAAGACCACGAGGGGGAGGGGACGGTGGTCCATTGGACTGAGACATACATGGTGATGACAGCAAGAAAGGAAGAAGCACGATAGTCGTACGGGCCTTTACGGCAGCGGACTGAGGGTGCGCAAGCGAGAAACCTCCGGCCAGCAGATGTGTGGATCTAACCATACAGACCGGGCTTTGGCAGGTGGTGCTCGTCAGCAGGACCCTATAGGGCAGGGAATGGCTGCACAAGGAAAAACAACCGTTGGTGAGGCTCTCCAAGATGCCGAGACGTGCGTCGGGGTAGTGTAGGGCGGGGAGCGCAGAAAGGTGAACCTACAGCGGTTGTGATGATGGACGCGGATGCTTCGATCATTCCAGGCACAGATTTGCGCGGGCTTGGGTCGCACGCAGAACTAGCAGCTGTGGCAGGTGCTAACGAGGGGCCGCCATCTGCGTGGTACTGCGGCACTCGTCCTCAGAGGGCCACGAGACGGTGCAGATGTTGCTGGATTCGACCTTCACACTGAGGTTGCAGCAGGCCAATCGCAGCCCCGCAATCGCGCACGCTCTCAGGACCGCCGCGAGGGTGGCCAGAAGGCGTGCCTGCCGTCGCGCGAGCCGAGGCTTGGGCCGCTTACCTAACGCTGCCTCGTCCCCAAGTGGACCGGCTAGCTGCCTGAAGCCATCGTGAAGACGCACCGACCTGTCCACTTCCTGATCGTGCTGCCGTGACGTCTTCCATGGGCGTCATTCACCTCTCGTCTGGCCTGCCGAGTCGCGCTTCACTCGCTGGGTGCTGCTTCGTACAATGCATCGATTGTGCCTAACACATCACGGCGAGGCGTGCAACATCCTCCCTATATTTTGACTGCGCAAGCCCACGTCAGAACGCCTCCAAGGGATCTGTGGGTATTGATACGCAGTTGAACATCGTCTGTAGCCCAAAAGCCCTGCCGTCGAAAGAAACCCCGCGTCAAAACGGACGCCCTTCCATGGGCGCATGCAACCGTCTACCACCCTCTGAAATTCCACAATCGCTCCCCTTCACAGCCCGTATATATCCCACCCATCGAGTCCGTCCCACCCGGCCCCTGTTGCCTTGGTATTTGCGTCGGCCCTATCGAACGGGGTGCGCCCTGCCGTCTTTGGGTCTAGGTCTTCGTCAAGTCACAACTCGTCGTCCTCCATGTCCGACGGCTTCAGCAGACCGCCAACCTTCATCGCCCGCTGCCGTTCCTCCTCCTTTGCCTTGGCGGCAGCAGCTTCTTTCTCTTCGGTAAACAGCTCGGCGTTGTCACCCGAGAACTCCTTGAGCGAAATCAGGAAGTCTCGCAGGATGGTCTTGAAGCGCCCAAGATCCGAATTGGTAGCGAAGAGACCGTCGATGAAAGACGCTATCTGGGCCCTGCGCAAGTCAGTTATTGTTCGTTGGAGTAACAGAGCACACATACGTCTGGAGGTTGGGGAACGCCGTCGACAGCAGGTTGCCGACAAAATTTCGCAGGAATTCGTGGTTCGAAGTGCCCGCTGCCGCCAGCTCGGGGGTATAGATCGGGCCATCCAGTTTGCCTGACTCTACCAACCAGAACATCTTTGCGAGAAGCATAGATTGTGACTTGAAACCCGCCTTGTGGTCGTTGTCGGTAAGGACAAAGAACACGTCCTGGAGGATAGTCGAGAAGAACTGTTGAAAAAAGGCGTTGCGCGTCTGCGCGTCCGTCTCGGACATGTTTGAGATGAGTTCGAAGCACATCGACAGACCTGCGCTCTCAACTTCGCGGTTGTCGTGTTTGCTTGCCCACATGCAGGAGTCGATAACGAATTTGAATGACCGGGCGTCTAGGCGCAGAAGAGCTGGGAAGCAGCGGAGGTTGATCGTCCTCAAAAGCTTGAAGAATTCCACTCGGTGTTCGGGGTACTCAGAGAAGTCCTTGTTGATCATGTCGAGGGTGCATTCGAACACGGCGTCCATGATGTTGATGATCTGATCTTCCATCAAGCTCTGTAAAGTGGTCAGCATTCGTTCGGGGCTTTTTGAGCGAGGCGAACCATATGTTGCACCATGTGTTTGCTCAGGTTAGGTCGCCAACGTACATGTAGCTTGTTAATGATCGTCGTCATAACATTGAGGACTTCAGCCTCGCGAGCATCGGGAACGTTGTCCCTATAATCCAGGAGCACAGCCTCGAGAAGTTTCGGCACAAGGTTGTTATGGATCATTTCCAGATCGTCTGCCTTCTCGACGTAGGTATTGATCAGCTTCAGAATCTCCTTCTTGATCGTCCGTAACCCTCGAACCCTCGGCATCTTCGTCGCGATATTACCTAGCTATCGTTAGCAATGGCACATTCCACGAACCCTCGATACTGACCTTCGCGTTTTACAGCTTCATCGATGAGGGATGAGCTTGCACGGTACATAGTGAGCATGTCAAAATAAATACGGCCAATCTGCGGGTAGAAGTAGGAGCCTATCGAACTGCAGGCCGCCACATTGGTCTTCATGATGTTGCCGACAATCTTGATAACCTCGCCATCTTGTAAAGAGGTAGGGTCCTGGTTTGCCTGTGCAATGATTTGGTCCCAAGCTGCGTTGGGAAGCGCCATCAGGTCGTGAATGAGCCGCTCCTGCATACTCTTCTGGCCTTGGGCGCTAATCATGTAACCGCATGCCTCGTAGAAAGTGTGCACTTGCTGTGGTGACAGATCCCCTGTGATCTTGCGAAGGTTTCTAACGATTTCGTCGATGAAGGGTTCCGTCTCCCCAGGTTGAAGTGCGACAAAATGCCTTCGGCACTTGTTGGCGATCTTGATAAACGTGTCGCAAGCCATGTCTTGTACGCCCTCGTGGGTTTCGTGCATGAACTCAAACAATTTGTTGACGACCGTCTTGAGGAATTTCCAGTGGGCCTTCAGGAAACGCGGATACTGTCCGACGATGTACATGATGTTACTCGCGACGACGGCCTTGTTGTCTTTGCCGCGCTTCATTTCGGTGAGGCCTAGGAGATCCTTGATAACAGTAACGAGGAATCGCTTCTCCGTCTCTTCATTCATGGCGCCAGATATCGAACCAATAGCCCAACAGAGAGTATTGCAATTGGCCCAGGACCATTCGGTTCCGTCCACTTGGCGCGCTAGTTTCTCGGACATGATTTGCTCGGTGTCGTTAACATCGAGATGCGTCAAGAAGACGAGACACTCGCGCGTCGATTTGTACAGTTGGATGGTGTCGCTCTCCTTAACGAACTCGCGGACAATCTCACCCTCGTCGTTTTCGACAATGAGCACTTCTTCGGGACGAACCATTTTCTCGATCATGACGGTGCGCAGGTTGGACAAGATCTCAGCGTACTTGTGCTTGCGTAATGGGTAGTTTGCTAGCATGGCGGGATCTCGCGCGCCGCCATTGGTCGCTGTGATGCCCATGTTCAGGAGAGGGTTTACATCGGTGATGGGCAGAGCCTGCATCTCGTCATACAGCTCTGACACGAGCTTGGTCCAGTATTCTAAGCAGATCTTGAAGATTTCACGGTCGTCGATCTGGCTGATGCGGATAAGATAGAAATGGCCGTGCGTAAGGAAATCGCGGTTCATGAGGTTCTCGATGACGTTCAAATGCATGGTGAAGAAGTTGGTTAAAAACAAGGCAAGATTCTGTACAAATTCCTGGTCTCTGCCGTTGCTCTGTGCATATGTGCTCTTGAGATCTAATGTGAGTGGAATGATCTTTGCGATGGCGGTCAATGTCTCGGTGAACATCTGTACAAGCTTGTCATCATAAGCGGGCTCGGTGTGTAGGCCGGCGATTTCGGTCAGGCACTTCAATGTGATGTTGCGGAAGTCGGGCACGTCGAGGAACCGGCTTCGCAGCGTCTCGATCAAGCTAGCACCGCTCGGAGGGGTCTCGAAGATATAGCCAAGAGGAATCCAATTAAGGAAGCGAAGGAGTGTTTCGAGGGTAGCTTTGATGAGGGAGGCCTCAGTGGCCGTCCGGAGGACCTCTGAGCAAAGCTGGTAGATCGATGTAAACTCATCACACATGCTCTGTTTGAGCTCCCGTCGCTTCTGGGATGTCATCTGGTCCTCCGAGTAATCAAAAACTTCTTCTGAGAGCAATCGGAGAATTGCCATGTTGTTCTCGCAAATGGGGAGACTGCTGTGGCACGCCGAGATGATTTCGTTTATGAACGTGGGCCAATTGTGAGGCCATTCCTGCTTCAAGATTGATACGAGGACGAGATTCAACTTGTTGAGGAGGGTGCGGTCGATCTGGGTTCTGTCCTCGTTGTTTGACAGCGAGATGATGAAGTTAACGACAAAATTCCGAATGCCTACAATGTGTCAGCTAATGTCCAGAGCAGCTACCCAACAAACTCACCTTGACATTGGTCGCGCGGCAAAACCTTCCACCGTGTCATGATCACATTGTCAAGCACTTGCAATCCCAAGTCTGCTGGGTGTTAGCGCCGTGCCCAGCCATCCGCGCAGAGGCATACTCACACTTGGTTTGCGGGTATTGTGCCTCGGAGAGGATCTGGTCGACCAAAAGCCATGAGTCCGGGTTCTCTTTGAACTAAGAACGGTCAGCATTTCAACACCAAAGCAGGCTTGCACCGCCTACCTGATTGAGCGTTGCTTGCGCCTGCTTCTGCGTCTCTCCGCGGCCCTCGTAAAAGGAACGCACGGTAGCGTCGAGCTCGGGGATGGTGCTGTATGACTTCGTCAGCAAATTATGATGGACACGAGATCCTCGAATATGCATGCTGTATGTGTTTGTGCAGGTGTAGACCGAAGGTACGTACGCAGACATGTTGGCTGCGCGCGGGACAAGCTCCCAGACAGCTTTCAAGGTGGTGTCCTCCCTCTCTGCAGCGGCGGAGAGCAGCTGTACGCGTAAGAAGAGGAAGGTTGAGGCACCGGCGAGGGGTCGGCGGAGGTGAGGGACGCGGTTAGGTGCCTTGTCTAGAGGTGCAAAGACGATAGTGGGGCAAGGCGGTGCGGCGGCGGCTGGTACAGGCGGCGTCAGTGGGCACGGCGTCTAGCTTGAGGCGCTTGGTGGTGAGGGAGGTGACAGCAAAGCTTAGGGTCCCCGATATTGTTGTGTCAAAAGTTTGCGCGCGGTGGACGAAGGCGACAAGGTGGGCTGCCTTCTGAGAAGCTGCAGCGCTCGGCTCGACAACGCGACGAACTAGCCGCTTTCGGGCCGGTCGACCTCCACCGCTCCGCGACGTGCGACGGCAACTCTCTCGTCATGGTACACGGATAGGAATGCATTATGTATGACTTGAAGTCGTCCTTATTGCCATTGCTCTTACCTTGGAGATAGCATCAATCACCCTTGACTTCACGAATAGCATATCGCTGCAGCTTGATCGACGTCACCGCTGTGTAGCACAAAAGCAGCCAATTATTGCAGACCGTTGTCTCAGCAGAGCCGCATACAAAAGCGGACACCGAGACACCATAAAAAGCCATCCACAATTTAGGAAATTGAGTTAGCAGGCAGACATCCCACCTGCTTCTGAGTCATTACTACCAGCATATCTTCAGCCATACTCATTTGAGACTGCCCAGGTGTCCTCTCTTGTTCGTCTTCTTCCAAAGATCGGGTTTCCACTTCCACCGCAACATACATGAGCAAACAGAGTCTGTTCAAAGACATATGAGGCGACCGTCTTGCCATTGAGACATCCCCCAGTGAAGGGCATACTTGCCGACTTTGGTTCATTGCTATCGATTCCCCGAGCTTAGTATTCACTATCTTCGGTCACTCGTTTCGAAAACTTCCGGGATAAGTCCTTCCTTCGTGTATACAAGCGGATACAACCAGTATAGTAGTCTGTAAGGTCCACTTCGAGTTCCATGGGGAAGAACGATGGTATTGATCTCCTCGATTTCCGCTGGCTGCCTCCTGCAAATGCCGATTGCCTCCAATCATTGAGTTAGGCTCGGTGTATCTTTCCGATTGTCATGATTCCTTTCACTTCATTTCCACTACACAAAGTCAAAGTGACCCGTGGTTGGCATGTCGATTGAGCCGTCCGACCCAATTCCATGGTGAGGCTTCGGTTATTGCTTTCCATCTCATGCTCCTTCAGCTCCAGCGAACATGCCAAAGACAATACCACCTCGTTCTTCAACTGGACCCCTCTCTGGCCATCACATTTAAAGGAGCCGAACCTTGTTGTTCACATCGATAGACCTTGAAATCCCATTCAGAAAAGAGTCACTACCACCCACGACCTCTTCGTTCACGACTGCCTACAATGCCGACAATCCGTTAAACAACTAGCGGAGATAATTTATCTTCCTCTTCCCCCTTTACCCAATGTCGTGACCTGACAGCAAGGTGCAGCAGCGTGGGAAGCAGCTAGAAGGGCCCAACCACCGGCAAAGCTTGAGTATCTCCGTGATAACACACGCAGAGATGGCGTCCTTATTTTCTGTCTCCCGCGCGAATACTCCGCCACGAAATCTGCGTATGGGCCCTCACCGATATCATCAACTTCGGCCACGGTCCCTTACAGGCCACACTGGTGATCCAGGTACGTCACCATGATCTGGATCAACCCAGCAGATACCTTCAATAGACGAGGACGATTGATGCTGACGAGCAAAATTTTCCTCCTCGAGGTACTCCAAACCGTTGCCCGTCAGCATAGAATCTATATTCCTGGACCAGAGGCTCGCGCACGGCTCGCGGAGGAGCACAAAAACAATCTCATATCTATGCTCCCTAAAGTTCCCCATACGCTATTATCTCTGATCAAGGGCACGGGGAATGCACCTGAGCATGGTGTCATGACGCTCGACAGGTGGGCATGGTAGAGGTACATGACGTTGTTGAAGACGGGACATGGGCCTGCGTCTGCGCAGCAGGAGACCCCTTATCGGCGCGGGGGAGACTTGGGCGAAAACAATCTTGAGGGTGAATGGCCTTGAGGATGTGCACGTTGAGGTGGTCGGAACAGCAGAGCTACTGCGAGATAGGCGCAAGAGGTCTTTGCCGATAGAGGTTCCCCGAACCCTGACGGTTGCGGAAAGCTAGAAGTCACATCTTAGTCCGATGCATAGATACGATAAGTTGGAGACGTAAAAACGTAGTAGTCCTACTAGCTGAAATATCCTTGTTCTCACATTATAGGCCTCTTGAAGAAAATATATATGAGGTATGTTTGCCCACCAATTTTATGAATGTCAAACCTTAAAGCTTCTTGCTTCCAAGTCCCCACATGCTATAGCGATGCTCCTCAGACGGGAGTCTAGCATCCACTCAGGAGCCTCCCAACTAAACCTCTGGAGTAGGATTCGAAGGTGAAAAGCCTATGCGGTCACATACATCAATGTACATGAACGGACGACGTATGACATGTCTTCGGCTTCGTTAGGTCACATTGACACTGTTGGCATGAGTGACACTGCTACGAGGGCAGATGTGTAAGGGTTGAGATGTTAGATGGAGATGACTTCGGACACGGTTTTACAGCTTACTCAAGGGCCATGGCACACCGGTATCCAGGTGCTACTGGCTAAGTTCACTGTCTAAGGGGGAGGCTTGTTCAGTAATCATGTGAAGTAAAAAGATGTGATGTAGAAGACATTTGAACATTCTCATGTAGTTTTGATTATGTAATGAGGGTATTGAAGGCAGCAGTTGAGCTCTCTTTCGAGGCGATTCCGTCGGTCGCGCAGCTCATCTTCACTCCCCAAAATGCAGCGCAGGAAGAAGATCTCCATCCCCTAACCGCTGTTACCAGGTCTAACAATCTGCTGCGGATCATGTGCCGTCATTCTGAGGCACAACAACGTGCTCAGATCTTCTGTTCTAGTACCTCACAAATCTCTGACAAAGTGTCGCCGAAACATCGATGTTTCTCAGTTCAACCTGCTGCCTCTCTGTAGAAGCTGATGGCGTTATTTCCACCTCCCAGCGCAAACATCTCGCTCCGCGTGCTCTTTGGCAGCCACTTCGCCGTCCATAGCGGTTTGTCTCCGTGTGAATGAGTGGCGACACACTGACGGGTCTCGATGCGCCATATCCTGGCTTTTCCCTCGTGAGATCTGGAACATGTCTTAGCGAATGGCTGCTCCGTGGGAGGTCTTCAAAGAATTTTCATAGAGATCTGATCAGGAGTGAGACGCCTAAGGAGCCTTTACATACCCCGAAAGTAGATACTCGCCCGTATCACTCCAGTCGAGCGTGAGCACCCAGCTACCATGACCTGCCAAGTTCGCTATCTGCTCGCCAGACTTGACATCGTACAACGCGATGGTTCTCGAATCTCCGGCCGCTGCAAGCAGTGTCGTGTTCGGGGAGAAGGCAACGCTGCGTACGGGCTTGACGAGCCCGGCAAGAGAATGCGTAAGGCGCCCTGTATCGTTGTCGAACACGTATATAGATCCATTTTCGTGGCCGGAAGCTGTGAAGCGTCCGTCCCGACTCTGTTCCCATGATCAGCAAAGGGTACGGATTCGAGGTGAGAATGACCTACCAGATCAATACACATGCCGAAGCTCCCCTTTCGTCTCATAGTCGCGAATCTTCGGTTTGCCCTCCTCGTCTAGACTCCACACGTTGATCTTGCCGTTTATGCTGCTGCTCGCAAGGTACTTGCCGTCAGCGCTGAGAGCAATAGCCCACACATCACCCGGTTTCAGCTGATCTGAGCAAGTTCAGCGTCCATACCTTTTGTCTCAAGAAGCCATAATGTGTAGTGAAAGGCTCAGGCGTACCTACCGCTGATCTCGCCGTTCGCCTTCCACGCGCCGTCTTCACCTTCGCTCCATATCTTGACTTTGCCTTCAAAACCTGCGCTTGCGGCGCGCCGTACATCTCTTGCGGTAGCGAGGTGGTGGATTCCTAGCGGGTGGATGCCTTCAAGAGATTGAAGAAGCGGGAAGTCGGCTTGTGTGGTGTCATGGACGTGTATCGTTGACGAGCCGCTTGCTGAGAGGATTGATTTCGGGGTAGGTGCGAGAGCGAAGATATCTGAAGGATGTGCGCCAGACAGTGTGTGAAGTGTGAGGTATTGTTTCGACTACGTCCAATCAACATTGAAAATTATATGATCTGTTGGGAAAGAGCTACCATTGCGACGGTCGCTCCGACTCAATGGAGCTGGACAGCCGCGTGCAAGTATTTACACCTGCTACCCTCTATACTGAGTAGTATGAGAGATTGTGAATCCGCGGGTGGAGGGGGCGAGTGTTTTGAGCGCAAGCATAAGTAAACGTCACTGCAGACGCGAAAACGCGATGACACTAGCTCACGAAGCGCTCTCGCTGCCCCGCCATCGCCTCGCCTCGCTTCCAAACGCGCCAAAGCGGACCCTGCTTGCGTCCCCTAACGCCAATCATAGGCTAATACCAATACCCCACGACCACCATCCAAATGTTCTCCATATGCAATTGATTCTCCCTGGTACCGCCAGAGTCACCTCCAACGGCTGCCTCCAACTCACACGCCTCCAGAGTTCCCCGCGACTGCTCAGGCATACCGGCTTAGCTCACGCCTCTCTATCTCCCTCTCCCCAACCTCGATACTTCAAGCAATCACCCACGGGCTTTAGAGCCTCATTTTCGGCACATCCACCCACCATGGCACCCACCACTCCGGCCAACACCCGCCCCATTGTTATCAGTGGGCCCTCTGGCTCAGGTAAATCCACTATGCTGAACCGCCTCTTCAAGGAGTACCCGGGCAAGTTTGGCTTCAGCGTCTCGCACACTACGCGCTCGCCGCGCGCGGGCGAGGAGAACGGTCGCGAGTACCACTTTGTCACGAAGGAGGAATTCTTGGACCTCGTGGAAAAGAAGGGGTTCGTGGAGCATGCAAAGTTTGGCAGCAATTACTATGGGACGAGCATCAAAGCGATCGAGGATATCATAGAAAAGGGGCAGGTGTGCATTCTAGATATTGAGATGGAGGCATGTTCCTATATCCGAGTGATAAGAAAGACGAGAAAGAATTAACCGGGAACAGGGCGTCAAGCAGGTCGCGAATCACCCTACGTTTCCGCGACCGCGATTCCTCTTCCTTTCGCCGCCATCTAAGGAAATCCTCGAGCAGAGATTGCGCGGCCGAGGGACAGACAAGGAGGAGGCTATCTTGGAGAGACTCAAGCAGGCCGAGGCGGAGATGGACTTTGCGAAGAGCCCAGATTCTCCTCATGAGAAGATCATTGTGAACGATGACCTGGACAAGGCGTACAAGGAGGTCAAGGAGTTCATTGTAGGCGCGGATTCTTAGAAGCCAGCAGGAATATCCTGGGCTCTATGGTCATCTTGCATGAGCCCCAGAGTCAAGTGCTATCCAGAAGACTTGGTACCACATCACGATAAAGCAAGACTACAGGAAGATTTGACAGCCGAATGCATAACATTACTACCTGCAATTGCATAGCTATTGAGCCATAATGTTCATCAGATACCGTCGTAGTAATTGATCGCCAGTGGCCACCCTACCGCTTGGGATTCAGGTAGCCTCAGTGCTTGACTCTATTACATTGATCTCATCACCTGAACAAATGGCTGAATGAATCTGGCTTGTTCGACCAAGCAGCGGAACAGCTGAGCGTGTCACTGTCCTCAGATCCCGTGTGAAAGGGTGAACACCCCTCGCGTCGAGAATAAGCCCCATTGAGTTACCCACCAGCATCTCCACGAGGTTGGAGATGTGGCCGGGCAATCGCATAGCCATAAACTGGACGAGAGAACCCTCCAAGCCATCATCGCGCCCTCATGCTCCTGTCCCTCCTCCTAGCTTCTCACACCATCAGCGGCATGCTTCAGAAACCAGCGGACTCGTATCGTCGTCCAGGTGCCAGCTCGTCTACACGAGCCTAAGGCGCAAGAGAAAAAGAGTACAGACGGGTGCAGGAGCCAGGCGGATGTTGATATGGGGAGGCCGCGCTTCTATGGCGGTTCGTTGCTGAAAGTGCGGATCGCTAGACCCGATGTCCGGGGACTTTCTCCCAAAGCATGCGTAGCGGAGACGTGGTGAGACGCTCTGTATGTGTGCTTCGTTGCGATTCTTCGAGCGGGGGGTGTTGAAGAAGAGAAGGCCGTGGTCCGAACTTGAGTTTTTTGTTTGGAACCGGGCCGCGAGTTTCGCCGGACGACAGGCGCGGGTGGCGCTAGGCAGAAAGCGGCTGGTGCCTTGCAGCTGCCTCCGCGAAAGCTGTGGTCTTGGCGGTGTCCAAGAGCTTCTTTCACGCTGCGTCGAACACAGCACTTAAAGACATAGTGCGCCCGTTGCGCTTTGTTCTGGTGTCGTAGACCTGCCCCCGTTCCAAAGACAGCTCCGTTCACTGCGACCTTGCCAGCATCGCGACAACGTCTCGGCGCACATCCTTTACAACACCAACGCGCACAGCTCGCTCGACCGTTGACTGTCTACCAGGCAAGTTACAATCATAAAGGCAAGTATCTGGTGATCCGTTCCTACGCAAGTGGCTCAGAGCACTACGTACATAGAAGGAGCTACCTACACTATCCGGAGTAACCAAGTGTACATGCTAATGCAGCACAGTATCTGCGACCGCGATGGCGCTCTTCGGCAGCTCGGCGCCCGCCGCCACGTCTACCACTGGGGATATCAGCAAAGACGTTGAAGTCAAGGATGGAATGCCCACGGACAGCATCTCCGACCTAAGCTTCTCGCCCACCCACGATTTCCTCGCAATGACCTCCTGGGATAAGAGTATCACCATCTACGAAGTTAACAACAATGGCGCGCAGGGAAAGTGGAAGGGAGTGTGCAAGACGCAGCAAGGGAAAGAAGAGATTCCACTTTGTTTGGCATGGTCAAATGTAAGTAGCTTCTGATAGCTCCGTTTCGTACATTTGCTCACTTAGTCTAGGACGGCACAAAAATCGCAGCCGGAGGCGCAGACGGAACCATCTTCTACTATGACCTCGCATCCGCAAGTCCTGGCGAACTCAATCCCACGGCTACGTGGCAACCGCATCAATTGGGCATTAAGGGCATTCGCTGGTTTACATTTCAAGGAAAGCAGGTCTTGATCACCGGTTCCTGGGATAAGACGGTCAAATACTTCGATCTGAGCGCAGCAGACCCTACGCAACCTATGGGTGTTTTACAGTGCCAGGAACGTGTTTACAGCATGGATGTGAAGAACAACCAACTGCTTGTGATTGCGACCGCCGAGCGCCACATTCACATTGTAAACCTGCAAGACCCCGCCAAGATCCACAAGACCATCTCAAGTCCGCTGAAGTGGCAGACTAGGGTGGTCAGCTGCTTCAGCGATGCCTCGGGCTTTGCTGTAGGCTCGATTGAAGGCCGATGCGCGATTCAGTATGTCGATGACAGTAACACCAGCCTCAATTTCTCCTTCAAGTGCCACCGCCAACAAGACCCCTCCAACCGCGACATCGCCCGCGTCTACTCGGTGAACGCCATCTCCTTCCACCCGCAACACGGCACCTTCAGCACCGCCGGCTCGGATGGCACCTTCCACTTCTGGGACAAAGACGCCAAGCACCGTCTCAAGGGCTATCCGGACGTCGGCGGCTCCATCACCGCCACCGCCTTCAACAAGGATGGCAACATCTTCGCCTACGCCATCTCTTACGACTGGAGCAAGGGCTACGCTGCGTCGGTACCGGGCCAGAAGCTGCAGGTCAAGCTGCACCCTATCATAGGAGATGAATGCAAGCCTCGGCCGGGCAGCAAGAAGCGATAAAGAACTTCAGCGAAGATGAGTGTGCTAGACGTATGTCAGTGAAGCTCTGCTGGATCACAGTCTGGGGGGCATCATCTTCTTTCGGAGGACAGCGGTACACGCGCTGTGTGGGATGGCAGGAAAAGCAATCTCACGAATTTCCGGTACGCAAAGTAATAGGGAGATGGAGTTGTTGACTCTGCATTAGCGGGCGAGGGATTCTTTTTGGCGTTACTTGACGGCTGCGCGAAAATTTTCGGATCTTGAATCATGCCTAAGGGCTGGATGGTTAGGTAGCAATGAAATGTATCGGAAGCTTTCATGGTGCTTGAGTTCTTTCCACATTCATTAGAGTGTTCGGAATGAGGCACCTGGGGTATAACCTGCAGTGTCATAGTGAGTGATGAAAGTCGAAGCTTCACAATTTGGCATCATAGCACGTTAAGCTGTTTTTAGTGGGTGTCCATCTTGTTGTTTTGTAGATGCCGTGCCTATGTTATATAGAGGGGGTAAGGGACTAGAGGACGGGCGTAGTCTAGGATACTATGCTGCATGGAGTGCAGTGTCTATGATTTGGATAAACCCAACCCAATCAATGAGTTCCTCCTGATGCTGATATCAGGCCGTCTGGTCTATCACACTATTGTCTCACTAGCGACATTTCACCGAGCATGTTCTGCCATGTCCTCACTTTTCCCGCGCAAACTTAGCTTAAAAGAGAAGTGGCTTGGAAGAGCCTATGCAAGCAGTCGTCCTGATGTGGGGTTTTCTGTGCTTACGCAAGGGTAGTCAGGAGACAGGACGTTGATGATAACTGACAACTCAACAGTCTACAGACGTTTAATTCGACGTTGAGCCGCGATGACATTGACCTGCAACAGTTTCCAATGACTTCGCAGTAAGCAACATATTTCAACGAGCACAAAGAAGAACCTGGACAGGCTGTCCCGTTGAGCTCTTTGTTGCGGGCTCTGCTTTTCGATTGACAGCGTTATTTAGTGGTTTACACTTATGGCATAGCGGGCAGTTTAGAAACATAATTGCTCTTTAATGTATCTGCATCACGATCGAACGACCTGAGCGTTCATGAGTGGGTGAAGACCGAAGTGATGCATGCCGGAAGGGAGCAGACGCAGGTAGTTAATGGTAAACAATTCAGTATGTATACCTATACACTCATCATCCACACCATCAGCATATAGTCGCCGTTTCAACGCACCGAAAACCATCTATCCAAGCGAATTCGCTTCCCCACCGCCGCGAAACATGACTATACATGAAGGATAGAATAGGGAAGATCTCGCCACGCCGCGCTACACCATTCGCATTCCTTGGATCCAACACACCGAATACAAGGAGGTAGATGATGGCCAGCTCGGCGCATGCTTTAGGCAACCTGGTTGGGGGAACAAAAGAAAAAGCTACGTGCATGGACGAACTTCGTCCGCTAGGCACTGAACGTCAAGCCAGAACGCCGATTCCCGTCCGTAGACGCCAAAGTAAGCAAGGCCGTGACGGAGTGCAACAGACTGCGACAGAGACCATATTTTGGTACCAGTCTTGATGACGAACGGAGTCAGATCGATCAAAATGGCCAAGACTACCGGTAATAAGCGCTGATCTCGTGGACAGAAATTATCACGTGACTCACGGCGTGAAAGAGAGCGTGTCACGAAGACTATGCCTGAGCAGTCTTCTCCGTATCATCGCCCCTCTCGAAGTCTTCGGCCGACGTTTCCCGGTTCAAACTCGTCTCGCGGTGCAGGAAGGTATTCTCCTTGACGGGGCTGCCGCTGGTGTGACCCTTCTCTTGGCCATTCTGGTTCTGGTTCTGTCCGTTTTGACTGTTGTGCGCGGGCGGGGCGATGTGGGGGATCTTCTCGGGAACGGGATGCTCGCGGCCGATGGAGGTGACGCCGATATCTGAGGCCTTGCCGGCCTTTGAAAGGGCATAGTCGCCGCTGTCGAAGTACTTACGCTCCTGCGGGGTAGCTGTTAGCGAAGAGTATGGGAGCTTTATGCTTTATGCTGCGTACCTTCAATTTGTTCTGCAAAAGGTCCTTCTTGTTGGGCAGCTTTCCGTAGAGGCGGAAGAGCCGTGCCTCATCCGGAGACAGCTTCTGTATCGTAATGTCAGATGTCATGATTTCTTGCTTCGCTGTAGCGTAGGAAACATCCCCTATAGCTGGAGAGGGTCGCAAGGGGCGCGCCGGTGACGTACGCTGATGTCCACTTTGTTCTGCTGGTGCGGGTTCATGTTGGGCGGCGATCTGCTGGAAGCAGTGGGTTCGGAATGTAGATGACGTGTTCTGGAGAGGCAAAGGAAACTGCTCTGGAGGCAGAGAGCTCTGAGGCGTGTAATTTAGCTCCTTATTTCCAGTGCCAGGGAGAAGATGGATTCGGCCTGTGTTATGGCTCTCGTTGGGCTGCGGAGGGGGCCTAGGGACAAGGACAGGGTGAACAACGTCTCGTCGCTATGGGCTCCGAGCGCCGCACCGGCGTGCGATTGGGCGGGTGGAATGTGGTTGGCCGGGTGTGAAAGCTGCTGCTGCCTGCCGGCTCACATGAACAGCTCGATGACTCTTGTGTTTCAGAATTGCCAGTTGCGGGCGGGGATGCGGGCGGGCGACGTGAAGCCTTCGAAAGTCGTTGTTCGTGGACGAGGACCCCTCTACGATAAGATGCGCCCGAGGTTCCGTGTAATCGGGCCGCACCCACAGCAGTACCGTAACGTGCTGTGCATGGCTGCCGTTAGTATTTGGACATTGCAACAGTGCTACGTAGGAAGCGGTACTGACTGAGTTGGATGTTGCTTTGTGGCGGGCAGAGAGGAGAGGTGCTGTGAGTTTGTCGTTGGTAGGGTGCTGGAGGAGGGGTAATGCAGCAAACAAGTAACAGAGCAAGCAAGTGGGCCGCCGGCAGCAGCAGTCACGCTATTGCTTATTGTGCGAGTTAATTCACTCACAAATGCAAGTCAGGCAGGATTGTGCTGGTGGAAGCGGTCTACTAGATTTTGGCAGCATTCCAATCGTACCAATCCTCGTCCACGGATCGACAGGGCCTGCTTGAGTGTGTGCCCGCGCACTTCACAGCAGCAGCACGAGACAAACATCTGTTCTGCATTTCCGGCTGTGCTGGCTTGCGCGGAGCTGGTCCGGCAAGCAGGACTGGTCGTCGCGTGGCCTCAGGTTGCCCTGCGCATCGTTACTGCATACCCAGCTGGACCACCGAAGACGCGCCTGTAGTCGGTGTCCCGCAAAGGCGGCCGTCGTAGGCACACAAAGGCCGGCGATTGGCCAATTGCACAGTTCGTAGCGTGCAGCTGACTTCTGCCTCCCACATCGAGCAAAGGCACGCCGGCGCATATCCCGCAGACTCAACCCACATGGCAGACATCAATCCACTGCCGGGCAAGACCTTTGTAGTCGAGCATTTGGATCCAGAGCTCGAGGCATGGTCGTCGCTCGAGTACTCGGCCATTGCGTCTGAGTGCCACGCTACTGGTGCTCAATTTTTGCTGTCTTCAGTCCCCACCTCGCTGAAGCTGCCGACCAACCTGCAAGGAGCAAAAGGCCTGAACGTTGAAACAAGAGGCATCGAGGACATCTACGCTGCTGAGAAGGACAAAGTATGCCTACTCGACCCCTCCGCCTCCAAGGACCTTAGCCCAGAGGACGGTGATGCCTTCGACATCTTCCTGTTCGGCGGCATCCTCGGTAAGTGTGCAGGCACTCTTCTTCCAATTATGTCTTTTTTCGAATATAGCTGACTCTGCAAAGGCGACGATCCTCCCCGAGGTAGGTGCTACACTGCGACACTGCCAGTCATGTCTGCTGACGCAGAGTAATTGCAGACCGGACCTCCGAGCTGCGCAAGAAGGGCTATCAGGGCCGCCGACTGGGACCTGTTCAAATGACAACAGACACTGCTGTGCGTGTCACGAGGATTGTGGTCCAGGGTAGAAGTACGCGTCGTGTGCTCGAAGATACCCTGGAAAGTCCTAATTAGCTGCAGTTCCTGTCGATGAGGTCCCTTATCTCGACCACCCCGAGCTCAAGATCAATAACAACGAAAGTACGCAGATGCCTTTCCGATACGTCAAGGGCGAGGATGGGCGTCCGATCATGCCGGAGGTAAGCGCCTGGCCTCTTTCTTCTACTCTGGTGACTGACCCATAGAGTAGGGCATGGTCGACTTGATTATCAAAGACTCCGCAAAGGGACTTGACGACCTCTTGTGAAGCCTCTACTAATAGCCTTTGCTACCTTGTTCTCGATGCTTTATTGCTGAGCGTGGAGTCGCAGATGCTATGAGCAAAGAAAGGGGTTGCGCCATTAGGGCAGCCCGTCTTTGATGGCATCTCGAAGCATACCTATTCGGGCAAGATCGTGAGGATGGTTTTGGCAAAAGTGTTCCATGTGCGAGGAATGCTCGAGGGAACTTGAAGCCGTTCACGGTCGCCGAGGACGGCAGTAACGTCGGCTAGCCCCCACAACGGTGGACTACGAACGGATATGTAGATTGAACAAATGCCCGACGAGCATGCTACTGTAGCTAAATCGAACGACCAGGCTGTACAGGCTAGACATGAATGACATATGTGCGAAACATGGTGAGTGACGGCAGAGCTCTATCCGACTAGGAGCTAGTTGCGCATACAAAGGATCCGCGGCGGTAGCCAGGTGGCAGACAACAGCAAGATGAAATCCAGATCTTCAGGACGGTACCCCGTTTTGACCAGCACACACGCAGGCCTCAGGCTCCCAAACGATGAGCTGTTACAGCCGTGATGCGCAGCCGTATGCTTCATGGTGGTTTGAGATGTTAGAGCGTTGCTGGCGGAGAGACTTGCAACCGAAAGCGCGTGACGATCTAGGCGCTTCGCTGCGGACGTTTTGGATCAAGATCTCAATTCCGGAGCACTTCTCGATGCCCTTGTCTATAACGCGACATTCGTATGCTTCTCCTGATCTTCCGTGTTGCATAGTCGGATCGTCCCGTGCAATCATTCATCACTTCCCCATCTTATGTCCGACGTGCTCTCGGCACCGTTCGCGCGCCATCTCTAAGATCCCGCCCACGCTCCGCCTCTCGCGCATCCCTGCAGCCTCGTCGTAAGCTCTCGGGGACACCTAATCCCTTTCGTGCCCGAACTCGACACTATCTTAACCATCCCTTGCGACACTTTGCGACTGGTACCATCACTCGCTCCCACCTGCAACGCTCGTTCGCGCCCAACAAAGCACACTTGGCGCCCCCGACGGCCGCGAGAGACCCATGCGATAGCGATATCCACCGCACCTGCTTGGCTAGCGCTCAGCACTCTTCACCATGTTGTTCACAACCGCGCCGTCGCGATGGCGGACAGCTTTCTTGGGCGGGCTGCTGACCTCGCTGTCATGGCTGCCAGGAAGTGCCGCAGCAGACGCAAAGACCCAGGCCGACTACTTCGTACATTCGCTGCCAGGAGCACCGGAACCACTATTGAAGATGCATGCAGGGTGAGAATTCTCCTGTAGGAACGATGTGCACAAGCAGCTGACGAATCCCCAGACACATCGAAGTCGATGCAGAGCACAACGGCAACTTGTTCTTCTGGCACTACGAGAACCGCCACATCGCCAACAGACAACGCACCGTCATCTGGCTCAACGGAGGCCCCGGTTGCAGCAGCATGGACGGCGCTCTGATGGAGATTGGTCCATATCGTGTGCGGGACGGTGGCAAACTGGAGTACAACAACGGCTCGTGGGACGAATTCGCAAACTTACTTTTCGTGGATCAACCAGTCGGTACTGGGTTCAGTTATGTGAATACGGACAGCTACCTGAGCGAGCTTGATCAGATGGCCGAACAATTTATGATCTTCTTAGAAAAGTGGTTCGCGCTCTTCCCCGAGTACGAGCATGACGATGTAAGTCTGCTCCAGCTATCGTCACCTGCACAAAAACTCACAGTATGCAGCTATATATCGCCGGAGAGTCATACGCCGGGCAACACATTCCATACATCGCACGCGCTATCCTCAACCGGAATAAAACAGGGCCAAAGCACACTTGGGCGCTGAAAGGCGTTCTTATCGGTAATGGATGGATATCGCCAGTGGACCATTACCTCTCATATCTGCCCTTCGCATACCAGACAGGCCTCTTGCAGGGCGACAGCCCTGAGGCTAGACGCGTCGAGTCGCTCCAATCTAATTGTTTGAAGGTGCTGAACGAGGGAGCGGCGGACCATGTGGACAATGCGGTGTGCGAGTCTGTCATGACCACGATCCTCCAAGAGACAAAACTGAAGGGTGGCGATCCGCGACAGGAATGCGTGAACATGTACGACATTCGCCTGCGAGACGATGGTTCCTGCGGTATGAACTGGCCTCCGGATCTTGCCACAGTCACTCCCTGGTTGCGCCAACCAGACGTTATTGCTGCCCTTCACATCAACCCTGACAAGAAGACGGGCTGGACTGAATGCAACGGTGCCGTATCCTCGCATTTCCGCGCTAAGAATAGCAAGCCTTCCATCAGTTTCTTGCCCGAACTTCTATCGCAGATCAACGTTGTCCTCTTCTCAGGAGACCAGGACCTTATCTGTAACCATATTGGTACAGAGAGTCTGATTGATAAAATGACTTGGAATGGCGGAAAAGGCTTCGAAATCTCCCAAGGTGTCGTAGCCCCCAAGCGCGACTGGGTTTTCGAGGGCGAGCCAGCGGGTACCTACCGAGAGGCCAGAAATCTGACCTACGTTGTCTTCTACAATTCCAGCCACATGGTTCCATTCGATTACCCGAGGCGTACTCGCGACATGCTCGACCGATTCATTGGTGTGGACATCAGCGCCGTTGGTGGCGCTCCATCTGAAAGCCTCCTCAACGGAGAGAAGGGACCGCTGGTGAGCGTGGGCGGCCATCCGAACTCCACCAAGGCCGAGGAAGATAAGACGAAAGAATTGAAGGAGGCCCAATGGAAAGCTTACTACCGCTCCGGAGAGGTTGCTCTGGTCGTCGTTGTAATTCTCGCTGGTGCTTTCGGATTCTTCATCTGGCGCGACCGCCGGCGACGAGCCGCGAGTGGCTACAAAGGAGTGGATGGAGACGAGGGCCGCGAATCATTGATCATGGGCATGGGGCTCGACAACTTCCGCAGAAGGGACCGAAGCCGAGATGTTGAGGCAGCTGATTTCGATGAGCGTGAGCTTGACGATTTAGATGGTGATGCAAGGAAGCCTTCGAATGGGCGCGCCAAAGGCAGAGGTGAAAAAGATAGGATCCCGCAAAATGACTCTACGTTCAGTCTAGGTGGAGCCAGCAGTGATGGCGAGGGCAGCGGAAGCGAGAAGGATCGCAGACTCGCGGCGAGGGAAAAATCGTGAGGTAACCTGAGTTCCCCAGATCTGAGTTTGTCTGTTATCACGGTTGCGGATATGTTGAAGGCTTTTTTTTTCTTGAGAGCAGCAGAGCATCTCCGGGCGTTTGCTTCTTCTGTTCTATCTGGGTTCAATGTGCTGTCAATTATGGACGACACGCTGTATAAAATATGGAGTAGGAATACCCATTACGAATCTGGATTACCGTCACTAGAACTCTACTCATCGAACCAAATCCTGAAGGACTGCAGTGTTGCCTGTCCACCACAACGCTCAATTTGCGGGTGGGGCGAACCCACGTGACTTGGCGCGTTCCATGATGTCTCATCCAGCGCGCTCGCGTCATACGCCACCAGCCATCGACCTTCAATTTCAACATCCCCATGCCCGCACTCTCCTGAAGCTACGACAATGCCTGCGTAAGTGGTTCCTGAAAATACTACGATATGGTATGTTCCCTACAAAATTTGTTCTGACACTCTGCAGACCAGGCGATCAGTACAACAGCGGCAACGTCACGAACCCATTCGAAGAACGCGTCGTGAACGGCTTCACGGCAGTAGAGATTGCCACGCTACAAAGTCGCCTGAACAAGCAGCTCGGACCAGAGTATATATCACAACGACCAGGCAATGGAGGGGGCAGGGTTGCATACCTTGAGGGGAATAAGGCGATAGCGCTTGCGAACGAGGTGTTTGGGTTCAATGGCTGGTCGAGTTCGTTAGGGCAGGTGCAGATCGACTACGTAGGTCGGCTCCACGCTTACGGGCTACACGGGGCAACACTGATGCACGCAGGTGGACGAGAACTCTCAGAACGGAAAAGTGAGCCTTGGACTATCTATTGTAGTGAGGATCACGCTCAAGGATGGAACATACCACGAAGTGAATATCTCGCGTCATCACGTATTAATCTACCTAACAACGCATAGGACATCGGCTATGGTTCAATTGAGAATGGTAAAGGCAAAGCAGCTTCGTTCGAGAAGGCAAAGAAAGAGGCAGCTACCGATGGATTGAAGCGCGCGTTACGCACGTTCGGCAACGTCTTGGGCAACTGTCTATATGACAAGGCATACCTCAAGAAGGTTCAGTCAATGAAGGTTGAGCCTGTCAAGTTCCAGGAGGACAACTTACACCGGCATTCGGACTTTGCTCCCAAAGTAAAACAGGAGATGGCGATGGTAAAGAGGGAGCCGCATCACACTCCGGTTAGGACCAACCCGATATTAAGAACGCGTACCGACCATCTCGGGGCATCGATATCGGGCGAATTTGATGACGAGTTCGACGGGAATTTGTTCGATGGAGTGGACATGGAGAATACTGGTGAAGACTTCAGTTTCGAGTCAGCCGCTGCAGGATCGGTAAACGGCATCAACGGTGCGACCCCCAGCCGAAATGCACCTCTACCAAATGGTGGTCCTTCACGACAACCAGATCCCAGAGCGCAGAACGCACCAGACGCAAGAGGCCCTCATGCTGTACAACAACAATCTCAGAACAACATACAGAACGGTGCCAGCAGACCAGCTATTGTGCCTCCGAATGCGAGAGCACCGCAGACCCCTATACAGCAGAACGGCAACAGTCGACCTGATCTGAACCGACCACGCATGCAACCACCGACCGTGGACATTCACGCCGCCCCGAAACCTCAGAACCCAAACCACCAATCATCAGGCCCAGCACCACAAATCCAACCACACCGCCCGATTCCTCCGCAAGCACAGCAACAGCAACCAAAACCATCCGGACACCCGTCCGCAGCGCCAGCTGCAAACCCACCCTCAAATCACCGTCCACCCGTCGGCTTCGTAACCTCCCGCGCCGCCGAACTCCTACAGAACCCCGAACCCCCCGCTTCTCTTACAAACCTCCCTGCCTTCAATCCAAACGTCGAATCCCCCATACCCAAAGAACAGCGCACTCCAGGCATCGATCACGCCTCCAGCAAACCCATCAAGCGCGACACAGTCAACGCTCCAGCACCTCCACCTCCCAACCTCGGACCACCTGCCGGCGGCTTCAATCGTCCAGGTGTAGGAGGACGTGGCAACTCCAACTTCGTGAATCCACATCAGGATGCGAACAGGAGGATTGGCATGCCGGGTGCGGGCATGAGTCCTGGGGGAATTAATAGGGGACAGTATAGGCCGCCGATAAAGAGGCCGCCGTTGCAGGATGTAAGTAACCAAGGTGCTGCGGGCGGTGGCACGGGTGAGCCCGAAGCAAAGAGGCAGAGGGTTGAGGCGCCTAGATCGGAAAATACGGGAGGTGCACCTTTGGGCAGTTCGTAAACCACTTTGTGACGATTGGAGGCCAAAAGCTTGATTTGGTGCTAGCGATGCGATCACTGAATTGCATGCACAAGCGGGATTTACGAGTTTAGCATTTTCACCCACTTGAACTTTGGCGTAGAGCGAAACGTCCCTTTCCCTTGGTTTTCTTCTAGCGAAAATGGGACGAGATGGACACTGGCGTTTTGTAAGTGGGATTAGGTGCTCGTTCTGAGCGAGGCGTTTCTTCTTATCATGTCGAGTGGAAGACGATGAATGTTTGCTATGCAAGGCAACTTTCAACATTATACTTATGCTACATCGGCTGCTTCAGGCTCCCGCAGTGGCGACTTGTGTGTGAAGACTATCCACGATGATATCGATACCAAGACCGACACGCATGCTGAGTTTCCCAGTCAGTGATTACTTTGGGCAATGTGCAGTCTGTGTATAGCACGACTTACCAAGTGCACTCGTGGAATAATAGAACCCAAAAGCGTCCGCCAAGTAGCCGGTGACAACAGGGCCAAGTACAAGCCCGATTGCAAAAGACGTCTCGGTCATCGCGAACGTCCGAGAACTACCACCGCCCGGTCCAAAGAGAGCGGGGTTCTCAGCTTTCAACTCGTGCATGATTGCTGAGACACAGACGTTAGCAAGTGGTCAGGTAGGGCAGATGGTAAGTGAAGACGTACTTGTCAATTGAAAAGTTCCTGCCCCTCTTACAAACGACCAGATGATTCCCAACCCAATGATGGCCGCAACAAAAGCTGCTTGCCCCTTAGGCCCATTCCCGACTCCCAAGAAGTTATCTTTGCCAGGCACGCCCAAGAACCAAAACAACGGGGTGCTCAGTGCCCACCCTAGCGTTGTAGGCCAGCGAAGGCCTATTCGATCCCGTAACCAGCCCACGAATGGTGCGAGAATCATACTGGGGATTTGGATGCCGAGGAATATGGAACCTACTGGCGCAGGACGCCAGCCGAATTCGTCTCTGAGGTGCACAGGTAAAGTCGCGTCGAAACCTGATATGATCATTGAGAAAGCCGTGACGTTGAAGAGAGCGGCGTATGTGCTTCCCTTGCTGAACATGATGCTATAGTATCCGCGAGAAGATGGCACATTTGCCTCTTCTAGTAGAGTTGCCGCCGCTTCATCGTGAGTGCGGACATCTAACGACAGAAGTGGTGATCTCTCGTCTTCAGCTTGACCTTGAGCTTCGCTAGTCGACGTCTTCGACTCATCTGTCGGTCTCTCTTCGATCATAGTCAAGCGAGCAACGAAGCAGATCGCAAGGAGTGCTAAAGGCACAGACCATGCAGCCCAGTAGCCAGCCCATTGCAGCAACACTCCCGAAATCACCGGCCCGGTCAGCACTCCCGCGGTGATGAAGGATCCAGCAGACCCCAGAGCTTTGCCTAGATGCCTAGATCCTGCCGCATCAGTCAACATAGCGAATCCGACGATCCATGCTCCAGTCCCCGAGATCCCCTGAAGCATTCGACCCACGTATACTGCCCATACTGTACAGTATTAGCATATGCTGCCGGAAAGGTGGGATTAGGATCACCTGATGGAGTCAATGCAACTAGGAGTGTGCCAATCGTGCATCCCACGAGCGATATCAAAAGCGGTACCTTGCGGCTAGTTGTCTTATCTGCAAAGTGTCCAATGATAGGCGCTGAAGGTACCGAGATGAGGCCCAGGATAAAGAGAAGCTCTGTTGTGAATCGTTGAGTGTATGCTGGGTCCAGACCTAGTCGTACTTCGATCATGTACGGTAGGATTGGGACGACGAAGCCGTAGAGGAAGTTCTCTGCATAGAAGGATTAGCACACTATCGAAAGAATAGTGATATCCTAGAAGGTGGGCATTCGTACCAGTGAAAAGCCCAAGCGTGGCTGTGAAGACTAGTAGAGCCTTTGAGGCTCGCCATGAGCCGCGTGAGAGATTACCCTCACCGGCCATGATGACGATGATTTTCAAGTTCTTTGGACAACACGATTTCGCCGAGAGTAAACCTAGAACACATATAATTATCCGCACTATATATGCAAAAGCACAGTAGGATGGCACAACATCGGCAGGGTGTCAGTGGATGTGTCATAAGTATAAGCTTGCAAAAACATCGAAGCTTGTCCGAGGTGAACAAAGTCTCATCCCCACCTTCCTATTTTCGCGCAAGGCTGAGGCTAGTGGAGCAATTCCGAGATCAAAGCTCCAAATATCCAGTCCGATTACTCCGACCACTTGAATAGACAACGAGATATACCAGAGTTTTAAGGTCATCAATAATCGGTAAAATATTTGCTCTTCGAATGATCCAGTGTCGAGGCGAAGAGAGAGCCTGCTTTTACGTAAGGACAACAAACGGCAGTCGGTGGGATACCAATCTTAGGAAGACATTACATTGATTTCATCAATTCCTAACTTACAACGAATTAACCGTTTCCTCGCGCTCCACCATAGATTTTCTAAGCCTGGATAGCAGACTAAAAGAGCTAGTACGTACGTGCACACAAGAACTTCAATACCCAGCTGCGCCCCACTGTAAACGAGTTCGACATCGACCATCGCTAATAGAATGCAGAGAGCTCAGAGCACACGAGACCCCCCGGGGGACCAGTGCAGAGATGTGGTTGGAGATTGGGCGGACGTTCAATCCTGGGGAAGAAGGGCTACATCATGAAATGGACAATGTCGGCATGCACCCTAACAAGACTTGACGACCTATGAAGTGTTACAAAGGTGAATAAGAGGACGTAAAGGTCGCGGAAAACCGCGAAGTCAGCCGTAGGGGTTGAGAGCGCTAGCAAACAACGACCCTGACAGCCCTCTATCATAATGCGTGCGATTCGAGCGACTCCTCCTCTTCCGCATCGTCATTTGCAACATTGCAGCTTCTCAGTATCAAGCACGTGAGCGCAATACCGCAGGCGCGGGCGGGCGGCAGCAAGCAATGGATTAAACAGCTATTTCCGAAGCACCCCGGCTTTAACATGATTATTGCCGAACCCTTCTCCTGGGGGCATCGAATACTGGCCAAGCATCTTGCACATCTCGCAGACAATCCAGAATTGTATGAGTACAGTTGACGCTGTTCGAAAGTATCCAGTTATCACCGGAGCACAATGTGAGGGTGGAGCGTTCGCCTTCGGCTGTGATAAGCCAATGGCGGCTACATCAATGGGCGGTACTTGCCTCGAACGCCATCAATTGCACTTTCTCTGAGCGCTCTGCAATGGAGGGTTTTTTTCGCACTACTGTATGTGGCCAGATGATACGACTCCTTTCTAGGAGGTCGCTACTTCCATACCCTGACGAGACTGATGCAACACGTTGGGAAGCGTCCGTTAAACACGCCAACGTAACAAAAGCGTTGCCAAAGGCGAAAGAATTTAGCGAAGATGGGTTATCGTCGACTGAAGCATCCGCTCCAGGTGGATTGGGTCAAGCCTCGACGACCGAAGGTGGCATCATTCTCGTAGGCTGGTACGGCCCGGATGACCCCGAAGTGAGTAACCTCGCGTTTGATTCAAGATGCGATCGCTAAAATTTGCACAAGAATCCCCAGAACTGGCCTATCAAGTGGAAGCTTTTAACGTTGACGCAAATGTTCATACTCAACTTTGGCGTTTACATTGGGAGTTCCATCTATGTTCCAGGAGAGGCTGGGCTCATGACTGATTTTGGAGTGAACGAAACGGTGGCGACACTGGGCCTGTCGATGTATACGGTGTGAGTGCTATTGAATCGCCACCCTTGCTCGTAGGAACAACGACTAAGACTGAACAGTGGCTATGGTTTAGGACCCATGCTGTGGTCCCCGCTGTCTGAGATGCCAGTCATCGGACGCAGCAGTATCTTTGTCTGGACGCTCTTTGTCTTCGTCATACTCCAGCTCGGAGTCGGTCTTGCTCCAAATCTAGCAACATTTCTTCTCTTCCGTACGTTGACGGGCTTTTTCGGCAGCCCATGCCTGGCCACGGGAGCAGGCACCGTTACCGACATCTTCGCTCTGGACCAAATCCTTGTTTACGTTTGCATATGGAGTTCTTTTGGAATTTTGGGTCCCATTTTTGGACCTATAATCGGTGGTTATGTTGCTCCGGTCAAAGGCTGGTCGTGGACGATATGGATATGTGGGTCGCTCTCCTTCGTAGTATGCCAGCGATATGCTGACTCTGACACTATAGTCACATGGCTATGCGCACTCGTACTGTTGGTGATGTTCTTCTTCCTTCCAGAGACGAGTGGAGCAAACATACTGCATAACAGAGCAAAGCGTTTGAGACGACTGACCGGAAACAAGCGATTCAGAAGCCAGAGCGAGATCGACGCCACCAACTACACCATGCAAGACCACCTGATGGTGCTCGCGAGAGCATTTACGCTGACGTTCACGGAGCCAATCGTTCTGCTCATGGATTTTTACACAGGTCTTTTGTACGGAGTCCTCTTCATTTGGTTCGAATCATTCCCCATCGTCTTTGGTGAGATCTACGGCTTCGACGTCGGAGAGCAAGGCCTGGTATTTCTCGGCATCTTCGTGGGTTCGTTCATCACCGCTCCTTTGGTCATCCTCTGGCTCCGAGTGAGGATCGTCCCGAGGGTTAGTAGTCCGACCTTCAAGCCTGAAATGCTTTTGCCTCCCGCGTTCGCCGGTTGCCTAGCTTTTCCTGTCTGTCTTTTCTGGTACGGATGGTCTGCCCGACCAAGCATACATTGGATCATGCCCATCATTGGCACAAGCTTCTTCGGAATCGGTACGTACCCTTCTATAACATTTTAGCGTTAATTACTCACCAGCGTATCTCAGGTATTGTCACTCTGTTCAACTCAGTGTTTAACTACCTGGCGATGTCGTATCCATCCGAGTCAGCATCCATCTTCGCAGGAAACGCGCTCTTTAGGGCAGCTTTTGGCGCAAGCTTTCCTCTCTTTGTATGTTTCCTTATTACGCTCGTCCCATGAGCAATGGGACTGACTGGCATGTAGGCTCGGACGTTCTTCAGGAAGCTCGGCATTGGTGCCGGTAACTCGCTTCTCGGAGGCATTGCGACATGCTTCATCCCCGTCACGTTCGTGTTGTACCGTGTAAGTACCGTGTAAGCTAGACCTTTCGCATATCTGATGGTGGTTCAGTACGGAGAGAAAATCCGCCATATGAGCAAGAATGCGCGACACGATGTGTGAGATTAGCGGCGCTGTGCGCGCTCGGACAGATACGGACAGGACTTCCCATGTGCAAGATGCGCACGACTCTGGGTGTCAAGTCTACGCTGTCGTGACTAAGCAGAACGAATCAGGACGGCGATGCAAGGTAGGATAGTCAGAAAGTATGCTGGGGTCCTGATAAAGGAAGTACGCCGAGCACGGCCTTCGGCGCCTGATTGTTGTGATGAGCGGCAGATATAGACGGTACTTGTTGTAACATCATACGCCGTACGAGGCCCGAGTAATGACAAACGAATTGTTACCTGATACCGACTAACAAAGATGTGTGCAACCTCTTGCTCCGACGTCATAGTCTTGATCCATCTCCGCTGCACCCCCACAGCCCGCTCGTTGCAGAAGCCGTTTCGAAGCAGAAGTGGGTCAGCCTTGCGCACTGCACCTGTTCATCACTGATCGTGAATCCTTCAGCGCTTTTCGCCGTATCTACAGCTGGCCTTTGTTGTGAACGGACCACGGCACGTTCTGCAGATTCTGCCACGCGCAATGCTAGCCTGACAGCGGATGTCTTCAGAACGCCCCACAGAGGCGAAGATGATGTAGGTTGACGTCGCGTCGAAGGCGCAAAGATCAGAGCCTCATCTCGCCGATGACTGGCCGTACCAATAGGATGGAAGCGGTCTACGGCCGATTTCTTGACTAGGCTTAATCCACTGGTAGCGCCCGACGTGTTGGTGAACAGACCACCTTCAATATGACGTCGTGTTCAGAAAACTTTGGAGTTGCGGAAGGCAGGAGAAGCCGGGGCCGAAGAATTGGAGCCTTGGGGATGTGGGAGTGGGTGATGGAGGGGTGGCGTGTGGAGTTTATAAGGCCGGAGGATCCCCGCGCGAAAGGACTTCGTCGATACATCCTCTCCATCTTCGCAAAACTTTAGCCAGAAATCCGGGACTCACCTACAGTACGCCAGGTCTCTGATCTAACATGGCGATTATGGGTCGTTTTAGGGGTCTTCCCCAACCCCCACCCTCCACAGCAGATCCGGAGAAGAGGCCGCAGCAACTGCAATTTAGCGCAAAGGATCGCTTTCGACCGCGAATCTTGCTTATGGCAGTGTTGGTGTCCATGGGCGGTTTCATCTTCGGTTACGACACAGGCCAGATTAGTGGTTTTCTGGAAATGCCCGACTTCCTCCAAAGGTTCCATGACACTACTGACCCCGAAACTGGAGACCCTGCCTTCACGAATGGAAGGAGTGGAACCATTGTGGGCTTGGTACGTTATCCGCTACCTTGGGATGACTGTCGAATCTAACGATCGTAGTTGTCCATCGGCACACTGCTCGGTGCCCTCGTCGCTGCGCCCGTCGCAGACAAGTTCGGCCGTAAATACTCCATCTGCTTCTGGAACATCATCTTCTGCGTCGGTGTCATTGTCCAAATAGCTACTACCAGCACATGGTATCAGATCGCTCTGGGCAGATGGGTTGCCGGCCTTGGAGTTGGAGGTCTCTCTGTATTGACTCCCATGTACCAGTCTGAAACTGCCCCTCGCTATGTACGCGGTGCTCTCGTCTCTTGCTACCAACTCTTCATCACGCTCGGCATCTTTACTGCCTACTGCATCAACTTCGGAACATATAATGATCGGAGTGCGCGCGCTTGGAGGCTACCCATGGCTATTGGATTCATCTGGCCCGTCATCATGGGCTTCGGTATGCTCACTCTGCGCGAGTCACCCCGCTGGGCCTATCGTAAGGGCAAAGTCGAGGATGCGCGTAAGACAATAGCACTTAGCTACGGCGTCGCTGAAGACCATCCAGAAGTTGATCGGGAAATCAGCGAGATCAAAAGCAAGCTCGAAGCTGAGCGCGCAGGCGGAGGCAAGCATCCTTGGTACGAGATCTTCACCGGACCGCGCATGGCATACCGTACCCTTCTGGGAATCACTCTTCAAGCCCTGCAACAGCTTACAGGCGCGAACTTTTTCTTCTATTATGGTACCACCATCTTCGGTTCTGTTGGCCTGCCCAATTCGTACGTCACGTCCATCATTCTCGGTGCTGTCAACTTTGGCACGACATTCCCTGGACTCTACATCGTCGAAAAATTCGGTCGCCGTCCCTCCCTCATCTTTGGTGGTCTCTGGATGTTCATGTGCTTCCTCGTTTTTGCATCGCTCGGCCACTTTGCTCTTGACCAGGAGACGCCACAGAACACGCCTGGCATCGGATACGCAATGATCATCTTCGCCTGTTTCTTTATCGCTGGTTTTGCTATGACATGGGGTCCTATCGTCTGGGCTGTTGTCGGAGAGATCTACCCCTCGCGTTACCGAGCAAAATGCATGGCCCTTGCCACCGCATCGAACTGGGTATGGAACTTCCTCATTTCCTTCTTCACGCCGTACATCACTGGCTCTATTGACTACCGCTACGGATACGTTTTCGCCGCATGCTGCTTTGCGGGTGCGGTTGTCGTGTTCTTTTTCGTCTGCGAGAGCCACGGAAGGACTCTTGAGGAGATTGATACCATGTACATCTTGGGTGTCAACCCCATGCAGAGCAAGCACTGGCAGCCACCGGAGGGTGACGAGCTTCCCAAACTTGGACAACACTTATTTGACGCCTGGAGCGAGGGGTATCAACAAGAAGCAGGAGGCCAGAGCGCCAGAGCAGATGAGGCAGGAGCGTATGGCTGTGCCTGTCTCGCCGGGATTTGTTCCTGAATCGTCAGGCGCCATTCGATAGTTATAGACTTAAGCAAGGTAGAACGTTTTGTTTATCACTTGAGCCCTTTCACATACGATATGATCTCACCATAGCGATGTGTTCGCATTAGCGAGATTTCTTCGCAGCCGTGACCATGGTAACCTCTTCAAGTTAGATATATTATCAGCGCTGCGATTCACGATTCCTAATCTGGTACTTACGTGGGTGGAGCGAGGAGCGCCGCGACGCCTTTGCCGCTGTCATCTTCTGGAATCTTCGGTTGGACCTCGTCGCTTGGTTTGAAAGATCCTTTCGTAGTTGGAGGAGCGTGCGACAAAAACATAAGATGACCACACCGACGCAGCTTCTTTGGCAGGCACCATGGGGCCGTCGAGGTCCGACATTCCAGGAAGTGTCTGTCACAATCGGCATACTGTTTGTTTGTACTCGGACGCGGCAACCAGGGTAAGGGCCGAGGATTGGACGCAGCCCGCCTAAAAAGCCGCGAGTTTGGCGGTGTTGGGCGGATCTGAATGTAGGTTGGTATAGATAGACTCACAGATGTGTGCGGTCGGCGCCAACAGGTGCGGAAGGGAAGTCAAGAGCTCCTACACGCTGCAGCTCGAAATGCCGAACGTTAGAAGGGAATTACGATGTTGCGGAAGGCGCTACGCCATCCCTTGTTCCCTCCAGCCTTTGTTGCACCATTCCCATTGCCAAATATCGCCTCATTCCCTAGTACAAAATCTCCTGGTGCTGGCCCTAATCCTATGTATAAACCCGGAATCGTGAAATAAGGAGAACTGGCTTCCCTTCTTCTGCGTGCGCGATTCAGGAGGGGGTCCCCCGCTTTTGCATATCCTCTAGGTCGTGAGTCGTTGCACCCTCCCCCAACCCGCTTTTGCGGTTACTAACCCCCCTGACAGCTGCGACACACCTGGTACCAGACACAGATACGCTGCGAAGAGAGCTGTTCTTGGGGTGCGGGTGCATCCGTAGTCTCAAACCGTTAGGGACCGATATCCGGATCGCACACAGTGGCAAAAATACCCCACCTCCTGAGCTCTATAAGGTCATCATGCTGCTCCAGCATGCTATCGTCCTTGCTTCACCTTCCCGCAACACAGTCCGCTTTGTGGCGCGCTCCTAGCCGTATGCATACGACTAAAAAGTTCGGTGGGGGCTTCCGGAGCCTGAGGAATCGCCAAAAACTCAGCATCGACGGTGGGGCTCGAACCCACAGCCTTTGGATGTCTCACACTGCGTATGTAGAAGTCCAACGCGCTACCATTGCGCCACGCCGACGGTGGAAAATTTGTAGTAATACGAATTTGCCAAAATTTTGGGATACAGAACATTAGATAGCGGATGCCAAGCAACTTCTCTATGGGATGGGGTACTCACAGATAGACTTTGGCGCAACCGTTCGCGAATTGGTTTCGGTAGATAAGCAAGTGCTAGTGACTCGTCATCGAGCATGTGGAGCTGTGGAACGAGCGAAGCACGGTCTGCATGTTTCCGAGATATGTCCGAAACGACGACCCACGAACACTACCACGTGTGACGTTTGTAGCATGACAACACATCGCAAACTTCAATCCAATTCCCAGAATCTCCGTAGCCTTTCCGCGAGCGTGTGGGGCCGGATACCTCCTTTGGCCTAGCGACGAAGGTTCTCCACGGAACGTCACGCAACGGGCCACAGAGTACTCGCCTTCTACTTTCGTCAATCTTTGCAGCAGGGAGACAGAGAGAGGAAAACCTACTCTTTATGAATTCAATAGTTTCTATGCTCACAGAATAATGTGAGACCTAACAGTTGCTATCTCTTGAAATATCTACGCCAGTGCTGCTATAGTATTAGTACCGCAGGGCATCACATTTATCAAGGAACAAGACAGCAAGGTCACTCCGAGATGGGATGAGAATAGAGTAGCAGACGCGTTTGCCATTATCGGCTAGGCTACCATCATCTGATGGGGTGCGTTGTGTGGGGTCAGGAAGGTGAGGGGCACCGCAACAAACAACGCGCGAGAGTGTAAAGTCGAGACATACATCTTCATTGCCAAATCATTCGCTCACTACATTCATAGTCTTACACCAAACAATTACTAGACGGCTGCCCACCATGTCTATTGTTGACGAAGCTGCTCATACCCAGTTTCTCAGGCTGCAAGAGCAGGACCTCAAGGGCAAAGTCGCGTTAATAACGTGAGTATAGTCTGCTTGTAGGCCCTGCATCAAGTTTATAGAAGCGCAGCCGCTCTGACATCTACCCTAGTGGGGCAACCAAAGGCATAGGCCGCGCCATCACCATCGAACTCGCAACCCGCGGCGCCTCCATCATAGGCACCTACTCTTCTCCCGAATCCGTACACCTTTTCTCCACCCTCTCACAAACTATCAGCAGCCTCTACTCTTCTAGCTCTGTTACCACACTAGTACCCAAATTCATAGGCCTACAATTCCACATCGCTCTGCCGGACTCCTCCGGCGCGGTTGCCAACATCCTAGAAGCCCTCACCACGCATTTCTCCAGCAAGATCGACATCGTGATCTTCAACGCCGCGGTGATGACGCTTGCAAAGATGGGCGAGGGCAGCGTACGAGAGGATGTCGTGGACTTGGCGTTGGCAGGCAATGTACGGTTCCCGGTGATGTTGGTGGAGCATCTCCTCCGGGAGAATGTGTTCAGGAAGCAAGGGAGGGTGATTGCTGTTAGCAGTGAGGGGGTTAGGGCGAGGCGACCCGATGGCGGGTGAGTTTCCGACCGGGAAGGAGAGTAGGGAAGAGACCTGATGGACATGTAGTGCAATTTATGCGGCTACGAAGGCTGCGCTTGAGTGTCTGATGAGGTAAGTCGAAAGTTTTGTGCCTTTGCTCTTGTGCGTGGCTTCAGATCCCTTTGTCACGAAGCTTGCGGTACGTTATCCTAATTAGCTCCGCAGTGTTCTGGTTTGCCTCATGGAAATGTCCAACGAGAGGGTTGCTCTGGCCTTGCAGTCTGACATGCATACAGGAAGTGGGCGGATGAACTAGGCAATCGACCTGGGATGGAAGGCACGACCTTCAATTCGATCAGCGTCGGCTTCACTAAGACGGAGGCTTATCGTAAAATTTCTCCCGAACTTCGAGACAAGCTTGAAACGTCTGATGCGGCTGAAGTGGCAGTTGCGAACCGTATCGGCGAAGTCGAAGACGTCGCGGGAGTGGTTGGTCTGCTTGTCAGTGAGAAAGCGCAGGTGAGTCAAATGTGATGAGTGAGTCTTTTACGGCGCTGATGGTCTGCAGTGGATTAGTGGAAGTGTGGTCGATGCTTCCGGTGGTAAGGCGAAGATTTTGTAGTTCTGCCATACATCTGTCATGATCATGTGGGTATCTTGTGGACATGGTTTCGATCTTACGCAACCCGGATTCCTCCAGGTGCTAGCCTGGGTTTCCTGTTTCTGGTGGAGAGCTTCTTGTCGACGAAAAGGATACGCCCACGTTGGGGTAAACTCAATGGTTAGGTTGACTACTGGTTAGTGTATCGTGCGTCGAGTCTAATTAGGCCACAGTATGTGGGTTTTTCTCAAGTCCTTCAGTCGCACTTCAGCGCAGATATCCATTCCAAGGGTACCTCTGAGGCGCTGCCGTCTCGAGAATGAAGGATACATTACTACCAGTCACGGGAGGTCACAGTCAGCGGGCGGGCGATGCCGAGCGATCGTACCGATAGTAGACGTAATCCATATTCAGATTGATTGCTCGTCTGCTAGTATCGCGTGGTGCAACGGGGAAATGTAAATTGCTGAGATGACGTGACCATCGAGTCGTGAAACGCCTGCCGCGCAGCTGGTGTCAGACAGAGTAGACGGAGAATCTCGCAAAGCCACTTCATCCTTCGAGACAATGTGCGAGGCGGAGTCGCGATAAGCATCAGGTAAGCTACTCGTGGAGACGACAGACTCCAGAAGAGTTTTCCAATGCACTGATGCTCGCGTAAGCTTAGCGATGTCGCCTTGTGGATTCCTTGCCGCCGAGAGAAGAACGAGGCCATCCGAGATGAAAGGCAAAAATCGAAGCGGTAGCCATCTCGCATCTCGAAGATGCGGTGTCCCGTCACAGGTAGTCGGTGGAGCGGCTTGAGGAATTCTTCCCGGGATATGTGAACCTCATCTACAAACAGCCTCGTGGCAGTCGCAGCCGGTTAAATCGCGGACAGGCAATACACCACGTTGCGGAGGAGACCGTTCGGAAACAGCGCAGCGAGGTCCACCGCGGTGTACACAGTAGCACGGAACAGTGGATCGAGGAGTAAAGGAGACCCCACTGAGTGGTTCGCATCTACGGTTCTTTCCGAACGTGGCAGCCAAGAGAGCCGGATAGGGCTGACTTACCATATCGAGCCGTGCGCAAGGGGACTGGGGCTGCCTTTCCAGCAATCCTCGGCTACTAACAGACGTCGAGCACGCTCACTCAAACCCGACATGGACATTATCCCTGGGCTCATCCCCGGCTACTGTTGCGATCTTTTACCATTCTGAAGCCTGGACGGACTCGATGGTGGAGGCTCGGCAGAGTTCTGTCGCGCACCCGAGGCAGTGCCTCAGGACGCCTGCTTGGATGCCTCAGCTCGTGGCTCAAGTAACAGAAACGACGGCGCGACACATATCTCCACCAATCCAGAGACCCCGCCCGCTCGCTGCCCGCGTCCAGAGCGCACTGTCGGCGCCGGCCATGGAGAGCGGTCGATTGCGGGTGAGCGACAGCCGCCTCTCTGGGCACTCCTATTGGTGCGAAATATATTGCATGGCGTCGGATAATCTCGTACCCCAGTTGAACCAGATTTATATGGGGAAAAGCTTGGTGCCGCTCCGCATTGCACAAACTGCCCAACGTGCGTGCCTTGGCGGAGCCGCGGACGGCATTTTGAGAGTCCAGCCATACGACGGCTCTGAACGCAAGAACCGCGCGGGATCGTGCGGCACTTTACGATCTTTCCGTATGGCAGAACCTGGTGCATCCTCGCTATCGCAACCATCTTCTATACGTCGATCAGAATCGCGTTTTGTTTTATATCCTCCTCGTTGTCACTGGACCGCCCGACCCCTACCACACGTCTGAGGACGCGCAAGACAACCCAGTTGACACTGGATACCCACATCTCCCCCGGCTCACACGCAAATTCGGAGATGGTACAAGCTCTCCGCGACTGCTGCACTCTGAACACCTCCCGTCGCATCCTCGCTGAGGTACAGCTCCGCATCAACGGCTTCAACGTATACGGCTAAGACCCCCGCGCGCAAACCGCCGCCACACCGATTTACCGCCTTATATGGCGACCATGATACAAGCAGAGAGCGTATCCACAACGCAGCTCAAAGAGGTCGGCACTGTACAGGTCCAGGAGATACCGAGCGGCGACAAGCCAGCCTTGTTGCTGCTGCACGGCGAAGGGGAGGAGGACATCGTCAGTATCTTTGCGGACGTGCTGGGACAGCCATGGGAGACGACGACATCGCTTGAACATGTAAAGGCAGGGTCTCAAGGAACAATCTATGGCATGCGCAGTAGCTTGGCCGTGTCGCAGGCCGGCAGCTGGGATCGGTCACGCATCCTCATAAACACCCATTGCGTGGACGGACCGCACCCGCGCGACGACAGCATCACCGAGAGCTGCGATTTCGAGTACCTGTACACTGTGTCGACCTTTTTTCGAAGGGACGTTGCGCGCTTCCTGTCACTTATATTGGGTCAGATCAGTCCTCATAGAGACTTGACCAAGAAAGCGCGCACCACACTGATTTCCACCACCTTCCCAGATGTCCACGCAGCCCTTCCAAACCTTGATATACTGTCAGTGGGCGCAGACGCGATAGAGATAAGAGTAGACCTTCTGGAGGAGCCTTTGCCCGATGGGAGCGTCAGCAAAGTACCCAGCCTCAAGTACGTAGGGGAACAGCTAATGCTCCTGCGCCAGCGGACAGAGCTACCAATCATCTATACAACAAGATGCACCAAGGAGAACGGTCGCTTTCCCATGGAGGACCCTAACCTCTTCTTCAAATACCTCACCCGTGCCATCCAGTGGGGCTGCGAATATATTGACGTCGAGCTCTGGCTTCCCGAAGATATCCGAAGGAAATTGTCCGAGAGAAAAGGATGCAGCAAAATAATCTCCGCTTTCCATGACTTCTCGGGCAATTTCAAGTGGCTCGCACCAGAGACACAGACCCTCTTCGAACGGGGAGCGGTGTACGGAGACATTGTAAAAATGTACGTGCTGGTAAATTCGATGCAAGAAAACATGGAGCTTGAGTACTTCCGGACAACGATCCAGACGAAGTATCCGCACCCACCGTTTTCTGGTCTGAACATGGGCCCCACAGGACAACTTACCAGGACCATGAATAAGATTTTCACGCCGATAACGCACCCACTTTTACCCATGATCGCGGCTCCTGGACAATTAAGTGCTGCCCAGATCAACTCGGCTCTTCACAGCATGGGTCAAATGCCAAAGCTAGACATCTATGGTATCGGTAGCTTCAGGTCGACGTCGCAGGCCATGTTCTTCGAGAAGTGCTTCAACGAATTGAGCTTGCCACACCAATTCATGTTCGCGGAGCGTGCACCCAAAGCCTCGATCGAGTATATCCTGCGGCGACCGAAGTTTGGAGGAGCGTACGTCAGCCCTCCCCTGGTAGCAGCATCTGCACCGTATCTTCCGGCCTTGTCGAATGCTGCGCGCGCAATTGGGCAGGTCGATACCGTGTTGGTGCGGCAGGAGAGCGGTCAGCAAGTGTTCATTGGCGACAATGCGACGTGGAAGGGCATTCGAGCGACACTTAGCCGTGACTTTGTGCCGTCGGCGTACAGCGGACGAGCAGCGTTGCTGTTGGCAAGCTCCGAGGCGGACGCGTCGGCTTCGATATTCGCGTTGAAGAGCCTGGGGATTGGCCCGGTCTATACGATTGGCTTCAGGGCAAAGGGTTCTCTTTCTACGGAGGTGGAGCCGGTGCGGTCTGTCGAGGACATGAAGCGACTGGAGCAGCCGTTTGTGATTATTTCAGCGCTGCCGGCGGAGAAGTCGCTGGTGGTGGTGCCACTGTTGAAGCACTACCGGGTGAACGGTAAGCAGGGCAGCGGCACAGGCGGGCACGGCATGAAGCTGTCGGGCAAGGTGTTTGTGGACCTAGCCAGTGGACCTCGCAAGGTCGACCCACTGGATATAGCGACGTCAGCGGGCTGGACAGCGTACGGGAGCGCGGACGTGTCGGCATGGACCACGGTGGAAATGATACGGCTGCTGGTGGGACAGAATATACCTTACGACTTCGTTCAGCTAGCGTCTGGCGTGGGCAGGGGCTTGTTTTAACATCTGCAAACTACTCGTCGTCCGCACACCCTTCATCTTCTTGGTAGACGTCTCTAACGTGGAGCCGCCGTGCACAGCATAGCGGGCGCCCCTGCCGAAATGAGGCGGATGCGCCACGGCTGCACCTGCTGCTGGGAACCGCGTGGGCTTAGCTCAGCGGCGGCATTGACCACACCACCAGCCTCAGATGCATTTTCCTCAGCCCTGGCGATCAATTGCGAGCGTGTCCCGGGCACCGTGTCCGCTGTCTGCGGTTTCGTCTCTGTTGCCCGGCGCGAGTCGGTGAGGTGAGGTGAGGGGAGCGAGCCACGCCGGGATGCCCAAGACGACGCTCCGAGGCCAGCGTGCCTGGCATCCATCGAGTGCAGCAACACACACGCACACACACGCACACACACATACACACAAGTACAGCGCGCATTCGGCCATCTGGCAACGGACCGGGAGCAGCAGACGCCCCGGCTCTCAGACGGGCCACAGCGCCCGCGTGGTGTGTCGACAGCGAACCCGGTACAGCGCGAGCACCGCAGGCGCCGCATTCGCCCGCTTCGCTCGTTACCCCAGATTCGAAGGCGTCTAGAAGGCAAGCTCCGAGCGCCATGTCGCGAGTGGTCCGACAGGCAATCTAAAAGGCCCCGATGTGCAAATTGCCAGCGGCTGCCGTCGTCTGCCAGGTTTGCGGCGCCAGGGCTCTAACCGAGGCCTACGGCGATGGTCCCGTACAGCGCCATCTCGAGCCCATGATGAAGCGCTAGGCGCAACCCTTGCCCTCGTGGCCGTCTCCTCCACACACCGTTGAGCGTCGCCAACGCGCCCTCCGCACCCTAGGACGCCAGCGTCGCCGGCCCAGCGCTGCTCCCCAACTGCCGCATCAAGATAGACCGAGATCGTCATGTGCTCGTCCCAGCTTTTCCGCCGCTGCGTCCTCAGAGAACCTGGTCGCGGACACACTACTGATTCGTATCGGCGCCCGCACTCCCGCAGCTCGAGGGCCCTGGTCGCTCGTGAGCACACCCTGGCCGTTCCCCACTGCCTGTGCGGACGCCAGAGGCCTTAATTTGGACCTCCATCTGACGCTCTGCATTTCCCGCTCTTTTCTAGACGGTTTGCCCTGCTGCCCGCGTCACCAACCGCCAGACATGTGCCTTGTCCCTCTGTGCCTGCACCAGCACACTTCATGTCCACCCAAGTCCTACACTCTCCGGTCTCTGCCATGTCGAGGCCACAGATCGGCATCGACCGCCTGCCGACCCGCCGTGTCTCCAATGAGCCGCGCGAGGCCATGAACTGCAAGAGCTGCCGCAAGCGAAAGGTATCATCAGACCGCATTGCCGTTGCAGCCCTCGTCTGACTCTACCAGATCAAGTGCAATAGGACACGTCCAACCTGCGAGGCCTGTCAAGTCTTCAACTGCCCTTGTGTCTACGGTAGGCATTCGCCTCCGGTCTCGCTTGAGTAATGCTCTGACCCGCCCTACCAGATGCTGTTCCCAAAAAGAGAGGGCCCAAAACGGACGTGCTTGAAGCTCTCCTTAAGCGCGTAGATGGGTTGGAGAAGCGTCTACATTCAGAAGGCAAGAGCGAAAGCGCCATTGAGGATGAGCCCCCCGGCCAAGAAGGTGTACTCGAGCGCAAGAATTCAGCAGCGTCCTCGCAATCCCGCCCCATCCTCGAGATTACTCCGAACACCGCCAATGCTGCAAAGCAGTTGATGTCCCCAATTGAGCCAAGGTGCCTATAGACAATGCCTGTTCAAGCACCCAGAATAGTAGCTAACTGCGCGCCAGCCTGCAAACTCCCAGCTTGGCCCCGGATCTTCTACTCGACACCTATTTTGCCAGGCTCCACGGGAAGCCATACCATATATTGGACGAGACAACGACCAGGCAACGACTGCAAGCCAATCAGCTACCCTCCTACTTAGCCTATGCCATCTACGCAGTCAGTGCACGGTATGTCAGACGTCACATGATTCTCGCATCGCCAATTAATTCTCCTCCTGTAGATTCACACCCCATTTCGGTGGGTACAATACCGCAGTCAGGGTCAGCGACGAATATGCACGCCGAGCGCGCATGGAGCTCGATATTGACGAGCCATCTATCGAAGCCCTACAGGCCCTGATGATCCTTGCGCAAGCGAACTTCCAATTGGGCAAGGGCAAGAAAACCTATATGTTGCTGAGTACGTGATCTGCATCGGACGTCGGAGTATTGCCTATCGCTAATCTTGTGTCGCAGCCTCTGCAATCAGCATGGCATTTGCGCTTGACCTCCATCGTGAATTGCCACTTGCCCTCAAAGTGTCGCAAGGTGAACGCGAAGGTCGACGACGATTGTTCTGGTCCTGCTACCTCATGGACCGCTTCGCAGCCGCAGGTTCCAAGCGGCCATCGTTGGTCGCGGATGAAGCCATCGTTCTTCGCTTGCCATCATGGCAGCTGCACCCGGGCGGCATGCTGCTCGAAGGCGACTATTTTCCTAATGGTTCAAATCTACAATACATGGCTGGCGGACGCGCTGGGCAGGGTAGCATGGGTATGCTGATCGGCATAGCAAAAATCCTGGGCATTACGAACCGGTACCTCGCAGCTGGTGGAGTACGAGGCGACTCGCACTTCCCTTGGCATTCCCTCTCGAACCTCTCCAAGATCCGACAAGAACTCGACATTTGGGCTTCGGAAACACAGGACACGTTCACTTCAATTGACGCCCTTTTTGGCCAACCCGACAGCACGATCCTGGTTCTTAGCAAACTCGTATATCACCTGATACATTGCCTGATCTATCGCCCCTTTTTACCCGTGGACCTTGCCGAACTCTCTGGATCTTCGCAACACCAATCATGGCAAATCGAAGCGACGAACTTGTGCTTCCTCCATGCGAACGCCATCGCGGAACTAGTCGAAATTGGCAGGGCTTCTTCCATTATCGACTGGCCTGCGTTTGTAGGCTATTGCGTCTGTACTGCTGGTACGATCCATATTCATGGAGCACACTATCGTGGACAGGAGGGTGAAGTGTTCTCCGTCAGTCCTGAGTTCCTGTCGCGAGAAATGCATCAATTGTCCGAACTTCGATTCGTCTGGGCGAGCGTGCAGCATCAACGGGAGACTCTACAAAACATCTATGGAAGCCACACCGAACTCGTCAAGTCCTTGGCGACCAACCCTATGCGCTTCTCGTCCGTCTTCCAACTGGAAGACTTTTTCGACCGGTATCCGGGACACGTCTTTGATGGTTCGCATGTTATCTTCACAGACATCCCAGTGGAGATCATTCACGAAAGGTGTGATACTCTCATACCCGAAAACCACAATAGCTAATCCAAGACAGCTTGCCAGCATACAATGTTGACCAGCGCACTAACGTCTACATGAACACTGGCATGGGCAATCCGAACGTGTACCACCCATCTCCAACGGTACCGTCCAGCACCACGTATTCGAATGGACATCCTAATAAGAAACGCCGATCGAATACCATGAGCTCCGCGAAAGTTCTTACGCCAGCTGTTCCTGCTCCACTTTCCACACCGACGTCATCGACACATCCTGTGAACTCAGATGCAAAGCCAGTCATCGCTGAAAACCGAGCTCCATCTCCCGCCACTTCAGGGCCGTCTTTTTTGCCACCGCCGCCAGACAACTCCACCAATGGCACACAAGGCAACAACGCCCCTATGAACAGTTCCAATCTTCCGTTCTCGCCCAATTTCACATTCTCACCGTTGCCTCCGATACCCAGCTTAGCGCCAACGCCGACCCCTGGTCAGACACAGGCTCATCCACCGCCGCCGCAGGCTCAGGATACGCCGCACAGTGCATTTGATCCCATGCTCAGCATGCCAACACCATATGACCAGCAGCCTACACCTGGAGCTGCGAGTACATCGGGCGGATCTGTGCATACGGATCCCGACAAAGACCCTTTTCTGAGCCTGCTTGAACAGCTTGCTGAGAATGAAGTCAGCCGCGGAGGACCGTCGGAGTTGGACTACTTCTTGAGCGGACAGACCGGATAACATGTCGCTCGCCAATCTCGCTTCAATCAACCACCTGGTCAGAGCTTAAGGAATGCTCTGGCCTGTTTGTGTAACGTCGCGTATACGTTACGCATGCGTACCTTCGGATCAAGGTCCTCACAATCAACTTCTCTTCTCTATGCATATTGAATCGCGAATATATTTCTTTTAAAAAAGGAAAAGGTACGGAACGAAAGCGCGGCGCTGGAGGGGGGAGTTTGGAATTTATCATTCAGGTCTGGATGAATGGGTACGGCACGGAACCTTTCTGGGACGCGAAACTGGACCGGAAGGAGGAGTCGTGTTTTTGCTTTGGGTTGTCACGGCCGTCTCGTCTCGTTGCGTCTCATCGCTGCATTTCTTGCACTAGCATCATCTATTGTACGAAATATTCCACGGAGCACCAAATCTGGTCACGGCAAATACCATGATAGCGTTTTGCATTGCTAATTGCGCATTCTCCACCCACACGTCCATTGCAGTGCTTCGCCGTTTACCATGAGCGGACGTGACGCATCGCTTAAGAGATGCTCACCTCCTCCAATCTCCGCTTATCAGGCAGCGTTAAGATCGCCATAGGCGCACATCGCACCAGGAACAGTGGAGCCTGACTTGGTTGGGTAGAGCGAGCAGCCGTTCCCAGAACTGCAACCGAACTGCGCAGACCGTTGACGGATACGTCGCGATACGCCCATAGACGCAGGCAGTCGCAGTGTAAGACCTCTAGGCACAGCAGTGGCGCACCCGTGGCACGTCTATCCGGGCTTGCCTGTGCCTGGAATTCCCGCGCGTGGCGTGCAAATCAAACGGTGGGCAGATTGCCTTTGCGCCAGCGACAGGCACACCTAACGAATCCTAACAGGTTGGCCTAGCATGCACAGCATGTTGCAGCACTCGCACATTTCCCAGGAGGGCATGCTAGCCGCTCGCAGGCGTGATGGATGTGAGGGAGGGTGCGCATTTCCCGGCTTCCGGATCGCACATGCGGCGGTTGGTGTGCCCTGGGAGGGAAGGGGTCGGGCGGCCGGCAGTGAGAAGGGCTGATTGGGATTGAGCCCCGTGCTTGCATTGCAGACGCAGATGTGCATGCGTGCTGGGTCCAGGGTGAGAGCATGGGAGGTATGGAAGTGCGGGGTGTGTTGTGCGACTTGACCTGCAGTGCATTGACGCTCGGAAGACACGTGAGCGGGTTGGGTTTGGGATGAGATGGGCCGCAAAGCATCGTCGAGCACTGTACCCCGCGGCGTTTGCATTGTAGATATTGGATTGTTTGGGGGTTATGCGGAGAAGGTGGCGTGTCGGTGTGCGTGGGTGGCTTGGAGACATACCATAGTAGGTGGGATCAGACGCTTCAATCTAGAAAGTCAACAACATGTCCATGTTCATCTAGCCTCGCCTTCGTGAACACTTGGTCATCTCCCCTCGGACAGTACGCGGTAGGATGGACGAGGAAGACCAGGAATGGGGCGGACAGGGAACCGTGACCGCTGAGCGATCGAATCAGTCACGCAGCCCGATGTCGCGCTCCCGTAGCTGCCACGCCGCGCAGAATGTTGACCAAAAGCAAAACGTGACATGACTGTGGGCAACAGCGCAGGGAAATGCTCGGTGGCGCCACGCAGCTCCACTGGAACTAGTCACGGTGTCGACTATCGTTTGAACAAGGGGCGGCTATCGTTTTGCTAGGTGGCTAGTAGCAAAGGGGCTGGCTGGCTTGTCACCTTGTCATGGCGAGCTTGGACACGGGAGTGACCTTGGTCCACAGTCCGACTCCACTCCACCGATCGCGCTGCTCAAACCTTCTTTTCTGTTACCGACGGGCATGGCGTCGTTGCTTTGGCGCGAACATGAGTCAGGTACAACTGGCGAGAACGAGCGGTCGGCACCTGTGGGTGGGGTGCGTTACTGTACCCGGAGTACGTACCGCCTACAGTGCCGCCGAGGTACATGCAACATCAGATAGCAGGCAGCCACAGAAAGCTTCTGATCTTAGACCATGCGTGCCGGGATGCTGGATGTGATGTCGGGAGTTGTGCGCGTCCTCGCGTTCGCTTCACTACTACCCGACCCCGACACGACGCCGACAGGCAAATTGCAATGGTAGCAAAACCTGGAGTGCAGTCCCGAGCGCCCGACAGACGAGAGCTCTTTTGCGGCTTGTTGCTCCCGCACCGCAAGCTGCTGTAGTGCGAACCTCAGTCCGCCTGGCTTCCACGCAACGCAATTGGACTGCTGTCGTAGCACGGCGGTTCGTCACGCTCAATGCTGCCGTGGGACGTGGTACGCTCTAAGCGGTGCTCACCTTTTACGTATCCTTTTCCCAACAGTGCTTCTTACGGGCACCAGAAGCGTGCAACAATCTACGAGGTTACACGGGTGATTCTACCTGAGGCGATGGATCCTGGTCGCGACAGGACGGTATAGTAGGTATCCTGGGTAAGACCCCAGGTTCGTGCTATGCGAGGCCGTTGGGTAGTTGCTGACTCAGGAAGGGAACAGGCATCATCGTTGGTGGCATAATATCCCGCACTTTGTCGCTGTATGCATGGGCGTGCGAAGACCCTGATTTGCAGGCTGGGGGATGGATCCAGCAAAGAGCCTCGCTGCGAGCGAACGTGATGCTGAGCTTCCACATGCGATCACGAACCCCAGCATCCCATATTGACGACATCGTGGGCAGTGTGCCGCATCCATGCACAATCCAATCAGTTTCGTCCAAGTGCAAGTCCTTATCGCAAACCATCTGTGCGGTGACTACATGAACAGCATTATGAAGAAGACCGCCCAGAAGGCTACCCAACCGATGCCCGTTCCCAGCCTGCGCCACCAGCATCAGGATGCGCAAGAATATCTCCTACCGCAGCTTAAGTCCGAGGCCCGACGTTACTGCAGAGCACCCCCCGAACGGAACCCCAGATTCACGGCAAAGGATGGCTAGTTTGCAATCAAGAAGGTCATAGCTCCACGGAGCATGCGGTCCGTGTGGCCTAAAGCGGAAGTGCACGATGCACAGAAGACGCGTCTGATTTTTCTGGAATAATCTATTCTACGCTCCCTGTGTGTAAATTACGGTACTTTAGTCGCAGATCCGGGTGAGGGGATGAGACTAGGTCATGGTGACCTGGAAATGGTGTTAGCACGAGACCAAAGGAGCGTAGACGCGCTGGACCTGACTTACTAGTTCCTCTGCTGAAACGGGATGAATAGCCTGGGACGGTACGTTAGCGAACGTTGGTTCAAACTCCAGATCTGTTTCCCCACATAACACAGGGTCGCAACCACCTGATGCACATGTGCAATCAGGTCTGAACCCAGAGTAGGCATCAAGACGGACGGTTTACTTACCACACAGTTGTCGAAATCCTTCTTGGTGGCGCCCATCTTGATCGCCACACCGAAGCCCTGCAAAATCTCTGAAGAGCCCTGCCCGAGAATGTGCAAGCCCACCACCTTCTCCTCCTCGCCGACGCAGATGATCTTGTAAGCTGTTGGTCCCTTGTCCTCCTGATCCATCATCGCGTAGTACATGCCCGTGAATTCCGTCTTATAGATCTTCACCTTATCCCCGTACTTCTCGCGGGCCGCAGGTTCGGTGAGACCGATGGACCCGATTTCCGGGTGAGCAAACACCACAGAGGGAATGTTCTCGTATGATAAATGAGCGTCAGACTTGCCGCCAAAGAGACGGTCTGATAGCCGGCGTCCTGCGGCAATTGCGACAGGGGTCAGCTCGAAGCCGCTATCGGATACATCGCCGATTGCGTAGATGTTGCCGATGTTGGTATTCTGGTACTCGTCGACCATGATGTGGTTTTTGTCGTTCAATTTCAAACCAAGGTCCTTCACGTGCAGATCCTCGATTTCCGGGGAGCGGCCCGTGGCGAACAACACTTGTTCGACCTCGATAGTACCCTCCTTCTTGCTCTCGGTCTCCTGATAGGTAACTCGCTTCAAGCCATTACCAATGTCTTCCACCTTTGTAATCTGCGCACCCTTGTACAAGTGGACGCCCTGACGTTCGTACTCCTTGGTTACGGTGTCCTGAATCATGGGGTCAAACGTGCGGAGAAGTTTCTGGCCCCGAATGAAGAAATGAGTGTCCGTTCCTAGTGCATGCAGCATGCCCGACATCTCCACACCAATGTACCCTGCACCGCTGGTAGCGATGCTCTTGGGCTGAGCTTCGAGGTCAAAGAAGCCATCGCTGTCAATGCAGAGCTCGGCTCCAGGTATCTTAGGTACATTGGGACGCCCGCCTGTGGCGATTAGGATGTGCTTCGCTTTTATCCTCTGGGTGCCTCCCTCGTTCAGTGCCACATCGACCTCGTCTTTCGCAACGAACTTAGCTCTGCCCTTGAAGTGCTTGATCTCGTCCTTGTTCAGGTTGTTCTCGTAGATGCCGTTCAGCCTCTTGACGTACGCGTCCCGCTTCTTCTTGAATAACGGCCAGTCGAAGGTAGGCGTGTCGTATCCTCCGAATCCATATGCCCTGGCATCTTTAAAGGTCTCCGAGATAGATGCCGCATTCCAGGTAATCTTCTTAGGCACGCAACCCACGTTCACGCAGGTACCACCATATCGCTTCGACTCAATGGAAATGACCTTGGCGCCATGCTTTGCTGCTCTACGGGCTGAAGCAATCCCTCCACTACCGATACCGATGACAAGATAGTCGCACTCTTCCGTCTGCGTGACGGGAGCCATGGTGGGGGTGGAAGAGGAAAAGTGAGAAGAAAAAGCTGACAAACGAGAAGCGGCCACTGTTGTTCTTGAGGGGGCTGCGAGAGCGGGGCGTCCCGAAGCAAGCAGGCGCGGGGCAATAGAGCAAGGAGCAGTGAATGCGGGTCTCGGAATGAGCCTTTGCAACTGTCTTAATGCAAGTGTTCTACGCATGAAGGCAGCAGTGTGGACTAGACCTTGTACTTATACGATGACGCCACTGCACCCGAGCCCAGAAGGGAGTGGAAAACCACGGGTTAGTAATCCTGTGCAGCCTCAGCAAACGAGCGACGGTTGAAGCTGTTCACCGGGGGGATGCCGTGTAGGATTTGTCAAAGGAGTGGATGCTAGGCGAACAGCAGCTGTGCAACCTCCTTCCGAAGCAGTGAGCGGTCTCGCGGCGTTAAGCTCCGTAAAGGAGGCTGAGCGTGAGGATCGAGAATCGACTTCTTTCAAGGCTGGTGATGACGAAGCGTGAAATTCGTGCTCCGGATAGCTGCATGGCGCTATGCCTCTCTGAGAGCTAAGCTCGCGATCATCTCCTCCATCGCGGCCTCAACACCATTCTCTGTCATGACTGATTCCATATCACACGTGCATTCAACCGTTCCACGACAGGCGAACTCGAGTACAGCGTGCCGAAGCATGTCGGCTAAATTGAATCAGAGCAACCGCCTATCGTAGCTTGCCTCCGAATCGTACGACATTCGTAGTGACCGTGCACGCACTCCTCTTGTTCACTGGGCTCGTCAGCCATCGCCTGCACCACTCCTCTTCGAGGCCTGCCAAAAAACAGTAGTTCACCATGGGCGGCAGGCTATCCATGCCCCGTGGCCCAGATGGCGTCAACGCATCCAAGCCTACCTCTGGCCCTACGCCCGCTCGGTTGAGCCGGAATCGGGGGATCATTAATGGGCGAGTACGGATTGAACGCTCTGCTTACCGAGCGCATGCATACTGATTCCATGAGCAGACAGTCATGGCACCTTTGGCGGCATTGACCATGGCCGGCCTCCTCTTCGTCTACGCAAGGACGTCGATTCGAGCAGCGAAATTGAACGCGCAAAAACATCGCGAGGCAGATGGCGGGCAGATCAGCTGGCACAAGGAGAGCATGCGGAGGCATGGACAACTGGAGAGAGTGGACAATGACCGGAGTACGCTGAAGGAGGCGCTCCAGGCGGATTTCTCGCGGTCGAAGAAAGAGGTGGCGCAGGAGGAGACAAAGGTCAGGACAGAGCGATCGGCTGAGGAGGGAAGATTGCGCAAGATGATGGGAAAGGACGACTGAAGAGCAGTCTGGGAACATGGGACTGGATCATGGCACAATATTCGGCCGGGGTGGGTCCGCGCTGCACAACTGGACATGTTTCTGGATTGACACCAATTCGTGGGTATCAAAAATAGGATGGGAAACAGCGATGATGTTGGTCGGAAATCCACATCAATGTCGATGATGCAGATGGTCATGAAAAGATAAAGATTCGAACAAGAACCGCTTCGTAGTTTGACCTTTCTAGCAAGCATGCTGATGAGACCGAACTTTGCTGTGTAGCGGCGCCCTTTACCTGGCTGCTTGTGCAAACGGTAAGCAATGCGAGCGGCGTAGTAAACAGTTCAAGATATGTCGAGGCATCTGTTCGTCGAGATGTGATTCGCTAAACGTTCCTGATGGTGGTGATGAAGCTTTCACATGGTAATCCCAACCCCGCATTTGCAACATGGCCCATTGCGCTTCATGATAGTCTTCCATGTACATAGAAGTGAGGGAGGGGGCTCTGCGGCTGCTTGTTGCTCTCTGCTTGCGCGCTGCAGGCATTGATTAGATGAATGAGCGAATATCAGGCACGCAGGAAAGCTACAAAAGCGCATCTGAACGCGCTGATCGCCGCGGTGGGCCAATTGCAGCCCCTCCAAGATGGCTTTAGACCGTTTTGGGGCTGCACGTTGCACAAAGCCGCGAGCTTAACCCCACCATTTCATCACCACCAGCTCAACCTCGCGTTGCCATTGTCGCCCGGCCACACGTCCATCCTCTAACTTCTTCTCGACAGGACCCTCGGGCCATCCAATACTCTCCAGCTTGATCTCTCGGGCGACGCCTTGATGGAGCTTGCCCGGCTACTGGCCTCATCGCGATTGCCGTAGGAAGACGTAAAGTCTTCCACAGCTAGCGATAGCCAGTATGCCCGAGCGTGGCCCCGATAGGACAGATTTAAAGCCTGCGTATACCCGCCCCCGCGATGTCCACGACGTTTCGAGAGCCGTGTTGCGCAGCGAGCAGGCGAAGCGGTGGACCAAGCGATATCGTACCGAGGTAGCTGCGAGCTCCAGCAGTCTGCTCTCAACCTTCGTTGCGGTGCGTATTGAACGTGGCCATCAATCGCGCTCTAGCTGACAGCTCCCAGTACCCTCTTGACTCCGTGAAGACGCGCCTGCAAGCGTGCGTGTACATCGCTCCTTTATTTCCTGCATGAGACCTGACGATGAGCAGCTACCAATTCAAGTCCTTCACCGATTGCGTTCTCCATACATACAAGACGGAGGGCTTCCACGGCTTCTATCGGGGTGCGCTCATATCGTATAGTTGGGCACGAAACATCAGCTGATGTCGCATCACAGGCGTTTGGTCACCGCTCGCAAGCATAACACTCGTGCGGACGGTCTCGTTCTCGATTTACCAGAGATCCAAGTATGCGATCGATGACTGGATGTTCCGAGCCACGGGAAGCTCTCCCCTCGTTATTGCAAATACAAAGGATGCACTTCCTACACTATCGACGGTCGCGTGCTTTGGACTCTCGGGGGCAACAGCGGGTGCTGCTATCACGGCTATCGCTTGTATGGAACATTGCCACACCCTATTCATATCGTGATACTTATGTTGCGGTACAGGTCCGTTTGAGCTGACCAAGCTGAGCGCGCAAATATCGGTTTTGATGGCTGATCGGAAAGACGGCAGTGGCACCAACGACGCGGTCCGAAAGAGCTATCAAAATCTTGGGACGTTCAGGACAGCACAGAATCTTATTAGGCATCGGGGCTTGATGGGCCTATATTCCGGCTTCCATTTGCATCTGCGTATGTGTTTTGGACGTGAACGCCTATGTCTAAGCTTTACTGACAATTTCAGTCCGCGACACCATTGGCACTGGGATATATTTCGTAACGTACGAGAGCGTGAAGCAGATTTTGGCGAACGCCCGCGGAAGCTCTCCCACAAGTCCCTTGGCTGTCGTCGTTGCCGGCGGCATGTGTGGGCTTGTCAGCTGGGCTTGTGTATGTCACTGGTAATTGCTTCAGAGAAACAACGTGCTGATGTGCAATGCAGATCTTCCCGATAGATACCGCCAAAAGCATCTATCAGCGGAATTGCCTTGTCGGTGGAAAGGAGAAAGCGGAGAGGCCCAGGATACACTTTTTCAATGCGCGGATGTATCGCGGTATGCTTCCAGTGACACTCGACATACTGTGGACATTCTGCTAATGTGATTCTAGGCCTTGGTGTTTCAATGGGCCGTTCATGTGTCGTGAATGCTATTTTCTTTACAGCGTTTGAATTCACCAAGAAGCGCATCAATCGAATGACGATCGACGAGGAGCTCCTGCGCGCGCACGGAGCATGAAAATCGATTTGGCGACTTGTGATATCAATATCTTCTGTCCATGATTATGGCTGGCTGCATAGGGCATGGAGTTGGTGGAATCGGCATGTAGTCTTGGATCTTGCTGCTGCTACCAGTATGCCATTGAATAAGCATGCAGACATGTCGTGCGCTTTCGCATGTCACCTCACGCAGTATGAAAGTCATGCACCGTGTCGGCTGATACTATACGGGTTCGTCTTCGCGACTTGCGATTACGCCATGGGCTATCGTGGCATGCTTGATTGCTGACATTGCTGCACGTACATGCCACAACTCTTCCAGGTCTTTGGCTTCCTCCAGAAAGTCTGAACGGTAGCCGTTACGAGCGCCTGTCAATCGGTCATTGAATGCAAGGGATGATTTGTTGACGTGCCGCAATCGGGTCCAAAGCGGATGAGATAGATGAGAGCGACACTTGTTCCCGGTCAACTCCAAGATCGAATATCTGAACGCTGTAATACAATGAGGCCATTCGGTACCTTCTCTTACTTTTGGCGGTCAGTGTTTACAGGGTAGATGCGCAAGTTACCCGCCTCCCCCTGAAACGACATTCTACACGTGTAACGCTGAAGAGGACTACAGAAGCGCAGCAATTCGCTCATTTCAACGGAGATGGGGGCAAATTAGGTCCCCTACATCATCGCAACGGCTGGGACAAACCCGAGGATTTGGAACCCATGACGAAATCAACACAGACATGTGCTTCTACCGACGGGAAGCCTGGGAGCGTTGCTTGGCCCAATGCAGTCACACTGTTTGCTGGATTCTTTGGCCCGAGAACAGGTCAAAGTCTTGTTGCGCGAAATATTTCATAGTCTTGGTGCTTGATGGCCTTGTAATAACCGCTCTTCAACTTCTCGCTAATTGTCTCAATACTGTTCTCATCCAATCAAGCCTTGGCTTTGAAGATGTTCGCGTTCTTCAGCTGGTCCTCTGGTGCTCGATGCCCCGATCCACTTGGTCAACGTTATTCATAGTCGACGCTCCATTCTTCAAAGAGGAGGGTGTCTCTACGGTGTCCTCGTGCTGAGTCGCGGAAACCATCCTTCAAGTCCTGTAAGTATTTTATATGCTTACAATCGCTGATTATGGTTGAAAACACAGCTGCTACGGTGATGGTATGGAAAGACTAGAGGCATCGTCATCGGCGCAGCATATGCACACTGGAGCACTGATGTGGTTGTTTGTCGTAATCGTGGCGCTGTGTCTCCTGGTGCAAGCAGTCCATTGAACAACCACGTCAGCGAGTGACACTGGAGTGAGAGGATCATCGAAATGTTAGAAACGCAAAAGTCCATCGCAGACTATTACGGAGATTCCAAGGGGATCATTGAACGAGCGTCAGGCGTTATTAGGAGAGAACTTAGCAGGTCACTGAACAGGCAAGAGTAGGGACCCGCAGTAGACATCTTGAAGGAGTAGTGGGAAACGTACCTACACAGGTTACGGCACTGTCCATACCGAAAGCTACCATAATGGAGTCATCAAGAGTTGAGTGGAAAAACTACAACTTATCCCCATCGGGATCAAGGTCCTGCTTTGTATCGTGCAATGGCTCTTTTGGGCTGGTTTCCTTGGTCTTAGCTCAGACAAGGACGTACTCGAGCGCGCAAACACTCTTATTCGACATGACTAAACACGCCCGATGTCTTGTCCCTAACCTTGGAAAACATACAGTGGTATGGACGACCTCCTTCCTTGGCTATCGATTCTGTTGCAATGATTCCGCAAACCACAGCTGGACGATAGCAAGTCTTCAGCAGTTTCAATAATCATCACCTTGTTGATGCCATGTCAAGTCTATGACACATGAAGACGGCTGAGAGCGCAGTCATGACTAGCAGATGGAGACTAATAAGGTAAAAAAAAGCTGTCGAATGAGTGAACAGTCTAAGAAACGGTATCGTTGCTTCAAACGATGTGATTTTCATTATTGTTGTTTATCCAAACTCTACCGAACAAATTGGTCCTACTTTTTCTGATCGACTGTTCTTCTAGTATCAAGTCCTTGTTGACTTGTTTCAAATTTCATGCATCGTGGTATCTTTCTTGTTGCCGCCGCTTTCTGTCAGTCCATTAAACAAATCCTCAAAAATAGCCCAATAACCCAACAAGGAGAGTTCGATCGGCTCGCAAGATCAGTAACCAGACAAAATCGAAATAATATGAAGCAGCAGAGTAAAATCATGTTGATTACAGTCATGCTAGCTTGGCGGAGCTGATATTTCAACAGTGCTGGTGTTAATGTGATAGTGGACGGAAATTGCCTACCTGTCTGCCTAATGTTGATGTGATTATACACCGTGCAACGAGCTCTCCGATCCCAAAGAGCTTCGATCCGTTGGCCCTCAGAGGAGACACTGTAATGTGTTACGCATCGTGATGTTAATCCAGCCTGCATTGCACGCACATAATATTCTACTCCATCCTGTGGGGTGTTGTCTGCCTGACCAGATATCTAGACCTGAGCTCTCCCCCAATGGTGTGAGGCGTGGTTTTTGATTTGAGTCGTTAGCAAATGAGTCAGCGTTCGGATGTTGGTGCGAAGAACACTGACTTACTGTATCCCCTGGTGATAGGACCCGTGCAAAGCCCAGGGTCTGATTTAGCGAGCGGTGGATTGGATTAAAGTCTACACCTGCTAGGTCTTGCGTGCTTGAGATCTTCGAAATCCGCTCGGAGAACCTTATCAGGTTAGTTTCCCCGATCCAAAGCCATTTAAAATTGTGGCCTTGCTGTAAGTTTTGCCTTCGGCTGATGGCCACATAATGATACCGTATGTAGCAGAAAAAGTGTCGTCAAAGGTAGTGTGTTAGACCACTCTTCGTAGACTAATGGCAACACCGTCACAGTTCGCATTCACACAAAGGCAATTCAACTCAATACTTGATACCGCAACAGTTAATTCGCAAATGCCCATGACAGATCAGCCTAACTTTATGCCCTAGAGGCGATGCTGACCTCAGGTTGAAGCAAGCGATTGGTATTTTGGACTACGTTTTATACTTTACGGTGCAGGATAGTAACAGTAACAGTAACAATGTTCACTAGCTTCGTTCAGTAGGATGACAGCTGTACGATTACCCATCATTCACTCACCGATTCTTCAAATTCTCTTCGTGTGGCCCAGGGAGTGCTCTCGATCCAAGCAAGCAGTAGTGAAAGTGACGGTGGCAAAAACGGGTATGCGAGCAACGATGGAGCTGTTGAGAGTTTCGAGACTACGTTACTTGGAGAAGTACATACATGTGGATGCCGTCTGGGTGCTCACGCACATAAGGCTGCTTGTCATAGGATGGAGTATCGGCATATTGCGCCATGCTTTCTAACAGTTCACTCGATATTCCGTGATGCTTAAGAAGTCGATGTTCACATTAGCAGCTTAAGTTAATTTTAGGTCAGGTGGAACTCGGATGTGGGGATGAACTACCCAAAGTCAGAGTAAGAACGTATCACATCGCAAAACTAGCACACCTAGTGTATTTGCATTAGCAGTATATCAGTGCTTTGTGGAAAGACTGTGTCACCTCCTAGGGCGCTTGAATTAGAAGATTAAGATTTTCTAAGCGACATAGTTACTGTAGGGAAGAAACTTGAAGTATTAGCTAGATCTTGTTGAACTTATCTATTAGGCCTAGTAGAGCCTAAAATAGGGTACTGAACTATCAGAATAAGTGCACTAGAGTAGTCAGACTAATACTTTACACCCTATAGTAATTACATCGCTTAAAAATTCTTAACCTTCTAATTCTAGCGCCCTAGGAGGTGGCATATTCCTCTCACAAACGATAATAAAAAAAAGTGGGGGAATGGTAGCCCAGAAACTTAAATCCAATGTGACGTACAGTCTACCAGCTAACTACCTCGTAGCATACACGTCAGTCCGCATTAGACTTTACATTATTTAGGACACATATAGGATCCATGATCGCATTGATATACTTCCTAGTGTCGGTCATTTCGGCGAAATCGCATCGCGCGAGAGGTGCTGGCCCATGAAGATTAGACAACGGTCGCGGATGATGTTTCTATTGTTTCCACCAGAAATTCTGTGAGATGAGCCGCTGCAGAGGGCGACATAATGTCCATACCGACGGCCGCGATGACCAGAAACAAACTTGAGAGAGCTGTACCGGAGTAGACAGAGATAGCCAAATCTCAGTTAGACAGGCTGCCGACCTTCGCTACGAGGGCTTCTTCAGTTGATCCTGACGAAGAAAGGGGTTTTGGAGGCTGGTTAGCGATAGTATGTGAACATTTTGTGCGGTTGCAAGCTGCTCACGTCATCATAATGGCTCGTCCCAAGAAAAAGAACGTTCCAAGATGCCCACGGGACGTTCTGGCTGCGGTTCAGCATTCACGGAGAGGTCGGTGCAGCCCATACAGATGGGTGTGAACGCACGATAATTCCTGGACGTACATTGGCTTGAAAAGTGCCTCTGCCTGCTGATCGGTAGGCGATTTCCCATGCTGACTACTATGTACAATGGATTAGCAGGTACGAGCTTTTCGAAACGTGCTTGTTCAAGCCACAAATGGTGATTTGTAGAGGAAAGCAAACGGAGCTTCCCGCATAACCTTCGTGTGCATTGCGCACTGCCTGTCAAGTAATCTTGGAAACTTGCCACAGAATACAAAGATTAGCACCTCGCAACCTCAAGTCGCGTGTAGGAAATAAAACCTTAGATTTCTGTGGTGGGTTCTGGTCCATTGGATTGCAATCCTAGTTACTGCTCGGACTTTACCCTGGATTATGTTCATCGAAGCAATTGCCCTTGTTCTGAGTCAGCACTCAATACCTAAGGCTATTGATACCCTATGAAATACCGCAGGCTCGTGATTTGGTACAAAAGCAATACATACCAAGACGTAGACTCATATTCACTGGATGGGACATCACATATTTAGATTCATAAGCTGTCGTTAGTGTACACTGGGTTCTCTCTATGTCACCTCTCCTCGGGCCTCTGCGTCGCCTCCTCGTACGTCGGCGGCGCCGGAAACGCTTCTTTCTCTCCAAATTCTTCCATCGACGACACCTGCCCTACCACTGATTCTCTCTGTAATCCAAGCCTTATCTCCATAGTCTCCAGATCTTCAAGCTTTCTCCCTGGCATCAAACCGGATCCGATCCGCACAGGTACACGCAACTGCACGACAGAGACGCGTCCAGCCTTTCCTGCATGCCTACACTGCAGCCCTAGCAGAATTTCGGCCTCGTATCTACGCGATATGTTGCAGGCGTCGAAGTTGGGTACCGCTGTCTCTGGAACGCGTTTATCGCACCACAGCGTGGGGTCGATGTCGCATTCTCCTTCTTCGTCGCCCAGCGCAAGTCTCAAGTTGAGGTTACTGAGCGATTGTATCGTCCAGCAGCTCATCTGACCGCTTGAAGCTGAACCAGCACGGATGTCGGTATACGCGAAGAGCAGTAGCTGGAAACTTGAGAGGAAAAGGAAATGTGCGCTGTTGTTCAACCCCTTGGCAGTGAGGCGCAATGCGACGTTGCGAGCGCTTCCAGTTGAAAGACAAAAATCTTGAGGAAAGCTCGCGGTGATGAGGAGGCGTGTGGGCTCCGTGACGGTGGACAGAAGCTGCATAGCGTTGCGCGTGCTCGTAGGTGTGGATAATTCGGGAGGTCCTAGGATGCTTGCCGTGACAGACTTTGTGCTTTGAAATGAGTGTGGCAGTGTTATAAGTGCAGAATCGGGACTTGTATCAATTGGCCATACGTTGATTCGTGTGCACTTGAATTGAATGTCAGTATACGACTGAAGTGACGAGAACTCCACAGTTCATACCCTTCGTGTAGTTGACTTGAACAAGTTCTTGTAAGTTGTCACTGCCACATCTACCCGATACGACGTATTGGCCCCCCTGACAAGATCTTCCATAGATGGTGGAAGCTTCGACGGTCCAAAGTTTCTAATACCATCGTCGAACAATGGAGAATTTGGAGGACACGTTGGGCATTCCGGGAACCAAGGAAGCTGAAGTCATGGTAAGAGGCTGGTTTCAATCTTCGGGATCGAGAATAAATACCTTGAGCGCAAATTCGAAGCGATGATATCCAAATCCAAGCTTTAGACTTTCTACCCTTGTGTTGTCCTCTCTGTTCCAATTTGGGAGCAGAACTTGGCTTTCATGTACAAGCTTCGAATCCTTAGCTTACCCATGATGAATGTAATGTGTGAACCTACGCAATGCTTCTCTTCTTCTCTGTGATTCATGAACAGCCCAGTCGTATCTGTGAGGACGGATGTGGTTTCGCCAGTGAGACTGGCTGAGATCTTGGAGACAATAATCGTAGTATTTGGACAGTAGACAACAACGCGCCCGTATATCGTGTCCCCATTGGTAAATGTGGCATCGGGATGATCGAGTTCAATTGAGACGTTCATAGTCGCTACTAAGTAGCCTTCGAGGAGCAGCACGCGGACTGAACGGAACGGCACGTGATATCAAAGATGTGTAAATGATGGTTCCGACGTACTGAGATGAGAATGTGTGAGAAATGAAACTGTAACGATAATAAAGGTTGAAGCTAAGCTGAAACGATTAATTTGTTAAAACATGGTAGCTCTTTCGACAAATTTTATACAACGTGCTGGTGTTTATCTTGCGCGAATCGTACACTTGAGCTTCCGGCTCCGAGCTCCCCGGCTATTTTTAGTCGGCCACAAATTTGCCAGCGATAGAGTGTACCTCTTGAACTTTTTTCGGCGCGTCCGACACCCTATAACACCGCGGGACACAGTTTGAGTGTTTCGGCATGTTCGATGAGGGGACGGTACCCTTGTGCAAGAGGCGCTAGTTGGCTTGGCTAGACAAGTCGCCAGAATTCCAATCCTTGGATTTCCGTGCCGCTCTTCGCCTGAGACAAGGACTTTGTTTCTCGAATCGATGTTGAGCTATCTGATCGTGTTGCACACAAGCCGATAAGTGCTCTTGGCGTCCAAAAGCCCTAAAACAATTCACGCCAATTCACTGTAGCGAAAGGGACAAGAGTTATAGCTCTCCTTTTTCAGGAGTTATTTTATGCACTATCTTTATGCACTATCGAAGAAAGAGAAGTCTGCATCCAGCCAGTCAAGGGTAGGCTGGATATCGAAGAGCTCCCAGCCTGGATCAAGGGGGGTAACAATGTCATGATGAATATCTGTCAAATCGATTGGAGTGGCCGCAGTGGACGACGATTGCTGTGGCAAAAGAGCCTCCCCAAGTCGGTCAGTGTACGTCTGTTCGGTGACGAGAGGAAGAGAGGGATGCGAGGTGACGACGAAGTCTCGCGTGGATTTATCATGCGTTCCGTAGTCCCCTTGCCTCGTAGTTGGGCTGCGACAGTCCGTGTCGTTCACAATTAGGCCTTTGCAAAGGCCGACGAAGGTTTTGAACAGAGCTTGTAGCCTGGCAATTGACGGGCTCCGGTCCGCAAGGCCGTCAAGCTGCGATGTGACAAGCTCAAGTGTCTCGAAGTCTTCTTTGTGGGAAGTCGCAACGACGTTGCAGAATAACACAAAGAATGGTGTCAGTGGGTGGTATAACGCGGTCCTGGCTTGGTCAGTAAGGATACGTGAAGCGTGTGTCATGACCAATACCAATGCATGTATGCGATGTGGCATCGGCTGTCGGTAATAGTCATGGATGACTCCTGAATTGCGCGCAAAGTTGCCATCGCCATGCGCGCAGACTCCAGACAGTCGGTGTCGATATGAGGCTTTGTTGGCAAACAAATCTGTCGAGAACGAAGAATGGACGTGCGCAAGGAATGGTATGAGAATTGAATGGCATTCAGTTCACTTGCGGTATGTAGACCATCCCATGAGCTCGAAGGTCCATGTAACTGCACACTATTAGATCCTAAGTTGCAAGCTGCAGTTGAAGTAGCTCACCGCGCTAATGCGTGCATGCACGCGCTGTAGTCTGTCTAGGAGATCATGCACTGCGAATTCTACGCCTGCCACAAGTGAGCTATCGTTCACTATCTTTGAAGGGTGAAGATCAGAGATGAACAAAGCCTGTATAGGCACAAAATGGAGGTATGTCGTCAGCAGCGACGACATTGACCGGTTGAGAGGGTGAGAGATGGCCAAGTCTACCCCATCAGACTCCAAGAGGCAGCGACTTCTCCCGAGCATCATGGAGTAATTCTTGTCTAGGATATGACACCAGATATAGCAATAGAAGGCCTCTTCATCGTCTTCTGTTTCGGTGCGACAAGCTTCGATCCGAGAGCGTAGATCAAGATCCTCACATACTTTACATGCCGCGGAAATAAAAGCCCAGCAAGATGTGGAATCTCCTGTACCCTGCGCAATAAAGGCCTGTTGATAACGTCAGTACAGCTTGTACATTCGAGCGTTGAGCTTACACTGCACAAGAGAGCCTGAAGAAAGACCAGCGAAGGAGTAGACAGAAGTTGGATACGAGCCATGGCCAGCTTCACGCTGCTGTGATATGTTGCTGCGCGTGAGCGCACCCCGTCTTCGACATGTCCGATATCACTACCTGAGAGTATGGTATTTATGAATTTGAATGCGGCTGAGTTGACGCAGATTGAGTAGAGAAGTAAGATTTCGGAGCTTCCAGATCGATTGATAAGCGCAAGGCCCATAGCTTTCAGAGACCTCGGCGAGACATGCTTGAAGTAATCCAACACGTGCGGCCCGATGTTGTTGCCTTTTAATTCTACCTCGAATGATTAGACTAAAGATGATTTGGAGGAGGAGTAACATCGAACCGCGAAGCATCCAGTACAAAAGCTCAATTGATGGATACGTAATGCCTTCCATGACGTTGGCGACTCGACCGGCATGAGCATTGTAGGTGTTGGGTTTGCTGGCTCGGAGAAGATGGTTCACGAAGGACATTGCAGAGTTCAAGACTCCAAGTCTCTCCGAAGACATATACTGAGCGGAATCGATTTGCCACCGAATGAAGTCCTGAGCTCCAATGACGGACGGCGATTCGGACACCGTCGGAGAGTACGTAGAAGGCGATGTGGAGGGGTCAAAGTCATGCCGCCGGCTGCTCTTCTTTGACTGTGCTGGCGTGCCCTCTGTGGTTCTTCGGCGTTTGGAAGCATTTCGACTTCGTCGAAGGGAAGATGCTGTGCGTATGCATGCACTGTTGCCGTCGACACAATTGCCGCAAGGGTCGTCACGATCACATCTGACCTGCTATCTGTTCAAAGGTGTGCATACGAAAAGCAAGGTGGACACGGACCTTGCGCACTCTGCAAGAGTCGCACTAAGACAATATAAGTAAGGTAACGCGGGTTGTGATGGTCTGCTACTCAACAACTCACCACAGTATTTTGATAAGACGTCATTTACCCGTCGTTTGCGTAAAGATCTAAACAAACTATGAACCCCGACGACAAACTCGAGGCCTTGTATAAAGGCCGCCGCGCGCAGGTCTTGTCGCGACATGGTGACCTTTAGGGCTGAACAAAATGCGTTGCCAAGCATACTATTGAAGGCGATGAAAACTACTGGGTGCCGAAAAGGGGTAGCGCCCACAGCCACGCGAGCCACACGTAGTCTGCTGCGGTGGCTGAAGTCATTGAGAGCCAAGCTGTACAATTTCGATCAAAGACGTTATCTGTGGTGGCAGCCAAGCATCTTGCGCTGAGTTCGTGGCGGTGCAGGTACCTAGGTACCTTTCTGGACTTGGCGCCAGGAACGCGTTGATGCCCAGGTGCCCAGAAGGACCCCGTCACCAACACCCTTGGATCTTTCCCCCAGCCAAAGACGATGCGATGCTGCATCGGCGCTCTAACCATGGGTTCCGCTCCCTTGCACTTCACTCCTCCGCTGTTTCGCGGGTCCCTGACCTGACCGTGACAACTGTTGTAGCCGACTATTTTTAGCCGGGCGCACGCCGACCCTTTTCGTTGACAGCAAGGGCGATCGAAGATTAGGAGAGGTGTGAACATGTGAACTTATTCGTCTCATCTAGCTTTTCGCAACTACTTGGAATCCATTCGTTGCTTACGTTGGGACTCTTGCTTCATATTTACATTTCCTTGGGTGAATCGCTTTACACGTGATATTGTTGGACTACGAGAGGCATGGAGCGTCCTCCCGGGTATCAGCTGCAAGACCTTGCTACTCCTCAGTACGCTGCGAATCCAGTGGATCCACCTGATGGTCTCCAAAGAGATGCGGAGCATTATCCACAGCATCAGCTACATGACCCGCCCTTGACTTCGCCTTTGACTTCGCCTAGAGACGAAGCCGATCACCGGCTGCTGGACGATGGCCCTTACGAGCAACCGGGGTATTACGCACCACCTCCGCCCCCATCTTCTGTCTACAGTCTTACGGACACGGCTCTCTCATCGCATCCTCCAAACGCCGACTATGGCGGCGATTTTCACGACGAAGCCCACGACTACGGCTATGACCATGAGCCTGCACTCACGGATAACAGCTGGGTACGACGGCAGCACACTGTTCGTCAAGGTGTCAAACGGTCCAAAACTCGCAAGATCAAGCTGGTCCAGGGCTCAATCTTGAGTGTCGACTATCCCGTCCCAAGCGCTGTGCAGAATGCTATAGAGCCGCACCATCGTAATGCGGAAGGAACATATGATGAAGAGTTCACTAAGCTACGCTATACTGCAGCCACTTGTGATCCTAACGATTTCACTCTCGCCAATGGTTACAATCTTCGCCCAGCCATGTTCAATCGACACACAGAGCTACTTATCGCCATCACGTATTACAACGAAGATAAGGTTAGAAAGGACCCTTCTACAGCCCAATTCTCATCCCAGTAGATCAATCTGAGACCTGAGGACACTGACAACTTGAAGGTTCTCCTTGCTCGTACGTTACACGGCACGATGCGCAACATCCGCGACATTGCCAACCTAAAGCGCTCGCAATTTTGGGATGTTGGTGGCCCAGCGTGGCAGAAGATCGTTGTGTGCCTCGTCTTTGACGGCATTGACAATGTTGATAAAGATGTGTTTGATGTCCTGGCCACTGTTGGCATCTATCAGGATGGAATCCTCAAAAAGGATGTCAATGGCAAGGAGACGGTCGCACACATCTTCGAATACACTAGCCAGATTTCTGTCACGCCAGAGCACAATCTCGTCCGGCCTAATGCCAATGATGGATCATCGGCCAACCTTCCACCTGTACAATTCATCTTCTGCCTCAAACAGAAGAATAGCAAGAAGATCAACTCTCATCGCTGGTTGTTCAACGCTTTTGGTAGGATACTGAACCCGGAAGTTGCAATTTTGATTGATGCTGGGACTAAACCAGGTCCGAGGTCATTACTCGCACTTTGGGAAGCCTTCTATAACGACAAACACTTGGGGGGAGCCTGTGGCGAAATCCATGCCATGCTTGAAGGTGGAAAGGCGCTGCTCAACCCACTGGTCGCCGTCCAAAACTTTGAGTACAAGATATCTAATGTCCTCGACAAGCCCCTCGAAAGTGCGTTCGGCTACGTCAGTGTTCTGCCTGGCGCCTTTTCTGCATACCGGTGAGTACCTATTGCTAATTCACTCTGAGTCGTACTGATTTCGCATTGCTGTTTAGCTTCAGAGCGATCATGGGACGTCCTCTCGAGCAGTATTTTCATGGGGACCACACTCTGTCCAAGCTGCTAGGACCAAAGGGCATCGACGGGATGAACATCTTCAAAAAGAACATGTTCATGGCCGAGGATCGAATATTGTGCTTCGAGCTCGTGGCGAAAGCCGGGCAAAGCTGGTAAGTATTTCTCTTGGCATTTGTCCAATACTGATTGGGTAGGCACTTGTCCTACGTGAAAGCATCGAAAGGCGAGACCGACGTTCCCGATGGCGCAGCCGAATTTATTGGGCAGCGACGAAGATGGCTTAATGGATCCTTTGCAGCGTCTTTGTATTCGATCATGCACTTCGGGCGACTCTACCAATCCGGCCACGGTATCGTGCGACTTTTCTTCCTGCACGTCCAGCTCATCTACAATGTGACCCAAGTCATCTTCACTTGGTTCTCCCTTGCCTCTTACTACCTCACCACTACTGTCATCATGAATCTGGTTGGCACTCCACAGCCCAAAGCCGATTACCACGGCTGGCCATTCGGCGACAAAGTGACTCCTATACTCAACGTTGTCATCGGATACATATATGTTGCCTTCCTTATCTTGCAGTTCATCCTTGCATTGGGCAACCGACCCAAGGGCTCCCGAAAGAGCTACCTAGCTTCGTTCGTCGTTTTCGGTGCCATACAGGCATACATCCTCGTCTTGACGACCTATCTAGTGTACCGTGCTTTTAGCACCAAGCCGATCGAGGATCAAATCAGCGTCGATTCCGGGAAAGCCTTTTTCGACTCTTTCTTCGGCGGCAAAACCGGAGTAGCAGGCTTGATCCTGATTGCCCTCATAACCATATACGGGCTGAACTTTATTGCGAGTTTTCTGTACCTCGATCCATGGCATATGTTCCATTCCTTTCCGCAGTACCTGATACTCATGTCAACTTACATCAACGTGTTGATGGTCTACGCGTTCAACAACTGGCACGACGTCAGTTGGGGCACGAAGGGATCCGATGTCGCAGAATCCCTACCTTCCGCTACCATTATCAAAGGGGAAGAGACGCTCGTTGAGGAAGTAGAGCAAGAGCCAGAAGACATTGATGAGAAGTTTGAGAAAGTGGTTAAGCGCGCCCTTACTCCTAGTAAACCCCATGATGGCGGGTCACAGAGAAAAGATACCGAAGACTCGTACAAGAGCTTTCGCACTGGACTCGTATATTCCTGGTTGTTATCCAACATTGTATTGATCATTGGCGTAACCAGCGATGACTTTTTATCTGTGGGCGTTGGGGTACGTGTCTCTTTGCATGACTTCAAGAAGAGGCTGACAAACTGAACAGGAAGCATCAACGACGAGAACGCCACTTTACTTCCGTATCCTACTCTACGCCACGGCAATTCTGTCGCTTATACGCTTTTTCGGCTTCCTTTGGTTCCTATGCAGGACAGGTCTGATATGGCTGGTCAGCAAAAGATAACCACGGCATATAGCCTGGCGTTCTCATAGAAAAGGTCATTGTTCGTCAATGAATTCTCAATAGTTGCATGTTGTCGTAGTTCTTAGGGAACTCAGCTCTTGCATGTAGAATGTAAATCAACTGGTGGTGCAAACCCAGGACCTAAGCTTCCCCCGACGCTTTCGAACGGCAATATTCGAAGTCTTCTTATTATGGTAGCTGCTGGTTCGCGGATACCATTCTATCATCATCAATTTTCTTCCTCCCACTCCCTTATTCTTCCCGAGATATACAGGTACAGATCCTGTAATTCAGACATAATCCTTCCGTTTCTATCCACAAAGCATGCTCTCGTCGGCAGGAATCACAGTGCTCTTGTTGATGCTCAGCAATTTCGTTCGCTATGATGAAAAATTGGAAGAAATTAGCTGCGATTCATCAACTCCACCGGAACAAGACGGCATCAAAACCTGCAGCCGCAGCGATCAAGGTTGCGGCAGATAGATAGCCTTGTTATAATGCCTACCTATACCTTTAGTATAATTATAATCGCTATTCTTATACCTATTATCGCGTACTACCTTTTAATAATGAGGACTGGCGCGAAAGAACTTCTGGTAACCTCACATACGTGAATATTCGCTCTGGGCGACACTAAGCTAGCTTCTACCTTCTTATATGTGTATTGCCCTCTACCTACGCTGTATGAGACCCTGACTAACGCCTCCCTAGAAAGTAAGATAGGGAAAATATACAGGTCTGGTTTTATAGAATCGGATTTAGATTCATCCTAGTCTCTGGCACGAATCTAATACGTAAAGCCTTGACGACGGATAGCCACCTCAACTGGAACCACGTGAGTGCTTAAATGTTCGGGCGCTTGTTTAAGGCGCTAAAGAGGATCTGCGATACTAATATTGCTAACGACTTAGGAGCTGGGTTAAGACTATATCCGGGTAGTAATGTCTACCTAGCGCAGTGCCTAATCCGTAACTAGGTTCTTTTCTTTAACGATACATTCTTAAAGAAGAGTATGGATGAGTTGGTCCCATGGTTACTCCGCAATCGGTAAGGGAGATACAAAGACTTCGATGATAGTGAGGACTGGGTAGACCTACCGATCTTTATATATTTCTGCGTAAGTTTGTGTTCCGTTGCGGTATCGTCTCTTTCTACTGTTACAAAATGCTCTACCTGAAACCAGACATGAAAAAAAATTCACAGAGTCCGACGATAATGTCCCGTTCCTGACCGCGGGGGTTACCACGGTTCATGAATTCAGAATGTCTAGCTGCCGTCAAGCGCTGGAGAAACGAAGCTGTACGGAAAAGTAAGGAAAAGCAGGAAGAGGACAGTGAATGGGGGCCCGCATAGAGACTGGGAGTAATAAAGAGGAGGAACAAGCTGTTCAACGCAACCGAAGGCCTATTCCATGAGGATGTAATAGCGGCTAGTGACCTGATCATTATGTGGGCGTAAGTCGTTCCTGTGACCCTGTGACTCTGTCTGCTGTTAGGGAGCATTACGTAACAAGAAGCAGCTTTACATTAAACGTAATACCAGCCACTTTCTGGTCTCTTTTCAAGATTATCCGCAATAGAGACCTCTACAAGCAGTTAAAAGTAGCACTTAACACAGCCCCTAGCCCCTATGGCTCATCCCCTATATTAAAGATAATTAATCATGCTCTCCTTTAGTCTATGAGGTGCTGCGTCTGCACACAGCTTCTCTATTAATTCGGACTGTTAAGAAACCTCATGACCTAGACTTATTGGCCTTAAAGAGAGATCAGACGGTTATGGTATCCAGCCATATCTAGTATTATTAACCATACTAGAACTCTGTGGACTCTTCCGGGCGCAAACATGCACTAGACGATTTCTGAGCCGAATGCTTCCTCATCTAAGAAGGCGATTTTTCGTTAATTAGCTTACAAGGTAAGTATATGCTCTATAGTAAGAGTGAGCATATATGCCCTAGTCGACACTTCGCAAAGTACGAGATGCTTCTTAGCTTTGCTGTGTTGGTGGACCAATTCGATATCGACACTATGAGCCCGAAGGATTGGAGACTAGAAAATGGCCTGAGTAGGTACGGCTTTGGCGCGGTACACCTGAAGTAGAGACTTGAAGCATGTATTGGGAGAAAATCCTGATGAAGGTGAGAGGGCTGACATGACCATATAATATTAGTGCTTGGGTTTGTCCTCTACCAACTGTCTTCTCAATCCTTTAGCAAGGGTCGGTAGAAAATTCTGTCGCTCAAAGACTTGACTTTACGAGCACAGCGAATACTGTTCGTATGTCCAACTGAAGCCATTCTCAAAATTTCCTTAAGTCAAACCACTAAAGCCCATCACCCCCAAGACTTTTCGAAAGTTCACCACAGCTCCTTTGGAGACGAATCCTGCAGTCGTTACTAAACTCCAAGTATCCCAGTGCCGCGCTGATACTGTGTGGTGCCCATGGTAATGGGACGAGTTAAAGTAGAAGGTGGCATGTTCCGGCGCCACGTGCATCACACACCATGAGCGCGTATATGTGTAATGCTGTTCACCAGCTTCGCCACGTTGTGTCTGATAGAAGCCCTCCTATTGGCTTGCAAAATTTTGCATTGTTATTTGAAGGGGATATAGGCTTACTTTTTGTCTCCATCCCGTTAACCTCTTTACGCCACTTTATTTCTTTCAAGGACAGCAATGACATAGTCAGAATAAGAGCAGTACGTTCCAAAAATCACTTCGACTAATATGAGTCAATTTCTCAGCGTCGTCCCACGCACTACACGCCGCTTAGTGCCCTATCGTATCGCCACGTTTGCTGGTGCTGCAATGCCGCGTTCATACACAGCCAGCTAACAATTATTACACCTCATGTAGGACCTCGCAAACCGAAAAGACCTCGACTTTTGCAGTGCCAGACCCAAGCTTTGGACCTTCTTTTCGAAAGGGGCCTTGATATCCGGGATGAAGGCGTATGTTAACGTACAACGGCGCCGCTCCCGTCGCTCTGCCAGTTCAAGCACTGTCAGTTTATTCCTCAACAATCAGTATCCACACCAGGTCTAAGATGGTCAACTGTTAAACTCCGTTCTCTGCAAAGAGACGACGATTCAGACGATTACCCATGGTATGTAGAGGCTGGACTTTGTCGCTTGTAGATGGGAGGGAATAAATCACCCACCTGAAGTTACATTTGAAGGGGCACCAACTAAGCAGGAGCGAAAACGAGCCTTGAGACATGTTACACGGCGGATGGAGACAAATACTGGAAGAATCAAGCGAACCATGACAAGAATAATGCCAAGCGTGAGGACACATAATCTGAAGTCAAGCATGAGGTGCCGACACTTTTATTTCGATCCGTTGCCTTATAATAGCCCCTCGTCTACCATGGGTAGCACATCCGGCCTAGATAGGAATACACATGTCTCGTAACAAGTTTGAAAAGGAATATGAGGCAACACCGGACGTGGCCATCCACACCCACCTCCGCCTGTCAAGAATACAGCCCAGACCGATCCCAACGGAAAATTGCACACATACTAACATAACATGACAGTTCAACGCCCCCACCCATAGCTTTTGTAAATGCACACATTAGGAGTGAAGCTTGCAAGCCACCCATTCCAAAGAGAATGAACATAAGATGATACCGAAAAGTCGACACAACACCAACGCTGTGTTCGTACAGAGAGCGAGTGCATCTCGCTCCAAGAAAGAATCGCGTGTCAGACCGGCCAGCAGGTCCAAGATCATGTCATGATAGGATATCGTTACAGGCGCTCGCGCTGCTGGATCCGCTCCACGCGGTCAGCAACGGGTCGTCGCAGGCCCACGGAGGCCCAGAAGTCGTCAGAGACATCTTCCCTCCGTGCAAGTCTCTCCAGGAGGGCTCGCGCATCGCGGAGCTCCTGGTCCAGCGGCATCTCTTCGTCAGTGGTGGCACGTTCTTCGGCCGCTAGCTGCTCCTCCATCCGACGAGCGTGCTCAAAGGGCACTTCGCCGTAGAAGCTTCGCACGTAGCCCGTCGACTCCCGCGACTGCTCACGGATGACACGCGAGTAGAAACCTCGTGGGGGAGGCGGCCTGTTCGATGCGGTGCCCGCTGTGGGTCTTGGGCGCATCGAATTTGAATCGAGGATATCATCCTCTGCTTCTGTGTCGGACGCACTGTCATCTTCAGATGTGTCGCACGCGCGCAGAAAGTCAGCCGACCAGGATTGACGCCTCGAAGGTACCGTCAGGTGGGTCCGTGAAGAAGAGGCTGAATTCGAGTTGGAGCTTCCGGCGCGCGAACTAGGGTTGGAGAAGGAAGCAGATGCTGCGGCCGAGGCGAAGGAGGATTCTGCAGTGGGAGCCAGAGGATCGGGCGCGACGCTGGTGAGCATCGTTTCCCAGTGATCGTCGACTACCGGACTCATGCTGCGCTCGCGATCACCCAAGCCATCGAGGGTCGTAGCGGGGCTCCAGGACTCCCGCAAAGAGCTGGAAGGCAATGGACCATCTGCGATGGTGCGGCGACCCATTCGACGTAGTGGTGGGAAGCCTACTGCGTTGTCGCTGCTGTCCTCGTCTGCATCCGCCGGCACATGCCCAAAGGGAACAGGCGAGCGATTGCCGGACCGTCCGAGGGTGTGAGTCCGGGCAAGCCCATGTCGACGCAGGACCGGTCCGCTCCGCCGATGTTCGACATGTATGGCAGGGGCAAAGTTGGGGGTGAGTGCGGGCGTCGTGCGACGTTCGGCATCTGTCACGAGGCGGAAGTACGCGCGCGAAGACGAGCCATCGTCATGGGGCGTGAGCTCTTCGCGTCGCTGGAGGTTGCGCGCAGGGACGTTTGGCGCAGGCGGATAGGGTCTCGCAGGGCGCGTTGCGGATCGCAGCGTCTGCACGTCCAAGTCGCGCGACCTGGGCGAACGCGTGGGCCGGCGCCTTCTGATGGGCGACCGCGAAAGGCTGGCGGGGTCCTTGAGCGCATGCGATGGAGCCTCGGGGGACGGCGCGCGCCACACTGGAAGGCCCATTGTGTGCAGGGCAGCGGACGAAGGCAGAGGTAGACGGCGGGCGATGCGCGATGGGCGATGGGGGCAGATGCTGCTGTTGATGTGGCGACTCGGCGAGGTGCCTGAGGATGAAGACGGGGGCGGCGGGCGCGAGCCGAGCGGACCCTGCCTAAACAGTGAGGCTGAGGAAGAATGGTCGCAGTCGTGGGAGGAATGCAATGGCGCAATGTGCGCGCACGCCGGCTATGTATCGCACGGCGGGCGGGCAGTGGCTGGGAACGACACGACAGCGCACCAGATGGGCAGGATAGATGCTCGTCTCGGGCTGCGCGCTGTGTTGCTGTATCCTCTTGTTTGATGCTCGCTGACGGCCTGGGGCTGCGGAAATCACGTGACGGACCGCGCACTGGCCGCATCTTAATCCCCGAAAATGCCAAGCTGCGTCCTCGTCCACCGAAGCCTTCGACTCATCACCGTCTGCAGGACACTGTGACTCTTCGTTTCAAAACTCCCAAAACACCCCGCAACTGCCCACAAACGTCCATGTGGCTCTAGTCGTTCACAACCCGTGCCCATGATCCAGCCGGGGCTCGAGCGCATTGGCCGTCTGCTCCAGAACGTCCAGTTCCCCTGGAAAGCCGTACACGTCGCGGGGACTAACGGCAAAGGCTCAATATGTGGCTACACGAGCAACCTGTTGACGTGTAGAAATCTCAACAATGGCCGCTTCACATCGCCTCATATAGTCAACAGGTATGCTAATCACGTGATCGCCTGTCCCCGACCCTCCTCTTACCATGAATAGATGGGACTGTATCAACATCAACAACGAACCTGTTTCCGAGAAGGAATTTCTCAGGGTCGAGAATCATTACAAACAGCTAAGCGAGCGGGAGAACATCAACGCCTCGGAATTCGAGCTCCTCACCGCAACAGCCTTCACGCTTTTTAACGAGAAGAAGGTCGACGTTGGGATCATAGAGGTGGGCATGGGCGGCAAGCTCGATGCTACCAACATCTTGAACAACCAGGTCGTCTCAGTCATCTCCAAGATTGCTCGCGATCACCAAGGCTTTTTGGGCAACACGCTCGAAGAGATCGCGTCGCACAAAGCCGGTATACTGCGACCCAATGTCCCATTCATCGTCAACCCTATGAACGACTTCGGTGTGCACGAGGTCATCGAAGATTATGCGAAAGAGATTGGAGCCGGACCCCGACTCCTTGTGGACACTGTAGATCTCAGAGAGCATGTGTTCAACACTAGCTTTTGGCGCGACTTCGCCGATGGACTGCTGCCTTTTCAACGCGATAACGCCGTTTTGGCCTTTCTCGCATATATCGAAGTGCTCAAAAGCCTCAAGCTAAACTCAAACATGCATAAAGCCGTCCAGATGCTCAGCAAGATACGAAACAAGCAAACCCTGCCGGGACGCCAACAAAGGTTGTTCGTCCCCGTTGTATTTGGCAACAGGAAAGATGTTTTAGTCGATGGTGCTCATAACCCAGATGCGGCCGAAAGTCTGTTAGCATATGTGGAGAAGAACCTGAGGGCGAGACCGGCAAACAGTCCTAACAATGTGTACAACCCGCCAAACAAGGACAACACACATCACATAACGTGGGTTCTGGCAATGACAGAGGGAAAGGACCCTCGTCAAGTCCTGGAGACGCTGCTCAGGCCCGGAGACTATGTCCTCACTACGGATTTTGGTCCCGTGGACGGCATGCCCTGGGTGACACCCATGGGTCCCAAAGCGCTATTGAGTATCGCACACGAAGTCTGCCCTCGCATCAGAGGCTTAGCTATATCGAAGCGCGGTGTGTATCGGGCATTGTGCGCCGCCAAATACATCTCGAAATCCGCACACATCGTTTTGACGGGCAGCTTATATCTCGTTGGAGATTTTTTTCGCGAGCACCAAGTTGGGCAACGATGTTACAAGGACTCAGAGGAGTTTCCGAGTATACAAGAAATTGACCTAGAGGAGAGAGCCCGAGTGAATGAGTTCCTCGATGAAGCGGCACGAGGAGCAGATGAAGAGGTTTTCCAAGCGAATGGTGTTCGCAACTCGGTACGTATGACACTGTGATTATCGTCATGGGCGTTTTTACCTGTAGATTGCGGATCCAAAGATTTGAAAACACAGCATCTGCCTTTGGAAACTGAGTGTGAAGATGCCAGAAAGCTGCAACTAGAAATTTCAAAGCTGGAGAATGAGTTGCAGTCGTTCCAACGACGCAGTTCAGGAGTGTGTCAAGCATTCCATCCACGAAGAAGTTTTTCGAAGACTTTGAGGACATTCGGACACATCTAGAGAACCTACCGCCCAAGTCTTCGAAGGCCAGGATCAGCCAATACTTGACGCACAAAAGTTTGCGGAAATGAGCCGATGGAGAAGAGTTTCAAGCCTGTTGGCGATGCGCCCATAAGCGTCGCTGGAACTTCGGTACCACGACGTCTCCTCGTGGTTGGATTTGAATAAGCAACAACCCAATGAGACACACAAACGGAACGAGAAGCTCAACTTGTTTCGCTCTTAATCCAGGGATGATGATGGAATACGATCGGGATCTTGGAAAGATGTAGTGGAAAGGGGGGAGAAGGAGGCGGACAGGACTTGGACTAAGCCTGGGCACGCGCGAACTCGTCTTGAGATATTGGTTGCTGGATTAGTCCTTTACGGTTGGGTGTTTCGCAGCACAGCATCGGCGCCGTGGGTGGTTCCATCTCCAATCAACTTGGCGACATCGACGAGACGTTGGACACGACACTTCAGACAACGCAAAATAACACTCTTTGTTTCTGTACCGTGCCGGGCCAAAGGATGGTCAGAATAGACAACAAGGAGAAACGATTCGCACTGGCTATGAATGTACATGTCAGGCAACTGCTCGCCATAAAAATCTTACATTGGAGAGCAGCGCAAGCGCTTTACACGCACGATAGTCGAAGTCTCCGGCACATTCTTCGTCGATTCTTGTTTCTGCACAGATCCATCAGATAGAGGAAAATTTGCACAGACCTCGAATACGCAACACAACGGGGCTGCACACGACCACCCACCATCCCTAATCTCCCATCTCGACCTGGGGAGATCGATTGACCAATTGTGATCAGCATTGCATAGCGATCCGGCATTTCCGCCATACATTTCGGAATTTCCGGGTGCTCAAACACGTAGCCTATAGCGCCGAATTATGAAGCGGGCCGACCCTTGTCGGCGACAGGGTTTACAGCCGGAAATGTAGACCTTTTTGGCACTCAACCCCACCCCGCTCCTACCATGATCCCCCAAGACAATCTCGTTTGACGCGTTGCGTAGTTGTCGGTAACTGGATTCGGAACGTTTCGGTCGATTTTGCTGCGAGCCGGATCTTCCACGGCGATCATTTCAAGATGCGTTTAATGTGACTACATGCCCCGGGAGTTGAAGATCAGCTTCTCAACTGTGAGTAGACAAGAACAAAATGCTTTTCTTTTCGCTCGTTACGCTGTTCGGGGCTGTCGCTGCTGGGCAAGGCGCTGCAAGGCGCGACAACAGCAGCCTCGTAGTTACGAAAGTACCAGACCATGTCCGTCCCTACGTCGTCCGCGCATACACCCTCGATGGCGTCCGCATCGGCTCCCAGATCTACCGGTTCCCAGTCACGGGGCCTTCTTCTGACAATGCATTCACGCTAATCAGCACCGCTGCTCCCGCGAGCAGCGAGCTGGGTGTGCTTCCACACGTGTGTCTCACTCTCCAATCGACCCAGCCATACACATACTGACGGCCTAATCAGATCCACCAAGCCCACTACGAAAATTTCTACAACCTCCGCGGCCGCTTCGCCCTCTGGGCCTCCAAGGACAACGCGACCTCTGGCCGCATCTTCACACCCGGGGACTACGGCGCCGTACCCCACAACACCACGCACTCCTTCCAAATCCTCGACCCCTTCACCGAAATGGTCGGCGTAATTCAGCCCGGCGGCTTCGAAGAGTTGTTCTACTTCCTCGCCTCTGCGAACTACTCATCTTCGACATACGCGCCGTTCCCGCAGGGAAATTTCACTAGTCCCGGCGGAGACGCAGACACCATTAGCAAGTTGCAGCAATTCGATGTGTGGGCGCAGGTTCAGTTTACTCCGCCGATGAATTTCGATGCCAATGGGACGAGTGGGGATGGGGGTGCTGTTTGGAAGAACGGGGTTAATGAGTTGGCGAAGGATAGCGAGACGCCATTTTTTGTGGCGAAGGGGTATGGGCCTAAGGTACTTTCTTCCTCTGCGGACAAAACGAGTTACTACGTCGTAGAGCCGTTTATCACGGCCACGCAGTCCGATGGCAACTTCACCGAGGGCACGATTACGTTGTCCCAACTTCCTCCCTCCTCTCAGCCCCAGGAGTGGTCGCTGCCGGGTCACACAGCGCTGGAGGTGGTAGATGGGTTAGTCTGCGTGAAGGTGCAGGGGTACGAGGAGGAACTGAGTTTGAGTGTGGGCGACGTGGTGTTTGTTCCAGGAAATACTACGTGGAGCTTTTGGGGGGAGGCTGCGTATTCGAAGGTGCTGTATGTGGGACAGGGGAGGGAGACATTGGATGCGAAGTTGAGGGCGGAAGGGAGGCAGTGGGAGAGTGTGGTGTGGCCGGCGTAGGGGTTGCAATGTTGAGGCAGGAAAGGTGGTGCAGGTAGGCACGGAGGGTGGAGTCCGAGATACTGTGGATATTACCAAAAACAGGTGCATATCGTGAGCAGAACAACTATCTAAATGCTTCGTACGGATAATTTTGGAAGCCACCTTGGTCAGACGAGAGGGCGTAGAACGACGTACGGTGAGTGCTCTGACACATTGCTCAACTGTCCGTCTATTTCTAATATGCTGATGTGTCCCTAAGAATAAGGCTCGATCTAGGCACAACGGACGGATTTCGTAGCCTTGATCACGCGTTTCAATTTGGTTTTCATATGCACTGTCCCGTCCACTATCGCTCTACATTATGCAATAGTGTGAAACTATTCCTTTGTCACGCAATTGGCTTTGGATATGTATCAAGATTCTGCACTTCACTGAAAAATAGCTCCAAAGCGCTCTTGATTGGGAATTGTTTGTCGATCAATGGTAGGCTATGCTGAAGGAACTGCTTGGGCCAGACACTAATTCAGAATAAGTGAAATTATCCGACACAGACGAGGGCAGGCACTTTGGTATCCTATTGAGCTCCCTGGATTCCGTTGCGCTGTGGCTTGCAAAAGCACGCGGAGACTCATCAGATCGACATAGTGGCGCTAGTAAGGTTCGAGAATAAAGCAAGTAAGCCATGCCTCTATCTGACGGTTCAGCGCCCCAAGCACTCGAGTAGTTCTTCGTGGAAGGCGTTCGTTTGAAAGTTGTTCCTTTGGGGACAATCACCAATGCCCAGGCCCAGGCCTTTGCAGTTAGCTCCAATACGGCATTAGTATGGCTTCTATCTGTTTCGCACGCATTCCACCGTACCCAAAAAAAATCTCAATACTTTCATACTTTTCCGCAACCGATCTATCACCGAGAGCGCGTGTGCAGTAAATAACAGGAACGGCAGGTCCTCAGAAAGCGCCACTGCTCAGGTACATCGCTTGAATCTCATCACTTCTTTATTTTCTGGTATGCGTTACAAGCAACACATAAATAGCCAGAGCTTGAAGTGCTCTTTTGCTACGTTTCGCAGCACCCTTGCCGTGCAGGGCACGTCCGGCCTCATGACTGTCAAGGTTGGCCCTGATAGTAAGACCCATACGCTTCACACAGACATGCTCGCCCATCACCCAGAATACCTCGACAAAGCTCTCAAGTGCCTGTGAAAGGAAGCAGGAGATCGGGCTGTGAATTTGCCGTTGTTCAAAATAAACGCAACGACCTTTGAGCTGTTTTTTAACCGGATACAGAACGGGATGATATATACAACCGCCGCACGAGAAGCCAATCGATCTAATTGGAGTGACATGTCCCCCGCCGGTATAGAGGACTGGAGGGCCTGAATGATTTTGACGCGGCATGCGTCATTCTGCTCAAGGCGTGGACCTTTGGCGACTGCCTCCTAGTGCCAGAGTTCAGGAGGGCGATTACTCTTTACTACGTCGTGTACATCATCGCCAATGCGCCTGCAATGTTCCAGAACGTACGTACGCGCTCGATATGATCCCCGAGACGAACGAAGTTCACCCAATGCTGGAGGTGCTTCTCGCTACACATTGCCATTGATGGGAATACTTCAAAAACACATATCTAGATGAGGAGCTTTGGTGAAAATTGCCCGTCGGATCTATTTGACGGGGTTTCCCGTGCCTTTTCTACCGGGAAGGACAAGAATGAACTAGATCCATGTGATTATCAAAATCCCCACCACTGAAGGTGACCGTCAGGCCTGCTATGGGCGGGACCGGCAGCCGACGGATGTGCCTGACGGGTTGTGACGGTTGTGCTGATCTAAACAGGCAAAGCTAAGGAGGCTCTGCGGAAATTTACGATGCCCAGTGCACGCGTGGAAGCTGTTCTTAGGGAGCATGGACTCGACCTCCACAGTACGATATCTCGACTTCTAGGAAATCATACTCATCATATGGTATGCGGGTGTTCAAGGTCGTACCGTTCATGGAATTTCATTGTTAAATCGTGTGTAATACATGTTCAGAACCGCTCTCCGTAGTAGTTGTTCTTCACGAGACGGTGAATTACCCATTGTAGAGAATGAGTTCTACAGAAGTCGCAGAGCTTAGTTGAGGTATGAAAAATGCGAATACAAGTAGTTGTAATGATATTCTTTGTGACATCCATACACAAATTAATGATAGCCAATCCACTAGTCTTAAGTCGTGACCTGTGGTGAAGTGGCAGCATCTGAAGATTGTAAATTTGCTAAGAATGTTGCTCAACACGAGCGCATGTGAATATCTCATAGGAAATGAGACCGCAGATTGAGGCGCTACAGGCATGCGCAAGTGGGATATAAGACGATCTTGGCGACTTTGATCTATCCTAGGTTCCTTCAATACCTCAAACGTGAGAAACAGGACACGAGATTGGTCACTCTGCAGCTTCAACCTATGTCCTGACGCACTCATTGCTATGAGCGGAGGACGAAAGGATTGCTCTGTGGCGAAAAACAGCAATCGATCGGTGATTCTCCATGAGCAATCCACAGTCCAGCATGAGCTAGATAAGATAAAAAGGGTCCTCCAGTGATCATGAATGTGTTCGGTCTCAGCTCACTGATCGTAAGTTGCCTTAAACTGTCCAATGCCAAGTAGGGAATATCACTTGTGAACCTGGCTACGCAATGCATTGCACCAGCCAATTCCCCATGCACTGGCCAATGCTGTACCTTCAATATGAAAAAAGGCTAAGCTGAATAGGGCGTTAAGTTGGTAATAATCAATATAAACACTGCAGACAGCACCATATATAATACGCATACTGGCACCTGTCCCGCATTCTCTGGAAAAGCGCATGTATCGGTGTGGTTAAGTTATAGTTACCTCTTTGAAGTAAGGTGATTGTGAACGATGGCAGAGTACTGTCCGGTGTACTCGGCCTTCAGGCTCATTTGGGCTGCGAGTTATGCGGGAAAGCTCAGCCATGATTCTCTGGAGAGAGTTAGAAACGAAACAAACTCACCCAGTAACTCGTCTATGATCATTGATGGGTCATAGTTTCGGCTAGCGAGCGCTAAAAAGGGTTTTGTCTATCAATATCTACGTTCAGTTTCCTCCTAGCGACACCATATTCTCTCACAGTGGAGGCTGATGCAAGGTCGCACCTTCGCCTTTCAAGACAATTGTATTCATATTTTTTCTAGCCAAAAATGCATCGATTATAAATTGCGCATATTGTCGAGGCAACAATTTGCGCGCTAATTGAAGACAGAGATGATACAACAAAAAATAATCTTCAATCGGACCACAGTGCTCAACCAGAAAAAGTCGTCATGTCTAAGAAGTAGCCACCTCCGCTTTAACACGTTACGATGCTTCCTTATCCAGAGATACATCAGTTTATGTTGTTCAGCACCCTTGCCGAACAGGGCCTCGAGTCTCTTGTTACCGTCGAAGTCGGCTCGGACCACAAATCTTACTTCGTGTACAAAGAACTCCCCGCGTATTACTCAGTCTATTCCGTTGCTTGTCTGGATTGCAGAAACCCGATATGGACAGAGGCTGAAGATTGCTGCGTGCTATTAGACTGTCGAAACCCGTGCCTTCGACATCTTCGTCAATTGGATTTACGGCAAGAAGAAAACGGTCAAGTATCTTTACGACGCTGGAGACAGTCATGAGCATAGCTGGGATCTAATTTCCTGCGGACTATCGATAAAAGGAGCCCCCACGCTATGGGATCGATTACTTGTCCGCACAGACCTCGAAAATGCTACCAGCATCCCGCTCGTTGACCACTTCATGGAACACTCGCCAACACCGTGCACTGTTCAGCATGTTGACTACGCCCGCGACATGCTTTTAGAGCAAATTTCTATCCTCCAATTGATGGCAGATGTTGTGATTGCGCTGTCTATTCGGGGTTCCAGTGGAGCTTCGCCTGTCATTCGCGGTGGGATGAATAAAGGGTGATATATCGGGTTTCTGGGAGCGTGATTCGGACAGCAAAAGGACTACTAGTAAAAGGTTGAATGGATGGGAGCTACCTATTGCCCTAATGTTCGTTACACTAGGTAGAATGTACGATTAAAGAAGGCGAAGGGAAGGGTATCCATGCTCGGTATCTTCCGTACAGTTTTTGGTGAAATGTATATGTAAAATAGTACCGCGATAAGAGGATGATAGGATGAGCGAAAGAGCCATAGGAGAGAAGTCGGAACTCGTGGCACGATCTCGTGCTCTCGAAATCATCCCTTCATAGAACTCCTGCCTCCCGATCCCATGCTGTGAATTCTTCACCGTCCTCTGTGAGCGTTTCATGAGGTCAGACTATTGCTCCCAGACACTCGATGGCTCAAACGGTCGATACGGCCATGCTTCGCATGGATGTTATGAGACCGAATACAATTGGACAGGGACAGGCTGGCTTTCAGGCTTTCACTTGGGCATAGCCCCCGGACATCACCCGCCTAGAGCCGCGTTCACACGAGATTGCTCATCCCACCTCTCGATCCCGGCGCCTCGACTCCGAAGAGAATAACGACACATTGTGATTATGCAGATAAAATGTACGAGTATGGCGTTCGAGGTATACCTCCATTCAACATGAGGGTTTATCGCCTCGATTGCTAGCAGTAATCGGCACGATTGTTCAATGGCACTCACTATAGAAGATTTGCGTACATTAAGGGTCCGCTCAAGAATATTTTACCGAGTATCGATGGTTTTGGTAGGTACCTACGTACCGGGTACCTATGAGTGCCGCAAGGGCGGTGCGAGGTTCACTGTTTACACTGAGCACTCCGTTTGTGGAAGCTGTGGTTGCGATGTGTTAGCAAAAGGCATAAACAATGGTAAAAATGGTGAGATTTTTCTCTTTACCCCAGACTCGTGATATTCTCGAGCTTGCGAAATATGGTTCCAAGGTTTCCCAGCAGTCATGCGAAGATCGGAGTTACGAGGGCGCTCTTTCCTTCTTCTCATCATTCGATCATTCGAAACGGTCTTGGTGCTCCTTCCTTGATACTACCTCCAGAGTTGCGCAGCACGGCCGAGCTTGTCTTTCTCCCTCTTCTCTTTCCGTCGCCACCCCACCACTGTTATACTCTGTCGTTCTCCAGCAATAACCTATTGTGTCCGGCTTCAGCTTGACGCAATCGGCCGCACTCATGGCAACGGAGTCGCCAGTCCTAGGGTAACCAGACAAAGGCTTGCAAATTAGGGAGCTGCTAAGTCTTTAGTCTCATCCTTGAGATTGGCCCAGATGCTACGTACACAAAGCTCTCTTGAAGCACAATCCAGATTCCTTCAAGAAAGCCTTGACTGGGATCTGGAATGAGGCACAAGAAGGCATGATGTAACTCAGTGATGTAGAGACTGAGCCCTGTAAATGTCAGCTTCCAGTAGGAAATATGCGCGTTGCACCAATAGAGCATTTAGTTGAGATCTTCGTCCAATAGCTTTATATCAAGAAACTCGTCGAAGCCGAGCAATGAGAGATGAATGACTGCATGTACTGCGACGCTGGAGATGCTCATCGCCGCGACCTTACGCAATGTCTTCTAGCCCTTAAGGCATATGTCCTTGAAGATAGGCTAACCCCCGACTGCTCTCGACGACAGGCTAGCGACCTTGCTATTGTCTTGCTCCGCTGCGGAAAGTTGTGCTGTCATACTTCTTCGAGATGATTATCTATGCATTCAAGCATATTCCGTCGCACAAGCCAATCCTACAACACCTCTTATATGAACGTTGTAATGCGACCAGGGACAATGCGGAGGACATCGAGAAGCATGTGAAAGTCCAAGGTGTATGCATCGGTTTCGGGAGCTCGTGGAGGAGCACAAGACCAGGGAGGCGGTAAACCTGTCAGCAATCCCCGCCGGTGCTATCGCGACCATACCGATAGCGAAGCAGAGTGATGTGGACTACGGCATATGACATGCAATGAGAAGACGGAGCTCGGTCATCATCCGAAACTCCACTGAGGGTACGGTCAGTTCGAGCCGGCCTTCAGCGCTCCTTTCGGGTGTCACGCATCTGATATCGACGTGGGCCAAATGATCACAACAGTCAAATAGCATCCAGGATATGTTCGTGGACGAACAACATCGCGCATACAAGATACGGTTTCCAATAACACGGATTCAATTTTGAAAATTGATAGATTCGTTCCTCGTGAGCTTGAGCACTTCAAGCAAGCAGCATAACTGCGTTCCCACAGACCCGTCGAAAGTCGTCGAGAAGAAAAGGAAATTACAACTTGTATACACACGCACGCGCTTGACACCGCAACCGTCCAGAAATATCCGATGCGCTTCATCGCTGACAAGGGTACCGTGAAGAACGCCACCGCACAGACCTATCAAAGAAAGTTACGCGCGACGCTTAAGCGGGCTTGCCCTTGGGGCCTAGAACGTCATCAACGAGACCGCCCCAAATCTGGCGCGCCATCGAGGCACCCTCCTCTACGGGGCGCTTGAGCTTGCTCGCAACCTCGAAAGCCATGCCCTGGAAATCGATGGTGTTGTTGTCGTGGACTTCAGACATGGCAGCGGGGGCGTGGACGTGTGCGGACACGGTGTGGATCATGGGGAGCCTCGTAGAGTACTAGGATCTGTTAGCATTTCCAGTCCTATGGTATAGGATGCCACAGGAGGTGCTCACCTCCTCCTCTGCCTCCGCGGCCTCGATCGCAGACGCGAACGTGTAGCTCGGATTCGGCGTGGTGGTTGTGGGGAGAATGGGTACCCGGATACCGACGGGGGAACTTCCGAGATCAGGGTCGAAGTCGGGGATGAAGGCGAAGTCGATCGTGGAGCTGTCGTTGGGTGACTTCATTTCGCGGCTTGTGTTGAAGTGGCGGAAGGAGTGGCCGGTGACGGGCGCGCCTACGAGCGGTCGTTTTGAGTCGTTGCCCGCGGTGCTGAAGGTGCGAGCGCCGTTTGTGAGTTCGTGTGCGGAGAGACGGGATTGAAGCTATGGCGATCACGTTAGGAGGGCTCTTTGCATAAGCGTGGTGAGCTATGAGCGTACCTCTACCTTGGAGCCGGTGGTGGGGAGCTTGAGCACCTGGCACTCGTAGCGCAGACCAGCGAGGCTCTGGGGATGGTTCATTGCGGGACGCTCAGAGGTGAGGAGATTTGAGTAGGTTGCGGGACCCGTCATGTGGAGGCTGCGGCTCTGCTTGCTGCCAGCAGCCTTGAAGGCGCGAGACGAGAGACGTGCGGCCTGCATGTTGAAGTAGTTGTCTAGGATGGATCGACGTGACGAGGAGCTAACTCAACGACGAGAGAAGACGAGTTGGGCGATTACTATGAGATTAAATATAAGATAACAAGGAATGGGCGGATTCTGGTTGCTTGCTTCGGCAGTCCCCGGAGTCCGCTGGTCACTGATTGATCGAGAGGAATGTGTGTGTTGAGGCAATGGGACCGCAACCTTGCAGCTTAGAGCTCGCGGATATATACGACGCACTCGGGAAGGCGGTCAAGCTTTTGGGATTTGTACAGAATCCGTGCTGAGGCGCGGCATGCACAATTCGAAGCCGCCCACAAATATACTCACACAATTGGAGCCGTAAGGGGCCTGGCTGATGCTGTCGCGCAGTTCAACCATTGTACGGCGGCCAGATCAGGACATTCCCGCGGGAAGGACACCGCAATCGCCCTGCCGCGGGAGCGGTCCCGACCCATTCACACAGGGGCTTCCCCGCACTGGAAACGATCGTCGCGTGACAATGTGTAGTGCAACGGGTCTGCTTCCGACTCGATTTCGGGTCCACGATACAAAACTTGACCAGACGAACGGTGTTGCGGACACATGGTGCGGACTTCGGTGGAGTGATGAGCACCTCATCACCTGATATCCTTCCAAAGCAACCCAGAGTCGGTGTGTCGCATGCGGCACCACAGTCATGCACAGGCGCATTGGCTCCCGCCCTGGTAGCGACATCGGGAAGCAAGGGCCGTGCGTCTTGTGCCTGATCGGTTCTCCGCCTGGAGTGCATGCGCAGAGTCCGAAACATGACACGGAGACTTTCTGACTGAGATAAGCCGGCGGGGTTTCGACATCATGGGGTGCTGTTGGAATAGACGTGGTATTTAGAACCGTTCAACGAGGGCTAAGGTCGCGCTTTGCAGTGACTGTTCCAAGCGTGCACTAGGGTGCTCGCAAGGTCCTCTCCTTCCGGTTAAGTCAAGTCCATGCGCTTGTAGGTCTCGAAAACCCAGGTTTCTCGTTAGAACAATATCGTTTGCGATATATACGACAAACTTTACAATTTTGCCATCAAATTAGTTGAAGTTCATCGGCTCAATGGTCTAGTGGTATGATTGTCGCTTCGGGATTTTACGCCTGGATCAATTAGGTCTATAATGTGACAGGCCCCGGGTTCGAATCCCGGTTGAGCCCGATTTGTTTTGCTCTTACCTTTTGCTTGTGCAGCATCCTTAGCACGCTAATCTTTTTGGCTTCTAGTCGACTCTCGATATTGCTTCTTGACTGCATCATAACATCTCCCCAGAAGAAGGGATCGAAGTATCGAGGCTGTTGCTTCCGTGCTGATGATCGTCGAGCGTAACTTGCAATGATGTATGCCCTCAATGTCGAGGTTTCAAGACTTGGCAAAATATGCGTGTAACCACTTTGCAATCTTTCTGGCCCTTAAGGAAGGACTCAGTGTCGAAGGAAAGACTTGGTCCATGCCGAGATGTGCGAGAGCCAATCGTGGATCTCTAGCCTGCTGTTTATTGAGATGAAGCGGAGATAGCCACGAGAAACATGAGATACATTATGTCTCGTGTATAGTACATAGAATACATCAGTATTCGAGCGCACACGACGCCTTGCCGAACGAGAAGTATATGAACCGTATCAGGTTAGCTCCAAGCAAAGAGATCTTTGCACTAACCACCTTAGGCATGAACTCACGCGCCCCTTGGTCGATCTCTGCGCCTCAGTGAGCGACCTACAAACGCGCTCGAATGCTTTACGAGGTTCGGGCTGTTGCCAATAAAGGCTTCGGACTCTTTTCCAAACATACTATACCGCGGGGGACGCGGATCCTCGCCGAGAAGCCGCTCATTGCACTGCGACCGGGGCAGCGACCGAGTGACATCCTCAGCTATGCGAAGCAGTTAGATAGCAAAAGCCGGGAGAAGCTTTTAGGACTGAGCTGGCATCCTGGAAATGGTATCCAGAGGCTGGGAAGATGGTGCGAAGCATTGGGTTGGGTGGTGAGAGATCGAGTGACGATAAGTCATACTATTTCGCGAAGAGAAGAAGATGGCATTGAGAAATCATCGCCAAACGGTTATGGGCGCTTGAGCGAGATGGCGAGAGGTTTAGATGAGGCCTTCCGGATATTGAGCATTTTCCGGAGCAACTCATTCAATCTAGCTTCATCAGCAACTCTTTTATCGCAGATACCTCTCCCAAGACTGTCAAGGTCAACAGACTCAAATACCTCACTAGAAACTCCAGCAACACATGCAGCGGCCTGCAGCACCAATCCGGCACCAAATACAAGAATGCCATCGCCCTCGCCAGTATTTGAACTCGCTCTCTTTCCAGCCATCGCACGTATCAATCACTCGTGTCATCCGAACGCGCAGGCAAATTATCATCCAATGCATCAGACTTTCAATATTCATGCCACAAGAAACATACCCGCAGGCGAGGAAGTCAGCATCAACTACCTTCCCGAGCACGGCCAGTTGCGGGATCAACGCGTCGCGAAGCTCGAGGAAGGCTATGGGTTTACGTGCAACTGCCCTGCTTGCAACATCGACACAAAGGAAGGACAGCAAGTAGAGAAGAGGCGGAAGGACATGCAAAACAGTATGAAGAAGACCAAAGCGTTGTTCGCGGACAGTACGAGTGCGACAGAAACGGCCAATGCGGGATACGGCGCAGATGGCATGCAGGAAAGACTTCCCAACGCACTTTCGGATGAGGAACAGCAGCAGATAGATGCACTGAGAATGATGCCCGAGAAGGATCGCCAGACTCGGCTCCGAGACCGCGAGCTCGAGGTCCTCAACGCAATGATTGCTATGTACCAGGCGGAAGGCATAGTTGGACGCGAAGTGGCGAGTATGTACTACTGTATTGCAAGACTGCAGCAGAGCACCGGTTCTTATGATGCAGCGGTGGCTACCGCAGATGCGGGATTAAAGCTTGAAAAGGCTTGCCTAGGGACGGATCATCCGGCATATCTCGAAGCGCTGTCCTTTGTTGAAGGTATCTCAAAAATGTCGCTAGCTTCCACTCGATATCAATCCGGAGTGCTTGCTGCGGTTGAATGCGATCATTCGCAAGAGACAGACACGGCCACCCGCAACGGAACGAAGCTGGATGGTACGATCGCTGCGGGAGAGAAATCCTGCGAAGCGATAGATGGATCGAGATAACCTGCCCGCGCGTACATATGCCGTTTGTATACGTGGATACAGATCCGATGCCCCAACCATGCTATAATAAGAAGCAACAGTCAAGAATGGGTGAAATGTTTCGAGAAGCCGTTCCTAATAACGCATAGAAGAGGATTTTTGGGCTGTTGTAGAGCCACAAAAGCCTGAGCCTCGGCCGCGCTCCCCCAACGCTTTTTCTTGCTTGCCTATGCGAACGACAGTAGGAAGAGATTACGAGGCAATTCTAATTGTAATCTCATGCATTGTTTTACATAAACAAAGCGCCTAACACTGCGTCTTTACTCGCCCAATGCCCGGAAGAACGTCCAATTGGAGCATGGTTTCGGCGATCATTTTCGGAGATCATCAGATAAGATCATCAGATAAGATTAGATTGGACTCTCCACCCCATTCTATCGTGCATTGCATCAATGTCAAGGCCTTCTACTGCAGATCATCCGAAGTCGGTGAACAAAATCTGCTTCCTTGTGATGAGCAAATCTGCGCGACGCCGACCGCCAGAATGGGTACCCCTAAGGCGTCCAAGTCAGAAGGCTACTCTCAATTTACTATGCGCCCATCTGTGCAACAGTACGATATAATTTAGCCCCTGTTGGCTTTGTTCTTCTATCGAAGACCCCGATACGTACGAAGCTCCACTTCCTCTTGGTTGCTATTTCGCAATGGATAACACAAAGCTGCCCGAGTTGCCAAAACTCAAGCTCCAAGAAGGCGTCCAGAAAGAGGATATTGACGCGAAACAAGTCACTGCTAATTGGCTTTCCCAATTAGAACGCTCGTTTTCTGAACGAAGTATTGACCTCGTTTCGAATCTCTTCATCGAAAACTGCTGGTGGCGAGACATCGTCGCTTTGTCTTGGGACTTTTCTTGCAAGCAAGGCCAGGAGGCAATCCGCAACTACCTGGTCTCTGCGACTCATGGACTTTCAGATATCCGAGCTAACACTTTCGGTGGGCTTCAGCCCATGCTGGTCGAGTTTGGAGGCGAGAGTTGGATCCAATCTGGCTTCACGTTTCGGACACCACACGGAGACGGGAAGGGGCTGCTGAAGTTGATGAACGTTGGGGTTGGGAATTGGAAGGCTTGGACTGTGTTTACGCAGCTAGAGAAGCTTGACTACATGAAGGAATTAGAGAAGCAGAGGGCAGCTTGTGTACCGCCGACTTCGGTGCCGGCTATGATTGGGGCCGGACATGACGAAAGTGAGGATAATCAGGTCATAATTGTCGGAGCTGGTTAGTGTACCGCTCACAATTCTCCTTCAATTCTAATACGTCATAGCTCAAGCTGGCCTCATGCTCGGCGCACGCCTCAAACACATGCGCATCAAGACGCTTCTTCTCGAACGAAATGCACGACTCGGCGACTCGTGGAGACAGAGATACCAGAGCATCACCCTCCACACGCCATCTTATACAGATCATTGGGCTTACATGAAGATACCTGAGACATGGCCCAGGTTTCTCGTAGGGGACGAAGTCGCCGATTTCATGGAGCACTATGGACAGCTTATGGGTCTCGACATCCAGTATAACACTGACGTTAAGAATGTCTCCTACGACGAAGCTACAAGAAAGTACACAATTCAATCGGCAACACCAGAGGGAATGCGGAGTCATTCTGCCACGCATTTGGTACTAGCCACCGGCCTCTTTGGCGACGAACCCATACTCCCAACTTTCCCAGGCCAGGACTCTTTCGAGGGTCAAATCTACCATTCCAAGTACCATAGGTCGGCTGCAGACATCCCGGATACGCACAACAAAAAAGTCGTCATCATCGGCGCTGCGACTAGCGGCCACGACATTGCCGCCGACTTCGTCGCCCACGGCGCCGGAAAGGTGACAATGATGCAGCGACACCCAATCTACTCCATTTCGCGTGAGTCATGGGAGACGTTCATGCTCGGGTTATGGAAAATGGATGGTCTAAGCACGGAGGAGGCAGATATCGTAGGCAATTCATTCCCTTTGGCGATCATCCGAACGATGAGTGTCGGGCTGACGAAGATGATGGCTGAGCACGACAAAGACGTGCATGATGGGTTGAAGAAAGCTGGCCTGGCGCTCAAAGAGGGTGATGATGGGTGTGGCCTGGCAGATTACCAGCTGATCAAGGGTGGGCAGTATTACATTGACCAGGGCGCGAACGAAATGATCATCGATGGCCGTATCAAGATCCAGCAATGCGAGGAAGGTGTGAAGAAGTTCACCGAAGATGGACTGGTTCTCGCAGATGGGACGAAGCTCGAAGCCGACGTTGTAGTGCTTGCGACTGGGTTCCAAAAGGAGACCACGACGATAGAGAAGCTGATGGGGTCGGATATTTTAAAGAGGCTGCACAACAAATTTGGGCAGCTGGATGAAGAGCAAGAGAGATCTGGGTGGTGGAGATCTACGGGACTTCCAGGGTTCTGGTTTATGACTGGAAGCTTCATGTACTGCCGACAATTCTCCCTCCCTTTGGCGCTGCAGATTGCCGCCGTTGAGCTGGGCCTGAACAAAAGGTACTACAAGGATTCATGAGCATTAAAGAACGATGTACGTGCAGGATCGGTACCGGATCGGATCTTCCGAGAAGTGCATGTTGCTTCAAAAGTCAACACACAGCCCGAAAATTCAAATGCATTTTCGATTCATCTATGTCTATGAGGTTGCCGTATTCTGTGATGGGAAGCCCTTGATTTGCCTTTTCTTAGTTCCATCCACTAACTCCGAACCTCGGAAGCTAAATCCTGCGCCCATCTTCCAACCCACCAGTTCACCTTTTCCACCAACACAATGCAATGACCCACAACACAATGGCTCCGCCCGCGCCAAACGACCTCCTTATCGACGTGCGCACACGCACCGAATTCTCCACCGGCGCTCTCTCCAATGACCTCCATACCGCCACAAACATCGAATACCAATTTATCGCATCCCTCTCCACCGTCTATCGCGCTCTCGGCACCGAAGTCTCCAAAACAGACAACATCACGCTGTACTGCCGGTCGGGGCGGCGATCTAATATTGCGCTGCAGACGCTGAGGGATCTGGGTTACGAGAATGTGAGGGACATTGGGGGACTTGAGGAAGCCAGGGCGGTGCTGAAGAGGGAGGAGTTTGGAAGAAGTACGGGGGCGGATGATGAGATGAAGAGGTTGAGGTGGGGGAAAGAACAAGGGAAAGAGGGGACTAGCAAGAAGGCTTTTGGGACGTTACTTGAAGGGCTGAGGGGATGTGAATAAAAAAGATGAGTGCCATGGAAACTCAAGAACGCTCAGAGGATAATATGTTACTGTCGTATTGGTCAATATCTGCAGGTAAACATCATACTCTTTCGTAAACGAGTGGCTAAAGTTGGCTAGGTACCCAAGCGCAGCCCCATGCCTGTCCTGCCTGTATCTTTCCTATTGATTGTCGCGCCGTCGCCTACTACACATTCCGGAACATTCTAAGCAGACGCGGTAGCAGTGGGCAGGTTGGTTGGGCGAGAGCCGGTAGGAGGAGGTCCACCGGGTCCACCAGGGCCACCAGCACCAGCGTTGGGGTTGGCGACACCACCGTTCTCGGTCAGGTACACAGCAGGAGTAACGTTACGGGCAGCAGCAGTATCAATGCCGAAAGCAATCCAACCAAACAGACCTTCGGAGATGCTGTCACCAAGGTAGACATACTCGACACTCGGATCAACATTGGCAGCCTCCTCCTCGAAGATGAAGTCGTCCTTGTTGACCGTAAGTGCCTGTGTGTTGGTGTTATAGGGCGCCTCCTTCTCGGCTTCCGTAATGAGGGCCTGGTCGAAGAAGAACTGGCCGACGTGGGTGATGTTACCCCCCGGAGACGGTGTTGTTATCATTCAGGGTAGCGCCGATGTGCGTCAAGACGTGGATGTGGGTGGTACGACCGGTGTCTATTCATTTTCATCAGGAAATCATCATCGCCAATCTTCATTGCAAGAACTTACAGTGGCCGGGGAATAAAGTCTCGAAAGCAACCACGCCGTCATTGTCAGTCTGCTGAATGCCACGGAGCGCAGTGTTGTTGATGTTGGCCAGGTCGGCCTGGTTGCCGTTTCCGCCAGCAACAACACCATACACACCAGTCGAGTTGCAGTGCCAGATTTCGGTGTAAGCCTGAGGAACCACTTCGCAGGTGTTCACATCGACGACCTGGATGTCGAGCGTCAGGGGCACACCGGCCTGGCCATCAACAATGTTCTCGCGGACGAGCTCGCCAGCCACCCAGTATGGGCCCTCGGTCGTCTCAGGAGTAAGAGTGCAGCTGGCATTCCCTGTGAAAAGGGTAGCTGGGTCAGCTGTCTCGGGAGTGACGGTGAGGTTGGAGTGGTGGTCGGTGTTCAGGACATCGTCGAAAGAGCGAGCCTTGAGCAGAGGCTTGTCTGAGATTTGTAAGCCATGGTCTTGTGCACACCATGATTATCAACGTACCGGTGCTGATTGACCGCTTCTTGCGCATAGCCTCAAGTTTGGCCGAACGGCGAGCTTGGAGGAGGGCGTCGTTACCCCTCGCTTTGAGCTGATCGGCGCAGTCGGCCAGAGTTCTCTTGTTCATTGACCGGTATTCCCGGCGCTGCTGAAGCTCCTGTAGGGCTTCAGCCTTGCTCTGTCCCGGATGGGACATGCCCTGCTGGGCGAGCATTGCAGCACTGAGGATGGTGGAGAACTTCATCTTGGCGGTCAAAGAGCAGGCGTGTATGAGCAGAGCGGCCCCGGAACGAATGGATGGTTGAAGTGGGTGGACAGTGGGACGGAGCGGTGGTGCTTCAACAGAGAGCCTCCAAGCACCCTTTATACAGCCCAAGACAAGATGTCTGTCAAGGAGTTCGGCACACAACCGCCTTGGACATGACAACAAGCATCTCGTCAACGCGTACGCGCAACAGAATATCCTTAACCGCTCTGTCCCCCGACTTGGCAGGACCCATCTCATTTAGAAACAACATGCTGTCGAGCGAGGACAGCGTGTGTGTCTCTGCGATGTCGTTTCGCGCCCGCATAAGCGGGAGTGAATGCTAGGGTTGCGGACGGTTCGCCCCATGTTCCTTGGAAGGATCCGAACCAGCAGTGTACGCGACGGCCAATGGGCAACAACGATTACTACGGCTCAGGCCACGGTCCCTGAGCTGCCTCATCCGACGTGGGCGGCCCTGAATCGAAGCAGCGGGCGCCCACGGCGACTGCATGTCGGCGAATAGAATCCGACGCTTTACACAGCAGATCTACAGCCAAGATCTTCAACGTGAAGCTTGCGGGCCGCACCCTGGAGATGGGCCAGGCCCTGTGCTTGGAGCCATTGCGCGTCCTTTGTTGAAGCCATGCCTGTTTCGTGTATACCGGCACCCATAATTGCCGCACTTGGATAAGTCGCCGGCAAGGCCACGACGCCTCTCTGTGTCTCGCACGCTACCATCGCACGTCCTGCTGGACCATCGACGCCTGCTTGTGTGCCGGTGCAGCGTAACAGTTAGCTGTAGAGCAGAAGCAAGAGTTCCGTGTCTCCCACCTTGGAAGCAGTCGTTGCACGTGTACCATGTGCAGCGTGCTTCGAGAAGCTCGCGTATGCCAAGGGTCCGACACGGGAAGCAAGCCTGCGCCAGACGCTTGACGACGTGCTTGTTTGCGGCCATGGACATGCGATTGGCGGAGCCATGGGATTGTCTTCGTTTCATCCGCTACGGAGCACAACAACATGCTGTTTCAAGGCACTTCTGCATCACAAGCGACTCGGCCAGTGCGGAACCAGAGGCAGACATGACTCGCGAGGGCTGGCCGGTTTGTTGAGAGCTTCTTAGCCGGGAAGGCACGATGCAAGATATATGGGCACGGCGCATTCTTTCATCGGGAAGGTGCGAGCAGCACTCGTGAAGCTACGCGAGGCCGCCATGGAAGAAGACCGTTGAGCCGTCAGACAGGCCGGGAGACCGTTATGGTGAAGTGCGGTGACGTACATGTCGTTCCAATACGGCTGCGGGTTGCTTTGGTCAAAGGCGCACTAAGAAAGGAGAGTCAATGACTTCACTTAGAACCGCATATACACAGCTAGAACATTGCTCTTCGTTCCCATTATTGCACATCTCCACACCATGAAAGTAGAGACTTGTCGTCGAATTCATATCTAACACTTCACCTTCACTATCCCTCTCCCCATCGTCAAATCGTCCTCGTCCCCACTCGTCAAAGGTATACAAAGCACATCGTCCCGACATGACAACATGAAACACCACGCCCGTCCTATGCACATGCAAAGCCAAAGAAAAACCAGACGTTACAGACCGCCGACAAAGTGCGACAAAGAGATGAGTGCGCCGCCCATGTTTTATAGAAATTCCCCCTGCTATTTTCAGTACCTCCCAGAGGCACTTGACATGATGTTGTTTTGGTACATGCGACGACTGCCTGACTCCTGATATATGCAACTATGATAGAAACCGAACTTGACGGGTATATGCGTGCTTGTTACCAGGACATTATGAGATGGTAGTCGTACATGTAGATCAGTAACTGAAAAGTATGAATGGTAGCGCAACAGCCCAAGTGGATCAGTCCTCACCCGGTGGTGGGACCTTCTTCACCGTGCCGTTACTCCCGCTACGGTTCGAGCGACGTCGATATCCGAATTCTTTGCGAACATTTGAACGGGCGAGTTCGGCGTTGGTGATCGACTCACTTCGGGAAAGCTTCGTTGCAGGCTTCTTCTTCCCCATCACGAGAAACTCCTCCTCCGAATCTTCGTCCTCGCTTTCGACGGCATGATCTCCATCATAGCCGGCTGGATCATCAGTGGGCGTGTTGAATTGCTGGTGGAGATGTATAGAACTGCCAGAAGCTGCCGGCGTCATCTTGGATACCGCGTACTCATCAAGCGCCAACGATGACGTTGCCGAAGCCACAGAAGGCACGGACGGGTTCGAGGTTGATTGGGATATGCAGGTGAACTGTTCTTCTGACGAGCTGGATGCGATGGGCCTTGGCCGAGCTTGACTGATAACTGGCCTGGTGACTGGACTAGTCGCGTAAGGCGGTTGCTGCTGCTGCTGCTGGTTGAGAAACTCTTCGACTTTCTGGTGGCGCTGATAGAAGGTTTCGTCGTCAGGGCTAGGAGGACATTCGCGCTGGCTGAGGGCAGATGGAGGTCGTTGAGACGAACTCGAATCTGCTCTTTGTCGATCAAGCTCTACCTCTCGGACCCTTCTGCGGACGAACTCATCTTTCGCCCTGCTGAACCTGTCCTCCGACGTCTCGCGGCCTACAGGCGGGGCTATGGGGATAGGAGGTAGCTCCAGTGAGGGCCCGACTTCCAATTCATTACGTGTAATCCAAGTCTTGTGTAGGCGTGATGAGACTGACGATAATGAAGACTGCCGGGACGATGCCCTTTCAATGTGACTGGGCGTGTACAAGTCCGAGAATTGAGGAGACGAGCCCAGGATGGTCGGAGAGAGCTCTTTCAGCAGGTCTGGCTGGTCGACATGTCCGGAAGCGAAAGCAGTGCTTACTGCTAGACTCGGCGTCGCGTGAGGGTCATCGTTTGAACCAAACATCCTGTCGATAGACTTTGCACGACTGACTTCGCGGGGAGGTCTCAGCCGCTTCTCTTCAGACCTTGCATTATGCACGGCGCGTTTTGGCATGCCGCCGTAGATACCACTGAGGCTGGAACCGTTCGGAGTATCGAGAGCCGTTGGTGTCCCAGGTAGCGCTGGTGGAATGCCTGGAGAGGAAGGAAAACCATGGCTAGACCTGTCCGATGGGCGGACAGTACGAACCGAGGCGGCCGACGACAATGCGGAATGCGCACGGTCTGGAAGACGTGGTCGACCACCCAATGCCAACGGGGACGGATGCTCACGACTTTCAGTACTATGAGCCGGCGACACGGTCCGAGAGTTGGTGTCCTCAAAATACCGGGGCCTGTTGCTCGTGTCGGGGCTTGCGGTTACGCTGTGGGAAAGCGGATGTTCCGATTCCCTCGACTTGCTGAGCGCTTCGTATATGGACATGCCTGGGCCTAGACTTGGCCGGCGACTTTCTTGGCTGATGGTACTGCTCGACGAGTTCGCGCTGAGATTCGGAGGGCCGTCTTGACCACTCGCGGTGCTTTGAGCCCGATTACGTGTTTTCGACTCTCGACGGGTCAAGCTCCGGGTAAGATCTTTTAGCTTGCCGACTGTGTATCGCATCTTGTCAAACAGAGCACCAAAAGGAACAACGGCCTTTTCGATATCTTCTTTCGAGATTTCAATCTTATTACCCTCAAGTTGCTTGTCGGTCTCTTTCACCCATTTGTCGGCGTTGTCGATGCCTTGCATAAGCCAGGCGTGACGCTTGATGTCTGGGATGGTGATTCGCTTCCGCGGGTCTTTGATCAAAAGTCTTTGCAAAAGGTCTCGAAGTTCGTCATCGACGCATTCGTAATCGAGATCGTGGTCTGCTCTCTTGGCGCCGGAACTGAGATACATGCGACCATGCGAGTTTGGGCGAGAGCTTGGACTATCCTCTACAGGCTTGAGCCGATACTGGGGGATGTACGGCTCATCGTCGGTGATCCGCTTCATCAGGAAGAACTGGTTCTGATCGTGGAACGGGACTCGCCCATAGATAAGGCAATACAATGTGACACCAAGTGCCCAAATATCGATGGCTTTGTCGATCTTGTAAGTTTCAGCGTCTAACTCGGTCTGACATAGTTCGGGTGCGTAAAAAGCCGGAGTGCCCACTGTCTTTGCCAGCTCGATGGCCTCGTCCACGTCTGGTGCATCGGATTCGGACTGGTCTCCATTGCTGTCCTGGCGAGGTGCGCTTCCGAGGTACGATACACCAAAGTCGGAGATCTTGACACGACCTTGAGAGGTCATTAGTAGGTTCGCGGGCTTAATATCGCGATGGATGACATTCTGAAAATGAAGGTACTCCAGTCCGAGAACGGTGTCTCGAAAGGCTTGACGAGCCTTTTCAATAGTCATGACGGGCACGTAATGGAAATGCTCTGGAATTTCGTCCTCGCCGTTTGTAAGGTGAGAAGAACTGCTCCCAGCGATACTCGGGGTGCGGCCACGGAACGCTTCCGTGTCGTAGGCCCCATACATTGTTCCTTCTAAGCCGGTCGAGCAAGAGGTCTCCTCTCGAGCGCTGGCCGAAGGTGTACCTGCGCGGAAAGCAGTCTCCATGTTGGCATCCTGGCTGATGCTTGATCCTTGACGATGGGAATATTCCAGTCGACTGGCAGGCCTGTCCCCACCGCGTGCTGACGCACGAGAGCTATATTCATAGTCGGAGTAATCGTCTTCCGAGTCACCACCAAGTTCAAGACTCCAGGCTTCGTTGCCGTTCTGTTGCATTTTCATGAGCCTGCGCTTCCTTGCTTGACGTCGTTGTTGCCGTTGAAGCTTCTGGTGGGCTAGCTTGATGATGGCATCATCTTCCATCTTGGCACTTTCGTTGTCGAAGATGCCATCAGATTCTCGCTGGATGCGGCGCCATTCGACTAGACAGATCTCTTTGGCGCCCTCTTTCCTCCACTTGACCTCACCGAGTGAGACGTGCTCCAAGATGATGTAGACCTTCTTCTTGGAGGGGTCATCGATGACTTCGAGCAGACCGACGATGTTCTCATGACGAGCCTTCTTGAGGATGGCGATTTCTCGCTTGATCTTGTCTTCGTGGCTCGTGTTCTTCCCGAGCCGACGACGTTTCGAATAGCGGTCGATGATTTTGATGGCAACCGTGGCACCGCTCTGAAGATCGCGCCCTAGCTTGACTTTCCCATGCATGCCGCGGCCAAGCTCATCCAAGATCTCATAATGGTTGATGATCTTACGTCCCGACATTGGGTCCACATCGACATCGGCCACGTGCGTTTCCTTTGGTGCTTGTCTGTGCGTATAGTGGAGCCAGGGACCCGAGTAGAGGTTGTCGTCAGACTGTTCATTGTGCCGAAGTCGAGGTTCGTTCGGACTGAAGAGACCAGGGCTGCTCGCTGGAGAGTTGCCAACGGTGCGAGAGCCTGTGTCCATAAGGCCACCGCGGTAATGTTCACCAGGCAGACCAAACGTGGAGATATGCGACATTGAATAGCCTGAATGATGGGCAGGCTGCGAGCTTTTCGCACGCAGGATGTAAGGGGCATGCGTCGAGTGCTGCTGCATCTGGAGCGCGGCATAAGATTGGTTGGGGTAGACCGGACCATCCCGTGGTCGTGGAGGGGGATAGCCATGGGCCGCATCCACAGAGTTCGCTCGCACCGTGGCAACGCTGGCTGTGGATGTACTCGAGATGTCGCGTTGATACGGCGGCCGGTCAGACTCTGGAGGAGGGACGGGAGACGGCCCAGTTGCCCGCCAGGAGGACGCAAAGCTGCTCGACCTCGTCGGATCTAATGCAGCGTCGCTGCCCGTGGGCGACGGCTCGGTGGAGGGGTTGGCGTGCGGTATTTTAGAGGGCAGCACGCGGAGCGGCTGAGGCGAGAAGTAGCTGGGCTCTCCGTCGAGCGGAGAGGTGTGGTGCAGCAGCGTGTCATTCACGGCATCTGAGACCGAAGGCACCTCTGAGCGCGGCGTGTTGTCCGCTTCGGCTCCCTCTGGCCAGGCGGGAACCTGGGACCGCTCATGTTCAGTTGTGGTGGGCGTCTCTTGTTTCGGGTCGGCGCGGGAAGGGGCAAAGTCGTGAACGGCAGGCACAGACGCCTCCTTCGCGTCCACGTAACACACGGCGGACGAGGGCGAGTCGGATTGCAAAAGTCCTGCCCTCGGTTCCACCTCTTCCGCTGTCAGACTCGTACTCGGGTCGTCGGCCATGACGGCCGCAAGTTCCGCGTCCTGCAGGTTTGAATTCATTCGGAATCAGGCGCCAGATGGCGCCGACGTCGCCTCGCTCCCTTAGGCAGATGGCACAGCCATGTCGTGCAGCGTTGTTTTATTCGTGATGGGAGGGGAGCGTGGGCGACGGGCGTGGCATTCTGGAGCGGGCAGGCTCGATGCGAGTGCAGCGGGCGGGTGGTGCTGGGCAGTGTCTGAGACTGCGGGCTGGCGGGGCGCTGGATGTCTTTGACAGGCCGTGATGTTGAGGCACTCGAGGCACTCGAGCGATGGCCCGACGTGGAGGCGGGCTAGCAGCTCAACCGAGCAGCCAAAAAGCAGGACGTAACCACTACGGGCAACGATGGACGCAGAGCTGCAAGTGTGGACGGCGGTATATGACGCTGAGGTGGGCAAAGACGGTTAGGTGGGTCGTCGGAGGTGCGCCAGAACTTCAGGCCGGTTGAGAGACGACAAAGGCCGGAAGCTGCGTGGTTCTGAACGAGCAAGGAGGCGGGCAGAGCACGAACAAAGCACGCTTTGAAGGGCAGGCAGGAAGTGGGCCTGTCTCTCGGACGCTTCTTGGGGATCTGCTCGTCTGTCGTCCGCGAAGAGCGAGCGAGCAGATGGCTCGAGCGATGCCAATGCGCTGCAGCGTTTCACGCCCCACCTCGCGAATCCTGTCTACCCGTGCTGCGGCGCGCGGCCAATGGCGTCTGCTGCGCCCGCCGCCCACTGACGATTCGGTACGCGGGCGCCCGTAAGAATGCAGCGCCGCGTGCCAAACCTCCCTGCTGCCGCGCCCAGCCGCGAGCCCGACGCGGACAAGCAGCGCCTGGGCACGCTGCAGCATCCCGGACACGCTCTGTGCAGGGCTCGTTAGGGATCCCAACACGATGCGTGTGGCGTTCCCAATGCCTCGCGAGGTGTTCGCTGATCGGCGAGCGTGAGCCTGCGTGCGTGCGTGCCTGCGTGCGTGCCTGCCTGCGTGCCTGCCTGCCTGCGACGAGGTGCTTGGGGTCACCGCCGCGGCGTGAGGCAGGCCGACTCCCCACCAGCGCGTTGTTGGCCAGCCCACCACCAGCGCATTGGCGGCCAACCCACACCAGCGCAGCGTCGGCCAACCCGCACCAGCGCATGGTTATTGCCGACGCAGGTCGACGGGCCCTGGGCAGACGCCGATGGTCGTGGATGGGGACGCCTGTGCGCTATGTAGGCCTGTGCGTGTATTGAACACCCTCACCCCAGCTGCCGTCATGCAACTTTTCCTCTAGCCGCGATAAGCAATCCTGACCAATGTGCTTTCGAGGCAGCAATCAACCCCAGATTTTCGCCTCCCCCCTCGTCTGTCTTTGCTTCTTCGCTCCCGCACTGCTGCACCCGCCGAGCCCGAGAGTCCCGAGTGGAGCGTCTCTCCTCTCCGCCCGCCCATCGCAATCCCACCCCAAGTCCGCTCCAGTCTCTGCACAGCAGTCAAGACTTGACCTGCCCGCTGCCAGCCGCCGGTTTCCCAAGCGTTGCGCTGCTGCACCACCACGACTCGCCTGGCCGTCGTCACCATACCTTATCCGACGCCCGCGCCGGTCGACCGCGACCGAGCTGCGACTGCAGCACGCATGAGCTATCGTGAAATACCCTTTTGCGTTAGACTACGGCTTCATTTCAGTCGCTGTGCCTGGCCAGAGCGCACCTCTGCGGCTGCCGCACTGGCCCAAAACCCTCGCCTGCAGTCACACCCTGCGCCTTTGTGCAGCACCGCTTCGGCGCCAGCACACGGACCGCGGCCTGTCGACGTTCCAGGCCGTCCCGCACTCTCTGTTTTCCATCGTCACCATCTGCAGCCGTCTTGACCATTCCCAATCCTCGTCATCGTCTTCAATCCAACCGCCGCTTGATTGCTCCATGCCCACCGGCCACGCCCAGGAGGCCACGCCCTCGTCCCAGATTGGCGCTGCACCTCCATCCCCATCCTCCACCAGCTATCGTGACTCCACGCTAAGCGTATTCGCCCTGCTGCTTGCCTTCCGCATCGTCAACGCTTTGACGCTGCGCACTTTTTTTCCAGCCCGACGAATTCTTCCAGTCCCTCGAGCCAGCATGGCAGCTGGCCTTTGGCCAGCACGCCCAAGCCTGGATCACATGGGTAAAGCCCCCCACCGCTCATGCCGTCGCATGTCTCGCGTAGACTCCCATCATATCTCACACCTTGTTCAGGAATGGACTGCCCAACTGCGCTCGTCCCTGCATCCCGAGCTGTTTGCCCTCGTCTATAAGGGCGCGGCAACGCTGGCAGACACCTGTCGCTTTAGCCTTCCTGCAAAAGCCGAGCTGCTCTTGGCCGCGCCGAAACTTACTCAAGCGGTATTTGCAGCTTTGCTAGATTGCTACACCTGGAAACTTAGTGAAAAGGCTTACGGCCGTGGCAGTCGCACTGCATATACTACTGTGCGTAGCCCGCTTGTCAAGTTCCAGCCGTCCCTCATATATTCTGATGCTTCGCGACTGTAGCTCGCATTGTCCGTATGCAGTCCCTGGCAATGGTTCTGTTCGACCCGGACCTTGTCCAATTGTCTTGAGACGGCCATAACAGCTGTTGCATTTTATTACTGGCCTTGGCACTGGCTGGGGTCAGCATTGCCTGGTGATTTTCGCTCCGACGATGAGAAGCAACCCAGAATCGCCTCCCGAGGCTCGTCCTTACCCTTCATCTTTCAGTAAGTGTGATGGGGAACATTGAGATGTTGTCCGAGTAACCCTCTCTAACGCCGGCACTGATACATTTGCTGCAGGCTGCGCCTGTCACTGCTCCTAGCTGCCTTCGCCTGCATTCTACGTCCAACCAATGCCCTCGTCTGGATCACTCTATCGCTGCCAACATGTTGGCACGCCTCAAACCGGCAACAGTACATTCTGATCCGTGAGATCTCGCTCTGCGGGTAAGTCCCCATACATCCGCCTGCGCTGGTCCCTTTACTTCAATCGACGATCGACTGATAACATCAGTGCTGCCACGATCGGCTGTTCTGTCCTCTCCGACAGGCTTTACTACCAGACATGGACCTTCCCGCCTCTCCGGTTCCTTCACTTTAACATCGTCCAGTCATTGGCCGTTTTCTATGGTAGAAACCGCCCAGACTATTATCTGACTGAAGGGTTACCACTTCTGCTTACCACCGCACTGCCCTTCGCCGTTGTTGGGCTCTGGCACGCACTGTCCACGAACACCTCCAAGCGATCCGGAGATCCTCGGGACGTGGAAGCCCAAACGGTGCTCACCCAACTTGCGTGGACATCGCTAATCATTACCACTTCCTTGAGTCTGATCGCCCACAAAGAGGTCCGCTTTCTGTATCCCATCCTACCGTTCCTCCACGTACTCGCCGCCAAGCCCTTCACCACGTTCTTCCCTTCCCAGCTGTCGATCTCTCGCAAGGCATTCCTTACCCTGCTCCTCACTATCAATCTGCTCATTGCCGGCTATGCATCGCAGGTTCATCAGCGCGGCGTCATCGATGTTCTGACCTACCTCCGCCATATACACGAAGCAAGTAATTACCCTACATCCAATACCGGCGCAAGCGCGGCCAACACCACAGCCGCCTTCCTTATGCCCTGTCACAGCACGCCCTGGCGCTCCCATCTCGTACATCCCTCTATTAACGCTTGGGCCCTGACCTGCGAGCCCCCACTCAACATCCCGCTTCCGGACCGAGCCGCCTACCTAGACGAGGCGGATCAGTTCTTCCTGACCCCCGGGCCCGCTGGTTGGCTGCGGGAAAATATGGAATACGTCGACACGGTCGGGGCGAGCGGCTCGCGATCGAGCCGCCATTGGGGTCGTGTTGATCCTAATGTGCAGCGTGCGAGCAAGAGGCCGTGGCCGCAGCATTTGGTCTTCTTTGAACAGCTCGAGCCAGCGTTGAAGGAGTACCTGGGGAACAGTAGGTACAAAGAGTGCTGGCGCGGGTTTAATTCGCACTGGCACGATGATTGGCGGCGGAAGGGTGATGTGTTGGTGTGGTGCCTAGACTGAGTTGAGACGATCTGATCTGTGCCTTGCATGGACATGCTGCTGCATTGTGGTGTTTGACAGCTTTCCAGGCTTGGAGTGCGTGCCGGTCCCGAACGGGGAGCTAGTGGACGGGCCGGTCCTTCGAAGGATGAAACTGCCACGCCACCCAACAGCTCACTGCGGATACCGATCCTGCAGAGCGGTGAAAATTTGCACGCCCACTGCAATTGCCGACGTGTACAATTGGCTTGGCTGTCCGTTGAGCTGCGCTGCGTTTTGCATTGCAGAATCTGTACAGCAACATCGTAGCGCTTTGGAGCGGAGCATAATGTACCATCTAGCAAACTGCCAGAATGCAACATCTCCAATGTATCCCATTTCCTTTGCGCTCTTTATTCTCCTCCATGAGCGCATTTCAAATATATCCGCATTCTGATATGTATTGCTTCAGTGTTTCACCTTTCTGAAGCTCTATAGACCATCGTGCATCCCCAGGAACATAAGTATTCCAAAGTGCAAACGGAGTATCCAGGGGCGACGCCCGCATGCCTTCCTCTTAAAATAAAAAAAAGCCACTTTCTCACACCCACCTGTCATACTCATTTGACTCTCGATCATACTGTGTTCCATGTTATATAAATGAACTGCCAGTGGTTCGAGGGGCGTGAGGATTGGACTTAGGATTTTAGAGCGCGACTCCAAGCTCACCCCACCCCAGGTGAAAACCATATCTGGCGGCTTCAATTTAGTCTTTGTGCCGAAACTTGTCACGGCAAGCGGCCATAACACAATTTCTAATGCGTCATGCGGTTCCTACTCGATTGCAATGTCGACTACTAACGATGACTGACATGCTTGCAACCAGCAAACTGCAGTCCGAAACGCGCATTGAAGTAGAATGGCTGCAGGAACACTATTATGGACGATCCGTGTTACCAACCAAATGACAAGCAGCTTAACACATCAGCCACAAGCGAAGAAATTACGACATAAAGCCGAAGCCAAAAGAATCCGTCAGCACAGTACCTGAAGGGTACAAGTTCTCCTTTCGATGCTGAATCGCCAGCGCGCGTGAATACTTCTCTTTTGTTTCTTTTTCAAAAAACTTAAAAAAAAAACAAAAACTGGATGTAGACAGTGCGTGAATGTCTAGGCACAGCTCGAACGAAACAGGATTTCAAGTACTGCGGACTGACCGCTCGATGCGTTGAGATGACGCTATATACAACGCAATGCATAAGAGGTCCTAGATTACAACAAAACCTTCGCGGCAACGCTGACAAGCCATGCTGCATCGGCCCAGCCTCCACCTTCCTCACCCAGAGTCGGTCTCACAGCAGCTCCAGCCTCATCACTCGCTTTATCTCTGTCATTCGGCGCCTGAACAGCCGCTGCCGCGATGATAGCCTCACGCTCAAGATTCCTCCGCTTGGCCTCGACCTCCCGCCTGAGCTTCAGCTCCTCCTTCGTCATGTTCTCAGGTCGGGGCGTTTCGCCCTCTTCTTCATCTTCTGAAGACGACTCTTCGCCATCTTCGTCCACGCTGAACAGCGTCCAACCCATTAGTCTGTCTACCCAGGTACCAAGGCCGAAACCACGCTCGCGCGCCAAACGAGCAACTTCCTCCTCGTCGCCCTCGTTTTCTTCATCAGCCTCGACGAAGTCCGCTTCTAGGGGACCCTCCTCGAACATGGCGTCTTCCATCTCCAGGCTATGGCGCGCGCTGGGTGTCCGCAGGCCGGCAGTCATGGTGAGATCGGCGCGGCTGCCCACGCGGGATCCTCTTCGACTTGTGCGCGCGCTAGGTGCACGACTCACAGCACGGCTCTGCACACGGCTTTGAGCACGGCTGCCGGCCCTCGAGTAGCGCGGTGTGAAGATGCTGTACTCGACGTCGGTTAGATGCTCGCCAGACAGCAACGCCATGTGCCGACCCTCATGGGACGGATACTCCTCGTAGCCGTCGCTCTGGTGGACCAAACTCGTGGAGCTCTCCCTGCGCACCAGCCAGCCCTGTCCCTTGGAGTCTCTTGTCTCTCCAGCTATTACCATGCCTGCGCGATGGAACCACTCGTTCGTTGACTCGCCGGTGTGGTGTCGAAGGTGGGCGGGACGTAGAGGCAGCGGCGCGGTGCCCTTCCGCGCGTGATGCCGGCCCTGAAGCTTGGGCTGGTCCGCAAAGCTCACGCCTGGAAGGAGCGCGGTGGTGCTCTTCGCCTTTGGAACATGGCCCGCGTCCCTTACAGGCACATCCGGGTTCATGAAGTAGCCGTCGTAGGCATATGCTTTGTTATTGCGCCTGCCATTGCGCGAGCTGCTGCGGCTCTGGCTCAGGCTGAGGATTCCCGGGGTGGTGGGCGCGCTCTTTTGCGCAATATACGAGGTACGCGGGGTGTAGATGCGGTCCTCGTCTGGGGATGGGGGTGCGGAGGCATCGAGTGGATACTGGCTGCTTAGTGGGGCCAGCGAGAGGTTGTGCAGGTTGGGGTAGGAGCGGCGCGTGGACTGCGAGCGTGGAGGGTCCATTGTGCTTCGATGATGGCGATGGGCGGGCTTTGCTCTGGTGCAGGCTATCAAGAAGCTGGCTTGTCTGTGGGGTGATGGAGTGATTCAAGACAACGTGACTGCTGGTCCCCCGAGGTCCACCAACTCTCAGAAGCTCGTGCACTGCAGCGCGCCCGCGGGCACGGCCTGAACACGGGAGCGCCAGGCCCAAACGGGCATCGGGAGACGTCACATGCTGACCCTGTTCTCGCAGTTGTGCCATCTGCATCGTTCCACTGGGAAAATGGCAAACAACGACAATAGCATCAGCACCAGCATCAGCAAACAGGCTTGGTGTCCTCGGGGCTCGCGTCGGAGGAAACGGGGCTCAACAGCGCCGCCAAGGTGCTGGCGAGAGCCGATGGCAACGGTGGTTCAGCTAGACGGAACCAGCGAGCGGGGGCGTCTCCGGTCAAAATCAGACTGCTTGGGTGCAAGCAACGCTGAGGACGGCTGTAACCCCCACGAAGAGTCGACAATGCTCATGCGGCTCTGCGATGTTGCTCGACCGCGGGCAATGCCAACGGGCGGTGACGTCGTCCCTGCCGCGGGGGAAGTTCGGCGCCGTCAAAGTCCTCGTTCTTCCGAGCGTCCCCTGACTAAGCCTTCAATTTCTGGGACGGTTGTGCTCGCGGCTTGATCCTCTTCAACACTACCACTACCAGTTTGCACCTCGCGTAGTCTAGCCTGACCTCCGTCACCCGCGCCTCCACACACACATTCACACTCACGCAGACATCCCTCTGCACACCTGCGCTTCGACCTTCAACCCTCCGCCACCCTCCATCCTTTGACGACCATGCACATTGCCAACTTCACGGTCTGCGCCCACAATACACCATGCGTCCTTTAAACCACCGGTAACCGCGAAGTAAGTCACATTTCCAGCACCTTCTTCTGTGCAGTACCACCGGGAGCCCGCCGCACTCGAGGCTGGCATGTAGGCACGCAACATTGTGACGACCACGGTTCCATAATGCGATTTTTCCATTCTCGACTCACAACGAACCAGGCTTCGCTCCGCAGGTGGCTGCCCTCCTTTAAAAGAGGAACGCCTCCATCGACTTCCCAAATTCAAGTTTACGCGCATTTGGGAAAGTCTACACCACCCGACCCTTCACACCGAATCCTCCGACGCGAGACGCAGGTCTCCGAGCGCCGGAACAAGCGGACTTGCTTCTCGTGACGTCTGCCGTAGGCTACGAATTCACAGCAAGCCTACAGAAGCCTCAACCGTCGCCCAATACCAGCCAGACGTTAGACCAGCGGCGCCGTTGAGAACACCCCCCTTCCAGTCGCACCGTTACGCGTTCGCCAACATGTCTACCACCAACGTCGAGCAGCCTACAGCCAGAAACAGTCTCTTTACCAGCGTCAAGAGCTACTTCGCCAATCTTGGTTTGTCTACCAGCAATCTGCTCACCGAGCACGCTGCATGCACCCACCACGAAGACCTCGTTGACGGTTCGGATGGAGCCGACGCAGCCAAGACACGCACCCCTTCCCCAATCACAGAAACCATTGCTCCCGGACGGTTACGTTCTCTGTTTCCGCCAAGCAACTATGGTGCTGTTGTCCCAGGCAGTGTGTACCGAAGCAGCTATCCCCAGGCAAAGAACTTCGACTTCTTGCAGAGCCTGAAGCTAAAGACGATCATCACCCTCGTGCCTGAGGGGATTCCGGAAGACTATCAAGAGTTCATGAAGTTGGCCGGCATCCAGCACTTCCAAGTGCACATCAACGCCAACAAGGGCGCCGTGCGCGTCCAGAGCTGTGATATCAACCGCGCTCTGAACATTGTTCTCGATCGCACCAATCACCCCATCCTCATTCACTGCAACAAGGGCAAGCATCGCACTGGCTGTGTTGTTGCTACCATGCGACGCATCCAGGGATTCGACATCGAGGCCATCCGCCACGAGTACCACACGTATGCCGACCCGAAGGCCCGTTTCTGGGACGAAGTCTTCTTCGAGCACTTCGATGTCAACACGGTCATGTGGCTTGCGCGGAAGGAGAATTGGGTGCTTCCCGAGGTCGATGGTGCTCCCATCTCGCCTCCGCCCTCACCCGTCTCGTCGCTGGCCGTCGCGAAGCCGTTGGCATAACACCCGCCAGGTCAACCTCAATGCGGGCGATTTCCTATGTTTTTTTCATAGATCACTCCAGAAATAAAGTGGATATCACTTATCTTGCATTAGCGGCGGCGTCGGGCAGGAAAAGACTATCATCAAGTCGAAAAGAACTGGGCTCTGGGGGCGTTTTGTACAAGAGCTGTCTACCTACCCATAGGACAGTTTCCGGGGGCGGGTTTTACGCATCTTTTCTGGCGTTTCTTCGTTATGGTCAGCCCCCATTAGTGGCAGCAAAGGCTTATCATGGCCTCGGACCCTGTTCGAACTGTGTATTGTGTTGTGTTCACTAAATATGTATTTTTATTCCGAAAATTTTACTGGCTGCACCGCGATGTGCTTTACATTCGCCATCACCACCCATCAACTCATCATCTCAGTGTGCAGTTCTAATTCCGATATCCTCTGGCATCATTGAACGACCGAAAATTGCCACCACGCCCGAATACAGCCCTAAGGGGTATCACATATGCTCACAGTAATTCCACGCAGCTGCAAACTCGCCTCCGTCCTCATGCCGTCGATTTCAGGTCGCGTCATACCGGTGGTAGCTAGTCATTCAAGGAAGTCGTGGCCTGATTCCGCAATGTTGATGCATTCCACTGCGTCGAACAGCATGAAGGAGTGGCGTGTGATGTATATTTGGAGGTATAGTAGGAGTGGTGGAAGCAATCGCTTGCCAACGGCGACGAGGTCTCGCGTAGTCCCTTCTCTCGAACGCAGTAGCGTGCTAGTCTTTCTCTCGAACGCGGATCCGACACTCTGACGACAAGCTCACTTCATTCTAAAACCAACATGAGCTTCGCTAGCCTCATCCTTGCTGGGAAGACATTAATTTCTAATAGACCAGATTAATAGACAGCTGCTTTCAGCGAACGTTTCTATTTATCAAAGCGAGTGCAGCGGCAGGTGCGAAGACCGCCAGGGTATCTTTATCACAACTCCACTTGTCAGCCACAGACTTCATGCCTCCACAACCCCACTCCAAGTCGTGTCACCGGTACACCATCGATAGAGAGCCATGGTCACCTTCCGCGCTTACTCGTAATAGCCTAGATGTCTCTGCCCATAGAACCTCATGATTGGGTACCGCGCCACCTGCCTCGGCCACTCCATATAATGCCTTAACTCTGGAGGTATGTTCCTGTAGATGCCATCAACCCATCCTAGCACTGAAGTCGGCGCATCAACACCTTGGGAAGCCCACCCTTTCGAGCATCAAGATTGGCGTGAGCACAGCCTGCAGGGCGATAAAATGAGCTAACAGAACCTGAGCAACCGTGTTGTTCGGGTCGACAAAAGATTGGGAATTCGTCGTGGGTCCATCGTGATGGAATATTGTACAGTTGCACGAAAGTCGTATACGCTTGGATCGGTCTGTCGTAAGCATTCTCAACTGTTCGGGACAATGTGCCCCAGAAAGTCTTTTCCCATTCTGTCATGCTGAGCATTTCGATGTCGTGGATCGATAAAGCGGCCAGATCCAGGTCATCTCGATTAACGAAACTCTGTTGTGACGCGCACATGCGTGTTCGCATCGTCGCAAGATGTCCATCTTCACGGAATGCCTAGATGCGTCAGCCTCCGCCTATTCTGCAAGCCGGTTAAGCATGGCAAAGGTACGTACATGAAAGGCCGAGTCCACATTGTCCAGTGTGCCCTCCAAGGCAATCAAATTACAACCTCTCACCATCGTCAGAAATTCTAGTAGACCATCCTGGAGATGACTCGATTGGAATGCGAGTGCCAGTGCCGCCGCCATTCTTGCATCACGTTCATTTCTCGTCTTTGGTGGCACTGATAACGCATCGTTCAAAGCTTTTACTGCTAGTATCCTGTGCGATATAGCCTCTTCAGCTACATTGGCGCTCGAAACTGCATCCAGGTGCGATGCAGCCAGCGCCAGGATTGAATGAATCAGGTATTTGTACTGGGAGAGATCAGTACCGGCTAATGATGTTGCGAAGATTGCGTGTTTGGTTATGGCATCGAAGTCCGACTTTGTGTAGGAAGCAAATGCAGAATTTCTCCTTATGAGACACGACTTACATTGTGTGCGAAACTCGGTATCACAGTGATCCATATTTTGTCGGCGCCTACCGGCAGATGAGGGTATGCTGTGATCAAGAAGTGGTGGAAAAGGCGCATATCCGCCATGGTCTATAGACATCAGATGCTGCCAGGGGAACGCTAGACATCTGGATCACTCACGAACAAGCCAGGCGTTGAGCGCAGATTCACCATCTCCTGTGGGTTTGGAGATGACGGCAATGGCTGCGTTGTCTGGATGATATTTGCCGGATACTCACAGCGCAACCCTGCCTTGATGCAGTGGTTGCATTCCGGGTGCCTTTCATTACACTTGATTCTACGTCGCTTGCAGTTATAGCAGCCTCGTCGTGATTTGGTGTGCCCCTTCCTCGGTATTGGCTTGCGAGGCTGAGGGGGCGGTTGCTGGCTCTCTGCCCGGCTGTGGCTTCGACTTGGACTCTCAGGGCACGTCCCAGGATAAGTGTCGGGCGAACTGTTGGTAGAGCCGTCGGAATGGTCCGTGGACTGGCGACCAGGCAGCGATGGCAGCGACATGGAAGATGTCAACATGCGTGGTGCCGCGAATAGCCTCCCCTGCGCGATATATACAACCCGCACGGCTGGTACACACTGGCTCGAAAGCGAATTTGGGGCCTTAGACCGGGAATGGGGAGCACCTCTCTACGAGGATGTAGGTGGTCCTGCTCGGCCAGGAGAGATGAGGTGTAATGTCCAGCTGAGTCACAGCGTTGCTCGTATCCCAACGAATAGGAGCCTTTCTGCCACAGTCCTGTCGGCCGCGCGACGTGCCTGCGGCCGTTGGCACGGCAGGATGAAGCTCACCGGCGGTTTGAAGGCTGAGCCGATTGTGCGGTCAACCCGCAGCACGAAGAGGAAGAAGCCTAGGTTGCCACTTCACACGACTTTCCGCTTCTCTCTTCACGGTCGCAATCGTATAATCCGTTTGAAAATAGCACTGTGCAACAAAAAGGCAGTTTCAGTAGGCGGACCCCATGTCCGACGACCGCAGGCTATTTTTGCGCTCCTCAGGAGACAAGCCTTGCCAAGCTCTGGGAGATGTGCGGTGATAGGCGTCCGAGGGCGCGACTCCGCATCCTCGATGGGCGCGCGACGAAAAGATGAGCCATCCGTGGGATTGGCACGACCAGCACGAATCAATTATATCTCATGGTCGAGATGAAAATCACGCATCTCCGCTGCGTCGGGACGCGTCGTCTGGACATGGCCAAGCGGACTAGACCGTTCTTGACGTGGACGGCGTAACGCTCCCTCATTGCCGCGCCTACGTGCTGCCGATGTTGTTGCTATATCTGCTTCCGATACGAGGAGTTGTTGTTACCATCAACATGTCCGACCCCTTCCAGATATACACCGCCTCGACATCTTTGCAGCCCCACCATTGGTAGAACCTCATGCTACTTCCAATGCAGGCCAGTCGGGAGCACTGCCACAATGCCCATCGCAATACGAGCTTGCTATTCACAGTGCGTAGAACGTGGAGCAGTCCGAACCTGCAACAAGAAGACGGGAAATGGAAATCTATATAGCGACCGCAAAGTCACACACGCGTGGGAGAGTCATGGCATCGACACATTCAGCAATATATTCGTGATATCATCCAGTGGTCTTCTGGTTAGGGAAGTCCCTTTACAACAGCTAGCTGCGTATTCTTTCACAGTATCAGGTCATGTCTTATGCTGGGCATATACACTGAGAAAATGCATGCGGTCGTATTGCATTTCGCAGGATCGGAGACCCTGTTGTGGGTCGCATGCCATTGGGCGAGTGGTTGCACAGCAGGGGAGGGCAAGTCTGGAATCGAAGCGGGGTTGATGGATACAGGCCGTCTTCCTGACTCACTGCCATGCGGACTTCGCTTAGACCAGAAAGACAAGATTACAACGAAGCGCTCGTTACTGATTGTGCCTCCAATAGTTGCATGTTTGGATTTGCTACATTTGAATACTAGGTCTTATTAATCCACCTTCGAAGACGTCTGCGCCTCGAACGTATTGCACAATCCAAGCCACATAACCTTATTCATAGACAGAATCCGATACTCTGACAGGCAAGTCCAGACTCCGCCATTGCACGTGTTATCATTGTCTCTATCGCTATTCAAGTAGCTTGTCGTGCGACCATCGGTAGCTGCCATAGACACCAAATGCATGAGCACCTGCATGACCCATCCATCGATGATGGCCTTGTCATCTGAGAGGTTCCCGTTGGCCTTGCTCTTTAAACATGCGAAACGCTTCGCCAGAAATCCAGGTTTTCCACATGCTTGGGCTTGCGGGGGCTTGCCACAGCCCGCAGAGAAGGAGATGATTACCGCGATAGAGCGGTCTCCATGGTCATGTGAGTGCCTGCATCTCGCTCATATGATTACATTGAGGTTTCTATGCTTAGCTTAGACGTGACTACGAGAGGCCATGTCAAAGGCGCACATGAGTCTGTGGCAATGACAAAGATGTCTGCCGCCTACCCCTTCTCCACACTCTCACATCTATCTCGATTCCAGAACGTAGCTTTTTCGGCGACTCTTCGCTTCCAAGCGCCTAAGGCGGTATACGTGCGCGTCCCGGCGCTGCCTGAGTATCGATATCGATGTTGTGGTATGTATCTCGTCTCCTTCGATAATGGTAAGTTGGTGTAGCTACGGATTGCGCATGATTCACCTGGATGGGATATACAGACGCTCGATGCATTCTTGTATTCTGATCTAGATCCGCGATCACCTGGCTTGTCAACGATCACTCGTGCAGAGATGATAGGAAATCGTTGTTCGGAAGCATATCAAGAAGCCCAATGTTGTAGATTCGACGCCGCATCGCGCGCCCTTCACCATGATGTTTCTTGATCTATGCTGGATCGGCCCCAGGAAAATTACAAAAGTGCCGACGTGTCGTTGTTTCCTGTGTACCAAGTCTGTTATACCTCAACGTGGTGGTGTAATACCTCCACCCACCTGTTTTCTCTCTCGGCCATATCAAAGAGACAATTCCTAGCGAAGCTCGCACATGTTCAGAGCTTTATTGTTATCTCACAAGCTGCTCAAGGGTCAAAATTCATGTAACGTTGGTGTTGCAGGATCGACAGGGTCGGGTTACTGGCACAAATGACGACCCCGCAATGTACCTCTCAATCAGGCAGGAGCTACATCTAACGTGACGTCTTACGGTACTGCGCAAGAACCGATCCCTAATAAGACAACAATGGCTTCTGAATACTTTGTCTTCGATCTGTCGTCGCGTTCGCTGTTTGCGACTGTTACTGTTGCAATGGTTCATTTCTGGTGCTGGAGCGCAGCGGCGGTGTGCACGACCTTACCCATCGCAGCGAGCACATCCTTGAAAAGTGCCAATGATTCAGAAGTGCTGGAATATGTCAATCCTTTGATTGGAAGCCAGGCAGGAGGCAACGTGTTCGCCGGCGCTACGTTGCCCTATGGCATGGTGAAAGGTGAGTGCACAACCAGGTGACATGAAATTATGTGGATGAAGTATGCCCCATACCTGCGATTGGTGCGAGAATAGTCGCAACACCTTAGGATTGTAGACTGTGGGTATCGGCGATACAATGTTTGACCCTTCCATATGTCAAATAACCACGGAATTCAGGGGCGATAGCTAACGCCCCTTGCAGCTTCCCCAGACGTCAATGGCGAGAATACAGGAGGATTCTCCACTGATGGCTCTCAAATCACCGGCTTCTCAGCTCTCCATGACTCCGGAACGGGCGGCAACCCTAGTCTCGGCAACTTCCCTATCTTTCCTCAAATATGCCCCAGTAACGATATCAACACGTGCAAATTCCCCTTGGGAGCGAGAGCTACCAATTATACCAATGACTCCATCATTGCAAAACCAGGATACTTCAGTGTATCTCTTGAAAACGGCATCAAGGCTGAGATAGCAGTCTCTGAGCATGCCGCTCTTTTCGAATTTGACTTTTCTAGGGGCTCGAACGGAAATGGAAGCGCGGATCCGTTGATCATGCTCGATCTCACTGATCTCTGGGCTAGTCGGCAGAACGCATCTATCCACATTGAGGCAGAAGAGGGAAGTGAAGGCGGAAGAATCAAGGGAAATGGAACTTTCCTACCCAGCTTCGGAGCCGGATCTTACATCGCATACTTCTGTCTGGATTTGAGCGGCGGTACAGTGAAAGACTCTGGCGTATGGGTGAACAACCGGGCTGGCACCGAACCCAAAGATCTATACGTCACACGTGGCTTCAATCTGTTCTACCTCGAAGCTGGAGGTTTTGTTCGATTCAGAGGACCGATATCTGGACCAATCTCCGCACGAATGGGTATCAGCTTTATCAGCACTGATCAGGCTTGCCAGTCTGCACAGGACGAGATACCTGGGCCAGACTATGATTTCGATGGTCTTGTGAGCAAAGCGCAGGACGCGTGGAGAAAGAAGCTCGCTCCAATCTCTATCGAATCTGGCGGGGTAGACGAAAATATGCTCGTCAGCTTTTGGACTGCCGTCTACCGCACCATGATATCACCGCAGGATTACACAGGTGAAAACCCACACTGGACTTCATCGGAACCGTACTTCGACTCCTTCTACTGCCTTTGGGTGAGCACTCCCTAGGGAACAAGTCGGTGTTTTTGCTGTTGCCGCTATTTTGGACATCCAGGTTTTTCTCCAACGTGCGAGAGTATTAAATATGAACGGCCAGCCAAGACACCTGCTCAACCCTAATTTCCCTGTTCTGTAATCATTACACTGACTTAATCGCTCGGCATTGCAGGACATGTGGCGCGTGCAACTCCCTTTCCTTACCATACTGGACCCTCTTCAACAGTCGCGCATCGTTCGGAGCCTCCTAGATATTTACAAGCATCGTGGTTGGCTACCCGACTGTAGTATGAGCACCTGCAAAGGCTGGACGCAAGGTGGGTCTGACGCAGACAATGTACTTGTCGATGCGTACGTGAAGAATCTTACCAATATCGACTGGAATCTCGCATACGAAGCGATAGTCAATGATGCAGAAAACGAGCCACTCGAGTGGAGCGTCGAGGGACGTGGCGGACTTGCCTCGTGGAAGCGACTAAACTAGTACGCAATGCCGGGGTACAAAGTGGGTGTTCAGGCTAGGTGATTGTCTAAGACTCTAGGCCTTACACCTCCAGGTCTGCAATCTTCAGACATTCGTAGTAGGCTAGAACACCTACTTCAACCACTTCCCTAATCTACGGACACTACACTGACTTTGTACCCCGATCTTTAGCGTACCATACCTGGATTTTGATCCCAACGGGTTCGGCACAAACTCGCGGAGTATATCGCGGACACTAGAGTATTCGTACAATGACTTCAACCTAGCCACTCTTGCAAAAAGTCTTGGAAAAGATACTTACAAGAAATACATCGCACGTGCGGGTAGTTGGCAACATCTGTTCAAGGCTGATCAGCCATCGGATATCAACGGAACAGACACAGGCTTCACAGGCTTCTTTCAGGTAAGCACTCACGTAACGGAGACAATCTGTATGTAAAAAACTCTGATCCTTTGTCAGCCCAGGTACCTAAACGGAACCTGGGGCTACCAGGATCCGATCGCTTGCTCTCCACTTGCCGATTTCTGCTCCCTAACAAGTAACCCGAGTGAAACTTTTGAGAGTAGTGCATGGGAATACATGTTTGTGAGTAAACCAACGCCCATACCCCACGTCTGGGTCCTAAAGTGCTGGCATAGTTTGTACCTCACGACATTGCCAAACTTATCGAGCTACTCGGCGGAGAAGAAACCTTCCTTGAGCGACTCGACTTCTTCCACACATCCGGCCTCGCAGATATTGGCAACGAGCCTGTCTTTCTTACAGTTTATATGCCGCACTATGCGGGTCGTCCAGGACTTAGTGCGAGAAGAGCGCACTACTGTACGTTCAATCATGTCCGCATCAATGAAGTTTCGCTATCTAAGAGATGTTTAGACATACCCTCCCACTTTAACTCTTCGCTCGACGGGCTTCCAGGAAACGACGACTCGGGAGCCATGGCGTCTTTCACTCTATTTTCAACTATTGGCCTCTTTCCCAATCCTGGTCAAAACGTGTACTTCATCATTCCACCCTTCTTCGAATCTGTCAGCATCACCTCGCCCGCCACGAACAAGACCGCCACGATAAAGAATGTCAACTTTGATAGGGGGTTTCAAAACATCTACATTCAGAGCGCCAAGCTAAACGGGGACGAGTATAGCAAGAATTGGATCGGACACGAGTTCTTTACCGAAGGATGGTCACTCGAGTTGGTACTGGGGAGGGAAGAGAGTTCGTGGGGAACTAGAGTGGAGGACAGACCACCGAGCTTCTCGGACGCGACTGGGAGCGTAGGTTATATGGATTGATGGGGACGGGAGAAGTACGAGATACATGTTAGTTTCGCACAAAAGACCTAATTCTCGCACATTCGGTGATTCTGCTACAGCCCGTCACCATCCTCCTTCCGGCTCCTCCCCAGATCCACCTTCTACGGCATACATAAGACCAGTTCTCATAGTGAACTTCATACCTTTTACTAAACAGTAGGACGCGACCACATGTTGGCTCAACGTACATGCTGTGATGCATATCCCAGGCGTAGAAGGAGGTTACGCCGCCTCACTGAAGTACAGATAAATCTTGAAAGAATATCGCTCGGTGCCGACCGGCGCCTTATATATGCCATCACAATGTGCTGCCAGATGCGGGATCATCATCCTGGATAAGATCGCCCTACGGACCATATACCTTTAAAGTACTTCCCACCATTGTGCTTCAGGAACAGAGCACGCTCGTTCAGCCTCCTAGCGACCCATTGTGACGTCCGGCCAGTCCCTGATTTTGTGAAAATCAGGCACAGCCCCTTCGACTCTTGCCCAAACTTTTGCCATAGACTCCCAGCTATCCCGAATGATGCGACCACACTTCCGTATCCTTCCAGACAACATTTGTGCCCCATGTCCGATGTTGATCATTGCTCTTTCTCACTCGCCGTTTGTCGTCGCTTTAGCAGCTGCCACCAGTTAACTGCATTCTCCTTTGGCCAATACACCATTGAGCATCGCTGCGTACGAGCTGTCGTAGTCATGTAATCTAGCTTTGACAAATTCGATCTGGAATTTGTTCAGGGCATGTGGTGGGCCGTCGAGGAAACCCTCGGGCAAATCGCGTGGTGGTACCATGTTATCGATGCTTTCGACTAGGCTGTTACTTCTTGGAACCTCGAAGAGCTCTCAAAAATTTGCCAATATGTCGTTCGAAGAGGTTAAAGGGGATTGCGCTTCGGTGTTCCAAAGATCAACCCTGTATGCAAGGCTGGGGAACCACTGTCCCCTTAATGGTGGCCTCCATGCTGCACCCCGTGTCAGGCCGGCATCGCCCCTTTACCAAACTGGTTCATAGATTGACATTTTCGTCTTTGATAATTTGAGATGCGATCAAACATTGCAAACATGTAGGACTCCCAAGGCCGTAGCTTGAAGCAAGCGGTCTAGCGCCAGTCGCGGAAGCTGACACGGTTGCTCCACACATGCACTTTGGATGACGTTGATTTCCGACGTTGCTTTGTAAACACGTACAACTCCCGTAACCCTTCTAGGCTCCGACAGACACGATCGTACATTGGTATTCCCGACACTGCAGCTCAGGAATGTGCAATCCCTCCTATGAGATGGACATGACGACCACTAGACCCATGACCCGCGTAACGCTCTTTAGGATCCCCATTCCTTCGGATGCCCAAACACTCCTCGGGACTACCGCAGCATGTCTACAAACGCACTCAAAGATGGGAAACCCTACATTCACTCCGTTACGGCCGGTCCTACGTTCGAAGACGCAATAAGCCAGGACGTCATCAGCAAGCTCAAAGACAGGGAGGACACGGTGTACCACGATGAAGGATGCGCTGCGCACGCGGCGTTGAAGATTTTTGCGAAAGACAGTTTTCAGGGTGTTATGATGCTCTGTCTCGAGGATGTCACCGCAGAGTAACAAGCACCAAAGTGCTCTTCAATGAAAGGTTTATGAGTTGCTCATTTCATTATACGTTCGGAGATATGATGCTAGGAGAGGTCATCTGTCAACGTGTCATGATCGTACACCATCCAACCTGGCAATGCTCTTCGTGTCAAGCGAAGTCTGCTTTCACTTTCCCCTATCTGATGCCATCGGACCGTTCTTCATTTTCTTCATGAAACCACTCATCTTTCCCCCACCCTTCCCCTCTATTTGCGATCCAGATATTGGTGGGCCACCGTATGGTGTCTTCCAATCATCTTGAGGGCCGACACTGTCGTGAGTGACTTTCGGCGGTACTTGCGGGCCATGCTGTTGCTGGAATTGCGGCTGAGGTTGATACTGCGGCTGCTGCGGGTAGTGATGGAAAGACCCTGTCTCAACTTCCGAACGTCCTGTGTCGATAACGGCTTGGTTCTTTGCGTGAACAGCTGAGTCGGGCTTCGCAAAGCGTTTGTCGACGGTTTGGTTGAGCGTACCGCGGAGTGCTTCGCCGGCGCCCTAGAACAACGTAAGCCGATTTCACGAAATCAAAAAGTGAACTTACATGAATACCAGCAGCTGCCGTTTTTAAATTTGCTAAAGTGGACTGCTTCTGCTGATTCTGGGGTTGATGCCCAGGCCGAAGTGGTGCAGGGTGAGCACGATCCCCGTAGCCCACCTGAGGATAAGGTTGATGCTGTTGCAAATGATCATACGGCTGCTGAGAATGATCAAATGGTTGCTGAGAGCTGAATTCCTGAGAGGGAACTTGACGCGGAACGCCAGCTGGTGGTGCTCGTGCGGGATATGAGAAATGTAGCTGCGACGGACTCGAAGGGCTAATCGGGCTGACCAATGGATTTGGTCTCTCGATTCCTGGCGAGACCGAGTCTAATTCGACACGGTTGCGCATGTTGTTCCTATTGGGAATGGGTGGTGAAGAGCTTGGACCAGGAACAGCTGGACCCGACTGCTTAGGTGGGGTGACACTTTGGTGCTCCGCTGGCAGTGGCGGAGCTGGGGATGGTGGGCTGGGTCCAGAAGTGCCTGTTACGCTAGCGTGGGTCGATATCCTGTCGTCGTGCCCTGCAGGTTGCTGCACGGTTGTAGACCCACCTGGTCCGGTGGTTGTGGTAGTTGTAGTCGTAGTCTATCAATACTGTGAGAGGAAACATTACTAGGGAATGGGTAAACTGACAGTCGTTGTCGTGGTCACCACGTTCCCGGTTCTTTGATCGGTGTACGACTCTCTCTGCACGTCGCCCGCGTCTTGGTGAGCTGGCGCTGGCGGTTGCGTAACTTGACCATGATTGAGCGATGCAGAAGGGGTGGGTGGAGTGACACTGGTAGCCGGTGGCTGTAGTGTCGCAGTCGGTGCCTGTAACTGTTCACCACGCGAACCTCGTCTCTCGGCGCTTGAGAAGCTCGGGTGTCCACTTGTTTCGTCTGAGCTGTTGACGTGCTCACTGCTAAAGTAGGCGGAGTCTCCGGCTCTCGCTGAGTTTTCTGCAGCTGTTGGGTTCTCGGCTGGGTTTTGTATCGGGGCGGGGTCACCAGCTGTAACTGCTACTGCATCTGGGCGCTCCTTGTCCTTTGAATGGAAAGGGTTTGAGAGGCGCCATTTCGATCTTTTCTCCTTTCCGGGCGACGTGCCGGTTTCTTGGGGCATCGGGTCAGTTTCCAAATCTATCTGGGGGACGGCGGGTGTATCCTGTTGCGAATGTCGGTTTCCGGACTGAGCGCGATCGCGGCTAGGAGAAGGCCCAGCACTGCCGGTGCGTCTTTTGACCAATTTTCTTCCACCTTGTCGTGGAGCTTCTGCCATGTTTCGATTGTATTATCGTGGGAAAACAGGATGAAGTCAATTGTTGTAGGAACATTGAAGGAAAGCCATCATAAGCAGGCCTCCAACATCTAACCTGGATGACATCATGGTCGGGGTCAGCCACACTGTGCACCGCTTTTTGTGGCTATCTGGCGCCGGCACAAGTCCACGATCCAATCATCACTCGCCACCATGTCGATCCCACACGCGAGGGGAACGGGAAGATCGCAGGGGATTCGTGAGGCTTGACGTCGGTGGAAGGATCGTCTTCTGCACCAGTGAACTTGTTTCTGCGAGCCAGTCTAACGGTTCATGGTTAGACCAGGTACACGAGCACGAACATGTTCGCCTTCGAGAATTGACCAATACCATTTTCGTTTCTGGGAACTCGTCAAGCTTTATCCATTTCTCTTCATATCCGCTTTGTTTTACCTTGATAACACTCACGACCCATCCGTGACTCAAGAAATACCCACGCCTGGTTCCCGTTGCGACATCCTCTTCAGCAGAGGCTACACTCTCGGCATACTGATAAAGTGACCCTCAGAGCTTGAGTCCAACACCTGCAATCTGCATGATAGAAGCGACAAGCCCAAGTGTCTCGGCCATTGGAATGTAGGAGAGACGGTCTGATTGAGTGCTGGATTAACACCAGGTCAGGCCTGAGGGGAACCGAAAAGCACTCAGGAAAGCTAAAGAAAACGGCCGAACTCACATACAATAATACAAAAGAGGCATATAAATTAAGTCGTAGAAGGGAATCTTTAAGATTCCGTAAATGAGCAGGTGAGACGAAATTTCTGGGATGCTGTGGTCGAGCGAGGTGAAGATGGGGAAAGTGGGGGGGCTATTTCCCCACGAATAATAACACGTTCCAGAGCTGCTCTCTGTCAATCTCAGAGGTAAATCATGTCACAAGTGGGTAGACCTTAGAAGGGTTCGACATCGTGCAGGTGCACTCCAACGATTCACCCCCAATTATGAGCTTTTTAAGATGCTAGGTGGTAAGCATTCCAGATATCTTCTGATGTCATAACGTTGCGCTAACAGTGCTTCACTTTGGTAGGCTCGCATCATTGCCTCCTGTTTGTTTCGATCGATAAATGGTAAAAATGACTAACATGATGACTTTGTAAACTGGACAATAGACGCCGTAGGATCGCACCAAACAAAAGACCAATTAGATTGCTTATACCTGAGTCTTTTTGACAATGATTGCTATGCGGTAAACACTAATTCAAAGAGTATTCAAATCAGTTCATCATCGCCATCCCAATCACGCCACAGTTTTCCAACAACCAGAACCAATCGAAAGCAGACCTGTCTTAGAATGGCATCCGATATACTCAAAGTCTTGCTGCTCGGGCTCGAGAACCATGATCTCATGGTGCAGCCGGAGGGTATAGTCGTTGTTAAGCTCTTTCGTATACTGGAGAAATCGATTAAAGATAGCGAGATGCGTCTTATGCATCTTGCTCCACTTCTCCAGCGATCCAAGACTGTCAAAAAATCCCAGGCCAAAGGTTTTGTCTGTAGCTGCGCTTAAGGTTTTCGGGTCGATCACAGACATCATGCGATTTTCGATACAGCCAACTTCTTCACCTTCGTCTCTTAGGAAGTACATGCCCTTCTCAAGAACAGGATGCATGGTTTTCAGATATAGATTGCGTTCCTCCGGTCTCGTAGCTGACCAGTCCTGTCCTGATCGGATAACGCAAAGGTTCTTTTGGCCCTTGATCTTGATGCGCTGGTTGATGGAGTCTCTTTCGTCGTCATTGGAGGGCGCTCGTGAGCCTTCGCCATCCAGCGCTTCAGTCTGAGCAGCCGGCAGCCTATCACGCGCCGAACCCCAGTATACGTGCTCCAGTATCTGCCCACTCATACCCTGGCGCATATGAGCACATCCCTCAGGTACTTCTTTGTCTGAGAAGACCGTCTCGAAGCGATCTATAGGCGGAAAGAAGACTTCTTTGAACCATCCAACCTTTTCCGACCCCGGCTTGAGACTCGTCCACCACTTTTCGAACCCACTTGAGATCAACCACTTGTTATATTCCTCGTTGCTGTTCCAGTAGGATATAAGTGTCTGCATTTCATAGTTTTGGCTATCTATAGCCGATGCCATGTCCCAGAAGTGCGGAGCATGCGGATCTTTGCGCTCAACAAATGCTATCACCGGAGCTAGCGGAGACGTTGGCAATGTCTGTGCTTGCACACCATACACAGCAATGACTATCTCTGTTGTATTGTCTGAAAAGCGGGCTGTGTATGCCGGTACTGGAGGCACCCAACCAGGAGGCGTGTTGGTCGGCTGCGAGCGTGGGCAACGCAAATGTTGGGGGATTGCTGTGTCCAGTTCCATGTTTATGTATTTGGGGAAAGATAAATAGTATAACTTGGCTGAAGGATGCTGATGTTAACGCTGGATCGTTGAAGCGAAATTGTGTCGATTAAATCAGAGCTTCCCTTTCGGAAGCATTCCGCGTGAACCAAACAATTGCATAGGCTTATCTCCCATCTCTGCCGAACTCACGAACTAAGATCTGCGGCCGGCGCCATTTCCGGTCCTGCTGCGGCGCTACTACATGTGCATCATCCGCCACATAACTGGTGGTTCGTGGCCTCTCTGCCCGACCTCGGTATGTTTGACACCTGTCAGAGGTCGAACTTGCGGAGAGCCAACACCCGAACGAATTAAGAGAGGCGCAAGGCTTCCGTCGAGACGAATATGTTCAAGTGCCATTACACCCTTTCGTGCTACTACCATATGTTCTTGCCGATTATGTGTGCGAGTCAATTTTGGTAGGCGGTAAAGAGCTGCAGGACGGTAGTGACTGGGCGGAGAAGAAGTGGTTGGTAGTACCGACGAACAGCTAAATTATCTCACCTGATCAAGAGAAGTCCACCACTTATCACCACCCTTCTGAAGAAAAACCGGACGCAATATCATTGGTGAGCTTACAGGATACATCTGGGCGGAGATCTGGGGCCTATGCAGTCTGCAGAAGTGGACTGATCCGTGCATCGGTCAGAGAAAGACTCTAAATGACATACGTTCTCGCTCAGCAGAAAGGGATGAAGTACGAGCCTGTTGGGGCACTTTCTTTTTTCCCTTGTGACGAGTCAAGGTCCGTGATCGTGACTGCCTCTTACTCAAGGCCTCCCCCATTAGGAATGATACCGATGGAAACAGAATCGATCCACTTGGAGCGGTTACTTCGAAAGCAGCAGAAGATGATCATGGCCCGATCTCTGAAGAGTATAGGAAGAGATGGAAGAGGCATATATATGTTACCCCAATCATTCCCGTGGCATTTGGCCAACTGTATGAAGACGTAAACTCCCCTGCTCTTCACTAGGAGTTCGCAAGTGATGATGTGCCAGCTCTCAATTAGGAAACAAGGTCTTGGGTCGATCGTGCGAATGCTCTAGAGAACTTCGACTTCGATTCGTTCCTGGATGTTGACGATAAATCCTTAAGGCTCCGCTACCTCCGCCTGTCAAGGTAAAAAAAGAGATGAATAAGCCAAAAATCAAGAGAACTGTCACAGAATTTAGACTAGACAAAGCAGTTGTGCGATCAGGCCCAGACAATCCCGAGGTCGCAACGGGCACGACACAATCAATCCGTGGCCTGGCTCTAAAGCGATTTGCGGCCAAGAAGGAGAAGGAGGACGAGGCGGAGGACGAGGAGCTCTGCAAGTACAGAGACAATCAAAAAGATGAGTCACTTCATTTCACCGAAAGGAGGTATCGAGGTAAAATTGATCTGTCAGTCCATGAGCGACTTGAGTCTCGGCATGAAGACATGCCCATCGCACCCGGCCAATTTTCTGCTAAAAGCGGAACTGGAAAAGGGCCAAGGAATGAGTCCGGATCTGAACGAGATAATTTGAATAAGGAAGTCGTTGACCTGTTGAAAGATTGGACTACCCTGCTATGAAAGCAAGGCCAACGCCGTACGAGGGGGCGACTATGTTCGACTCACTCAGCCGATGGAAACAACAATCGACAAAAACATTCAAATCTGTTTGATATTTGCTGTGCTTGTTTACGGTTGTCCAGAGGCCGTCTAAACGTGGGAATAGAATACGCACATTAACTTAGGGAGCTAAAACATTTCCTAGTGGTGAGAAATTGTTGCAGCTCGTCAGTGTGGTCGCTGATGATAGGAATGCTAAGTCACGGAGCTGAGAGCGCTAAGTACTACTGGAGCAACACGTCCACCGCTACGCCTGTTGGTGATAGCTTATCATCGCGAACGTGTTGTCGAGCACTGAGTTATGAGAACGTGCCTTGGTCCAGCTGTGGCTGGTAAAGAGGTTAAGTAGAGGTATCCTATGCATAGGGACTTGCCCAGAAGAGTAGCCTGATAATGGCATGCGATGGCTGAGCTGAAGCGTAGGAAAGCTCAGATACTTATACAGTTGGGATGGAGAGCTCCGTCTGGCTGAGCAACATGATGTTGAAGCTCACTGTTGGAGCACTGCCTCTTCGAAAACTTCGGTGAAACAGACTTCTGAATGTCGCCTTTGATACATCCTAAAACTCATCATCAGCACCAACTCTAGTCATTAATTAAGACACTGAGGCTGATGTAACACGTCGCTATATTAGTATTTGCACAATCGCCTCCCTGCCACTAAACAAACAATCAACCACTAATATCTCCAACGACCCGACTGGCGCCCACGCCTCCGCCACCGTCCCTAGCGACGGCATGGCGCGCAACCTGACCGGTCTCTTCCACGGAAGCGCTATTGCCATCCACGACGCCATCGTCGGTACATCCGCTCAGCTGACGCGATTCACGGATTCGACGCGCTGCTTCTTTCATAATTATAACCACATTATTGATTCGAATGGGAGGGAGAACAGCTTTGCGGAACTGGATGGGGATAAGACTGATTAATGTTGGGATGGCGATGAAAGAAAGAGGCAGAGGTACCCATTGATAGTTGTCTCTTTGTCGAGGATGGCTTCGTGTGGAAGTGGAGGAGGTTTTGGTCCTCCTTTCTCTTTCCCTATTTTGCTTTCGTTTCTTTGTTTTGATCATCCGGGTAGAACTGTGTCTTGATTTCGAACATTATAATACTGCCTTTACCTTCCACGACGACGGCGAGGCCTACCTGTTGACATCTCTAATAACGCTACGACAACAGTGATGAATGAGTGATAGATACCTAAGCCTGTAAAATTACTGAAGCCAAGGCTGTCACGTTGTTCCCATCATTGTATGTCGAACGTCATGCCCAGTAGGAATATCCAGGCATCAAGTCGACGCGGGTCGGTGGGTAGCGCAGAGCACAGACCACCGAAATCTTGGCCGCGTCTTCTCCACCAAAAAAGTTCTTGCCCGCATTGAAGTTCGGCGCAATACCGTTCTTGAGGATTGACAAACGTTCAAACGTCAAAAGCCTACTCACAGATCCGACAAGCATGGCGCCCGTGTCATTCTCGCCGGACAACTCAATCTCATCCCACACGCTCTCCGCAGGCTCCGCCCAGCCCTCACCGATGGACCTCAACACCTCGAACCCAGCCGCGAAGCTTCTGACAAGCCCGCTCGCCTTTTTGCAGCCGACCACACAAATGAATGGCGCTTTCCTCGCCGCAACCAAACAATTCCTTGACCCGGTCGCAGCGGGAGTGAGCGAAGAACAGTCCCAGCGGCAGCAAGAGGTTAGGAAGAAGAGGAAGCGGGGTGAAGGCTATGATGGCGATATCAGCGTTCTGCATCTGAAAAAAGTGCACTTGCAAGGATTTGATGTTAACCAGGTCTTCGAACAGGCCAGGAAAATCTTGGATGCTGCAACAGAGGAGATTGAACTGGCGCTACCTCAGGACGAGGATGAAGCTGATACCTTGGCAATCAGAGCGGGCGAGGATGACGAAGATTCCGAGGGCAGTGGCGCAGAATTGGAAGAAGGAGAGGAAAGTTCCGATCTTGGTGAGGAAGGTGTAGACTGGGAATACGATGGCGAGGATGTATCTGGCGAAGGGCTAGAGGTTGAAGATGACGAGGACGATGAAGCTCTTGATCATGAAGATGTCGACATGGAAAATGACGAGGGAGGTATGTTCTCCGATGCGAGGTCCGATTTAGACGAGCCGGCAGCAACCTATCAAGAAGATAAACATGGTTTGAACGATCCATTCTTCGACATAGATATGTTCAACAAGCAAACGGATTTCCTCGAGCAACGAGATAATCAAGGCGAGGCTGCGGATACCGATGAAGACGAGATCAACTGGGAAGCCGATCCGTATTTCGCAAACGCAAGTAAAAACGAGGCTGCAGGCGATAACGAAGACATGCCGGATGAAGGCTCGGACGAAGAAGGAGGCCCAACTTTCGGCAACGTCGATCTCAATGCACCGGAAGGTGAAAGTGACGACGAGGAGCTCCAAGATGGCGAAATGGACGGTATGGAGGAGGGAGCGAACGCAAACAACATCATGTACGCGGACTTCTTCGCGCCTCCTGCGAGCAAAGTGGGCAGGAACAAGAAGAAACGAGGACGTCCCAATCCGCACAATTTCCCTTCTGCGGATGATCCTCAAAATAACAAGCCAGACGAGGAGGACATACAGAACGTCATCTCAAGAGTTCATGGCGACCTGTTCTCCGATGAAGACGACGTAGGCTCGGACCACGACCTTAGCGACGTCGATCCCAGCGACCCCAAATCAAGACGATCAACTCATGAGCGTCGACAGGCCAAGCTCGCGGAACAGATACGAAAGCTGGAAGCTGCCAATGTAGCAAAGCGAGGGTGGCAGCTCTCTGGAGAGGCCAGAGCTTCAGACCGACCCGTCAATTCGTTACTGGAAGAAGACTTAGAATACGAGAGAGCGGGCAAGCCCGTCCCTGTAATCACTCAAGAGGTAAGGAAGAAGGAGATCCAGATTCTCCTTTGAATGTTAACTCGGACCCGCAGGTATCGGAGGACATCGAAGCTCTCATCAAACGCCGCATCCTTGCCGGCGAATTCGACGAAGTGCCGCGCCGCCGCCCTGACGACCTTGCCACTGGCCCCCGCGAGCGCCGCGGCCTCTTCGAACTCGACGACGCGAAGAATACCAAGGGTCTTGCTGAGATATACGAAGAAGAGCACCTTAAAGCTGTAGATCCCAACTTTGTCGACGCGAGGGATGAGAAGCTGAAAAAAGAGCATGCAGAGATAAGTGAGTTGTGGAAGAGCATAAGTGCGAAATTGGATTCCCTAGCGAGCAGTAATTTCAAGCCTAAGCCTGTGGCTGCGAACCTGGAGATCCGTGTCGACGCGCCCGCTATACAGATGGAAGATGCAAGGCCTACGGCTGGCGGCGATGTCGCTTCTGCCAGCATGCTCGCGCCTCAGGAGCTGTACAGGCCGGGCGAGGACAAGGAAGACAAAACCGAAATCGTCACGAAGGGTGGCCTACCGTTTGCGCGCGAGGAAATGACACGGGAGCAGAAGCTCCGCCGGAGACGGAGAGAAAAGGAGAGGATCAAGAAGGCGGGTCTGCACGAGCCGGAGAAGAAGGACTCGGAGAAGTCTGGTAGAGAGGAGAAGTCGAAAGAGAGGAAGCAATTATTGGGCGATTTGAAAAAGGGCGGGGTGCAGGTAATTGGGAAGAAGGGCGTTGTTACTGATGTTGAGGGTAAGGAGGTTAAGGAAGGTCCTAAGAGGGGAGCGGGGAGTTATAAGCTTTGAGCATAGAGGGAGAGCTGCGTTTGACGGCGTTGAAATGTTGGAAGCATATTGCATTTGTCTATAGCTTCACTCGGAACTGTTGGTTCGTATCAAGATTTCTAGACGATCGGCATTCTGATCACACCCTCAGCGTAAGCGGTACTTCAGGATGCAAAGCGGATACTAATCCGCATGAAAATCATGCATCGTGGTCTAGCTCAACACGGCGCAATTCAAGGCTCGTATTCTCAAAACTTGTCGTAAGTGGACTTGCGCGTCTACGTCCAATTCAACGAGGCTCTCCGCGGAATTCCCGCACCTCAACCATACAACAAAGAGATTCGAAGAACAGGAAATGAATTGTAGAAGATCGTGGTTCATTGTGTTGTGATATAGTAAGTATATTTCCTGAGAATACTACCAACCCCGTATAATCGCGTCGTCTTTGACCTCAAACTTCCCATGAAAACACTTTCTGCAAACATCCCCCATATGCTCATATCCTAATAATCATCGCCGCGACTCACAATCTCCTTGCACGTCGGCCGAAGGATAAATGTCTGTTCTAGAGTCAGCTCACTCCTTTCAAGTCGTTTGATCGGGGAAATGGGGATTGGCTTACATGTTCACTTTGCGCGGTATAACTTCCCTTGATATCGCACAGTGGGGGGTATGCCTCGACAATACCAGCCGAGACGAGGTTGTTTAAGCCCAGCAGGTACTTGTCGTGGCCCAGGCGGTCAAGGTAGCGCCGGCAGAATGGCAGCGTGCCGAAGTTCTTGTTAATGGAGTTGAGCAGGGTGCGTGCGGAGGAGACGCGCAGGGCGACATTTGGTGCGTCTTCTCGCTTGGCGTAGTGGGATGTTTCCATCTGTTGGAACGTTAGTGGGAGTACCATCCAGAAGGGAGGGCGTGAGGAATTTGGGAAGGGAAACGTACGTCGTCCCTAACATAGCCCTTGCCCGTGCTGCCAAAGGTCTCGATGGCAAAGGTTTCACCCTCCTCCATCTTGGTTTGGTCGCCACCCTTGACGATAGGCACCGTCTTGCCGCCGTGGATGCTATACCGTCCGATGCTGTGGCCGTTGAGATTACGAATACACTTCACAGGGTACGTCTGCCCCTTGATCTCGCACTCGTAGCTCTCCATGACCTCCTGGATCGCGGCGCCAATATCCGACATGCGCACGTCGATACCAGCTTCCTTAATACCAGCGTTGGTCGCGTCCTTACACGCATTGATCAGATTGTCGTACGTAGGGTCGAAGTGCATAGTGAAAGCTGAGTCGACGATGCGCCCGTTGATGTGCACACCGAAATCGACCTTCATGACGTCCTCCTGCTGGAGGACCATCTTGTTGCCTGCGTTGGGCGTGTAGTGTGCGGCGCAGTGGTTGATGCTCAGACCCGTAGGAAAGCCCATACCGGCCTTGAGCGCATCACCTTCTTCCAGGCCCTGGTGTCCTGTGAGCGCGCGCACCGAGTCCTCGATGCCCTCAGCGATTTCGGTGAGTGACATGCCCGGCTTAATCCAATTTTGCGCCCACTGCCGCACCTCGCGATGCACCTCGGCGCCTCGTCTGTAGTCGGTCAGGAAGTCCTGGTTCATGCGGTCGAGGTGGCGCTTCTCCTCGCTAGTCGTGCGGAACGCATTCTCGTTGAGGTACTCGTGCGTCTCTCCCGCCGGGTAGGAGTCGTTCAGGTATATCTCGTGGACAGGAACGCGTGGCGGGGAAGTCTGCACTTTGGGGCCTGAAGATGCGCCGGCCTTCTTCTTCTTGCGTGGTTTGCGCTTTTTCTTTTTCTTTGCGGCGCCTTCTGCGGTAGCCTCGGGGGCACCGTCGTCGGCCTCGGCGTCGTCGTCCGAGTCTTCGTGGTCTATATCGCCATTATGTGTGCCGTTCTTGAGGACCCCGTTGGGGGCCTTGATGCTAGAGTCGTCCACTGCGTCTTGTCAGTTGCGCTCCTCTTGCAACGCGGGGTTTGTGGGAAGGGGTGGATTACACTTGAGGTTGTCGAGAGCCTCCACTGCTGTGGCCGCCATGATGTCGTCTGCTTCGTGTTCGCGGGCGAGGGCGAAGAACAAAAAGAAGTCGGCGCCCCAGGGCTCTATATGCAGTCAAAAAGGGCCCCGCTTCTATTGGGCGGGCGGTCGCGCAGTTGGCCCAGCACTCTGGCCTCGCCTCGAATTGCCTTTCGCTAAACTGATACAAGCCTTCTGGATCCCTGCCTTTGGATGACGTCTCGAAGATGTCCCGAAGGTACGGGGCTTGGCTGGCTTTCAAACGCCCACAAAACACTTGCCCTGCCCACTTCCAGTTCCTCCACGAATGTCAAGCCATGGACCATGCCTCTGCACCCGCGCTCCCTCCTCCATCGCCCGCAACCTAGAGCCCTTTGGATCTGCGCTTCATGCCTTGCGCGCACCTCGCGCACCAAACACACGCTTCCTCCACTCCGCCGTCGCAGCAACCGCCTACGCCTTCCCGCTCCCCTCCAAACCGCCGCCTTCCATGTCTCTTCGCGACGGCGCGTGGCCGAGACGCCCAACCACTACCATATCTTAGAGATTAGACAGGATGCATCCGCCGGCGAGATCAAACGCCAATTCTACACACTGTCCAAGAAACACCACCCCGACCACAACGCCTCTGACCCCGACGCCTCGACGCGTTTCGTCGCAATAAGCGAGGCCTACCATGTGCTCTCCGTCCCCGAGAAACGCGCTCAATATGATGCCCAGCTGTCACACGTTTCCTCCCGCTCGCTGCGCTGGGGTCCCCACGCCGGCGACCACCCGCAGGGCAGCTACAGCTCAGCGTCCTACGCAGGCTCGCGCCCCGCCAGCGGTCTGAACAAGAAGCGCAGCACCTTCCGCGGTCCCCCGCCTTCCTTCTACAAAGCCGGCGGCTACGGGCGACACTCCGCAAAACGCGCGGAGTACGCCCAGCACCAGCACGCGGGGCATCAAACGGAACAAAATACCAGCTCTGACTCGTACGGCGCGTTTGGAGAAGGGTTTGGGCCGGGCCAAGCAGGCCAAGGAAACGAGGTCCCGCACTTCGATGACAGGAAACACAAACAGACTCACGACACTGTTCATGAACACATCAGCGCGAGGAAGCGGAGGGCGCGGGATGCCGAGATACCCCAAGAGTTTGATAGAGGCGGCATGCTAGCCAACTTCATCATCGTCTCGACTGTCGTGGGCATTGCCGCCGCTGCCACCAAGATGTTCAGCAACAGTACCGAAGGAAACAAGAAGGCAAACGCATGAGATGAGAAGACGGCCATCCCAAGGTGCGGAATCAAGCCCTCCTGTGCGCATAATGTTTCGAGGTAACTTGATTCGCGCTGTAATTGTAAATATTATATCACATACTGTACAAGTAGCGTGCACATTAATGGTACGAAGACAGAGGTCTTGGAAATGAACAAGTATTAGAGATGCATTGAGACAAATAGTTTTACATGCTAAAAGCCACAATACATCGCTCATGTCTGTACGGCCAGCCAGAGAAGCGACTCGCTATAGAACCAAGCCAAACATCTTCGTCTAACCCAAACTCCGCACTTTTGCCATCTAACGCGGCGCGCTTATCCCTCAAAAGTAAAGCTGGTGCCGAGCTTGTGACCAGACTCGTTGAGCTTCTGGGTATCGAAAGAGCCACCAACGCCGAAGGTTAGGCCGCTGTTGACCTTGGTGTTGTAGGCGAGGGACGCAATGCCGAGGTTGTTGATCTTGGCCTGCCGAAAGTGTCAGAGATTTCACATAGAACACTCAATGTTTTACTAACCTTGGCGAACGACGCAGGGTCGATCTTGTACTTGGCAGCAAGCTCAAGGCCAACGGCACCCTGGGCCTTGGAATCCCAGGTGGCGCGGGCACCAGCCTCAACGGCGGTGTTGACCTTCTGGTAGTAGGCAGCGGAGAAGACGCTGAGAGAGTTGGTGGCGGTAATGGCGGCGTTGTAGATGGGGGTGGTATAACCGACGGCAGCGGAGTACTTGGTGATGGCAGCCTTTTGGACGTCGTAGCCGACCTCACCACCGACGAGGAAGCCCTCGTGGCTCAGGACAGCATCGGCGATGGCACTGACGGCGCCAGAGGCCTTGAGATCACCGAAGACACGGCCGTGGAAGTTGTTCTGCTTAAAGAAGAAGTTGACCTTTTGGCCCTGGTTGCCGGCATCAGGCTTGAAGTTGTTGAGGATCTCAGTCTTCAGGCCAGAGGCGAGGGTGTCATTGAGCTCAACCTTGGTGGCGAGGAGGTTGGCAGTATTCCACGACTGGGTGATGCTGATGCCTGTCCGGCGCTTCGTCAGCATGTGTATTGAGTAGCCCGTAGTTGACATTGCTTCTGGAGGGCGACACGAATGAAAGATATACATGGGTATGCGTCCGGGTAAAGCGACAGGTATCATAATATTGAAAAATGGGAGGTCTATACCGTTGGAGAGCGACTTCTTGCCCTCGAGCTGTTGATACGATTAGCATTGGCTTCTGAGGTCTTGGATGTTTTGCAACGTACCGAGGAAGAGACGGGTCCATCATGCGCCGACGTGCCCTTGGCGGTGAAGTTGACACCGTTGGGAGCCTTGAGCTTGACCTCGAGCTGGGCTGCGCGGTCGTTAGCATGCGCAATGCGACTTCGAACGATGCGCCTGACCTGCAGCAGCGTGGTAGAAGTCCTTGTTGATGAGCTGCGCAGTAGATTAGCCAATTGTGTCATCTGTGAGCTGTCCGGTCTCAGCGAGAGCGTACGTCGTTGGATGACTTCGCAATGTCGCTGAAAGCGGGCGGCGGGAGGACCGCAGCGATCTTCTGTGCAACGTAGGCATCGGCCATGATGGATGTGTGGTGGAGAGAGAGGTGGGGAAAGATGTGGTTTGAGGGTGTTGATGATGGTAAAGTTTTGCGGAGCTTGGGAGGGAAAACAACGCAAGATGAGGTAGGTCCTCGCGCACTAAGGAGGCGCTCGCGGATAATTCCGGTCTCTGCTCGGGCAAGCGCGACCAGACAACCGAGAACGTGGAGGGCAGGCTTTGGCGCGTACCCGCTCCCTCTTACTTTCCAATACCGGTCTCTCTGAAATGTCGTTTACTGCTTGTCAACCCGTCAACAATTATCACCCCATTTTCTCTCACTTATCGTCTCATTGTTCCCACATACCCTTCAGTTTACGCCTTGCGATGCAAGCTGCTCTACTGTGCCCATGAAACAGCCGACCCCTTTTCGGACCTACTCGCCTACCAGACCCCCCGCGTGACGCGCCTGGCTCTTTGCCTAGCTGGCATTGCTTGCAGCCATCTGTCGTAGCGAAACGTGGGCGAGGAAAAGGTGCTACATCTATCCCAGGTCGATATTCTGAGATCATCGAAAATTATGGTTCGGTACCAACGCTCAAAGCATCCAAACATAGACTGAAGGCGAGAGAGTGGAGCATCACAAACGGTTTGCCACTATTGGACCTATCTAGAGAAAAGCGATTCGGCACGTCGTCTTCTTGTCCTCCAACGAAACATGCCGCCGTTAGGTCATTACGATGTCCAATGTAAGTAAAGTCGTTGAGTTATAAAAGCATGCGTAGCTAAAGATAGGCCCGTGGATGTAACTCATTCCTTAATTACTCTACATGCAATGCTCTACTACCATCTTGGTCCGCTATAGTACAATCTACTGCGTATGCTCGTGTCTTGCCGCCAATCTAGTTCCCTCATCATGTCGTCCTATCCTTACAATTTGCTCTTTGCCAACGGCTCCACCTTCTTGAACAACACCTCGTTCTCCGGGTACGGATCCACAGTCACCCCGTTCAACGGGTTTAGCTCACTCGCCCTGTAGAACATGTCTTCGTAGACCTTGCCATCAAACCTTCCAAGCGAAGAATCCAATACCCAGTCATCGAAGCCCCAACCATCTACCAGGCGCACCGCATGCGGTCTGATCTCCTTCAACAGCTTCATCACAGCATTCGTCCTAGCCAGACTGATTTGGTGCCTTGACGACGCCCCCGAAGCGAAGAACTCGGAGCCTTCCTGCTCAAGGGTGTGCAGCGCCCAGAGGCGGAACAGCTTCCAGAGAACATCCTGGGTCGTGGCGTCAACCTCTCTGCCGATGTTGCCGTGCTTGAGCGCCTGATAGAAGTTCTTAGCGACGAGATACTGCGAGTGGGCCTTGGAGAGGCGGTAGAAGTCGACAAGAAGGTCGTTCCAGGGCTTCTTAAGATCGTCGCGGTGCTTTAGGGCTTCAAAGGTGAGGAAGGAGGTGCGCCAGGCGAAGGCCGACACAAGGTCTTCGTCGGAGCCGAGGATGTCGAATGCACATCCGATCTCTGAGCGAGCACAGAAGTCACCTAGGATGCGGGTGGTGTCATTGGTTGGCTTTGCGCCGGAAAGGACGGAGCGGGCGGACTTGAGAAGCTGGGGGTAACAGCGTCAGTATTGCGAACGTAAAGGAGGCGATGCGCTGTGCGACTCACATAACGAGCCACCTGCTGGGTCAACATGTAGTTGTCTCCCTCCCATGTTACGGTGGGGAGATAATCAGCGTACTATTCGCGATCAGCTGACCGTCATTGAAGTGAGTTGATGTAGCGTCTTACCCAAGAGCCGATACCACTGAAGGCGGAGTATCCGTGACCACCACAAGCTCGGCGACATACTTCAAGACCTTCAGCAGCAATAGTACTCGAGAGAGCCTTGAGTCCGCAGGAAGTAGCGTGCAGATCTGCGAGGATATCACTACCTGCCTGTATCTCTTCAGGTCCAGCACCTCGCCTGTCTGACTCCCGCTTCGCGCCACTCTCGTTCATCCGCTTCTGGTTCTCCTGATACAGGTTCATCATGCCTTTCCCAGTGAAGTGCAAAGCGAAAGTGGCAGCGAGGAGTGGAAGTAGACGGATCTGTACCATCGTGTAGTTGAGGACAGGGTTCTCGCCCGTCTCCCCTTGCGGTGCATCACGGTCCTGGAATTGGCGTCGGACGGCACAATAGCGGGTTGCGATAGTTACGCCGCGGGCAAGGACGGAGCCAGCTTGCATGACGATGGTCGACCGAACCCAAGTGAGAGTTCCGTAAATAAGGGATGGGCTGCCCTGCCGGACGTACTTGTTGGTTTGAGGATCGATTCTGGAGAAGCGGCCTAGCATGTTGAAGTGCGGCACCTTGACCTTGTTGAAAAGTAGGAAACCATTATCCATCGTATTGTAACCGAACTTAGGCCCGATGTCACCCACGTGGATGTTCTCCAGCGGTTCGTGTGTCTTCAAGTCGCGGACCTGAACAATAAAAGGATGAGGGCCGAAGCTCTTACCGCCAATGTAAAGCTGTGCCATGACACAAGCGAAGTTGGCAGTTCGACCAAGAGATCCAATCCACCACTTGGAAGCGGTGAGATGTGGCGAGTGGATCGTGAAGGACTTGTCCTCAGGATTCCAAGTCGCGGTCGTCTCCAGCCCACGGACGTTAGATCCATGTCCAAGTTCTGTCTGGGCATAGCAGCCAATAATCTTGTAGTCTGTGGCAGGCTTCAGGAACTTCTCCTGCTGTTCTGGTGTTCCTTGCTCGCCAATGGTGATCTGATTGGTTAGCCCTGGGCAATTCAAGGGTGTGCATTACCTACTTTGAACATGGATTCGTGTAAGGCATAGGGGCCAGGCTCTCCAACAGCTTCGTAAGCAGTTCGGAGCTCGTCTGTATTCCAGTTGTGCTTCCGCCTCAAAAGCTGGAGCTTCTTCTCGCGGGCGAGGGCTCGCTCGAAACGCTCCATTCTTCCGGAGAAGTAGTTGGACGACTTGTCAAAGACCGGCTCTGACTTCAGGATGCCTAGAATCTTATTCCTCCTCTCAATGACATCTTGTGTGAGTAGCAACTGCTGTAGCATCTCTACATGTATGGCGCTCTTGCCGCGCTCGGCGGCGAGCAATTCAGACCCCTGCGGACCCGAAGGCTTCAATTGCTTCACCCAGTCTGGTGTCGGTGCCATTGTAATCTCTTGATAAAGTAGAAGTAATGGGAGAGATGGACAAGACGGATAGCTTCGGAGGCCCAAGTAGATCTATGATAGCATTGCCTCGGTCGCTCTTACCAATGATGCGGCGTCAACCCACGCTAGTGAATGTCCCGAGGCACGCACTGATGCCAACAACGCAACGCGTCCAGAAGCTTGAACAGCGCCGACCTCGCAAGCAGCCACTGCAGATGAACCTGGGCTCTCTGGTTTTGGCGGTCGAAGCGTCACTATGCTTTGCAGCCGAGAGATAGATGATAGACGCTGCACGTGGCCATGTTGAGATGGAGCAGAGATGTTATAGGCCACAGGGATTAGCTAATTTTGGAAGCTGCATCTCCTCGTGACTGGGGGTTTTGGACGCTCTTCAAGATAACCTGGTGACGGTTGTTGATCAAAGCAATTGTACCAACATTGAGACGAGCTATGTCAACTTGTAGATTTTTGTGAGACTACCGAAGAAGTCTCAAGTTGCATGCTCACATGGCGCTATGCGGCGCCCAGACAATTCTCACTGCTCTCGCTAACGACTAGACGCAGGACGTTTGTGCGGTGCAAAACTCTGCGCGTCTGTCAGCCGCAGCCGCACCCGCCGCCGGGGCGCTTCGCTGTGAAACCCGTCTGACCGGAAGCACGCGAGTGAAAATACACGGCCTGAGGCGCAATTGAAAGAGTGCAATGCGAGGCAGGCCGTCCTAGGCAGCAGCAGCCGACTTGGGTGTACGCGCTCCGAGAAGATGGTTCTTCTGGAACCTGTGGCGATTCGACGTATTGCAGAGTACCTCCAGCATCAAAATAGAGACCGAAAGTTCACTGGTACTGTTTGGGTGGAGAACCTCTGGGACAAAGTTGGACCGACAAGTGCGCCCTGGAGCGTTCGAAGCACAGCGTGCAGAGCACAGAGCAATGACGATCAGCCACACTGCACCGCCCAAGGCGGACTAGTGCGAGTGGTCTCGTTCTCTCGGAGAGCAGAGTTCCATCACACAAGACACCTGCACTCGCAAACCCCCTCGTGGTCCGCAAAGACCGTTGCTTTTCTCCCTGACACCTTCCGTCTCCGCCTTCCTCGTCTGGTCCGCTCGCCGACCTGACATATATCCGCGTCGCCCATCCTCTACCCGTCGCGATACCCCACATCCAGTGACGCTACACAATTCTATGCCCGGGAAGCCATTCACGCTCCGCCTTGACATTTCCCTCCTTCACTCCTCCACGTCCTTGTAGGCCGCGGACAGAATGGGTCAGACCCTTTCCGAGCCCGTCGTCGAGAAGGTATGTCTGCCAAATGCCCCTCCCCGCCCCCGCACTGCGCACTTTGACCCTACCGCCTGCCTTGGCAACGGTCGTCGGCGCGACTGTGCGCGCCGAGGGCCTTTCTCTGTGGTTTGCTGGACCATTTGTTGATAGTCTACTAGAAATCTCAAAGCGGCGATGGCGACGACTTGATTTGGGGTGTGTCCTCGATGCAGGGATGGCGAATCAGCATGGAGGATGCCCACGCGTGTATCCTAGACCTGCAAGCCCTCAGCGAGGAGGGTAAGCCCACGCCTGCAGACAAGCGACTGAGTTTCTTTGGCGTCTACGATGGTCACGGCGGCGACAAGGTAGCGATATACACAGGCGAGCACCTGCACGAGATCGTCGCGAAGCAGGAAGCGTTCAAAGAAGGCGATGTAAAGAAGGCCCTGCAAGACGGATTCCTAGCGACGGACCGGGCGATACTCAGCGGTACGTTGACTTAACATCTTCAGCCTCGAGTGGTTGCGCTGACTCGCTGGCAATAGACCCAAAGTACGAGGAAGAAGTCTCGGGTTGTACCGCTTCGGTCGGCATCATCTCCAAAGACAAGATCTACGTGGTATGTGAGATATCGCAGCTCCTCTGCACAGCGAAAGTTGACAGCGCCAGGCCAACTCGGGTGATTCACGAAGTGTACTGGGCATCAAAGGCCGGGCAAAGCCCCTATCGTACGACCACAAGCCCCAGAATGAAGGTGCGTTGATTTCGCTGCTATGAAGGACACATCTGATGATAGGCAGCCGAGAAAGCACGCATCCAGGCTGCTGGGGGCTTTGTCGATTTTGGACGTGTCAACGGCAACCTCGCTCTCTCTCGAGCTATCGGAGACTTCGAGTTCAAGAAGAGCGCCGAGCTTCCACCCGAACAACAGATAGTCACCGCCTACCCTGATGTTGAAATCCACGACATTAGTGAAGACGACGAGTTCCTGGTCATTGCTTGCGATGGTAAGGGTTCCCATCTCCTCTTATGGCTAGGCTGCTTACACTTCTATAGGTATCTGGGATTGCCAGTCTTCGCAAGCTGTTATCGAGTTCGTTAGACGCGGTATCGTTGCGAAGCAGGATCTTGCATCTATATGTGAGAACATGATGGACAACTGTCTGGCAAGCAACAGTGACACTGGCGGTGTTGGCTGCGACAACATGACAATGATCGTCATTGGTCTTCTGCATGGACGGACGAAGGAGCAGTGGTATGAAGATATCGCAAAGAGAGTTGCAAATGGAGAGGGACCTTGCGCTCCGCCAGAATATGGCAAGTCTGAAGATCCTGCCTCTCCTGCCTCAGAAGGCAGGGAATAGCACATTATCTAATATAAAGTCTTAGCCGAATTCCGCGGACCAGGAGTGCATCACCGGATTGATGATAGCCCCGATGACATCGACATGGACCTCGATGGTCGCTTTCAGGGCAACCGTGGATTGAGTGGTGAGTTACCCTAGGCTAGGTCTCGGTTCTCATATTGACTCCTCAGGCGGAGGCGGCCGCATCATTCTTCTTGGTGATGGTACGGAGATAACGACTGAAGCTGCCGACGCCGACATGTTCGACAATGACGATGAAGATAGAGACCGCGATTTTCAAGTCGACCGGTCTAACGGTTCAGCACAGAATGCACGTGGAGAGACACCCGGGCCGCAAGGCAGCTCCGCGAAAGAGACCACGGAATCACCTTCATCTGTCAAGACAGAAAAGTCAGAGGAGCCATCTGCCGACAAAAAGGATACTACTGTGCCAGAGAAGCTCACTGATGTAAGTGAAAAGTAACCAACTATTCTTGCACGGTCTTCTTGAGCAAGTCTCCGCTGAGAAGCTCTTGAGCGCGCACTGTACGCGCCCGTGGTTTTGGTCATACCTGGCTTGAAGTTGCTTTTGGGCTGGGGAGAGCTTCGGCTTCCGGTAACTATGGTTCACTTTATGACTTTAATGCGGTGGGTGGCGGGCTTTTCTGGGCCGGGGATTGGGCTTGACTTGGCAAGCATACACGGGCATGGACAAGGCAGAGTCACTGACGGGGTCTTCCGATCAAAGCGAAGGCTCCCGATGCATGAGATATGAGCGTACGAACAACCTCATCCAAACAGGGCCTCAGCACGAATTGATACCTGGCGTCGCATGTCGTCGTCCTCTTTCTTACTATACTACTCTTTGAGACTTGCCTTCCCTGTTCTGAGGGTATGAGAGCGATGCACTTCTTTCATAGATCGCGAATTGACATCGATGGGCAATGTACGTTGGCGGGCAGGTAGGATGCAATGAATTACATTTCCTTCAAAAGTGCGGCGCCGGTCACAGCAGTATACCAAAGCTTAGGGTTCGTGCTAATACATATATGTAGACAATCCAGAGCAGCTTACAGCTTAGACGTCTTAGGTTGAAGTGGGTATTTCTTTGGACCGCATCAAAATACACGCAGTGAACCCATTGTCCACCGCCCTCTGCAGCAAGGACCTCGTCAATTCGTCATCGTGAGGCATGTATAACTGGAAAAACCTAACGCCCACTCCCTTCCGTCCATTTGCCAGTTCATCATTCGCCTTCCCAATGTCCTCGATGGGCTGCGATTCAGCGGTGCTGAGACAGTATGGCAGATTGAGTTCGCCGGCGTCGTTGTAGATTTTATTAATGCCTATGGGGGCGAAGCCGATTGGGGCTGAGACGGAGTGACCCCAGATGGAGTGCGCGGTGTCGCGATGGTTTGTGTCGACGAGCATGCGGGGGATTATGCGGTGCCGGTAGAAGGATTGGCGGTTGGCAGTGTGGGTGTGGGATTGCCTGTGCATATTTCGATCAGTAAATATGTCATAGTGGGCAATGGCTGGATCGGAAGATGCAGTGGGATAGGAAATTAAATACCCAGCGTTGCTGGAAGCATAGTACCAGCCATTCTGCATGAGCTTACGCTGGGCTCGGCGCTCGAGCTCGCCGGGCTAAGGGTTGCATGGGGGGACTTCGCCCACGTTCGACTTCCAGAAGTTCTCGCGTTGATAAAGGCGTATTGAGGTGTGGAGCGGGACTCGCAATTGGAATTGTTGGGATCCATCGCGGTAAGAGTTGAAGCTTTTGATGAGTCTGCAGGCGTGTAAATGAGCTCTTCAATGCGTCTTTGAAAGTGCAGCCATGCGGCTCTGGGACGCTAGAACGCAGTAAATATGAAGAGCTTCTTATAGCCCGAGAAACAGTACTAGCAACGAGATAGCGAGAAGAGTCTGGTATCGAGAACGGAAATTTGAGGATACTGTAGTAGTATCTGAGCTTCTAGCTCGGTCAATGCGGATATCAAGATAACGACAGTCTTTGTGTAAGGCTTTCAGGTTCATCGGGAATAACGGGAGCGCATAGAGCCATGGTGACGCTTCAACACTTGGTCATAGCTATGTAGCTTGGACCCTGTTCCGATAGCCGTCAATGTCCGGCATCTTGCGCCACAGAGCCGTCGTTTATGCGTTTGGAATCACTCCTGGATGCATGATATATTCTCGAATATAAACGTGCAAAGCGAAAATCATCCTGACGAAGTAGATATAGTGGAAAAAGGAAGGCACGTTCCGCTGCGGAGGTGTCGTCCAAAGGTTCGCCCCGATGCGGACTGGGCTGAAGCCCAAGCTAATGGCTCATGTGGGGCTCCAAAAGCTTAGCTGTGTGATGCGCTCTAGGAATGTTCACCGCCAGCTACTACCGCACGTAGATGACTGGCACAGAGTAACGTGCTCCCACTCTGGTCGCGCTGTGAAATCGCAGCCAATACACGTCCACATTCCCAAAGCAACTGACCGTAGTGGACGCGCTTCGACCAATCGGAGCACGTGTAATCTCCAAGACCCCGCCAAGCCAGTACAGCTTCACGCAAGTCGACCGCGTAACCATCGAACACACAACATCTTCTCGTCGTTGCGCACCATGTCGGCTTAGGCCTACCGACACTTTGTCCACAGCACCTCTGCCGTTGCGCGCCCACCTTCCACCAGGTCCCCCAGCATGTCGGTCATCCTCTGCACTGGTGAGTAGCTTCTCAACCTCGTCTCTACCTCAGGGGACCGCGGTATTGACGGTTTACAGCGGGGTATGACCACACAATTCGGTACGGAAAGCTACGAACCAGCTGCCCGCGCAAGGTACTGACCTGCTAGTTTCTGGGAGGCGCTCTCCGGCATCTGCTCACGAACGATCCCCCACCCAGACTCGCAAGTGAACCGCTTGTGCATTTCGCCCGACAAGCGCTTCCTTGCCGCAGCTGGCCACCACACGGTCAAGCTGTACGAAATCAAATCGACGAACCCCAATCCGGTGCTTACCTTCGAGGGCCACACATCGAACATCACGGGCGTCGCTTTCCATTGCGAAGGCAAATGGATGGTAACGAGCTCTGAGGACGGCACGGTTAAGATTTGGGATACCCGCTCAGGCAGCGTCCAGCGCAATTATACACACGGCGTCCCGGTCAATGATGTGGTCATCCACCCGAACCAGGGTGAGCTAATTAGTTGCGATCGTGGAGGAAACGTGCGCATCTGGGACCTAGGCGAGAACAAGTGCTCACACCAGCTGATTCCCGAGGACGATGTATCCGTCGCTAGCGTGACAGTAGCGAGCGATGGCTCAATGTTGGTTGCTGGTAATAACAGCGTACGTCTCCTTGTTCCATACACCCCTTTGGTGTACTAATTTCACCAGGGCAAGGTCTACGTCTGGCGCATGGTCCAGCGGGGCGAAGTCACTTCGCTCGTACCCGTGTGCACATTCGTCGCCCACCAGACCTACATCACGCGCGTGCTGCTCTCGCCCGACGTGCGCCATTTAGCTACGTGCAGTGCCGACCATACAGCTAGGATATGGTCCATCGACACCTCGCAGCCGCACAACGTGACCGTACAGGACAACCTCCCGGGCCCCGCCGACCGTGACGCCAACGCCTTCCCACTTGAGACGACGCTCCACGGACATCAGCGCTGGGTCTGGGACTGCGCCTTCTCCGCCGATTCTGCTTACCTGGTGACTGCATGCTCCGACCACTATGCGCGGTTATGGGAGCTGAACAGCCAGAGCATCATTCGGCAGTACAATGGACATCACAGGGGCGCTGTGTGCGTCGCGCTGAACGATACAGCTGTTGGTAACTAGGAGTACGAACAGAAAGTGGACGATCAGGAACAGGAAGTGTAAGTGCAAATTCCTTACTTATCGCTTCCCTTTGTTCTTGGCCTTTACATTGCACTACAACTTGTCTTCCATGCCATCTTCGAGATTCTTGTGGCTTATTGGACAGGACTGTCATGCGTGCGGAGCCCGTTGATTGGAGGGGCATCAATGATAAAATTCCGAAAATCCTTCGATGCTATGCGTTCGACCACGATTTGGGACCGAAAATGATGGCTCGTTCTTCCACGTGCGTTTGGCCAGGAAGAGAGGGTGGAAGGACATTCTGCTGTGGATATCACAGCCACATTGCGAACCGCCCCGGTCCTGATGGAAAGGTTTAGCGTAGGGATGGCGGTTGTCGAACGGACAGAGAAGATAAGAGCGATTTCGGCATGGCATTTGACACTGGTACTCTTAGGCAGAGCGAAATGGTGATGAGATCAGGATGATGCAATCAACGATAGCTTTCGTGAGGAGTTCTGAGTTTTGTGCATATTATGACCAATGTATGAGTATAGCGATACACATACACGTTTTTTAAACCCAGTCAGGCTGCATTTAGCAATAAGTTCTCTGCTCCGAAACTGAGTAAAAGAATGCTAAAGGCTAGAATGCATGATTACCTTCCACCAGCAGGGCGTATCACGTACATTCTGATCTGATCGCTTACCGTCCCCCATCATCCATCCCAGCCCATTCATCTTGATAAACACTACCGCCAAATGCTGCCACCATTAAATATACACATGCTCATGCCCCTGCACAGGGCAATTTCGAACAAAACAAAATGTATATAAGACGCTCACAATACCATGCAAGTCCAAAGGATAGGGGCCCTCAAGAACGCCATGCAAGAACGCTCGCAGTGAACAAACTCCGTGCATCGTCTAGCCAAGCAACAAGCTACAGGCATGACAACAAAACAAATATGTACAAGAGATAATAGGAGGAGAGAAAAAATTACTAACTTGTAACAAGACACTTACTGATGCGAGAAGTACACACTTTAAGTCTAATACTAACCTTCCAAAGTATACAACCCGAAACTACTCCCGTCCGACGCAATATAAGTTTGCTTCTTCACCGTCCCAAGAGCCCGGAAAACCAATTTGTAAGATGCTTCGAGCTCGTACTTGGCGTCCAGCTCAACGCGCTGTTTGTCCTGCCTCCGCTACTCTCAGGTGTCTTCGGACTGCTCCCCAGGAGCGGCACAGTCTTGCCTCTCGCGCGGCCTGACGACGGTGTCCGAGGGCTGGGCTGGTTTTTATCGCGGGATCCGAAGAGCACGGCGCGGGAAATGCGATGCTCAGGCATCTCTTGCTTCGATTCCGGGCGGGTCGTTGAAGCAGACGTAGATACCTGTGAGAGCGCGGATGGTGTAGGGGTGCCCTGCGTACTGAGTGCGGGGCCAGGTTTCGAAGTATGAGGGCTATCGGAGTCGACGTGATGTATGGAGTCTACGAGGCAGATGGTTGAGCTGCTAGGCTTCTCTTTCGATAGGTCGGCGAGGATAGGACTGTGAAGCCCGTGGAGCGATAAGCCAGTCTTTACCCAAGGACGGACCGTGTACGTGGGTTGTAGGGAATCTATCGAGCATCGTATTAGCACGAAGCAAGGTTGTTGAGCTCAGAGATTATGCGCCGCCACCTTCAGGGGTAGGTGACCGCTCCTCGTTTGCTTCTTGGTCTGCCTCCTCCGTCGCAGCTTCGCCATGTTTCTCTTCTGTGCCGTCTCCGTTCATTGCACCCGCGGCAGCCGCTGCTGCTTCAGCGGCTTGTTTCTCGGCCCGAGCTTTCGCTCGCGCAGCTTGCAATTCGTGGTTTTCCTTGCGGGCGCGCTCATCTTTCGCTTTACGGAGGCGCTCTACTTCCTCGACTCCGCCGCTCTTCTTGAGCTTGCCTTCTCCGACAAACTCGCCAAGTTCCTTCTTGAACTCTCCCCCCATCCCGGTTTGCAAGTTCGCGCTGTCGGGCCTTCTCAGCGCGTTCAATAGCTTCAAGTCGGCTTTCGTGGTTTGGTTGCAAAGCCTTCACCTCTCCTAGCACACCATCTCGAGCTTGACGGGGATCAACAGCCTTATCGAAGGCGACCGCATGCAGCAAATTACGCCCAGAGGCCGAGCGCGTGCCCTGCCCCTTACCATCTTCAGTCTGCAAGTTCTGTTGCTTGGTCGCTTGTTCCACAAGCTCAAGGGTCTCGGCTGCCTTCTCAAGGTCGTCTTGCAAGTCAGCCGCCAGGTCTTCCTGCATTGAGAGCAGATCTCTCTCTTCGCAGACAGTCTGGAGTTCTTGCTCCCAAATTTTCGTCCATAAAGGCTTTTCTTTCGCCAGAAGATCCTGCAGCCTCTTGAGCTCGGAAGTGGCCTTCGAAAGATCCTTGGCAGCGATTTCAAGCTGACGCGGCAACGGTCTGACACCACGAGTGACGACATCTTTGCGCAAGTCTTCAATAAGATCCTGAATATCGTCTACGCGAGTGACCATCTTCTCCGAGTCTTCTTGCAACGTCTTCTTGCCATCGTTGATATACGCACGGCCAGTGTCACCCTCAAGTGTGGGCAATGCGGCCTTCACGGCGGTGGATTTCACGGCGGCGGCCTTAGTCCGGATGGCAGACATGCTTGCTTCGATATCGGCCACCATAGACGAATATGTCTGCTTGACAACAGCGAGATCTCTCCGCAGTGACTGGACTTCGTTGAGTTGAGCTGCGGACGAAAGTGATACTTCCGAAGAGCCTCCGGTCGGCATGGGAGAGCTGGGAGTCAACAATGTTGAAGCACGGGCAGAGGACAAAGTGGAACCAGCAGCGATGCCCGCAAGTTCCTTGGACGTCTGTTGTTGACGTTCCGCGACGCGCTGAATTGCCGACTGTTGGTCTTCGACAACGCTTTTGATGTTCTCCACGAGGCGGTTCAGACCGTGGAACTTGTCGTCAATATGACTCTTCACCTCGTCAAGTTGTTCGACATTCAAGACAAGGACTGATCGCTCTTTGATGTCGTTCATGTCCTCAAGTTCGTATCGCACGCCAGAGACAGGATCTTGAATATGAATCTCCGGGAGCTCGCCATTACGGTGTGTATCCCATGCAAACTTTTCAATGAATGCAAGTTGTAATCTCCCAGGGTTGAGGTCTGCGCCGTCCGAAAAGACGTATTTCCGGATCTTACTTTTATACTGCAAGAAAATCGTGAGCTCCTTGCCGGATTGTGGCGATTGCTCTGGTACGAATGGTTCCGGCTGTGGCGATGGAGATGGGGTCTTCGTTCGGCGCGAGTTCATTCGAGCGGGTATACTGGAGGCCTTTCGTGGCTCTTTGACTGGCGATTCCGAGGGTAGTCCCGCAGGTTCTACCAAGGGGCCATTGAGCGTGGCTCCAAGCTCAGGGGTGTCGCCTTCAGGGTATTTTGGGGCACCGAGCTTGTCCTCGGGTGTTTTTGCAACAGGACTGTCCTCAGGCGCAGGTTCTTGTGGAGGTTGAACGTTCAGTGCAGAGCTTCGAGAACTCTCTTCGGAAATACGCCGGGATACATCGTTGGTTCTGTCGAACTGGGTTTCAACAGCGGGTCGAGCGTTGGATCGTTGCCGGCTGTGAAGCACTGATCCCCTAACACGAACAGCGTTCATAGACTCCCGAACGTCTCTTCCGCGATTGGGTATGGGAGAGTTCTGCACAGGCGGCATGGGTATCCCGTTCGTGCCCAGATGTTTCTGAATCTGATATGCCGAGAACCTTCGCGAAGCTCTTCTTTCCAACTCTCCACCTCGCTGCAGCGCTGCCAGCGCATCTTGTTGCTTCGGAGGCGGCGGAGGGGGAGGAAAGTTGGCCGGCCAATCTTGCTGTTGTCGAGGGTCGGGCGACTTTGGCATGGGGTCTTCTGAAGGGTACGGGGCGATTACGGGTATCTGCTGCGCGGTAGTGCTAGACAGAGAAGAATCGGTCGACAGCTGGCTGGCATTCGTTGTGCGATTTGCTCTTGGGTTCGAGGGCAAGGCATCGTACTTGGTCGGCGACGCTCTTCCGGGTACAGAAGACGATCGCGGAGGCAGGTCTGGGCCATTTTCAATCAAGTCGCTCTCTTGGCGCGCGGGCAGACGAGTGCTGGCCGCGCGTGCCTGCTGAGGTTCCTCGACCTCTCCCACACTGCCAACGCTTCCTTGCCGCGGGCTACCTCCAATAGGGGCGCCATTTCGTTGCCGGAGGCGCTGTTGCTTCTTCTTCAAGCCATGTAGCAGATTGATTATGATGTCTCGTATGCGTGGGAGGAAGTTATCGAGGCTGGCCTGAGACGCTTCCTGGCTAAGTGTCTCCTCCAAGATACCGCGCAGCAGTTCTGGAACATTTCCAAGATCTTGTGTGTCGACTCCAATAGCGTTGAACGCTCGGGATGCGATGTTGAATTCATAGCCCAGGCGTACGTAGACATCCGAGACCTCGCTCTCGGTGGCAGTTCCTCGGGACCATAGTGTGAGGGTTTCGAGTAGTTGCTTAGTTGCGACGAGGAGGTGTGTGACTACAAGCAGTCAGCGGTGACACGAGGCGAGCAGAATGGGGTGAAGCTACCTGACTTCTCGATCTGGCTGAGCTGCTGTTGGGGCTGCATAGCGGGGAGAGGTTAGCTACAGAAGTCCTGCATGGGGCTCGACAGGAATGTCGGAGCAATCGGGCGCGTGGCAGGAGAGTACTCACAGTCTGTTGGCCGCGCCGGGCATGTGCTCCGCGCGACGAACCCTTACTCGAGCCCTGGGAAGGTGCATACTCGTCGCTCAGAGTCATGCTGGAGGCTGTGGACGGTGGGTAGAGCGTGGCTTCTGAGTCGCGCGAAGGAGTTGTTGTACTCGCACTGGACGAGGCGTACTGCATGGGCGATGTGGCGTGCGGTGCTGGGAAGCATGTAACGCGAGTGATGGTGAGGTGGACGTGAAATGGCTTGGCAGGCGGCGGGTGATGTTAGCGTCGCTGCACGCACGTTCGCCTTGGTTCTTGCTAAAGGATGCTTGAGACGCCGTTGCACAGTCAGTGCTAGAAGATGGATGCTGGGGGCGCAGACTTCGACTGTGCTTCAAGATGGAGGCCGTGCGAAAGGTGCTTGTTTGTGTGACGGGCAGGAGCGATGGCTAGTCCCGGGAGTCTGCTGCGACACACCCAAGACAATACGTACAAGTCATGGACGGCACAATCCTAAGCACGCACCATCTCCAAAAGACCAGTTCGGGGTACGAGGCCAAAGTGTGGCTTGGGAACTGCTAGCTTCCGAGCGTACCCAATTTCTCGACGTTTGCCTGTGTAAAGCTATCGCGAACTCCTCCACTACCACTATCACTTCTCCTACCACTGCTCCTCCTCCTCCTCCGCCTCCGCCTCCGCCTGCGCCTGCACCTGCGCCTCCGCGACCGAGCCCAAACAGTCCCCGCTGCAGCGCGCAATTGCACTCGATCGCGCTCTGCGTCGCCGCGAGTGCTTGGCCATTAGCTCCCGCTCCGCGCTCCGCCCGCCGCGTCTTGACCTTTGGGTTGGGGGCCGCGCCGTTTCACCATTGTCGATCCGCGCACTACAGGAAGCCTCCGCTATTTCGAAAGCGCCAAGCGTCAACCGCGCCTTCTCCTGCAACTGCAACTGCAACTCGCATCACCCGTGCACTGTACACCAGCCCGCCCCTTCGCTCAGCTGCCCGACCGCGTCCATCGCAGGCACACACTCGCCGACTCTCCTCCTCGCCAGTGCCCCTCTTAGCATTGGGCCCTTTGCGCTGCCTTGCGCCTTGTTCCCCATCCCGGAGAGGCACGCTGCCCTCACGCCGGCACGCCCATGTCCAGCACCGCCGCGGCCACGTCCACCAACGGCGCCCATGTCAACGCTCCTCTGAACCCCGCATCCTCGAATTCCTCTGCAGGCCGAGCACAACTGAAAATGAACACTTCGGCTAGAGGCCCCGACGGCGCGCGCAAGCAGGCTGGCAGTCCTGTCGATGCCGCTCAAAAGTAAGCTCCCCTTGTATTCGACCCCGACCGTGTTTTGTCTTCCCCTTTGCACGCGGCCACCCACGGGTCCTGCCGCTTTCTCTCCCACGCCTCGAGAGCTCGTCGGTTCAAGTTCGCGTCCAGCGGTACTTACTCGTGTGACGTGCAATCAGTCACATGGAGCCACGGTGCAACGCTCTCATCCCGCACACAGTATACCCTCGCACTGCCGCAGTCCTTTTGCCATTGCAACCTTCTGTTTCTGCGTGCCAATCCCTGTTCCCTGCTCGTGCCCACGGCGCTGACTCGAGACCCCTCTTCCAGGAAACCATCACAACCCAGAGCATGGCAGGGCACCAACCCCATTACACAACGCTCTACAAACCAGAACACCAACGGTGTGGTCAACGCTCCTAGACCGTCGCAACCCGCTTCGGCGCTCTCCGGCGAGACCATCACACCCATGAGACATCTCAATGACAGGATGATGTACCTGCTCGCGAATCTTTCGGTGCGTTTCACACTGGTGGCAATCGCGCTAAGGGCAAGATCTAATATAGTGCGTCCAGGGGCTTCCGGGCAACATAACACTGAAGAATGGCGAGACATACACAGGCGTGCTCTCGGGGACTAATCTCGATCCGACCGAGATGCGCTATGTCTTCAAGATGGTCAAAAAGGTCCAAGCAGCAAACGACACGCATGTGAACGGTAACAGCGAGCCATCGGACGATTACATCGGCTCAGGCGATGACCATGTCATGATCTTCGATATGGGAGACGTTGCGGATTTCCACGTTAATGGCGTTGTCCTTGATAAGACACACTCGAAGGGCCAGAACGGTATGTGAGCAAGTGACAAACCAGCCAAAGCCTGCTGACACCATGATCAGGCGCATCTAGCTTCCGCACCGACACGGACATCTCCGGTAACGCAGCCTTCCGCGAAAGGACTCTTCAGAAATGGGAACCGTCGTCAGATGCCAGTGCAAACCTGTCTCTTGAGTCATCTGGCCAATCAAGCGGTTGGGATCAGTTCGCGACGAACGAGCGGCTCTTTGGCGTTCGGAGCGACTATGACGAGAACCTGTATACCACTACCATCGACCGCAGCCATCCGCAATATGCCGAAAGGGCGGCACTTGCCGAGAAGAAGGCTCGGGAGATTGAGGGCAGTTCTGCTCTCAATGCGCACGTTCGTGAAGAGCGAAGCCAGAATGTGGCTGGCGGCGACAAGGGCGTGGACGAAGAAGACTTGTACAGTGGAGTACACAGGCCTCTCACCAGCGGAACGTCGAACAAGTACACCCCGCCTGGGCGTCAGCCTCCGTCCGGCCAACCTACAGTTTCTGGCGCTCCCGTCGATCCTGCCATCATATCGTCTCAATTGGCTCGCCCCGAGACGAAGTCAACACAGCGGACGGCAGGTCCTACGACTGAGAAGCCCATCACCACTGAGCCCCCAAAGACTGAAGAGCCTAAAGTTGCCGAAGTACCAAGCGTGCCTAAGGCAGAGCCCTCTAGTGGTGCAACTTCCAAAGCGGAGACAAAAGCCCCACCCACAACTAAGCCCGCCCTTGATCAGGCACAGAAACCTAGCACTACGCTAAAGTCTACCGTGGGTGGGACTCAGCGTAGACCACAGAACGCGACAGCGAATGTTGAGCACGAAGTCCTGGATTCATTCAAACAATTCTCTGCTGCTGAAAAGCTGCGCATGTCCGAGCGTCAACGTACCATACAGCGCGAGTCCAAGGCTGTGAAGCTGAACGATCTGAAGAAGTTCTCCCAGAACTTCAAGCTGAACACCCCTGTTCCATCAGACCTCGTTCCTATACTTGCCAAAGACGAGGTCAAACAGGCACAAATCGTCGAAAAGGCTCTGAAAACAGTGCAGGAAATCAAGGCCACTCCTCCCAAACCCGCGGCCGCTAGTGTTGATCCGAAATCAGTACCTCGACCTGCGAACGCCAAGGCTGATGTACCGCAGCCATCATCTAACGCTTCTGTTGATCGCCAGCAAATCCAGAGGCCTCGACCAGGACAGGCTCCATTCGGATCCGCGACGATGCGCGAGCGAACTGGACACCAACAGAATATCAGCCAGATGGCACCGCGAAACCATGGTTTGCTGAGCACACGCTTACAATTGAACCAACAGCAACACAAGCAACAAGGCAATGTGCCATATAACGGCATCCCTCAACCTATTCCCGTCCAAGACATGCGCATACCCCCTCCTACTGGCCCATCCGCATCGTCTAGCGGTGTACCAACGCCAACTTCTTCGAGTGCAACCCCAAAGTTCAACGTCCGGGCGACCGAGTTCAGGCCCACCGCGAATGCATTTCAGCCTGGTGGACAGCCGAGCAACCACTCGAGTCCCAGGCCAGGCTCAGCGTCGCGACAGGAGCCTCCCCGCAAGGTCCAACTTACGAGCTTTTTTGGCGGCAAGCATCCGACTGTGCAGCCGTTGGATCTTGCCGAGTTCTTTAATCCCATTTTGCGTTTACGCAAGGAGTCCGCTGAGGACCCACAGAAAGCCCGCCAGTACGCCACCAACGGCGGCATTCAGCCCACGTACCACACTCCACCTACTTGGGACTTCCCTACCGCGAACACGGACAAGGGCTACAAAGACATGTTCGAACGCCCCGCAACCCAGCCTCTGTCCACCCCACACATGATTGGCAATGGTCCAGTGCCTCACCAGCATCAATTGCCTCCTCAATTCCAAGGACCCCAGGGTGTCCCTCAAGGTCAAACGCCACATCACACCCCTCGCCATCCACCTGTGCAGCCACACCACGCCCCTGGTCCACACCAATTCGAGGCTCAACACATGCAATTCTCTCATTCAACATCGTCGGTACACCCGTCACCTCGTCCCATGCCTGGGTATATGTACGGTTCTCAGCCGCAGCCTATGTCAGGTTATCCGCAGCAAGTGCCTATGCAACCCTACGGCATGAGCCCGAATGTCCAGCACGTTGCGCTCAGGGCTGGACACGGCGGTCCTCAATTTGTTACTCCTCCCGGCCCTGGTATGGGTGGACAAATGATGACGAATCAGCCTTCAAACGGGCCTTACATGGGCATGCCTACCAATCCACCGATGCAGATGTATCCAGGAGCCCCGCCCTCTGGTTTCAATCAATACCCTGGTCAGATGCCAACGGGTCCTGGTGCGAACGGGTACCCTAATAGCCCAAGGGTAGGAGCTCCCATGATGGCTCACCAGGGGTCACAGCAAGGTCATACTGGGCAGCAAATGATGTTCATGCAACATGGCGCGCAGGGACCGCCGATGTTCACTCAAGTCCCGCCTGGCTCCAGTATGTGATGAAATGCTTTTCGCTCCGACCAACAACTGACACAATTGCAGTGACACCCATGCGAGGTCCCTTCCCTCAATCTCATCAGCCTCACTATGGATCCCCGCATCAGCATCACCAGTTCCCTCAAGCACCACATCGAGTTACTCCAAGCGGTAGCTACTCACAGCCCATGATTCCTCAACACTCGCTACCTCCTCAAGGTCCTCCGACTGGCCCCACTAATCATGGTCCAGAGGGGAGCGAGGAGGTTAAGTGAATGTCCCTTTGAATCGCACGGCATCCACTTGAAGAGTCGCGCTTTGTAACGACTTCGAAGGTGCCCGCAGCTTGGCGTCGTCTTATCCCGCTCGTGTACGATGGCTCTTTCACCGAACTTTTGGGTCTGCATTAGCGTAGGCGATATGACATCCGACTTTTTTTTGGCTACAAAATCAAGCATAAGCGACCGGCGTTGGGCGCACATGGCAGCGTCTAAAGACCGCCTCGGACTCATCACAGTGACGGGGAGTCCAGCTCATGGGAAGCATTTGGACCAGGCTTCTTTTTGTTCACGGCATCAACTTCAAGCTCGTTCGACCGCACCTGCACTGGCCACGGGCGGGTGGGTCAAAGAATCGCTTTGGCGTTTTCGTACGGAGATGGCAGCTCAGTGCGTACGATAGCAAGGGGTAGGAGCTTGCGATTAGGCGGATGTCCCATCCCAGGATCGTATCCAAGTCACTCAAGTCTTGCTATAGCAATATAACTAAGCCAACCAACATGTCGGAAATTGAAGATCTTGTGAAGCGCACTGAAGTGTACAATCACCGTGTCATGTTCTTATGATTGTGGTGTGCACGAAAGGGCATGCTCGCAATTTCAGGGCGGCTTTGACTGCCATTTTAGAAAAGCTAGGGCCGTGCGTGAGACCCTGACCACGCGGTTCCGAGACGATGGCATTCCGACGTCCTCCCCAACGCACGCGACCACAGCACGACTTTTTCTTATGACATTTCTCTGGATGTAGTCGCAGGAGTTCGTCTGTAGCGTTGGCTTCCCCGAGCATGGCCGATACCGCTGCTGAACCGCTCATTGCCGGCGGTCCCGACATTCCGAGAGATGACGATTTTGAGGAAGGGGTCGACGTGGACGAAGGTGCGCTGGTGAAGCCGGGGAGGTTTATCTGGGTGCTTACGTTCTGCGCTGGGGTGTCGGGCCTGTTGTTTGGTTATGAGTATGTGCTCTATATTTCCTCAACTACATACTGTATTGCGACGCTAAGTGCGGCATGGTGAAGTTGAAGCTAATAGCACGGATGCAGCACCGGTGTCATATCCTCAACCCTCGTCTCCGTAAAATCAGACCTCTCCTCCCGCCTCCTGACTACCCTCGACAAATCCCTCATCACCTCCGCGACGTCCTTCTTTGCTCTCCTCGTCTCCCCGCTCACGGGCGTCCTCGCCGATGCGCTAGGCCGCAAGACAATTATCCTTAGTGCAGATATTCTCTTCGTCGTTGGTGCGCTGTGGCAGGCCTGGACGAGCAGTGTGTGGGGCATGGTTGCGGGGAGGAGTGTCGTGGGTGCGGCGGTCGGAAGCGCCTCGTTCGTCGTGCCGCTGTATATTGGGGAACTATCACCGGGGCCGTGGAGGGGGAGGATGGTGACTATTGCCAGTCTATTTATTACAGGCGGTCAAGTGGTTGCGTATGTTGTCGGCTGGTTGTTCTCGACAAAAGTCCATGGCTGGAGGTGGATAGTGGGGCTGGGAGCATTACCCGCGTTAGTACAGTTTAGCTTGCTATTCCTCATGCCTGAGACACCAAGGTATCTTGCCAGAAGTGGGCAGAGAGAGAGAGCTAGACGCGTGTTGATAAAGGTGTATGAGAGGTGTGAGGGTGTGGACGCGGACAGGCTCGTGGACAGTGTGCTTAGGAGAGTGGAGAGGGAGATTATGGAAGAGGAGTATGCTACCCGAGGAAGAGTAATTGGGCCTGCTAAGCAAGGGTGGGCTGCAAAGATCGAGAGAGTGCAGGAGAGCTTCACGCAGCTAGTTAGCATCGGAGGAAACAGGAGGGCGCTCATCATCGCATGTATGCTTCAGGGTGCTCAGCAGCTTTGTGGGTTTGTAAGTTCTCCAGTTCCTCGCTATTGTGGTGCTACAGCAACCATTCCTGGCATATTCGATCCTTGCACCCTGCAACAATTAAGAAATTCAGACACTAACCGCCCTCAGAACTCCCTTATGTACTTCTCCGCCACCATCTTCTCCCTCGTTGGCTTTCACTCCCCCACCCTAGCCTCCCTTTCCATCGCGCTCACAAACTTCCTCTTCACCCTCGTAGCCTTCTACTACATCGACCGCATTGGCCGCCGTCGCATCCTCCTCCTGTCCATCCCCGTTATGGTCCTCGGTCTCCTTCTCTGCTCCGTGGCTTTTAATTTCCTCGATGTACCCATGGAGTCGAACAGCCTGCGCGGCCGAGACGAGGGAAGCATGGTTTGGCCACTCATGATCCTCGTCGCAATGGTCATCTACGTGGCCGGGTACGCCATCGGACTGGGCAACGTACCCTGGCAGCAATCCGAACTCTTCCCACTCTCCGTGCGCTCGCTGGGCTCTTCACTCGCGACAGCGATGAATTGGGGCTCCAACACACTCGTGGGACTTACTTTCCTACCTATGATGCAGTTCTTCACGCCAATGGGGACGTTTGCGCTGTATGCGCTAGTGTGTGTGGGTGCGTGGGTAAGTGTTAAGAGGATTTACCCTGAAACTGCAGGGTTGGGGTTGGAAGATGTGGGGAGGTTTTGAGGGATGGGTGGGGATCGAGGACAGTGTCACAAGGGTGAGAGAGAGGGCGAGGTGGGGTCAAGCGGAAGGAAGGGTAACTCGGATGCCTATATCATAGTTCCCAACTTGACTGTGAGACGATCTTGATTTAGTAGGACGTGTATTGAGGTAGGTTGCGACTCAGGTAGCGTTCCCCTCATTTATAAGATAAAAAGAGATAATCCTATGCCTTTCCCTTTAATAAATTCAAAGCCTTCGAAGGGTCAGAACATGGCTGTTCAGAAGGTTATCAAGACATAGCACATACTTCAGGGGAACTCTACCTTCCAGTGAGAGCACTCCTCTCCCATATAATCACAGTATGCCGACGCAGACTCCATCAGAATTACATTAGCCAAAAAGGTGCCTAGTATGGTGTCAATCACGCAAGTTTACGTGAATGCGGTACTCAATCAATCTATAAGATGCTCCTCCCCCATCGCAATCGGCGACGACCTGGATTTTAAAGAGTGAGTTCCTCTACCCTTGACCCAACTTGATCCCACCAATAACGCGCACTTGAGCATTTTATGGCCTCGGAGTTGTAGCGCAGGCCGTCAATGTATGCGAGTGATGGAGATTGGATGGTTCTGCAGATGGGGTTAAGCCAGGAGGTTAAATTCTTAACGTGCTCGCCAAGCATATCTACCTAGGTAACGTTGCCCAGCTTACTGCACGCAATGATCTCCGATGGCCCTTCTATGTTTCGGGCATGGCATTCATGACCGATCAGACAGGATGATCTCTAATCGAAGCCTCCGTCTCGCCTTCCTGTACCTATCTTTCTGGACTCCTCGGGTGGTCCATAAGAGAATAGCCTGGACTACGCGATCGTAAAAGCTCGATTCTACAGCACCAGTAACATTCAGGCGTGGGAATATGATATATTCATGTTCTGGAAACATTGCTGCCAACACATCCCGTACGCTTGACCATTGAGCGAGGGTGGCTGCGGACAACACATGAGCACGCAGAGAGCTGCATTACCAAGGCGAGACGCTGTGGAGAACACGGAATCAACACCCATGTGCTTCCAACAGCCCTGAAATATTCAATGGCTCGCATGACTAGCTAAGTCTCCTTTGAATGTGATGCGACCGCCATCGGCTCTCCATTCACTACATAGGTAGCAAGGGCATGTAGGCGCACGACGCAGCACATGGCTTTCGGCCACATCGATTTACAAGCAAGAAAGCAAGAAGCAATTCACAGACAAAACAGCGTAGAGATCCTTGATCGGACAAGGACGGACGCCTGGACAGGCTGCCCATCAGGTTGGCAGCAGCTTACGTAGAACACGTTTTCACCTTAGGTGCTCGGCGCATCTTTATGTCCCATGGGAGGCTTTGTAACTAAGAGCAGAAGCTTATAGCTGGACGTAAATCTATTACCTACCTCTCTATCCACTCACTAGGTCACGACCACTCTGCTTACCATCACCGATCAGCGCTGCCAGGTCCCGCAGTATGGTGACGTCGCCGCGACCTCGCTGATAACAATATGGAGCACCTCGAAGAAACTTCGCATCACCGGCGAGAGACCGAAGTACAGATTCTGGTGAACAGGGTGGATGTATAAGCGTGCGTTGGTTGCACGATACTCATGGACCAGCTTGATTCAGTCGCACAAGACATCAATAATCTCCGCAATTTTCAAATTAACAGTGTACTGCTCAAAACCCCTTCTGCTGATTGCGGCCACTCTCCTCACTTTCGCGGGCACAGTCGTCTCCGACGGAACAGAGCTAGCAAACCAGTTCGGCTTGATCGGCCCGTCATCCGTCGTGCTCTTCTTGGAGGACTTTCACTTTATTTCTGGACATCTCGATCAGGTGTTGCACACGAACCACCACTGCAGCATCATGTCTGCGGATATCATCCAGCGCACGTTTCAGGTGCCGGACGCCAACCCCACTCGGCTCGCTGGAATTGAGAACACGATCTCAGGCGAAGCTTTCGAGGGATTGCCGATAAGCGAAAGGGAGCTGTGGCACTCGCACAAGTACGAGGTCACCAGCGGGCTCTTAGTCGAGCCTGGCATGCCTGACAATGTCGATAAGGAGGTTATGAAAATTCTCGATAACATGCATAGCAAGACATTTCACACGTGGCCATACAGGTCGAAGAACGGCTCGATTTCCCTTAGCATCCCTGAGATTGTGAAAGGATATACTGCGGATGGACAACTGGAGGCCTATGTGGAGAGGAGGGACAACATGTTCGGGTTGAATCATACAGCTCCGTGCTCAGGGCTTGGGACGCTGTGAGTCATCGCCGTCCATCTTCTGACTCAGTACCTGCTCGCAGGGCACGCTTATCACAAAGCTTAGACGGCGTTTACCTCGCTTTAAACATGTTAGAGTGATTGTGAAATTGCGGTGCAGAGAGGCCGGTTGCCATGTAGGTTTTCATGCGCAGCGGTGTGACGTGTGGAGTTAAGTAGCCCTTGTTTCAATCAAACAAGAGCGAATTATTCCTTCAGGTTGGGGGTGCGAAGCTTATAGTGGGCCCTTTGATGTGACAAAAGCTCGCTCTTCACTTTAATGTGACAAAAGCTCGCTCTTCACTTCAATGTGACAAACGCTCGCTCTTCATTGTAATGTGACTAACGTTCGCTCTTCACTTCAGAATTGCGGAGTAATTCCAAGAGTCGCACAGGGTCTTCTTTACTAAGAGATCCCTCCTTACCTATAAATCTGTGTACTCCATATGCCCATAGCACAAGTTAATACTGCTCTCACATTTGCCTTGCTATACTCAAAAACACTCGACGAACGACCTATTACCTTTAAACGTCGTCAAGATGTACACCATCATTTACCTCCTGATCTCCTCAACCATTACCTGCCTCGTCCAAGCACGCGCTTTCCACAACGCAGGCCTGACATCCCGTCAGATGGCATTGTGCCATGTTGGAGAACCCGGTGGCATTTCCATCCACGTGTTCACGCCTGGAGAAGGGCCAGATTATCCCAGAGCAGACTACGACAGCACATACTCCGCACAAGAGGCTACAGGATGTCTCACAGCCGACTATCTCAGGGAGCATGCAGCTGGTAGCCAGAAGAACCAGGCCAGTGTCACCAACATTAGCCCCGACCTCGGTGGACATTGCATGCTGTATTCCACGGAGGAGTGTGCGGGCAATTCCGTCATGAGGCTTCCCAACCCGCGCCACCTGAACCTGATCTATCCCGAGTAAGTCAAAGACTCGACTAGCGAGGGATGGTGGACAAGACTAATGTATTACAGTAAAATCATCTGCCCGGGCGTACCCAGGGACATGTTGCCAGACGATTTCAGAGCTATTAAATGCTTCGACTATTACCCCCAGTGATGGATTGAATTTGGGAGTGGGGCATTATCTGCTTCTTGTTAAGCCGAAATGCGTAGCTTTTGTGTATCGGGTGTTTGACAGTGGTAGACGTTGTGTACCATGAATGTTCAAGCCGAGATATAATTGAAGCTTTAATCCACCGTACTACGTGTCATGCTGAATAATCGACATGTAAATTGCCTTGATCTCTTCAACCGTGTATATCTTCGAAATGGGCTCCGTGGATGTCTTTACGTTGACATTTCGCAAGCTAGCAATGTCAGTGATTTCTCGAATTAGGCGTACCTGCTTCCGAATCTATCATTGCATGTATTGGAGCCTCATGTTCGCATCCTGCGCAGAGTATATGCGATGCTCGATTTTGCCGTGTCCTTGCTCTGGTAGGATGGTAATTAGAGCCTCCTCCAACAGCGGAGCTCGAGTCTGAAGAACTACTCAGCCTAAAGGCGGACAACATGGTTGTGCAATGCCGAAGCGCTACCTAGGCCAGGCCAGCACTCGGCTGCTCCTGCCAGTCAATTCGTGCTACCCATCTCGGTCTTCTGCTCAGAGCACCTGTTGCTGGGGATGCTGAGCCAAGGCTGTGTGTCTCTGTTGACGTTCTCTGCAAGAGGCTCAGACCCTGCCGATCCGGCACTCGGACCGATCGCTGAAGAAACAATCCTGCCCTGAGGTTTCTGTACCTGCAGTCGAGCGGGAGTATCGATGGCACGGGGCGATGGAGGATTGACCAATCGAAAAGCGCCGACTATACTCTTTTAGATTGCTGATGATGTATGGAATCTTCCGATGATGCAGGAGCCTTTACATTGATACCACCAGCTGCTTTTCACTGGCTGTCTTTGTACATGCTGCATGGCCGATATCGATGTTCAAGGCATCCGGCCTGTTCCGGACGACAGATGCATTGTCACCAAGTACTCTCGACACGCGACCGCACCGCCGTCACGGTAAAGATTGCAACTTGCTCTTCAACATGCATACGGGCCGGAGGGGTCCCTTGTTGCAAACAAGGCGCCGATGCTCCGTCCGCTGAGCATGCAACGACCAGGTCTTGTGCGTCGGGCGACGGGCCAGCGCTCACCATTGAGTCATCCTGCACCGGAACACAAGCGAGAGCACGGAGCGCGCAGGGCCTCCGACGCGTGCGTCCGGTGTGGAAGAAAATTTCTTGCCCTTGTTGCCGTGCAAACCCACTCGAATATTGGACAGTGTGGTCGACGTTGGATGTCCGGTGTAGAAGACGAACACGTGTGCTGGGCAAGAGTCGTGAGTGACGGACCCTGGGGTGGGTCGGCTTGCAAGTGGGGATTGGGCGGGCAGACCCGTTGGTCGGCCCTTCTTGTGGTCGTGGACAAGCGGACCGTCTGCGGATCGTCTTGATGGCGCCATCTCGGAGACTTCAGTCACGCCAGCATGGGCAGCGTGCTGTGTATCCCGTCGCACAGCACTTTGCCGTCGAGTCCGGTGCTCAGCCACGGCACGAAGCCGTGGTCGGGTTCCGAGCAGGCGCTGCCTCGGGCGTGCGTCGTTTGCGACATGGCCTCTGGCGAGTGCTGCTGTCCATGTCTGGCGTCCCATGCCGCAGCATCGAGAGGAAGGGCTTGCATCGGCTGCTTGCAAGCTGGCTGCCCCTGCTCCGTCGCGATTCGTCTCGGGCCGTCGTGCGTGCGGGGAAGGCCAAGGGTTGCGAAGGATTCTTGTCGAGCCCATGCACCGCACGACGAATGCACCGCACGCAGCCAATGCTGGGGCACCGCGGCGCGCAGCAGAGAGGCGAAAGCGCAGGGGGCGTGCAGCGCGGAAGCACCACGAGCCCGCCGCAGAGGTCCTCCAACGAACCGTCGCAGTGGTTGATGAACCCTCGTTTTCGTTGAGGAGTTGCCTATCTGCCATCTGCACATTTGCCTCTTGCGGGCCGCTCACACCACCGCGCTGCTTGGGTCTTGACCAGATGCTGGTGAAAACTCTGCACGCGGCTGAACACCCAGCAGGAGGAAGCGCCCGACGCCCTGCGCCGTTTGCCCGCTTTGGGTGAGAGAGTCGCAGTAGAGCAGCCTGGAGACGCCACAGTAGACGCATTGCGCGCGTCTGGGCCCTGCGTGCAAGGGGCGCATCAGTGTGCGAGGTTGCATTATCGCCATCCCAAACCTCCATACAGTAGCTGCCCAGAAGACGGGACCGAAGACAGGGTGCGCGTCACTCTTCACGTGACGTCGTTTTGACCTCGGGAGCACTGCTGTTGGACTACGATACATGGACACGGTTCTGGTAACAGAACGCAGACCATCGTGGAGGAGCTAACATGGTCTTGTTAGCCATGACTACAGCCATGGCTGGTTGTTCAATTGCCGCCGTGGCGAGAACTGCCTAAGACTATGGGGTATGTAGAACAGGAAAACGCCGTCGCGTTATAATGGAAAGTGGTGGGAGCCAATCCTGCGCCAATGGCTCCATGTCCGAGTGCTGTCCGTTACATGTACAGCTGCCAGCAGGACCCCCAGACCTAGACTATCCGACACACGCTTAATAACACAGAGGCTAGATGACTCCCTCAGATTGTGCTCCGAGAGCGGCCCAAGCCAGCCAACCAACACAAACACCAGAATAATGCTTTTGGTACACTGCCTTAAGCAGATTGATGGATAACAAATGGAAACTTGCAGACGAAACTGTATGCTGCATAGCCGTGGCCCATGCACAAGCCCAACTCCGAGTGGGAAACAAACGCCGGGTCCCAGCGTCATGGTAACGCGCTGGTGTGGATATGCGGTGGTAAAGCGAGCAAGCGCAAACGATGATAGCTTGAGGGAGTAGAGCAGCCTCCCAGGCTAGTGCTTCGGAAACTCCACGAGGCACAAACAAAGGCCGTCAGAACAGTGGATGGCGGTGGGCGGTGGATTGCCCTAGGTCATCCTTCTCTTGATCTCGCGAACCTGGTCGAAGTTTCGGGCGTAATAGTTGAGTTGACTCGCTGCTTGAGCGGAGATGCCCGTCGTCTGGGAGTGAGCAGACGCTAACGACGACCGTGAAGACGAGGGTGTGAGGCTGCGTTGTTGATGCTGTGATTGAGATGCCGACGCCGTGGGTGCGAAGTAGGTGCCGTTGTTGGTGGGGTAATAGTGGTAGGATGTGTCGAATCCCCTCGACGGTGTCGGTGTCTTGTATGCGGAGAAGTTGACTGCGGGTGGGAGGTAGAAGCCGTTGGTTGACGAGCCCGTCGAGGAGGCTGACGAAGACAGCTGTGAGGGTGATTTGGCCTTCTCCAGGTCTGCTAGTCGGCATGCTTGCGAGCAGTAGGCACCGCCTTCGGCTATCTGGCGGTCGCAGGAGAGGCAGAAGTCGGGAGACCACTCCATGTTGGAAGCCATTTCGTGGGCGTGATTGCGGGAACAAGGCAACGAGGCCAGCTATATACGGCGGCTGGCAGGCGGCAGGGCGCTTGGCTGAGGGGCGGGTGTGGACAGGTGGTGACTGTTTCGGGGCGAGCTGGGAGACTATGAACAAGAGTCAGAGGGGTGTAGCGGGAGGATGCACGGATGGTGTGTCGCTCGGTGGAGAACGGGAGCGGGCGATAGAGATGGTCTTATGGCGGACCCTCAGGCACACAGAGCTCCACGTCGGCCTATCAGTGGCCTGTGCCATGCAGCATGGACAGGGCCTGTCGCACCCGAGATGCAAGACCAGCATCTCCGCACTTGACCGCAGCGTGGACCGCGCGCCGTCTTTTTGCTGTACGCGCGCTACGCTGCAACTGACGCATGGCCCCCTCAGCAAGCAGCAGCAGCAGCAGCAGCCTGTCCACGATTGCACGCTGCCCATTCGCCCGCACCGCGAGATTGGCATGCAGCGCGTGTGGCCGTGGGGGGACCGTCATGGCAGCATCAGCCGATCGACGACGAGGAGACTTTGCTTGTGACACAGGACGTGTGGTAGCTGCGCGGCCTCACGCCTTTCCCGGCCTGACGACATGTCCAAGAGCAGCACTAGTCACCAGGCCTGCCCTGCGCCGGACAGATGACGGAAAGTTGCAAATGTAGGTACCCAGACTAGCTGCAATCACGGCGAGTCCACCAGGGCGTGACCCCAACGAGAAAGGGAGCAAGGCATCGGTTTCATCGGTCATGAGCCATGTTTGCCATGGCTTGCGCAATGCCAGAGCCCCGCTGCTGCCGTGCGCGTCGCTCGCCTGCTGAGTGGGCAGCCAGACCGCACACACCCCCAGCCAACGCTTCACGCTGCTCGAGCTCGCCACCGCTGCCCCATGCCTGAGGCCAATGACCGCACGCTGTGCAAGCCGTGCGTGCAGGGACTGTCCGACTGATTACTGTACTGCGCTGTGCTATACCGTGTCAGCCCTGCAGCGGTGCCGAAAGAGTACGTACCAAGTCCGTCTCCCACGGGCGCTGGCTGCAAAGGCAAATCGTGTCCTTGTCAGGCGCGATTCCCGCCTCGTGCGCCTGGTGCGAGGCATCGCTATCTTTGCGAACACCTTCACCTGGGCCCGGATGATCTCGTCGTAACCCGAACCAGCATGGCCACGAACTGTATCGCGCAGCGCAAGCGACGTTATCTAGCTCCATGGCCATGCTCACACACCATATCTTCACTGCTACTGTTTGCGTGCTATCTCCATATATCAGATACCCGCGACACCCGTGACGATCTTGGCTGTCTCCTTTGGTGCTATCTCTCAACAGCGAGCACCGTGGAGGGTGTCTGCTGCAGAATGGAGGCGCTCCGACTCGATTCGATATACTGATCCGACGGCGACAATCAAGGCAGGCCACCATACGGGGCGCTCAGTGGCTCGCTTCGGGCGCGGCAGCTCGCCTCTCTCGTTCGGGACCGACGGACGACATCAAATCTGGATGCACTCGTCTTGCAGCTGGCCAGGCCCGAGCAAATATTGGCAGCGCACAGAACCACTGTTCGTACCGTCTGGTCCCCTGGCGCGCGTGGTGGCGAGCACCGTGGTGGGTACGGTGGATCTTGCTCAAGAGCGATTCTGCATCCAACAAGCGAAATGAAGGATGCCTGCTCGCTATCGCTGCAGTTCATGCCCTCCCGCCAGTGCTGGGCGCTCTTCGAGTGACTTGCATATCGCTGGCGAATGGCAGTCGGACTCGATATGCACCGTGGCACAGACGACGCATTGCTGACCCCCACGCTGCTCTTTCCACATCTCCAAGCTGTGAAGGAGAGCCAGAACTGGCCCACCATGCGCAGGAACATGACGTGCAATATACCTTATCTCAGCGTGCTGGAGGCGCCCTGCTTACCCCTCTTTTGCGGAGAGTGCCGTTGGTTGCATTGTGGACGAAGGGGAGTCGTTGTGCGACGCCTAGGGCTACGAGTCGTGGGCCAATGAATGACGAAGCGTGTCATGGGGTCCGAAGGCTTGAGCTTCCCCACATTTGCACCACGCCCCGTGTGCGGAGAGAGTCGGCGCCAGCGGGAGGACAGAGCGTCAACCAACAATGTTTGCGAAACCTCAGACCAGCCTCGTTGTCAAGCCCGTGTCCGAAGTAGCGCTGCGGTCACTGGACATGGACAGGGTGCCGTGGCTATCCCGCAGCGACAGCACCTTGCGTGCCTCGAAGGTGCATACACGCTCGAGTCGATATCGCGCACGCAGAGGATCCTCGACGATCGAAGGGGAGGAGCCTCTCGTACATGCCAATGGGCCCGAGCGGGGCGTCGCGATGCCGGCTTCCGCAAAGGAGCGCTCCACGGTGCGGGGAGAGGGTCGTAAGCACGACATGAGGGACCTCATAACGGCACGGAATGCTCAACGCTGGGGCCGTGTTGCGTGCCGCCCGCTGTATGCCTTAGAGTGCCTTCCTGCTGCAAAGGAGAACATGTCGTTCTAGGCACACAGCCTGGCTATTCATGTCTGCGCCGTATGCAAGCGCCCGGGAGCTTTCGTTGACGCAGTGTAACATGGGCAATCAATCGTGAACTGTGCTTGGGCCAGCCATCTCCCGAGTCGGCCCGTCGGCCGTGCGATCAACGACGGATGGGAGTGCTCGGGAAGGTCTGATTCGCCGGTTGATGGCGACATGTGTGAGCCTCCTCCGCATCGTCTGTCGGGCGTTGGTTGCTGAGACGTCCGACGACCTCAACTACTCGGACTCCGATGACATGATACAACGAAACCCATTGAAAAGCAGGCTCTCCGCCGACAGGTGTGGTCATGTCCCACAGAACTCGTCGCTCGGAGCCCATGTGGAGAAAGAACCGCTGGCAGGTGCATCAGGGTCGGGCCTTCCCGCTCCGACAATGGCTTCAACACCACGACTCGGTTACCGAAGGCCCTAAACGTCACCTCACACGAATTGCACCAATTGACCACCCCAGCTCAAGGCCACGATAGCGGACAGCACGCAAGCCAGGCGGCCGCCTATCTCTCCACGTCCCGCACGAACCGCCCACAATGCCTGCAGAATACAGTGAAGAGCTTGCGCTTGCGCTGCGTGTGGTCCACGCCGCATCGGTTCTCACAAAGTCGGTGCTGCGTTCCCTGCAGAACAGCGTCTCAGCCGAGACCAAAGCCGACGACTCTCCCGTCACCATCGCCGACTTTGCCGCCCAAGCAATCATAATCTCCGCCCTGCACGCTGTGTACCCAGCCGACGCCTTTCTTGGCGAAGAGAGCGCCGACCAGCTCAGGGAGGACGAAGGCCTCGCGGACCGCGTCTGGCAACTCGTGCAACAAGCCCAAATCAGCGACGTGCAGCACGTGCAGCAGCGAGAAAACGGTCATGCGAGCTTGATATTTCCCGCCACCAAGGAGGAGATGCTGGATGCTATTGACCGCGGAACCAACGCGCAGTTAAAGGGGCGCGTCTGGGTCATGGACCCCGTTGATGGGACCGCGACTTTCATGACAGGGAATCAGTATGCAGTCTGTCTCTGCTTGCTCGTGGATGGCGTGCAGCAGGTTGCTGCGATAGGGTGCCCCAACCTACGTCTGGACCCTAAGAATCCAGTCAACCTCAAGGTCCACGAAGAGCTTGTTGACGAGACCGGCTTTGGTGTCCTGCTCTCTGCCATTCGCGATGAGGGCGCCCACGTCCGAAGCATACTTAGCCATGGTCTCGGCGAACCTTCCAAGCTTGATTTTCGATCAAACGCCGGCGGCAACGACGACAAAGATCTAGACTTCATCGAAAGCACGCTCGGCAAGACGTCACTTTCACAAGCCGAGCACAAGACCGTCGCTGAAGCACTCGGTGCGAAGTGGCCTGGTACCGTCATCTGGAGCCAGCAGATGAAGTACATTGCCCTGACACTAGGTGCTACAGACGTCATGCTGCGGTTGCCTCTTGACAAGTCTAGATATACACATGTCTGGGATCATGCTGGTGGACAGCTTCTGTTCACCGAAGTAGGGGGTATTATCAAAGACATCAATGGAGGATCGATAGATTTCTCCCACGGGAGGCGCATATTGGGCGACAAGAACTATGGCATGATCGCCACGCAGCCCGAAGTATTCGACAAGGTGAACGAGGCTGTAAAGGCCGTGCTAGCTCGGAGGACCTAGTTGGGTATCTTGCAACACCCCAAGACGGGTAAGCCGACATTACGGCCACTTTCGCCTTTGGGCTGTAGATGTGGTGCAAGGCGAGAGCCTGAAAGACGGTGTGACAGAGCCTCACCGGCGGGTGACACAACTCTTGCGCACAAGACGGAAAGAATGTGGGGTAAACGAGAAGCGGACGAGCATGCCCACGAGGAATTGAGACAATTCGGCGGCGTGCATAGTCGTGACGGCCTCTCCAGCGGCATGTCATGCTCACTAGATCCTAGTAGATCTCAGCCGCAACCGAGTTGTGTAGCCTGATAATTAATTGAAACGCAAACATGCGGTAGCGTTCCGCATAGATGCTGCTTCTAGCCGCCGAAGCCCTTGTGAATCGCTCCCACAACAGACAGAGTTGACCCTCAATTCATCATTTCCATGAAGTATGCATGTGCTATGCACAGCCAGTGCCGCAAAAAGCCAGATCTAGTAAACGATCATGACGCCCCACCGCCATTCTTGCGGAACGAGACCTTTTCCACAGCAACGTTCTCCACGCCGTTTCCATCCTTACGCAACTGGTACACGTACAGCACGAGAACGTCCCCTTGCACCTGCTCCGCAGTCAGTCTCCATCCTCGGGAGGCCCTCCACATACCAGCAATCGGGGAAACTCACATCCATTAGCACAAAGCTCGGCACAGGCTCTTCCTCCTCTGTCCACCACCCCGTTGTCATAGCCCCCGTCGCACTCCCTGGGTTCACAAAGAACTTGCCCTCCATCTCATATGCCTCGAACTTATGCGTGCCGCCCCACAGCAGAATATCGACGTCCATCTGCCGCGCTGCTATGAGCAAACTGTCGCCATCTCCAGGCGGCACTATTGTGTGCCCGTGCGTGAAACCTATGCGTAGGCTGCCGTGTGTGACTACTTTTGAGAGGGCGAGGTTGGGTGCTTCGACGTCGAAGTCGCCTTTGACGATTTGTAGGTCGGGCGCGATGCCGCGGAGGAACTCGTAGGTTTCTTTGTCGGTGATGTTGCCGAGGCAGAGGATTTGGCCTATCTTCCCTGGAGCGAGGAGCTTCTTGAACTGCAGTGGGGACTTGTTAGCTGGAGCTCACGGGAGCGGCGCTAGACTGTAGGTTTCTGGTGTGGACCTGTGGTTGGGTAAGGTCTTCAACGTACCTTCGCAGGTATATCCTATGCACCCTGTAAGCTTGTGAGGTCGAGCGACATGCGCGCGCACATGGGAGAGCTTACTGGAGCTCTATCTGGTATGAAGAGGTCGCCTAGGACCAACACAAGTCGCGAAGCCATTGCGGCAGCTCCGCGTGGTATGGGCGGCGCTCGGACGATCGGGAGGTAGACTGAACTCAAAGAATGAAAGTTGAGACTATGACAACTACGAAACCGAAGTCCGGGTCGGGAAGCTCGAAGTGTGTCTGCGGAGAGATGCCTCGGGCTGGAGCTATGCGGTCGACCTAGGGCGGTATGGCACGGCAGAATATTCGCTTAGTAATGGCCTGCAGCTTTCCCCATGTGTGAACTCTGGATCTTCAACTGCAAACTTGGCGATTCGAATCTGCTAACACATACATTTCGTTTCATATGGATTTCAGGATACACACTTCTGATCAAACATGGAACAGCATGCGCTCGAGTATGCGCTCTGTTTCCTCGGTGGTCAGCTTGTGCACAGTCTGCAAGTGCACTCTCAGCTGTTTGCGCGTTCGAAACGTTGTCTCCTTCAGTACCATCGAGCCTATGTTGATTATGAAGCCGAGTCGGCCATACATGGGTCAGTGACAAAGGCCATGGGTGAGCGTGAGCCGTGGTATCACTCAAGATCTGACACAATTCAACGAGAACGTCGGTATTGTAGGTCTTGGATTAACACAGAGTGTACGCTTGTGAAGACCTCCCAAATTTTATTTGCTCATTGTGCTACACTGTAGACGATTACGCCGCTCCAAAGATTATCACCTTCTTGGAATCTTTTGGGAAAGTAAAACCATGCTATTTATTGAATTTTGCATGGTCTATCTCTACATGCTGTTATAGGTGACAACGAAGATCACTATGGAAATGACAGTAAGAGGTGAAGATACTTTATGAATCAGATATTAGAACACCGCAAGTGAACTTTCCTCCCGCATACTGGCGGATTATCCTGCCCAGCTTTCCTTGTGGTACAGGGTTGATCTACTCGTCTTCGACGACATCCTCGGTATCCTCCTCGACTTGACGCTTGCCAATTGGTTGACCTGGAAGACGACGAAAACCAGAGTGCCATGCTGGGTTGGCTTCGGCCTCAGCCTCGCGCTTGCCGACCGGGCTGGCCTCAGCGACGGGGGCAGCGACCACACAGGTGGACACAAAGGCAGCGAGTGCCAGAACAGTAATAGGGAAATGCATTTTGAGCTTCTCAGAATGAGTGTTTTGTTGAGATCTCAAACGATGGAATGGATATTGGGAGGTGGGTGATTGACAGGAGGTGACCCAGAGGCCCTTTTATATAGAAAGAGGAGGTGACAGTGAGAAGAGCCACAATAGCGCTCGGGAACTAAGCGGAAGAGGCGTCACAATGAGGCTGAATTGTGTGTTGTCCGAAATGATTGGTTGTCGCTCTATTGAGGCATATTTTGGGTCAGTGAAAGAGGTATTGGTCGGTATTACTGATGTCGGCGCAATTCGCTATTGAGACATGTTCAAGGTGGATTTCGCCTCGGGATATGAAAGAAAAATACATTGCTAATGTTCCAAAAAAAGAACACTGACGAGAACCTGTCACCTGGGGTCCTAATTCGCCTCCCCTGATATTCTTGTCGGCGCCTTGCCCATGGCGATTATGAGATTGAGTGTCTGGTCTTTGTGAAAGCATTGAACGCAAGCCAATGGCTGTCTGTCGCCATGTTGTCGATGTGTCCTAGAGGGTCTTTCTTGGGTATGCTCAGAAGAGCTTGCGACCAGATAGTGTGGGGTTTAGAAAAGTCACAGGTTCGGGTGACCTTTCAGATCAACACATGCCTAGAGCGAGTATGAATAGTGAGGTGCCCCACGAACCGGATCGTGTCTAGTCGCATGGATGTGGGGAAACTGGCTATCATTGCCCGGATCAGGTGAACATAGCGCAGTGTGCGCTAGTACATACAGGACAAAATGAAACGATCTGACCGTGTAGCGAATAAGTATCAGGCGCTGTGCGGTCCTTGATGCATATTCCAATCATCGGGCGCAGAAAGAACGAAAATCTCGCTTGCTAATGTTGTAGGAATGGAAATTCGGATGCGGTTCGAAGGTCGAAGACCATGGTATTTCTGTCTCAGAGCCGCATGCGTGGCCATTGTTACGGAATTTATTTAATTGGGTGGCATTCTGAGCGGTTCCCCATTGATTCACAGCAGCTCGTCATTGCGGTCCGCACCACCACCTCCCCAAATTGGTATCTGCTCATCCGCTTTGAATCCAGTACACAAACCTTTGGTCGACCTCCACTCCCACTATGGGTCTCGTCTGCTCCGAGACGGCTTTGGAGTATCCCGTAACTGTTGGTTTCGCCTAGTTTATTCTGACTGAGCATTTCTACTATGTAATCCGCACAAGGTACATGGGAATGGTCTAGAACTCGATTGAGCACTGCGCATATTTATCGCAAGGCCTAGCGTCCTAGGGATGTCCTCGGAAGATTGTACTTCCGTCACATATGAAGACCCCGCCACGCCGTTAAAGCTCCTTTTTGAGGACGACCTAGAGTATGTAGAGGATATCAATTATACCATTCTCGGTGCCTTGAAGATGTTCCTCCATCGCATTCCTATTGCATAGATACCTTCTCATGTATTTTCAGCCATTGTATGTACTATGGAGGCCAATTATTAGCTTAATTATATTAAATCCAACATTTTTAGACGTTAGAATAGGGCACCAAGCTGTCGAAAGACTAGACTTAAGAGAATTTGGCCAAGCGACTTTGTAGGCCTTTGGCTGGAAGAACTGGTCTCTTCACCTATGAGGATTTGTTAGCCACACGTGGTACCAGACATGATTTTTACGTGACTTACTGGTCACAAGACTTGAGAATTGTAAAGTGAAACAGTGGACACGCCCTTGAGTCTCGATACAACATCTGAGCGCCGCAGAATAACTCGAGATTCCAAGTGTAAATTTTGAACGATCGTATGCTCGGCAAGTTCTCCGTCCATTGGGAACGAGCCGCGTATGCCATACATCAGTGATAGGCCAGCTTCAACAGTGGAACGCATGCTGGAATTCGCGTCGAACACTGCCTCCACAAACTTGACGACCGAATTCAGATCCGCAGGATTTCCGCAGTGGTCACATTCTGCAAGGGGAATGCCGCGAACGGGAACCTTCATCTCAAGACCAGAGCAGTCGAGCTGTTTTGTGAGGTGCTGAGAGGGCTCATGAAGAACTTTGTAAGGTCGAGGGGCCCCCGCGACAGAATGCGCGAGCGCGCAGCAGAAGGTGCGGGGTTCGTCTTTCACATTCACCGGCGCTCATGACGACCCTTAAGCCGGCTACTGGTAGTGCACCCAATGCAAAAACACGGTTGCTCTGCGGGAGGTCGAGGATTACTTCGATTGCGCGGCAAACTTACTACCAGGCTCAACTGTCCACAACACTAGGCGCATTCACTCCTTCGTTGATCCGAGTAGTGAGCTTACTGTGCTATCATGTCTACCGCTCAATCTGCGCGCACAGGGTAAGAGCAACCGATAAGCTAGCTAATGTGAAGGACCCACACACAACGGATGGTCTTCGGCGATCTTGGACTATGATGACAATTGTAGATCTTGAAGGATCGCTTAGTCGACAGCCTCTGTCAAGCTTTGTGCTCATCGTACAATCGCTGTACATCATCAGAAAGTCTCTTGATCGAAGTCCAAGCACCTGAACGAACTATTCAATCTGTCAGTCCTAGATCCCGATGGCGATCAAAGCAGCTAGAGCTCTGGACAAGAAGCGAGTCGGAAGGAATACAAGTCCCATGCTCAAAACCGTGATAACGCCAGTCAAACACCAGCGCTGTGCAACGCCTGATCAAAACACAAATACAGATCAACATCCGTCCAACCCTCTTGAAAACAGTGAACACCTCAGCACAAACTAGTAGGTACATCTGCCTACGCTGCAGCCTCCCTCGTTCGCCTAGCCGCTTCTTGCCTCTTCTCCATCTGCTTTCTTGCCCACTCTCGACTAGCGATACGTCCGCGCTCAGCCGCCTCAGCGCGTGCCTTTTTCGCCGACTCTTCCTTCACCCTACGCTCGTTGTCACGTGCATCTTTTTCGAGCTTGTCTCTATTAAAGACTTCGCGGCCCCTATTTTTCTGAGGCGCCGCAGCACCTGCAGGACCCAACTTCGCAGAATCGGGATTGATCTTGACGCTGTTGCGCTTAGAAGGAGACGTGGAAACCAAGCGTGCCTGGACAATGCTGCTAGATTTGTTGGCTGTTACAGAGCCTGAGCGCTGCAGATGCTGGACAGTCGGGTCAGATATGTTTTCTTTGCTCATTAACCGTTCACGTGCTTGGCTTGCTGCGGTCTGGCGGACGGGCGCGATGACCGACCTCCGGACTGGTGCTGGGCGGGCTTTGAATGCAGCCTTTGTCGCGGCTCCCGCCTCCTCTGCCTCATGCTTGAGCCGCTCTTCTTTCCGTGCTTTTTGCTCTGCCGCGAACTTCTCGCCAGGAAGTTGAAACTTTGGTACTGTGGGAGGCTTTGATGATTTTGGCGGCGGAGGAAGGTTGATCTGACGAGAGGTGGTGGCCTCACCTTCAGCCATCCGTCTGAGACGTTCCTCCTTCTTCGCTTTGAGTTCTGCGGCGATGCTTTCGCCTGGAAGTCGGAAGTCAGACTTGGTCGGTGGTTTAGTTGATTTAGGGGGCGGCGGCATGCTGATAAGTCGTGGTCTCGGTGCTCCTGCCTCAGCCATTCTCTTGAGGCGTTCCTCTTTCCTGGCTTTCAACTCTGCAGCTATTCTTTCCCCCGGAAGTTGGAATTCAGATGTTGTGGGTGCCTTGGTCGACTTGGCCGGAGGTGGCGGAGGCGCAAAGGTCATGATGATGGGCCTACGCCTGGAAGCCAAGTAGTCCGTGGCCCCTTCAGATCCCGTTCTCTCCTTGGGAGGTGCGCGTACACTAGATGCTCTCGATAATCCAGTTGGCTTCAATGACCTGGCCGTCAAGCTTGGGCTTTTCGAGTCCTTAGGTCTCATTATAGTTCTCTGAGCTGTCTGCCGTGGAGACTTGCCAGGAGTTGCAGTCCTGGTGAACTTTGCCTTTCTGGGAGACTTGTCGTCAGCCAATTGGTCGAATGACGGAAGAGACCTTCCGACGTTCTCGAGAGCCTCCTCGAGATCATCAATCGCACCGATGGATTCTTCTAAGCGCATAGGTGTCCTCGAGGCAGACCTGGTAGAACTTCGGGAGATAGCTCGGCTAGGTGTAACGCTCGTCGTTGGGGTCACAGCGTCCTCAAGAGGTTTCTGGGATGTCAACACCTTTGGCTCAGGCTCAGTCACTTCTAGAGAGGGAGTCGTAACCTCTTGCTCGGGGTCATCAGCAATTGTACCTGCTGGCTCTTCTACTTCCGTTTCCACAGTATCTGGAACAACCTCCACTTGTGGCCCGACCGTACCTTCCTGGTCATCGATGTTCTCTTGTTCTTGCGCCTGTGAGAATTCCTCCATCAGGTCTTGTGATGCTTTGAGGTCGGAAGCCGCACGTGGCTCTTCGGCAGGCTCTTCGGCCGACTCGGGGACGATCTCTGCATACGATCGTCTAGTAGCTTCCTCTGTCACCAGTTTCTCTGCTCGTTTTTCTTGTACTTCGGATGGCGAAGGTTCCTGGGCAGTAGCAGTTGTGTCTACTTCGACTGCCTCTGACTGGAGTGGACCACTAGAGCGAAGTGAACGCGAGAAGTCCTCCTCCTGCTTAGCCAATTGACGACGGGTCATGCGTACCGCACGCGACGGAGAACTTGCAGGTTGTTCCTCGCCGACAGGAGCTTGGGCCGTATCTATACCCCACAATTAGCAGCGCACATTAAGACAGGTCGCAAGCGCTGCTGGCACGCACCTTCGATGGGTTGGCCGGCCAGCTCGTCGACAGCGGCATCGCTCGCGGGGCTACCTGCAGCTTGACGCCCGTCATCCGGAACCAGGGGCCCATCCTTTTCCTCGTCTTGTGCAGCTTTCGCCTTCTTCCCCTTTGCGCCCTTCTGCGCAGTGCCCTTTGCTTTGCCCTTCTTCACTGCCATCTTCTTAGCCGGCGCGTCCGTGGAGTCGGGGTCGAGGACGTTGTTAGCGGAGACATGACCCAATGGAACGCGGTCTTGAACATCGGTACGCGTGATTGACGCGTCGTTGGTCTCAATGTCGCCGTCGGCGTGTTGCGCATGCTCCACGCGCGACGCCGCTCGAGTGACGCGCATTGCGGGAGCGTTCGATAGTGGTGCTAGGATGGTGTGTAGTTATACAATGCTGGGGCGCATGGACGAGACGGTGGTGCGGGCGCTATCGTGCCGCTCAGATGTGTGGACGGCCAGGGTCTTCGATGTTTACATGGCTGCAAGTTCCGTAAACAAAGCACTGGCCAATCAGCGCGCGTCGCCGTCGACAGTCACGTGCCCATGCGGCTCCGAGGTCCCGTCCGGGGTCGCTGAGCATGGTCCCGAGGCGTCGCGGAGCCCCACCGCATCTGCAACTGCGCGTGCATTGCGACGGAAAATTCGGCGGCACATCAGACCGGTACAGAAGCGGCCGGCGGCTCCTTGCTCCCAGACATCCCGCGGGAACGCTCCGGCACCTGGTCGAGAAAACTTAGAAGCCAGCTGCGCAGACACCGAGCAGCACAGCACAACCAATACCGCACACAGGACGTCTCTGCAAGCAATCGCTCGCTCCGACCTATCGCATCCCTCCCGACCCCGAGCATTCGCCGCATTGCCCCTCTCGCACCGCCAAACTGGCTGCCCCGCGCCGTATCCTGGGAGCCTTGAATTCCCGTCTCTACCCCTCGCGCAACATCCATTCCCGCGCCTTTAACTCCGCATCCGTCACCGTGGCTCCCTCACGCCCAACCTCTCGTCTCAGTCTCTTTTCTGCTCATCTCGACGCTAGACCTTTCCTCGAGCTCAACACACCCTTCTCTACCGAGCGAAGTGCACATCTCGAAGACGACCAAGGAAACACAGCACGCAAACCACCTGAGCCTGAGCAACCAATTGACGAGGGAACACCAAAGAAAATGTCTAGCCAGCCGCCGCATCCCGCCCTGCTCATCCCGGGCCCAATCGAGTTCGACGATGCTGTCCTTCAGTCTATGAGCCATTACAGGTACGCCCGGCACCATACTCAAACTTACGTCATTGACATGCTGACCTCTGCAGTGAATCGCACGTCGGCGCACCCTTCGTCAGCACCTTTGGCGATGTTCTGTCCAACCTGCGCAAGCTCTTCCAGACCACCGACCCCGCCTCGCAGCCCTTCGTCCTTTCCGGTTCGGGTACGCTCGGCTGGGATCAGGTCGCTGCGAACCTCACCGAGCCTGGCGACGAAGCGCTTGTCTTGCATACTGGATACTTTGCCGACTCGTTCGCCGACTGCTTCGAGACATACGGAGTGAAGGCGACACAGCTCAAGGCAGCCATCGGGGACCGGCCACAGCTCGACGAGGTCGAGCAGGCACTGAGGGAGAAGAAATACAAGGTCTTGACCGTCACCCACGTCGACACTAGCACGGGAGTGCTTAGCGAGGTCAAGGCGCTGAGCGAGCTTGTGCACAGAGTCAGCCCGGACACATTGGTCGTGGTTGACGGCGTGTGCAGTGTCGGTGGCGAGGAGATCAAGTTCGACGAGTGGAAGCTCGATGTCGTCCTTACGGCTACACAAAAGGCCATTGGCTGCCCTGCCGGTCTCAGTGTGCTCATGGCTTCTGGCCGTGCCATTGAGGTATTCAAAGCAAGGAAGACGAGGCCCAACTCCTACTTTGGATCGTGGAAGAACTGGCTGCCAAGTAAGACAAACTCACTTTACACCTGTTTCAGCGCGATCTAACAGCCTTGCAGTCATGCAAAACTACGAAGCCAAGAAGGCCTCCTACTTCGCCACACCCTCCCCTCAACTCATCCACGCCCTCGACACAGCCCTTAAACAGATCCTGTCGCGGCCGCTTGACCAGCGCTTTGCCGACCACAGAAACGCCTCCCAGAAGGTCAAGAAGGCAATTGCAGACCTCGGCTTGAAGCAGCTTGCTACCAAGCCTGAGAACCAGGCTAATACAATGACGGCCATCGTTCTGCCCGAGGGTGTCACCCCACCGGATGTGGTCCCTAGCCTGCTAAAGAAGGGTGTCGTTTTCGCCGGTGGTCTGCACAAGGAGATCGCATCCAAGTACATCCGATTAGGTCATATGGGTGTCAGTGTTACGGATCCAAACCGCGGCGATCTCACCAAGGCCATTGATGCGTTGAGAGAGTCGCTCGCTGAGGTTGGAAAGGCATAGAGTATCTGCATATGAAGTAGCTTGTGTATAACATTATAGACATCGACCTCGAACATAGCCAGCATTTGTACATTGCTCGTCTTAATCGGTTCTCTCATGTTTCACATAGGCAATCATTCGTCTCGTCGGCAGCTTCTCGTATTGTTAGAACAGTTCCATGTTCATCTACGTCAGAGTCAGTCTAAAGCACCTGCCATTTTAGGACACACCTGGGGAACAGCATTCCCTCCTAGATCCTAGATGAGTTGGTCACTATCATCCCAAATTAGATCCATGGATGAGATAGAGTCAGATGACTACGTAGTCTACTATCAATCTCAGTTAGGAAAATATTGTTTGCTCATAAATTCCATAATCCGTAAGCAGAGAGACATGGTACGTGTGGGTATGCCTGCAGTGATCATACGAATGCGAACCGTGCTGGGTTCCCAAGTGTTATGATAAATGAAAGAGAGATGGCGTATGGGAGTTTGTAAGTTCTTCCTGCGGAGGATACGATTGATCGTGTGGATTTTGCGCATGCGTTGGAGCATGCGAGGTTCTTGATGGGATGGGTGGTGGAGCTAGGCTTTGCGAGTTTGTAGGAGATGCCCGGTGCCGCTAAGATTACAGTAGGTTGTAGCGCGAGTTACCACTTGCTGTTCCATGATGTAACATTACTTCACTATCACTATACTCATTTCCTCGCAAGAAACGTCAATGCAGCCACACAAAGCGCATCCACCCCCGTCTTCAGCGTGGGCTGAATGACTGGCGCAAAACCGCTCGAGTGATTCTGCGGAATATCTTCTATCAACCTTCCCTCCCTCTCCTTCTGCGCATAAAGGTCAGGATCGCAGCCTCCAAAGAACCAGAACAGGCTGGGCTTTCCCTGACTGGTAGCCAGAATTGAGACGTCCTCACTTGCATTCGTCCGCGCAATTCGCGGATCAAACGCGTCGCCAAAGAAATCCCCAAAGCTGCTAGCAAGCTTGTTTTCCATGTCCTCATCATTGTCCGTCGCAGGGAAGAACCGCGTTTCTTCGATGGTGGGTTCCTTGGGCGCCCCAGCGGCAATGTACTCCGCATGAACAACGCGCTTGATAGATGCAATGACTCTGTCGCGCGTGGTCTTGTTGATAGTTCGGATGTCAATGCCGAGCTCAGCATGGTCGACGATGATGTTCTCGGTGTGCCCGCCTCTCAAATATCCAACCGTTACGACCGCCATGTCGCTTGGATCCGTTTCTCGACTTACAATGTTCTGCAGTCGGACTACAATGTTCGACGCCATCATAACGGGGTCGATTGTGCGGTTCGGCATGCTGCCATGACCGCCGCGGCCGAACACGGTCACTTTGAAACTGTCTGCTGCTGCCATAATGGTGCCTACCCTGCTGCCGATCTTGCCTGCTGGAAGCGCCATTACATGCTGACCTAAGACATAATCAGGTACTGGGATGTTGTGCTTGTTTTTGTCGTAGAGCCCGTCGTCAACCATCGCTTGAGCGCCAGTGCCGCGTTCCTCGGCAGGCTGGAAGAGAACAACGAGTGTGCCTGACCACGAAGAGCGCACGGCGCAGAGATGCTCGGTAGCGGCCAATAGACAAGTGAGGTGGAGATCGTGGCCGCAGGCGTGCATTACGGGCAATTCGTCGCCGGTTCGTTGGCTGACTTGTGTCACTGTAGACGCGTAGGGAAGATTCGTCAGCTCCTTAACGGGCAGTGCATCCATATCGGCGCGAAGGAGGACAGTTGGACCAGAACCATTATGGAAAACGCCTGCAAGGCCATAGCCGCCTATATTGGTCGTAATCTTAATATCTGAGACTCTCGAAAGATGCTTTGCTGTGGTTGCTGCCGTCTCTTTCTCCTGATTGGACAGCTCCGGGTTGGCATGATAATGTTTGTACAACTCCTCATAAGGTTTCAAGTCAAGAGGTTTGCATGCTAGAAGATCGGAAATAGACACCATCTTGTCGAACACAGGTTAACGTCCACCTTCGTGATACTACGAAAGTATATATGCGCTGGTGACGTTACGTTGTGAGGGAACGCCTTCCTATACAACATTAGCGCTCCCCACTATGACTTCTCCGACGGGTAGGACGTTAACACGGGTGGAAATAATTCGTGCGCGATGAGGTAAGCTAACATCGCCAAATACTTAGGCACCTAGCAACGGCCACTAAAATAGGATATATTAATATATCTAAGGTCGAATTTAATAATAGGTGTTAAGGAAAATTAACTTAGTAAGTAAGCGAATTAAATAGAATTACTATATAAGAGATTATAGGTAGGTTAGCGTAGTAGTAAGTGTTACTAGGCTAAGGTAGAGGCCTTAGTAGATATCTTAGACCTTAGTACTTTCTAAATAAGACTAGTACCTTACTTAGGGCTTAGTAGCTATATATCTCTATAGAGACTCCTAGCTACCCTAGATAGCTTTCTATTATAATTATTATTAAAGTAAGAGTAGAGGCCTCTAAAATTACTAAGCTTATTTTAAGTAATTATAGAATAAAGATAGTATTATAGAAAATAAGCTTAGTAAATAAGCTAATTAATTAGAATTACTATATAGGAGACTATACTAGATTAGTAATATATATAAGTACTTATAATCTAAAATAGGTTTTTACTTATACTAAGTATTCTTATATAATTAATTTAATGGCTAGTATAATGGGGCCTCTAGGACTCTATTACTTACCGTGGCCCTATTAGGGTTCTTGTAAGAGATAAGTAGCGTGTAGGGTTATATAGATTATATATAGTGTAAATATTAATTAATTACTACTATAAGAGTATATTACTAAAAGCTTAATAGTAATCTTCCATAAGGAAACTAAATGTAGGTAACTATATTATAGATTAATAATAAAGGTTTACCCTATAGTAATCTATTATCTCTATATACTACTATCTAATAGTGGCTCTATAGGCTCTATTTATAGATTCTTATAGATCTATAGATCCTAGCTCTATGGCTCTATATCCTTAGTATCTATAGATTTATAGATCTAATTACGTAACTTCTTTATATATCTATATTATACTTAGTATCTAACCTATAATTATATTCTTCTCTAATATAATCTAATTAGTTACTACTATTATTAATATAAGTCCTATAATTCTATTATAGTATAGTAGCTATAACACTATCTCCCCCTTCTAAGTCTTTAGCCTAAAGATTAATTTATTATAGGGGTGGTGCTATATTAGTAGGGTAAGCCCTATTATAAGTTAGGTTATTATTACCCTCTATACCTTCTTATAAAACTAATAAACAACTTATGCTTACTAATAAAATTAGTTATTATAGATTCCTTACTATACCTTACTCTTACTATAATTAGTTAAAAATTCTATATAAGCTTTCTCTACGTAATATACCTAGGCGTCCTACTTATAAAGCTTATGTTTATTTAAATGTTTATAGTTCTTATAATATTAATAGTATCTTAGTGGCTAAGAGTATATTATCTACCACTATTATTCTATTTATACTAATTATTTATAGTATATAACACTAGTCGCTCCTAAGCCAAAATTTAAGCTAAACTTATTAAGACTAAGAAAGCTTAGAAAGATGCTCTAGATACTACTACTACTACTACCTAGCGCTTAGCTAATACTTATTTAAGGATATTATAGTTATAGAAATAGAAAGAGCTTCTTAATAAGTAGGAGGATCCTTAGTTAGTGTTCCTAGAGGCTAAGCTAGATTAGGAAGAAGTAGAGCTAAAGGCCACTAGTCTATAGAATAGTTCTAAGGAGGGTAAAGTAGTCTCTTAAGATACTACTTATACCTTTTCTAATAGTAGTATTCTTTATAATTTACTATAAGGTAGTCTAACTCTTAGTCTAATATCTCTAGGCTTTCTTTAAGAGATTAGTTTAACTAAAATTCTTCTAACTTCTTAGGGTAGTTAAAATTACTTTCTAGTTCCTAGGTATTATCCTATAGGTTCCCTTTTCTATTATATTTTAGCTATTTAACCTTATAGTAGTTCTAACTATTTACTAGTTAGTATCTATTAATACTTACTACTTCCTATTCCTCTTATTATTCTCCGTATATATCTACCTTATAAACTATAGGTTCTACGTCTTATAGTGCTTTTTCTAATAAGGCTACGTAGAATACTAGGTATATTTTTATATTATTTAGAAGGCGTAGTTTAAATAAAACTAGGGTAATCTACTTAAGGACTTTATATAGTCTAATTTTTAGGTAGTCTAGTTTATTTAATAGTTGTTTACTAGCGATATTTTTTTATAATAGCTAGACTTTCTCTCCCTTCTCTAGCGTAGGCGTAGGCTTATACTTAAGATTATAGTATTTACCTATCTTTCCTTATAGGAATATGGTATCTTATTAGAGTTAGGTATAGATTTATATAATTTTCTTTACCTAATCTTCTCTATCTACGCTCTAGGATCTTATTACCCTAGGCACTTAATAAGCTACTAGGTTAAATCTATAATTTACAAAGAATAGTAAGACTCTAGTAGCACTATATTATAAGCTATTATAGGCTAACTATGCTATAGGGAGTAACCCTACCTAGTTATTTTATTAGTAGTTTAGGTAACATCTAAGAAACTATTCTACTATCTAGTTTATTCTTTTAGTCTAGCTATCTATTTATAGATAGTATGCTGTGGATATACTATATTTAATACCTATAAGGGCGAATACTATCTACTAGAATTTAGATGTAAAGTGTATATCTCTATTAGTAATAATTTTATTAGGGGCACTATGCTATACTATTACTATAGAGGTAAATTAGAATGCTATATATTCTACCTTACTAACTTCCTTATATAGTAAGAAGTAAGTGTATTTAGTTATTTTATTAATAATAACTATTACTCTATTATATTTAACCTTATTATCTAGGTCCCTAGACTTTAGTAATCTAGTTATAAAGTCTATTATAATAACTCCCTATAGTCTATTTAGTACTTCTATAGGTTATAATTACCTATATAGTGTATATCTATTTAGCTTATTTTTATAGTAGTCCGCGTAATCCCTAAGGACTTCTATAACTATCTGCTAGGCTTAAGGGAAGTAGTAGTCCCTTATTAGTTATTCTAGTGTTTATTTAATTCCTTAGTGGCCGTGTGCTAGCACCTTATAGAATTATTATACAAATTCTCTCTAGATTTTTGCTAGAATAAAGATCCTATTAAAGACTCTATATATATTATCTTTATACTTTATTTCTACTAGTAAGTAGCTTATACTTTCCTTATTAATTATAGTTTCCTTCTAGATCTAATTAAGCTATACACTAGCTTATATTTCTACTATTACTATAAGCTTAGGTGTATTATATATAATAGTACTATTAGCGTTAAACTTAAGTAAGGCTTCTAATACCTCTACCTTTCCTTAGAGGTCTAGTTATCTACTTAGGGTATTAGCTTAGAGGTTTTCTATTTCTCTAGTATATATAATCTTAAAGTTATATATTAATAAGGTCTATGCCTATTTTACTTACCTAGAGGTAAGGGCTTTATTAGTTATAAATCCTATTAGGTTCTTATAATCTAAGAATATAGGTGTCTAATATTTAGCTTCTTAGAGATATGTTCTCTATTCCTTAAAGGCTTTAACTATTACTAATATTTCTTTATTATAGATATTATAGTTAAGTTCTATAGCCTTTATTTTCTAGGAATAATAACTATATAGGTATTTTTTATCTATTTTTAGGTCTTACTAGAGCAAGTATGCTCCTATAGCAAAATTTAATATATTAGTTTTAAGTATTACTAGGTAGCGTAGGTTAAAGATCTATAGAATAGATTCTTTTATAAACTCTTCTTTTAGCTAATCTATTACTTATTAGTACTTATCTATCTACTTAAAAGGGACTTCCTTCTTAGTTAACCTTATAAGTAGTTCTATAATTCTAGTCTATCCTAGGATAAACTTCCTATAATAATTATAAAATCCTAGGAAGGACTAAATATCCTTAATATACTTAGGGGTTCCCTACTTAGAGACCTCCTATAGTTTAGTTTATTTAATTTTAAGTTTCCCTAGTTTAACTATAAACCCTAGAAAGATGGTCTAGGTTATATAGAACTTATATTTCTTAAGCTTAAGGTATAGCTTAGCCTTACCTATTTATTTAAGCACTTCCTTAATGTGCCCTTTATATTATTATTTATTTATTAAATAGATTAGTATATTATCTAGGTATACTATTACGTATTCTCCTAGGTATCCTCTTAAGATAGTATTAATTTATTATTAGAACACTACTAGGGCGTTAGTAAGCCTAAAGGGCATAACCTTATATTTAAAGAGTCCTAGCTTAGTTTAGAAGGCTATTTTCTATTCCTTACCTTCCTTTATCCTAATTTAGTAGTATGCATTTTTAATATCTAAGCGTATAAAGATCTTTATATCTTATAACTAATCTTATAGGTCTAAGATTAGTAGTAATAGGTATTAATCCTTCTTAGTTATAGCGTTAGTTTTCCTAAAATCTATATAAAACTATAGTTTAGGGTTACCTTTCTTCTCCGCGAATGTAACTCTATAAGCTATAGAAGATTTAGAAGGTTAAATGTACTTCTACTTAAGGTTATTTTTAATATATTATTTAATAACCTTAAATTCCTTTTCTATAGTCTTATAAACTAGTCCCTATATAGGTTATTCTCCTTCTTCTAGTTTAATCTTATAATCCTAGTCTACATATTCTAGTAAGTAACCTTCTAGTTTATTAAAGATGTCTGTAAACTCCTAGTATTATTCTAGGATACCTAGAATTTGTTCTTTGCTAGTGGCTAGCTAATAAGGGTACTTAATTTCTTTAGTTCCCTAATAGATAATTAGATTAACTTACCTTAGCTATAGCATCCTAAGGATTATATCCTACTAGTTATCTATTTTAGCTAAATCTATAGTAAAATTATTAATTACTAATCTATCTAATAGGA